TCGCAGGCTATGGGCAGAGCGAGTTCCGTCGCTACGGCTCCGCCCAAGGTCGCGCCGCAAGCTGGTGTACTGGAAGGCATGAATCCAGTGCACTTTGATGCTAAGAACCCCCTCGCCTTATTCATTATACAGGTAAGTCTCCATCTAGCAACCCACCAATTCTTCAAGATATCATTATCCACAAACCCATGGGGAGAATCTATACCGCATCTCCCCTTCCCACAACACCCGCATCCCCCCAAACTCTCCAGAGAACAACCAGCTAACCACCCACCCACCTAGGCCGGCATCATAATAATCGTCTGCCACATGATAAACTACCCCCTCTCCAAAATCCGCCAACCACGCGTCATCTCCGAGATCATCGGCGGCATCATCCTAGGCCCCTCAGTCATGGGCCGGATCCCAGGTTTCAAAGACTCAATCTTCCCCCAAGCATCAATGACCAATCTGAACCTAGTCGCCAACCTAGGTCTGACTCTGTTTCTCTTCATCATCGGTTTGGAAGTCGATTTGCGCTTCTTGCTGAGCAATTGGAAGATTGCGCTTAATGTGGGTATTGCGAGTATGGCGGTGCCGTTTGGATTGGGCGCTGCGATTGCGGTCGGGTTATACAACGAGTTTAAAGATGAACCCGGGATGGTGCAGATTGACTTTTCGGTTTATATGCTGTTTATTGGTGTGGCTATGGCTATTACGGTATGTTATGCTCGGGTTGTTTTTGTGGTTGAGGATGGGTTTGCTGACTTGGTGTCTAGGCTTTTCCGGTGCTTTGCCGTATCTTGACGGAATTGAAGCTGCTTATGACGCCGGTTGGTGTTATTGTGCTATCGGCCGGTGTTGGAAATGATGTTGTTGGTATGTATTGCAAAAAGATTCCCCTTTTTCGAAAAGGTTGCTAACGACAACGTTCAGGCTGGATTCTTCTCGCGCTTTGCGTTGCGCTCGTCAATGCTGGATCTGGACTAACGGCGCTGTGGGTTCTTCTCACATGTGCAGGCTACATGTTATTTCTGGTCTATGGCGTCCGTCCAGTGTTCGTCTACGTGCTACGCCGGTCACGTGCGCTTCAAGACGGTCCCAGTCAAGTCATCATCAGTCTTACCCTACTCATCGCTTTGGGTTCGGCGTTCTTCACCGGTATCATCGGTGTTCACCCCATTTTCGGAGCCTTCATGGCTGGCCTGATTTGCCCCCACGAAGGTGGTTTCGCTATCAAGGTCGCTGAGAAGATTGAGGATTTGATCGGTGCGCTCTTGCTACCGCTCTACTTTACCCTTTCTGGACTCAACACCAACATTGGCCTTTTGGATTCTGGTATCGTCTGGGCCTATGTCATCGGCGTTGTTGTAGTGGCTTTCTTCTCCAAGTTCATTAGTGCTGCTCTTGCGGCTCGTGGCAGTAAGATGCTATGGCGGGAGTGCTTCACTGTGGGCTCACTGATGAGTTGCAAGGGTTTGGTAGAACTCATTGTACTGGTAAGTGCACGATTTATCCCGTAATCTCGAATTCCAGCACTAACAGTTGCAGAACATTGGTCTAGAAGCCAGAATCTTGAGTACGAGGACTTTCACCATCTTCGTCGTCATGGCCCTTGTCACCACCTTCGCCTCCTCACCGCTGACCATGTTCTTCTACCCTGTCTGGTACCAGAAGAAGGTCGAAGCATGGCGTCGTGGAGAAATCGACTGGGACACCGGCAAGCCTCTCGACGGCGCTGATGGCGCTGGCGACGTAATCCAGTACGAAAAGATGGCCGCCGAGAAGATCCAACGCATGACAGTGTACCTCCGTCTAGACAGCATGCCCAACCTGCTAGCCTTCACTTCTCTCTTCAGCGGCACCCCAGACCTCCTCGCCGCAAAGCAACACCCCTCAAAAGCCATCAGCGAAAGCAAGGAAACCGGGTCTACAGCCGTAGCCGAACAAACACCACCTCAACGCCCCGTAGAAGCCTATGGCCTCCGTCTACTCAACCTCACCGACCGTGGCTCCTCCGTCATGCAAGTATCAGAGATAGAATCCTACACCGCCCACGACCCCGTCGTCAACACCTTCCGTACTTTCGGCCGTCTGCACAACCTCGCCGTCAGCGGCGAAGTCCTGGTCGTACCCGAAGCCTCCTTCGCCGAGACCCTGACGACACGGGCGTCTGACTCGAACCTCCTGGTCCTCCCCTGGAGCGAAACAGGCGGCATGTCGGAACAAACCATCATCGAAGACTCCAACCACAAGGCCCGCAACAAACTCGAAGCCTCAACCTACACGTCCTTTGTCCAGCAAACCCTCGCCCAAGCCTCCACGCCCGTCGCCATCCTCATCAACAAGAACTTTGGCGGCAGCAGCGGTAGCAAGAATAAAGACACCAGGCAACGGCTCAAACTCACCCGCACTTACAGCAACGTCAGTCTATCAAGTACGCGCGACAAAGCCGTCACAGCACCCATTGCAGACCCAAGCCACCACGTCTTCCTGCCCTACTTTGGCGGCAACGACGACTGGACTGCGTTGAGGCTGGTGTTGCAATTAGCCCGCAACCCACACGTCACAGCGACGATTGTGCATTTCGACGTCCCCCGCAACGAAGGATCCGTGGATGAAAAAACTACAATCACCACCACCGCGGTGGGGGAAAAAGGTCACGACATCACTACTACATCTACTTCCACATCTTCCTCACGCGAACAAGACGCAGCCTTCTTCGCCTCCCTCCGCGCCTCTTTACCGATTGACATTGCACCCCGTGTTGTCTTCGAGACTGTGACGTCCACGTCGCCTGTCAAGGATGTCATCGCAAGGGCTAGTATAGAAGTCGGTCAGGCGCCTAGGAACGCTGGTGATCTTATTGTGCTGGGCAGGAATGTAGCGAGGAACGCGGTGCTCGAGAGGGAAGAGGTTGCCAAGGGGAACCATGGCGGTAGCGGCGGTGGGGGTGCCGATGAGATACGGAATAGTTCGAGTACCAGTGCGGCAGCTACGTTGGGTGTGCTTGCGGAGCGAGTGTGGGAGAGCAAGTTGGGGGCTAGTGTGTTGGTTGTTAAGGCGGGGTTGTGAATTGTAAAAGTGATGTGAAATGTGAGATGTGATAGTTTAGTTTGGTTGGTGGCGGCGGTGGCTTACACCACCCACCTCGTATGTGTACCCCAGGCAGGCGCGAATTGATGACTGCTTTTCACCGAAGTTTCCTTTTTGCGTTTCCAATCAGAGGTACACGGGGCAGGAGCAAGCGGGGTGTGGTGAAATATTGAGTATGACTTGTGTGTGTTTTTTAATATACTTGTTGGAGCAAGTGTCTCATGGAAATGTACCATCGAGTAAAAGAGTAACATGCAGGAGTTCGTTGTGCAACAACCGGTGAGCATACCTACCCGATGCTTTGGATGAACAGGACTGAACACCCAACCTAAACCCCCTGTGGCTATAGTCCTCAGCGATTAGCGACAAGGGAGTCGTTTTGGTCGCTTATTGACTTGTTTCAAGAGCAACACTCCACTCGGACAATCCTGGCTTGGGCTCTCTTCACCGGGTCGCCCCGCTCGAGGAAAAAGCGGTTCTCTTCGCCCTTGGTTCTTCAGTCATGACAACAATCAAGCTCAGCAACATACGTATACGAGGGTAAGAAGCCAAGTCGATAATCAACGGTACACACACGTGCCTACTGGGATCATTGACTGGTAACGTGTACGTAACCTTGTTGAACCGCTGCGCCCGGGGCCGCTCCAGGACTAGGAAGAAGTTCGGACCTAATACTCCCGCCGATACACGAGCATCCCTCCCCAGATGTGTCCACGTACAGATACACGCGCCGGAAGAGGAATGGTTGGAGTACGTACTCGATGTTACGTGGGGTCCGTGTCTGAACTAGGTCTACGTCAGCCCTTCCCCGGTCGTGCTGCGTGTCTGTGTGTGGACTCGTAACCCTAGAAACTGATTCACGCTTCTGTGGGAAATGAGTATCATGCGGATTGACAGTTTTGGTTATCCTTGCGGGCAATCGCCAACTGCCGATGGTTTGGCTGGCAGCTTCTTGCAAGTACGTATGATGGTGCAACGAGGCGCACGAGGTTGGAGGTAGTGGACGAGAGGGGCGGGTATTCGTGCAGTGGAACGGGATATACCGGGTTTGGATAATTGGCCGATTAATTAGTTGTGCATCAACCGTTATCAGCTGTCTATATTGTTCCAGATCAAGCCCAGGCCCGGTTGCGGTGTAGGTTCGAAGAAGCTTTTTGATTTCAAGCGGTATCATGTCACGAGGTGGGCGGTAAGCGTACACACGATGGTGCGACAGCATGCCATCGAGTGCAACATTGGAACATGTGGTGCGCGTTGCTCATGTTTCCAGCCTTGCAAAGCATTGGTGGTGCTTGTTCTAGAAGATCGCATGTGCGCCAAGTACGGAACCCAACGACGAGGTAGGCAACAATTTTGTCGCACACACGTCGTAATCGGATTATGACTTGCAGCTGATCGGAGAGATGCACGACCGAGAGACACCGGGCCGCGCATGCACGCATGCGGCATTGGGCTGGAGGCGTGGTGGAGACGGACAGCCCACAGCAAAGGGAAGGTGGATTCAGATGGCGAAAAAGAAAACAGGAAGAGAATGCGATCGAAGGGCAAAAGGCCATTTAGATTTGGCCATGTTGGGTCGGTCTTGAAGAGATTGATGTCGGAAGGCGGTGGTCAGTGTACAGTAGGATTAGTGGGGATTCAGTGGGCTTGGACGGACGCGTGGCTAGCGAACGATCAACATGCCCACCACTTAGGCGTGCCGCAGACGTGACGCTAAATACAAAACTGAGGGCCAAGGGAGATGAGAAGTCAACAGACGAATATTGTAACCGTTTGACTAGCAACTAGCAAAGGAGCGGTGCGCCAAGCCAGGCCGGTCGGTGAGAAGGCGTAGATATTGAGGGTGCTAAGGTAATATGGGGAAAGAGCTCGTCATGGCGACGTGTGGCCCCGAAAAACAAAGTGCATTAGCATGCAAAGAGACAGATTTCTCAATTCTGACTTTGTAAAGGCGTCGTCAATGGGGTAGCAAAGCTTGTATAGTTGCGAGACGGGTGGTGCAAGTCTGGGCGTCGGCCACGAAACCATTGGTGATGTAAAGTTCGGACCTGATTGCGCACGCCGAAGGCCAAGACCAGCGAGTCGAGAGGGTGAAAGTGGTTCACCAAAGATTGCGCAAGCTGCAGTGCGTACCTGCCACTGCCACTGCCACTGCCACGCTTAGCGAACGGGCGCCTGCCCCTGCGTTGGCAGCGTCGGACGGTTGTGGGTGAAGGGTGACAAGACGGAAGGAGTGCAGTTCAGGCTGTTATCATGTAGAGCTTTCGCAATGCGCATCCGCAATCCACAAGGTCGTCGGGAGTGCAAGCGCTCACGCTCGTCCATGTCGCAGCTGGCGGGTCAGGGCTACGCCGATCTGACCGTCGTTACGTGGTTGCAGGTCACGGTCACGGCTGGTCGGTGTTGTGGGTTCTAGACGTGAGGAAGCCGCGACAGGGCCGCGTCAACACAGCCCAAGGCGGCTAGCGCTCGTCGTCGCCCTCTTGCCCCATCCCTCAATCAATTACCCTCGTTCGCACCCGTCCACACGCACGACTCCAGGAAAACATCGACGAACGAGCTTTTTGTGTCTTCCAGCGCCGGATACACGCCTGCAGCAGCAGCTCCCCTCCGCGACCTTCGACAACAGCTGTGTTTCCCAGAATACCTGCGAGGTGGCTGTTTCGTTGCTGCGCCGCTGCATCATCGGGCTGTGCACTGCCAATCCGCAGCCTTGAGCCTGTCTTGCACGCTATACACCGAACACTCCCCGACACCATAACCTCCACCACTGCCTAAACACACGACCACCGCGCACACCCACACTGCGACTAGCAGCTCGCACCTGCCCGTCATGGATCACAACAACAGCGCTCAGCGCTCCGCACACCAGAAAATGGACACTGACAGATTAGCCGCCGAGATGACGGAGCAGTTTCGCCACGTCCTCAGCACAAAGCGAATGAACGACCTCACATCGCGGACTTCACAATCACGATCATCATCACCAGCTCCGCGAGACTTTGTATCTCCCCAGCCGCCCTCGTCGCACGCCGCCGCCCCGCCCACGTACGCATCGCTCAAGAACATTCCACTCGTACCTGAGGCGCCGCGCGATGCACGATCACTGCGATTCAAGAACATGCTGCACTCACTCTCCAACATGCCCCTCCGATGGGAGAACCCAGGACTGCTCGATGAGGCGCTACGCGTCATTCCACTCGAGAAGATCTACGACGAGGCCGAGGAAGAGAGCCAAATTCTGCAGGCCGAGGCCGAGAGCATGGCGGCTGGAAAGAAGGCTGCCTGGGGCTACCAGGACTGCGTTGTTCGCGCACTTCTCCGATGGTTCAAGCGATCGTTTTTCTCATGGGTCAACAACCCGCCCTGCTCGCGATGCTACTCACCAACAGTGGCCGTTGGCATCACTCCACCACTCCCTGACGAGCAAGCACGTGGCGCCAACCAGGTCGAGGCCTACCGTTGCTCACACGAAGGCTGCAAAAACTACGAGCGCTTCCCACGATACAACGACGCTTTTGTCCTGCTCCAGACACGAAAAGGTCGATGCGGCGAGTGGGCCAATTGCTTCAGCATGCTTTGCCGCGCCGTGGGTTCGAGAGTTCGTTGGGTATGGAACGCAGAGGACCACGTCTGGACCGAGGTTTACTCTGTGCACCGCAAGCGATGGATCCACGTAGATGCCTGTGAAGAGGCCTGGGACAAGCCCCGGTTATACACTGAAGGTATGTTTCTTTTCAAGCCCTCGCTTCTGCAGCTACTAACACGTTTTCAGGCTGGGGCAAGAAGCTCTCGTACTGCATCGCCTTTTCAGCTGATGGTGCCATGGACGTCACTCGCCGCTACGTCCGTGACGCTAAGCATGCTGCCGAGCGTAACCGCGCGCCAGAGGCTGTCCTTCTCCACATCATGGATGAGATCCGAGCAACACGACGAAGCAACATGTCCAAGCAGGACAAGTTCCGCCTCGAGGGCGAGGACATCCGCGAAGCCAAGGAGCTCCGCGCCAATGTCATTTCCTCCATTGTAAATGCCGTCAGCAAGTTGTCCCCAGAGGACATCATCAACGGCCAAGTCACCCGCCGCCTGGACCCAGATGCCCAAAAGGCATTGGAAGGGCGAATGAGCGGCAACGCCCAATGGATACGAGCGCGCAACGAAGGTGGACAGCAACAGAACCAGCAAGACCCCCGAAACCAACACCAGCGTTGAAAGCCCTCGTGGCCCCGCTCTACCTTCACTTCACCATCTCCCGGCACCTTTCCATCGCTTCATGCCTACAACGTACGCCGACCGACACGATAGTGCATCGCTCGAGCATGTAGACCCCGATAGAAACCAAGATACCCTTTTCATATCCCCGCGACACTCATTACGCGGACGACAGTCCCGCCTGTAAAACATAGAACTGGGATTCATCGCCACTTCGACTTATTTGCGCCGGCGTTCTGGAGCAACATCCAAGAGACTTTTCCGGTAACCTCTAATGTCTGCACCTACCTCCACAGAGGCATTTCCTATTGTTTACCGCCCCACGGGCGACTGATTTTCTTTGCAAAACTGCATAGTTTACTTCAGCTTCTTTTGTGTGCACGCAGGGTTTTGGCGGCACTGTTTATACACCATTTTGCAATTTCTGTTCACGATTTGCGATATCTCACGTCTTTTTCGTATGTTACGAGCATTTTGGTCATTTGTACGCACAAGGCACGGGTTTTCATGTTTCTAGGCATTCACTGCAATATTGGCACCTCCAAGAGTTGGATGTGTTGTACAATTGTGGTGTGGGAGCCGCGGCTGGAAGGGAGCTGAGGTGTAAGAGGGGTCGACGCGCGTCTCTTTGGGTGACGGCAGCGCCCAAGATGCAGGGCAGGCTGCAAGATCAGTCGAGAAGACGCAATCAGGAAAATCAAAGCCATGATTGGCAATGTTTCTGCAAACCACGTTGAACTACTGGCGCAATCTCGTGAGACATGGGTGACAATGATGATCAAAGTCGGTGGGCGAAAGATTTGCGGGGACGCGCGTTAAGCGCACAAGGTGATTACAGCAGAGACACGGGATGTGATCTCCAGGGTCTACCCGTCCATTTCTCAAACGTCCTACCTCCCCACTATGGTCAAGGCATGTTGTCGATGACGGAGTAGATAAAGCAACGTCGTCGCTCTCTGTTCAAACATGGTTGACTGCGTCTGGGATGCCGCTCGTGATGGTGGGAGAGTGAACGATAGTACTCATCATGTAAGATCAGCACTCAGCACTGTGACATGCGGGCCGTTCGTGTCGCTAATCATTCCTCAATCGGGTTAAGATGTGCTTCGCAGGGGAGATGTGGCCTATAAATAACCACCTATGACTGTTAGACCCCGCCAAGCAAGACTTGGTGTTTCGTCAGCGGCCGAGGGTGACGAGGAACTTTGAGGCTCTGCGACTTTTTGCCTCCGAGGTTTTTCCTCTTCATTTTCCTAGTGCCATGTTGAGGTGCCATCGGAAGTGGGTATCTTTTAGAAAGCTTGGTACCGGTACGTACATGTACAATATACGTATGCCATGGCATTGCGACGAGGCAAGGGTCAGAAAGTGCATGTTAAAGCTGCTGGGGGGAATTACCGGTGCTTTTGAACTGAGGGATGAAACGTCTTCTTTACACGGAACCAAGCTGCTCAGTGCGCATCATGGGCCCTAAAGATGAGGAGTATCAGCCTGAGGTCCAGCCTTAGTCCATTACAATTCTTTGACGATGCAAAAGCAGGATTAATCACGTCGCATAAGCTTGCTCGTCGTCGTCGTACTTGCAAAGCACCAGCCTTGGTAACACGTACGTTGACTGGCACTTAGTGTCGTGGAGCAAAGACTATACTTGTGCACTACTTCCTTCACAGCATAGATGCAGTGTCATCATCTGGGGTCAGCACTCTAAGCCCACCACCGCATGCCACAACCGTCGCAAGCACATTGAGGCTGGTGAAGGCCAAGTAAGCCCGACTACCAGGATAAGCCACCTAGATCCCGCTCGCACGGTCCCTCATGCTCCTCAGCTGTGTGGCCGCTCAGCCCCCTCCAGCCTGGGCACCTAGCCTTGCGCATTTCAGCTTTGCGTTTGAGTGAGAAAGTGTACAAATGCTCAGGTTTGCCCGCTTGGACTGTCACACACATTTCATCTCCAGTCGTTTGCCGTTTTAGCTTCTTTTGCGTATTTGCAACCACGCATCCGTGCCGGTGATTTTGTCCACGAAACCGCGCGGCCGACACGATCGCTACAACTAGCATCTCTTTTCTCCGCTACTGAGTGACATCAGTCCTTCGCATACCCTACCAGCACGCAGCTTTTACCCAAACACAGTACAGCAGCGCAAACATGGGCAAAGTCGGTCGCTTTGCGTGTATTCTCACGCCCATGTGCCTTACCCTCGCATCTTTAATATGTTTTGTCATCGTCATGATGGGCCAAACACCATGGAAGGGTAACAACGCGCCGGCCACCGATCTCGGACGAGAACTATATTTCTTCAGGGTATGTTCTCTACACACAACCGTACACGACTGTTCCCCCCTCTAACATGACACCAGGCCAACACAGCAAACATAACGCTCGACCCGAATGTCATCACGGACAAACTGCCCAAGGGCGTCAAGATCAACAACGACTTCCTCGACGCCATCAGCGCAAAGGCAAACTCAAAGGAACTCAAGGACTTCTACCAAGTTGGCCTCTTCTCCTACTGCGAAGGCGACATTGTAAACAACAAGACGGGCGAGGAGAAGATTACCTACTGCTCCCCTCGCAAGTTCCAGTTCCACTTTGATCCCTTGGCTATCTGGCAGCTCAACAACACAAGCGTGCAGACGCTGCTCGGCGACAAGTACGACAAGGGCATGAATGCGTATGCGAAAGCAGCAGGATGGATGAACTGGGCGTTTGTTATTACCCTGGTTTTGACGATTGTCGAGTTTGTCGTTGGCTTTTTTGCGATTTTCAGTCGTTGGGGTAGTTTGGTTACTACCATTGTTTCTACCGTATGTCCTCCCCTCAACACCACCCAACCCAGCCCCAAACATCATCACAAGAACCCATTTTTCTAACGTTTCCCAGGCCCAAACCCTCTTCGCCCTCGCCGCCGCCGCAACAGCAACAGCAATCTACGGCACCGTAACCGGCGTCTTCAAAACCGTCCTCGAGCCCTACAACATCGACGCCTCAATGGGCTCGCGCATGCTCTCCACCCTCTGGCTCGCCGTCGCCTTCAGCATCGCCTCGGGCTTCTTCTGGCTCATCAGCGTCTGCTGCTGCAGTGGCAAGAGCCCCCATAAGAAGGTTTCCGTCGAGAAGACTCCGTATACGTATGAGCGCGTTTCTAGCCCCGCGTTTGGTGGACAGCAGGGACATCAGATGCAGGAGTGGCCCGGGTCGCATCAGAACAAGGGGCCCGCGGGTCCGACGGCGTATGAGCCGTTTAGGTCGAGGGTTTAGATAACGTGAGGTTTGGTTAGGAGGATGTAAGGAGGGATGTGAGAAGGGGAAGGGGGTGAGGGACTGACTGTTGTTTAACGACTTGTATGACCATTTGCTTTTCTTTGGATTTTTCTGTTCTGCGAGGGTGAGAGGTGCTGGGTCGGTATACCCCGAATGGCGCTTTCTTGCATTTGGGCAACGGTTTTGTTTACGGGGTGTTCTTGCATCTTTTACATGGCGTGTATCGTTATCAACATACCCGGCAGATTAGGGATGAGCGAAACTGAGATGAACAAAACAACATCATATACATATCTATATCTACATCACATCATCCAAAAGCTTGCTGTGCACGATTCGCATGTTCAACACCAACATCTACATGACCAAACACACGCAACCCAAGTCTCGGAAAATCGACAAGGTTAATTTCTCTAACCTAACATGCATACACACACATATACGTAAACACAACCAAAACCCCCTCACTGCTGTTCATGACTTCCCACAAACCTAGGCGGAAGATCCAGATCCCAACTCGGCCGCTCCACCAGCACCACCTCTGGCGCATGAACGCCATCATCCGCACTAATGGGCACAATACCGAGTATAGGGCGGTACTTGAGCGTATGCCACCACGGCTTAGTCTGCTGATCCTCGTCATGACCGTTTTGCTGTTGCTGGTGCTCCTTACCGTCTTGCGTGTTTGCCCTACGTAGACTAGCCAAGGGATTCGCGTCGCCCTCGGCATCGTCGTCGTCATCGTCCTCAGCGTCTGATTTACGCAGCGGGGCATTAACATCGATCCACTTCTGGCGTGCCTTTTCGTCGTCGTCGGTCTGGAACTTGCGCATTTTGGTGACGGGGGCTTCTTTGGGGGGAACCGCGTCACCAGCGCCGCTGTTGTGTTTGCTGACAAGGTCGCGCTTACGCTTCTTGCCCGCGTGCTGCTCGGCGTCGGAGACGGTCGTGTTGAGGTCTTTTCCGAGGTCGAACATGAAGAGCCATTTTTCGCCGTAGAGCCACACGCGGCGTTGGGAGGTGGAGGCTGATATGTCCCAGATACAGCCTTTGGCGGGGAGGTCGAGTTGCTTGTATTCGCGTGGGTAGCTGGAAGGCGGGTTTCTTCGCGACCAGTCGGAGAGACGGCCGGACATTACGTCAAAGAGGTAGAGTTGGTGTTCTGCCGAGACAAGGAGGAGGTGGTAGTCGCCCGTGGGTAGCTCGTGGGAGTGAGGGTGCGGGTTTTGTCTCGTGGGGTGGACAGCGGGGTTGCCGTTGGGTACTGGTTGAGTCGAGGCGTCCGGGGTGGGTTGGAAAGAGAGTAGAACGGGCGTTGCGTCGAGACGAGGGAGGAGGTGACCAGAGGGATTTCTTATCCAGTGCTGGCCGAGGTATGTTATTTGCTCATAGGACTCTTCCTCGTCGTCTGAACCATCGGCATCTTCCATAGCTGGGCTTGAATCATCGACGTCAATCTCTGGCGCGGTAGCATCTTCGTGCCCTTCAATGACCCATGTATCCACATAGCCAGCCAGGTCAACCACTGCGAAGACGTTGCCATCTTTGGAAAAGTTCGCATGTGCGATGGATCGTTCGTAAGAACCCGAGGGGCCGCTCAGTGAATTGTGGGTAGTCATATCGCGATCGAGTCGATAGAGAGGCTGTACTTTCTCCAATGCGCGAGGCATATCTGTGGGATCGTTTGTCCGCACTATCCTAACCAGCCGTACCTCGTCGGTTGCTAGGATTGCTGCAAGCCATGTGCCGGCTGCGGACATCTTTAGTGATTTTGCACCCGCAATCGAAGGCATATCGAGCTTTCGTATACGTAGACCGGCACCAGCTCCTGCCTGTGGATGTAGCAGCTGGAACAGCTTAACCATACTGGCTGTTGCAACAGCCAAAAGCCCACCATCTCCGGAAATCGATACCGATATGATGTTCTCCTCTCCTTGTAGAGCCAGGCGTGCGACCACCTTGGGCTTCTCCGTACCGTCATCCTGGGGTTTGACACGCCATATCCGCACTTCTGTATTCCACCAACTGACCAACAACCTTGCGTCGGGGGCGCTCGTCAGAGGGGGTGTAGGAGGCAAAGCTGGAAGACCACGGCTTAGTTCCCTTCCGAATTGACGGATAGGGACAACAATCGGCTGTGTGTCGATACCTTTTTTAGTGTTAGTTTAGCCATTTTCAAATCGAAGGGGTTGCCATACCTCCGGTGACCACAACGCTGAGTTTGTTGCCTTCGTATGTCGCCATGGTTTTGACATCATGCTCATGATGCCTCTGGTGTGACACCTTTCGCCATTTTCCGCTCTGACCAGATTGTCCTTTCTTGCTTGTGTAGAGACAGGTGCGGCGATCCATACCAGCACTGAAGATGCTGCATCCGTCGCGCGTTACAGCGAGATCAAGTACATCCGCCTCGTGTCCAGATATCCTCTGCACCTGACTGTAGTTCTTGCCATTGTAGATCCGAATATCACCAGTCGAGTCGCCAGATACGAAATCGCCGTTTGGAAGGCACTTAACCTTCCACACCAAGATTTCCTTTGGTCCGCCACTGGGACCGCTACCTAGGGATATGCTTCTGATGACGTTGCCATTCCTCGTATCGAACACTCGAATCATGCTGTCCGCAAATCCGGCCAATACAGTGTTCTGATCCTTGTATGTGATACTCAGTGCGCGCGCCTTCTTGTTCGTGGCGCGAGAAACGAAGCGCTCGAAGGTGAGGTCGTTGTCTTCTGTAGATAGTAAAACGATTGTTCCATCTGCGCAACCAGCGACTAGTTTCTGGCGCATATGAAGTTCTTTTGCGCCTTTCGCCATATTCTTCTGCCTAGGCTGAGCAGCGAAGCACCAGACTTCGCTGTGGTTACCGTCGGAATGGCGCGCAGGAAGGCCGGTGATCAAATCCCATTCTGTAACGCTACTGGAGTAGCCGATACTGAAGAGCCTCAGGCGCCCGGGCACAATCTTTCCATGCGCATTGCGCTCATCCGGCTCTTGAGTCCAGGCAAGCCCTTCGACGCTCCTGTCTTTACCCCCATAAAAGACCTTCTCTTGCAACCAAGAACCCTTTGCTGGGTTCCATATCTCGATGTTTCCATTTGCGCGTCCAATCGCGAGTCGCAGAGAATCTTGTTCTTGCTGCCCGTGTTCGGCTTCCGGGTGTGAAAAGGCGAGCGCGTTGATTGCAGAAGGCGGATAGGGCACGAAACGGGAGCGGTGAATGTCCATGATTGGCGCTGGGAGAGTTGTTGCGCCTCGTTATATGGTAATCTACGCGCACGTCTACAGGCTGAGCGCTGACATCAAGGCAATACAGACATTGCGACGGCCGAGCTTGATCTTGAAGTTCTCTCGAACTCTTGGCGAGACGACTTTTCGGTGGGTCTGACCGGAGCTCGGTCACAGTTTTTCCGAGCTATCGACGACCTCCGCATCTCCTCCGCAGCAACCTCACGATATTATCCACTGCAATGGCAAAAACATCGCAACAGAACCAGCTGGACACTCAGCTGTTTTCTCAATTGCTTCATACTATGCTCCTGAACATTCACTCGCACCATTTAGTCCCTGTACCGCAGCCTTGTGCTATAACCTGACTCCGCGCTCCACGAGCATACCCGAGAGCCATCACGCCGGTTATCGACACGTTGAGCACTATAAGATAGCGACCCTCACCTCACAAACATACGGGAGACTTTGCTATAATCAAGGTGTTACACTTGGACGGCAAGGGAGCAAAGGAGCAGGTGGGCATCCCACGCTGTGCCAAATATTGCATGGCTGGTTTTTGCAGTAAGGTGCATTTGTAGTTGTTACACGCAGCTGCTGTGGCTCTAATTCAGACCATATCATGCAAGCAAAAACAAGACAACTAGCTCTGTTGAGGCCCTTGAACGCTGCGGCCAAAAATACTCGCGGTGGAACGAGACTATACATGATGGCATTGAAAGTTCGACAAGCGCATTGCGTCGATAAGCATAATGCACTCTACGTAGAGTTCTGGGCACACAATCATGCTATAGATATACTAGCACATCAATTCGCAATGGTTCTGGCCTTGTCGTAATGATTATTGCACTTCGATACTGACGTCGGAGGGGCGTTGATCTACATTTTCAATAGCCCCAGCACCGCCTCGGCAAAATGTCGCGACGGGCTACCTGTTGAGAATAGCGACGGCAATATAGCGCGAGTCAAGACTAGCTTTGGCGCCCACGGGCGGACCGAAATCATCGTTTCAAGAACATCGTCATGACAAAACCGTTGCTCTAGAAGCGTTGGTGGCTGAACGCACGTGGGAGCACCGCCTACGGGTGTGCATGCCGGGGCTTCCGTTGATGGTGTTGTGAAGCGTCAATTCGGGGCATCCCTTCGCTACCAAAGTCTGTTAGGCTTAGGAGCATTAATTGGATTTAGTTTGGCTAAGTTTGCACAGCTGAAAAAGCAATCCGAGAGCACTAAGGGGTTGCCCTGGGTAATAATGATTTCAAGGGCACACGACCAGTCAATATCGGAGGTTGCGTTAAGTCGAGATGAAGGCTACGATGATCATACTCAGCACACCCACAAGTGTGTCATGGTACCTTGCGGTGGTGTGAACCATAAGGTTGCGCGTATGCGGTACGCGTTCAAGGTCTTGTTTCAGGGGTTTCGTCAGGGCTAAATAACCAAGACGTGTCTGGAAGCAATTGTGTTGATGATCTCGCGATGAAGCAAAGGTCGAACCTTGCCAATGTCAAGTCTTACGCTTGGACCGTCGAGCGGGGTATGTCATAGTAAGCGTTATCACTGCGGGCCTCATGATACGTGCGACAGTCAGTCAGCCGTGAAGGCGTCGGAAGATTGTGGTGGCGACAGGCGGGAGCCACGTCCCCTCACGTTGATTGATGCAGCAGAGCGGATGTTGAAGTATTGAAACATGCAGCATGCTTCCCGCAGCCATTTCCACAGGCAGTTTAAAAGTCTGCTCATCCTCGGTGGTGCAAGCATGCACAGATGTTCTGACAAGTGCATGCAGTGTCCAGGTAACGCGCTAAAGCGATGGAGCTGGAGGATAGGGATCCTTCCACGTCTCGGCGCCTGGTTGCTCGGTGCAGCGGTTGACGTCTTGTGATACCGACAAACATTTTTCTGCCACTGATCCGCTTCTTGACGAATTGATGAAAAAGTCGGAGCAAATTTGCGTACAAGTACGTACAAGTAATGGAGCTGACAGTCAAGATGGGCCCACAATCAAAGTGAGGTGGTCCGCCCGACACAGGCGAGCACGGAGTAAGATGAGAAAATAGGCTGCATTTCCAAGGTTTCGTCGCGTGCGCACAGCTCAAGCACTTTTGGACGCGTTTTCTTCGTGACGAGTGACATAATGGCTGGGTCCTGGCCGTGCTGAGGTGCAGTGGTGGCTGGGGGACGACACAATTACGGAGGTCGGGAGAGCTGCTAGCTGCAGCGACAGGCTGAGGCAAGACGGTTGGAGGATCAACATGAACATGGCCGAGTGGCCGTGGCCGTGTCGTGTCGGCATGGTGCTTTTTTACTCAGATGATGAACACGCAAGATTGCGCTAACACTAACATGCATGGCTGCGAGATGATGGGCCAAGGCGCATGTCGATATCCGAGGACGCATCTCATCGTAATTATCTGCCAGACGGGTTGCGAAACGCGGTAGATTGAGCAGCATAGGCTGATGGAGACATGAAGCTGGGGGGGCGCTGACATCACGTGTTTGCTGACAGGGTGAAGCCCTGTCTTGATGCAACACCTGTGTGTGTGGGCGACAGCATAAGAGCAACAGGTAACAGGTAACAGGTAACAGGCAACAGATGCGAGTTATATGTGGGGATGCGGCCGCATATGCTTGCACTTGCACCACCTCGACACCAGACACGGCTGATGAGGGCAATGCACCCGGGGAGAAAGCTGAGGCTCGCCTAATCTTAGGGAGCCGCAAACCCGCATGCTTCCTTACTCAAGATGCCTCATGCATAATCAAAAAAAATAACTGTCCACGCTGCCCGCACCATCACGGCGTCAAGTCAATCGTTGCTTCTTATGATGGTGATGGGGTAGGTCATGTGTTTGCATGCGGCGCAACAAAGCCCTCGTAATAGATGACCCGGTCGTATCAGCCAACCCCCCGCCACTGTCCAGCAAGGGAAGGTCTACGGCTGATTTCTGGAAACTTCGCAGTCGAGGCTTGCCAGAAACCCACCGAGTCGCCCAATTTGTACGAAACCAAGTTAGCTTCCGAGACGCGTTGCTAGTAAAAGCTATCAGAACGCGTGCATATAACCAGATTACGGGGCGCTAGACGCTACTATCGAGCAGCTGCAGCCTCGGATTACCAACTGCAATCCCCGTCATGATGCCAGAGTGAGAGTCGCCCCAAACCATGGACATCTCCAACGGGCGCATCGTTTGCCAGTCCTGCAAGGGACCGTCTGGACGTGGTACACGGCCGATTGACATGCGGTGCCGACGTTGCGCACAAGTCCCCTATTCAGCAAACAACCATGTCGACCAACATGAGCAGAAGCCGTGGAGTCGACCGTGGCCTCTTGAATGAATCCACCAAAATCTCCTCCTGACTGTAGATGGTATTGACAGCCCCCCAACACGACCCGGTCACCCAAGTCGACCACAAACCGTGTGCGCGGGCAGTGTTCGCGGTGCGACGCGTGACAGGGATGCTGCGTGCCGGCAAGCTTCTTTTTATGTGTTAAAAGGAGGAGCCTTGCAACTCTCATCAATAGTAAAATTATGACGATATGGGACCCCAGGACTCTGCTTGGCGCGAGTCTAAACTCAGCTGTCCGTCCCTATGTCAGGGGAACCACGACTCGGCCTTACTGCAGCGTAGGACTGAGCCCACAGCGCGCGCGCACAAATAGTCGCCGCTGCAGTCACAGTTCCTCGTCGACGCGGCTTGGGCTGCGCGGGTGAGTGACGGCCTGACCAGCGTGGTGGTGGTCAATGGTGGCTGTTCTCCTCGCCTGTCCCCGCTCGAATCAGGGCCTTGTCCAGCTCCGGTGAGGCCGCTCATGCAGAGCTATACAAGGTTGCAGGATGGGCCTACGATCGCTGTCCAATGTATCTGTCGCCTGCGCACAGGAAACAAGTTGCTTCGGACACGGCCAAGACCTGCATAGGGCACAGTGGCCGGCACTCAGTCTCGCTGACTGCTAGTGGACTGCATTTGACCCCCATGTCCAAGCAGAGACAGCGTCCTGAAGCCCTGGCGCGTGCACAGCAGCGGGTGCGAGCGACAGCGGGTGCGAGCGACAGCGGGTGCGAGCGACAGCGAGCGGGAGCAACCATTCTGGTTATATTTGCGGAAGATGCGGACGGGACTAGAACGCGTTCAATGGGCGTGTCTCCTGGACGAAGCTTCCCAGACGCAAAAAACGCCATGGATGATCCACAATGGGGCACGACGGCGGCGGAACACGCATCGGTTGGCTGGGCGCTGTGGGCGTAGGACGTTCCCTGTTCCCAGCTGTACATGTTGCCGTGTATCAGAATCAGGTTAGCTCAACCTCCTAGGCCATGCTCGCCCAGTCGTTTTCTCGAAGCTGCGTCCGTCTGTATCGTGCTCTCTCTTACCTCCTCACCCTCCTTCTCATACCTCTCTCTTTAAACTACGGTCGAGCACGGAGAATTCTTGGATCTGATGTGGTGCTGACGATTTCGGCTCCTATCTTTCCATAAAACTCCCATCTCCTGCTCCCGGTCCCCAAACACCCGACCGCCGTCTCTCCTCGAATAGGACCGTGAAGCGTAATAGACTCTCTGTGCCTTCCAGCTTTATTCATCCGCCGACTGCCTACCTCGTCTCTCGCTGGACGTAGAGATAGCTGAGAACAAGCGCCCTCGCTGTACTCTAGTCTCTTGCTGCCTCTACAGTCGTCGCCCCAGACTTCTGTGCTACCAGCCTCGTGTGTGACAATCCCTCGGTAGGTGCTTACTTTTCTCCTGTTTGAACTCCGCATGCTTCCGCTAGTACCTGGATCCCGTTTACGACAAGTGTTCAATGCCATGGCCCGACCCGATTTGGAACCAGGAGATTGTCTGTCTGGCAGTGCAAAATATCGCAGGATGAGTGAGGATAAGGATTGGGCGAGCCAAGGGTGAGGAATTTAGGTATGAGGTCTGGGGAATGGTCTTGGACTATCGGCTGCATGCCACACCATCGGATGGCACCTTCCTTCTACAACGTCGATAAGAAACCGTCTCGCCAATACCACCACGCTTCGCTTCACCCAAGATTGCATACCACGCCAGCATCTCTCATCATGACCCACGCGACGGCTTCACCTCGACTGCAAGCTGCCAGTGTGCTACTGCGCAATGGGAGACTTGCCAAAGGGCTATACTGTATCGATTGCGCCTCGCCGGCTCTTACACCGCCTATACTTTCGCCTATCGTCAGGGTCATATCGCCACTAGGGGTATGCCTACAAACGCCACGCCGCCTCCACACCGGATTTCTCCGCCCCATTCCACTACGCGTAGTGCTGACTACCGTCATTTCAATTCACTGGCCGGACCGCTACCAAGCCGCCCTTGACAACAGGGGCTCCGCTCTCATATATGAACAACTGCTGACAACATCTTGACATAGATCGTCCACTTCCAGCTGCACCTGTCTCCGCAACTAGCGCCGCATAGGTCGTGAGTCAGTAGTCGCCTTCACTTCGACCGATAACTTGCTCACAACCGCCTAGATACTGTCGCCAGCACTGGGATCTTTGCATTCCATCTCTTGGCGATTTACCCCTACCCGGCGGACTCGTTAGCTCGTGCTCTGCCCCTACGACCTCCCTTCTCACCGTGGGAACAATACGAGACCGCATACATCGCCCTGTTTTCTGGATGCCATTAGCAAGGGACTCTTTTTCTCCGACTTCTTCAGCTGTCTCTTTGGTGTTTTTACACTCCGTTCACTCTTTACCCTAATTGTATTAATTCTACAAAGGTATGTGCCACAGTCACGGCCTCGCTTAACCCGAAGTCGGAGGTGCCTGACTTGGACGCACGCTAATGCACCTGTTCCAGGCCCGTCAACCATATACTCGCCCCTCAAGCCACCGAGAATCGCCAACCACGGACCTTGCTTTACATATCAACTAATCACCCTCTTTGTACCAGTTGCCTCCAGGCTGCCACTCTCTAGACCGGCTCATCATTTGACGCCATCCACTCACTCACAGCGAACGTATCAACACATCGATCGTCCAACCACTAACCACGTCTATCCCGGAGACCTGACGACTACTATTTCGACACTTCATCAACAAGATGGCGTACTCCCAACAATCCCAGAGCCGTTACGGCCAGTGCGACTCATACTTTGTAGAGTCACATGATGACGGCATCTACGCTATGCGAGCCGAAGCTAGAGAACGCCACCGAGCAGTATCAAAGATGCAGCAACGGGCCATCGCTGACGAGCTTTCGAAACTAACGGCTGATGAATACCAAGAAGACATAATGCAGCACATGATGCACATGGAGGTCAGTGATTGGAGGAAGATGATTACCGAATGCACCGCTAACCAAGCCCAGTCACAAACCTTGCCCGATGTCAACTCCATTGACATTCAGACCGAAATCCAGTGGTTCATGCGCCCCTACCTCCTTGACTTCTTGGTTGAAGCTCACGCCGCCTTCCAGCTGTTGCCCGAGACTCTCTTCCTCGCTGTCAACCTGCTCGACCGCTACTGCTCGCGTCGTGTCGTCTACAAGCGTCACTACCAACTTGTTGGCTGCGCTGCTCTTCTCATTGCCGCCAAGTACGGCGACAAGAAAGACCGCGTCCCTACCGTGCGGGAGCTGAAGTCGATGTGCTGCTCTCTCTACGACGATGAGATGTTCACCCAGATGGAGTGGCATGTTCTGCAAACTCTCAACTGGGTCATCGGTCATACTACTGTTGATGCATTTCTCCAGATTGCTTTGTTAGAGGCCCCGTACGATGCTGAAGTTGAACACATGACGCTTTACATTGCTGAAATTGCTCTCTTCCATAAGGAATTTGTCTCGACGCGACCATCGGTTCTCGCCCGCTCTGCTCTTGCCCTCGCGAGGTGTGTCTTGTCTCGACCCCAAGCACGAAACAGTGAATGGGCTGGTGCCTACGATCCCCAGACGGTCATTGGCCTTTCCAACCATCTCTACCAGCCGTCTCCCGTACTTGCCCGCAAGTACGCCTCGATCCACCTGTCAGCCGTTTCCGCTACCGTCGAAGAGTTCCTACAGCGACAAGCACAGATTGCGCGACGAGGGACCGGCCCGCCGACACCCCCACCGACTGTCACCATCGATGAGCCAAAGCCTGCGTCAGGCGCCTATGTGCCCCAGACCCCTAACAAGAACCCTTATGGATCTGTCATGCACAACGGATGTCTTACCCCGCCAATCACCCCCGAGTCTGAGCAATTCACCTACGGTCATGTTGTAAAGTCGCAGCCTGCTTCTCTATACCCCACGACGCCCACGCCAGAACATGCATCGAACGGACAACACAATGGGCAATACTACCAGAGCCAATATCTCCACCCCCAGCACATGTAAACGATGACCCTCGCTGGGCAGTGGCTGTATATCCTTCACCGTCGAAAAAACTCAACTGTGGTGGACCACTTTGACAAGTCATCGTGCGTTCCGTTGTACCAAAAATATCTTGTGTGAGAGCGTCATAGCGTTGGTCTTGTTTCTCTAGCATTTACAAGCGTCTGTTTTTGTCACATTTGCCATTTTCAAGACGCCCCTTTTTCTTTCGAGCAACTTTCTTTTGTCTAGGTCCCGACCAAAAAAATTATACAGTCATTCCACCACTACCTAATGTCTCACTCGGCTTACACAGTCGGCGTAGGCTGCGGTTGGTGGAGCCCAGGTCAGGTCCCGACAACCTTCCTTTCTGGATATAACATCCATCTAATACGGGTTGTTTGGTTCCTGGGCCCCCGGGCACGAGGGGAGGAAACACGCGGCTTTTCAGGCTGAAATTGGTACACAAGCAAGCACAACTAGGCTCACTCGCAATTGTTGTTTGCTTAAGCGAGCAGAGATACCCTTCCTTTCTCCAATTCCAAACTTTTTTGTCCTGGCTTCTTGTTTTGATTGTTTGATGTCCTTCCCCCATCTCCTTTTTGCACATGTTGAGGTGGAAAGGTGAAAAAAGGCGCGTGTTCATGCTATAGGCATGGGTGATGTTTAGATTGGCAGGGCTCCATCATATTGTACTGGACGGCAGGGCTGACAGGGCTACGAGAAGAGCATCCTTAGTTTATAGAATTGGTTCGACCAAAATCAATGAGTTGGTATTCCACGAACGCTTTGTTCTCGTGTTTCTGTTTCAGCGCACCGTGTCTTCCTGGGGACATCAACCTGGAATTGGCGAGCGGATTCTATACACCATGCGCCGCAGGGTATGTCAACTCGCCACGCGTTTCAAAATAAGTAATGCCATCGCGACTTGCTTAAGATTGCCTCGCTCTGCCTCACGCTCAACGAGCACTTACCTGCATGTTCATCGTTTGCAGACGCCGGCGACTATGCCTCTAGTGAGTACAAGGCGGCAGTGCGGTCCTATCAACGATTCCAAGACACTAACCGCTCAAGCTCTCCATCACCACCACCGGACCATCCCTAGGGGCTTACAGTCTCCTCTCACCCTATAGCGACGATGACACAGCCTTTGCCCATAACACGCTCTGTCCGCGATATGCAGAGTTAGACCCTACGTCGGCGCCACCGTCGCCCGCATCCATCGAGTCGTTTGAAATCTTGGACAGCATACCATGGCGGAGGGGCTACATCTCACTAGACACACCTGCAAGGCGCGGCAGCACCACACTATTAGAGCGCTGGATGAGGAACAAACTCCGCGCCATTGCCATGCTTTTCCTCGTAGCACTTGCTGTAGCCGGCTGTATCTTGGGCGGATACCATCTAGCCGTGTCCAAGGCTTCGAAAAGCAACAACTGAGGCGCACAGACAAGACGGCCTTTGTCCTAGCATATGACAGAATCAGCGCATCATGGTGCGCGTTTTCCAGGGAGAGGTTGGGGAGGTGAAGTGGGGGCCGCCAAATGGGACCGGTCGCCAGGCACGTAGTCTTCCTTGCTAAGTGTTGATTTTTGAGTTTCGGCATCTCCATCACGTGTCGACTGTAAGCCTCAGCTTGCCCAGGTCCAAGGCCCCCCTCCCCAAAGCAAAAGAATGACAGGCACAAAACACGTAGTGGGCGCGGCGGGGTCCGGAATGCCCGAGGTCAAAGATGCCTTGCAAGGAACATCCCTTTTAGCCAGCTGAGCCCGACTTACGCCAGCGACAAATATCGCCGGTGTTCCGCGGGGCGAGTGAGTGAGCGGAGGAAGCAGCGCGAGAGGCAAAACGACTACGACTACGACGACGTGTTGGATGGTGGTCAGACAACTGAGACTGTACAAGGAAAGGGATCACCACTGTAAATATATCTTGGCTGTGTAAGGAACGAGGGTTGGCCACGTTCGCCGGCGAGATACGATGCGATTATCGTCCGATCTTTGGTGGTTGCGTTGGCGCGCAAGGCTGGGATAGCCCTTTCTGACGGCGTGGCTTGCGTTACGAATACGGGGTCAACGTTACGCGTCCCTGTTTGCTCGGAATATGCCCGCGCAACGCGTTTCAACTAGTGCTGAATCGATGATGGATGAGATGTTCAAGATGGTAAACCCCGCGGAGTGCTTGTTCACATAAGTTTTAGTTTGGACACGTGATGTTGTGTCGTGTCTTGAGGTTCATTATCGAAATCACGTGCTACGTGTCTTATCGCGATTGCGATAGTTGTAGCTTGAGAGCACAACACCTCAACGAGTAGACTACAAAACAGACTCACTTCAGATGTATGATAAACAGTCATCATATCAGTCAAATGATGATATAACAAATGTCTGAAGTCGATAGCAGCAAGCCACTGCTCTCTTCCTCCCCGCTATCACGTACCCCTTCTCCCATGCCTCCCGCATCAAGCAAACGCGCAATATGGCCACTAGTCCTACTTCTCGTGCTAGTCCATCTATCAGCAGTTTTGTACACACTGCCTCTCAACAGAGTCATAGAGCTACGGCTGTGCCAGGAGCACTATGAACGCAACGACCCGTCGCTCATTCAGCCAGACGGGTCGATACCAGAAAAGCTGTGCAAGATTGATGATGTACAGCGACGTTTGGCTTGGTTACAGGGGATTATGGAAACAACACTTGTTGTTTGTGGTATGTGATAGTGACTGCAGCAAATTTGCAAATCCCTAGCCTTGTGACTGTGCCACGGGGTAATCAGGGGTGTAAAATGGCTGACACGAACTACTAGACTTTGTCGTGACAATACCATTTAGCTTCGTCGCTCAGCGTTGGGGGATCCGAGTTGTACTCTGGTGTAATCTCATACCGAGGGTTTTCATGAGTGCCTGGGCGGTTGTGGTTGGTATGTGTTTCCGCTCTATGATTACCATAGGAAATATATCCTGATTCTCGCAACTAGGCCGTTATTCACACATCCTACCAACGAAAGCTATTATCGCGGGACCTTTCCTCAACGTACTGGGCGGCGAATGTGTATTCCAATCCACAATCTTTACCCTAACCTCCGCGCTGACAAGCGAATATGTGCAGCGGTAAGAAACACACCCAAAGCCATCTTTCCCAAAACCTAACAAAACATCTCAGTGCATCCTACTTCTCCTACATCAGCTCAACATCCTACGTCGTCTCCTTCATGGGCCCAACCCTAGCGTCCTTTACCATGAGCACAAATCTCTGGCTCCCCTTCTGGCTCAACATGCTCCTTCTAACCTGCGCAATTCCCACCATCCTCCTCCTCCCCGTTACCAAAAGGACCCCAAATATTCTTTCAACTCCACACGGCAGCATATCCAATGCCCACACAGAAGAGGAATCCGGTCCTCTTCTCGAAACCACAAATCCCAGTCCGGATCGCTACACCACGGCATTCGAAACGCACACCAGCATCGTCCAGAGTATAACGCAGTCTGTACGCAAACTATGGCGATTGGTGATTGGGCGGCGGAAATTTCAGGTTTTGCTTTGCTCGTTCTTTCTCACGGCGCTGGCGAGTTCGGATACCAAACTTCTAGTGCAGTATATTTCGAAGCGGTATGAGTGGACGTTTGCAGAGGTAAGCGATTGATTTTTTTTCTAAATAGAACTTTACAGTTTCAACTAACATGTTCTGTTGTAGGCGGGCTACATGCTCTCAGCCAAAGCACTGGTAAACTTCACGTTACTAGCAATCATAATACCGCGTATCATCCACACGTCAATGTCTACAAAAACCGTGCATGGCTCCGAGGTTCGGCTTAACATTCTCGGGGCGGAGGTAAGTATCATAGTTTCTGTGCTTGGCGTGCTATGTGTTGCAATGGCTGCGAAGTTTTGGATGATGCTTACTGGTAAGTTGTGTTATTTTTAAGGTATTCTTGGTTCACACGGGTAGCTAATACTGTTAGCGCTCATCATCTATGCCTTGGGGTCTGCACTACCGGTGTTTACCATGTCGTTAGTCAAGTCGCCGCTTATCGCGTTGGCGCACTCGGATATCCAGGACTTTAGCATTGTCATGTTGACTAAGACGCTTGGGTCTTTGGTTGGGGCTCCTTTGATGGCTGTGTTGTGGGTTCAGGCGATCAAGATTGGGGGTTTGGGGTTGGGATTGCCGTATTTTGTGTCTGCTGTGAGTGAAGATGATATTTGAGATGGAGAAATAAGCTAATCGTTCTTGCAGTGTATATATCTCATGGCTGCGTTCGTCATTTCACGCTTGAGATCTTGAAGGCACGCTCCCGTGCCAACAATCAATGTCAAACTATCCCATCGTTGTTTGCGTCACAGAGCACCAGATCAGACGAAATTCTAGTCAGGTTTCATGTATTATCTACCAAGTATAGGTGAATCATTACCGAGCTGTAGTAGCGCGTTATGGTCTTGAGTGGGCGAGCACGACTAAGCTGAGCCTGGTTCCTGACAATCCCCTTCTCTTTGTTACGCGTACCAGCCACACGCCCAACGACCCCAATTATCTAGAGGATCCTTGGTACTAGCCACGCTGTATTTGATATCTGAGAGACCTCTTGATGAGAGAACTATAATGTTCGGCACCTGGCCACCGCAGCGGGGCTTCGTGTGGCCAAACCCCTTGGCGTGGGGGGTTCGTTGCACAGTCCGCAACAATCAATTAAGTGGGTCCTAGAAGGTTCAGATTGGATTGATTGATTACCGCTTTAAGCCTAGTAGTTACCTATAGGAGTTTAAGCCCTACCTAGATAGGTAAGTGGGTCTAGGAGAGTGACCGGATTGAATTGATTGTTGCGGAGTCTAGTTCGTTGTCAGTCTCTATTTGCGTTAGTATATAGTTATATGCATTTTGTTATAGTATAGTGAAGTTATTAAACACACTTACGCAAAACCGAGTTGAGTCTGCCGGGTAATTGAAGCCGGTGGGGGGCAAGCCAAAGTCATGATTGTTGCTAGCACAAGCATAATATTGCTTTGCTAGTGCATGACTTGAGAAAAGAGCAATCGCTAGACCCGCAATCGACTTCATTGTGTGGAAAGAGCCAAGTAATGTGCTGATTTCGGTGCTTGTGGGCAGGAAATTCGGTTGCTTCGGGGTGCGAATGTGTGATTCAGACGATATTCTGGTGGAGTGTTGTAGGCTGGATGGACGGTGTCGTGGAGGAACGTCTTACCGTACCTACAGACAGAATAAATGCCCGAAAACTTGTAATTGCCGAACAACTACCCAGGCCTGAGCCGGTACCGTGTCCAACAGTCAGCTCAAAATACGGTACCGATGCTGGTACCATGGTACAGTCGACCCGAGGCACTCCGCCCCCCTCCCAGAAAAAAAACTACCGCATCCAAAAGTCTTCCAATGACTACATCGACGCAGCGAATTTGCGATCAAAGAGAACCCCTAGCCAACAAAGTCAATGTGTGGTAGTGAACGCTTACCAGCAGCGACCAAAAGGTATGTTGATAATCTGTAAGCACTGAAGAACTACCACTCTTCTTGCCGCTTTTAACCCCTGAGGCTAAGTTTGGCATTAACACGAGCTTTACGATTTTCTGACATCTACATTGATGGTTATGTACGGAGGTGCCTGTCAAAAGTTTGCCCCCCCCCCCCCCCCCCCTTGTCAGAGGGCTATAAACACTATTCCAAATTCGGTAGTTGCTCCGATTGTACGTGGCCTCTGCTCACATCACAAAGCGATCGCTTTTGACAAACTACCTAACGCTTTTTATCAAATCCAAGCCTTACAACGAATTACAGTGCTGCGACTCGTGCTCTTGCTGTTTCTCTTAAAGCAACAGGTAAAGGCAACGGCGAGATAACCGACTTAACGGGTATAGAGAAGCGTACGCTTAACAAGATATACGCCCGAGCGATTGAGCGTGGATTTGACCTAGCGGAACGTCCACTCAACCTTCAGGACGAGCATGTACAAGATGCACCTCGATCTGGCCGTCCGTCAAAGCAGACTGCGGATACGTCTTCTGCTGTAGTGCTTACAGTACGCCGTGATCGCTATAGAAGGGAGAAATTATGTACTGACATTGCTGGTATGCTTAGAGAGAAAGGGATCGAAGTCTCAGCAAGCACTGTTTATCGTATTCTTAAGAAAGCTAGGTTCAGAAAGACGAAACCGACAAGGAAGCCTAGGTTGACGAAGCAGATGCGGGACGATCGACTTAAGTAGTGTTTAGAGCATAAAGACTAGACTCTTAAAGACTAGAAGAATGTAATTTGGTTAGACGAAACGAGTGTGGTATTACTCCATCGACGAGGTGGCTATCATGTGTGGCGTAAGGCTGATGAAGCTTTTATACGAAGCTGTATTCGAGAGCGTTAGAAAGGCTATTCTAAGTTTATGTTCTGGGCTTGTTTCTCCTACGATAAGAAGGGGCTATGCTATTGCTAGATGCCTGAGATAATAAAAGACAAAGAAAAAGCTAATAAAGAGATAGAGGAGATGAATAAGAGCCTTGAGCCGCTAATGAAAGAGCAATGGGAGCTTAATAATAGTATGCGTCGACTTAATCTATGAGCAATACCTGGCTGAAAGCCTTAGTGGCGATGGAATTAGAAGAATGGCAAGCTAGCTCGTGGTAGAGGTTCTAGCATTGATTGGTATTACTATTAAAAAACGATTCTTTAACTAAAGCTACTGCCCTTTGCGCCAGACTTGCTATCAGTCAGGTAACTCAGTTAGAACTGACTGAACTGACTGCCAAGACTCAGTTCAGTCAGTCAGTTGTTAAGGCTGCTGGACGTCAGTTCAGTCAGTTCAAGAAGCCTCTAGACTGACTGAACTGACTGACGTTGGACTGACGTCAGCCATTTTAAGGCCGTATTTTGCAGCCGTGATAGCCACTTCTGGTGTTGTTTGAAAGCGGCGACAAAAATGACGCTAGTCATAGATAGGCATGCACTAGTCCTATATAGGTTAAGGGTAAACTGTTTAGCTAATTAGAGTTTGTAGGGTACGCTAGTCTTACCCAGCAAGCTCTACGCGTCTCGCCCGCTACAACCACTCGACGCATATTTTCTTCTAGAGTACTTCATGTCTACTCCCTCTAACTCAGGCCTCCGCCGCCTCATCGAATACGATAAGCGCGCTTCTCCTCGACCGTCGCTATCGAACGCGCCTACTATTAGCGATACTGCGTGCGAGGCTCAGGCCGATGAGCCCGTTGTAGTACAGGCGGACACACCCAACGACGACGACGACAACTACGTCGGGCTTGATTTTAAGCGCGTGCCATACCTAGAGCGGCGCCAAGTTGAGCGCTGTGGTCGTGGCGGGCCAAAAAGCTGGATCTACCGCCACGGCTGGGGCGTCTGGCACCGCAAGCACAAGAAGAACTACTAGCTTTGCTAGTACTGCCACCAACGACGGCAGCAGGAGGCGTGCTACGAGGCTGACAGCACTACGAACGCTGGCCGACACCTCTCGAGCAACAGGCCTGGGCACTCACTTAGACCTGACGGACCTATACTAATTGCTAGCTAGGAAGGCAACATTATAGGCGCGCTTGCAAAATCACAAGTACATATTATAAGGTATAGAAGTATCGCAGGAGGTAGCAAATAAGATAGCAGTAAGCTTTTTAACCTCTCGATTTTAGGACGCGCTAAAGGACTAGGTAGTCGCGGACAACTAGAGCCTCCGCGTAATAGAAACGCCGTAGTTTCGAGCCATAATTGCGGCCGTGAACCCGCTAGCTAAAGCCCTCCTTTAGCGTAGCCACTAAACGCTCCGTAACTATATTATTGCTAAGTACAACGTATACGTACCAGCCGTTGCCGCCTACCTTTGCAAAGCCTAGTCGCTTATACACGTATCCTTTGACAACTAGACTTCGACTAGTGGGTAGTATGCTTTTACTGGTCTCTGCGTACACTACCTTGACGGTGAGGGCAAGCTAGTCGACCACCTGCTCGGGTTGCCTAAGCTACATAGAGCGCACACTAGCAATAATATAGCCTCTGTAGCAGCGACAATACTACGGCTATTTAGCGTTAATAACGCAAACGTTAGGTACTTTGTGCTTAACAACGCAAGTAACAATAATACTACAGTTAAGTTATTAGCAGAGGAGTTTAACTTTACCGCAAGCGAGCGGCGGCTTTAGTGTTGCTGCTACATACTTAACTTAGGCGCGCAGTTAGTGATCTAGGGCAAAAACCGTAGCGCGTACGAGAATGATGCCGCCCACCTTAACGACGAGGAGAAGTACATGGATGAGTGGCGCAAGTACGGCCCTATTAGCGTCCTCTTTGACGTGATTGCGTCTATATGCACGCCGCAAACTCGACAGCTGCTAGAGCGCCTACAGCGCGAAGAGGCGGAGACTTTAAGCGTTACGGCTAACGTCCGGCAGCTTGTTAAGCCCGTTAAGACCCGTTAGAATAGCTATTTTAATACCTTTGTGCGCGCAGCCAAGCTATACGGTCCTATCGATAGCTATATTAAGTATAAACTTGAGGAGCAAAGCGCCGCAACAGTAGCTTTACGACGCCAGAGGAACCGCGAGCAGCCGCCTGCTTCGCAGCCGCGACTATATATACGCGAGGGCGGCCTAAGTGGCAAGGACTGGGCGATAATTACGGAGTATATTCAACTCCTTAAGCCATTTGCGGAAGCTACACGGCTGCTTAAAGGCCGCGGCCTCTACGGCCGCTATGGCGCTATATAGGAGGTTCTAGTAACGTTTAAATAGCTGCTTAACCAGCTTGAAGCTCTTAAAGACCGCCTAAAGGACATTAATTACGAAGATTCTAACGCGCCTAAAGATTATCTTATTACGCACGTTAACCTTGCGCACAGTAAGCTTGCTAAGTACTATACAAAATTTAACGACGCGCCTGTCTACTACGCTGCTACAGTACTCCATTCGCACTACAAGCACCACCTCGCGGCGCTCTAGAAGGTGCCTAACACCTATATTACTGCCCGCGACGGCGTGCACTATCGCGACGGCTGGCTTAATAATAATCACCAAGCGTTCCTGCGCATGTGGTAGGAGCGGAAGGACGCTGCCGCTATTGCAGCTTATACGGTGTCGCCGCCGCGTAAGAAGCCCTAGCTAGGGTTATTAACGTCTCGGTCAGCTTTTCTACAGTCGTCGATCGAGCACAACATACGGTAGGTAGAGGCAAGCCTAGCAGAGGATGAGTATAAGATCTAGAAGCGGCAACTAGCGTTAGCTAAGGAGGACTAGCTGTCTCTTAACCTGCTGCTATACTAGGAGTTAGTTGCTGGGCAATTCCCTATACTCTCGAAGTTTGCTATTAACATACTAACGATACCGGCGGCAGCAGCAGACTGCGAGCGGACTTTTAGCGAGCTTAGCGACATGTTAGGTACGCGGAGACTCCATATAAAGCCAGAGCTTATTTTAGCTTTGCAGTGTTTAAAGCAGACTCCGCAACAATCAATCGATTGACATGATTGATTCCTATATAGGTTAAAGAATTACTTCATTAGGCAGCCTTTAACCTAGATAGGAATCAATCATGCCGATCCGATTGATTGTTGCGGAGTCTGGTTTAAAGAGCTAGAAAAGGCTTAGTATACGGCCAGCAACCACGTCAGCACGTACACTATCAGAGGAGGAAATCTCAAAAATACAGGAGCAATTATCTCAGTTCGACGTCAGTTAATTCAGTTCAGTCAGTTCAGTCAGTTCATAGGCAGCCGCGACGTCAGTTTAGTTAGTCAGTTATAATTCTCCCAAAAAGTCTTGGCAGTCAGTTCAGTCCAGTTCAGTGACCTCCGGACGTCAGTTCAGTCAGTCTGGAGACCTCCGGACTGACTGAACTGACTGATAGCCAGTCTGGTTGTAACCTTCTCCATGACGTCCTGGTAGAGTACCTTTCTGAATCGATCGCGGTGCATACATGTGAGAAGACGAAGAACCCTTTGTCGAGGAGGTGTATTGGGAGTGGCACAACAAGCGGTTGTATATTGTGGCGGATTATGTTGTGGAAGGCTTGCTGGCGGCTTAGGGGATCCTGCAAATGCCGAACTTATCTTCGTTACCGCATTTTGTATCCATTGACGGGGACGCAGTGCAACATATCTTTGGTTATTCGAATGCTGGTTGTAAGGTGCTGTATGTACTTTGACGCCAGATGTGCGCTGCATGTGATTCACGAGCTCGTCTCCACCGCCTGCTCGCAGCTCCGTAATGTCGCTATAGAACTGTTCACCGCAATTCTGCTAGTAATCATTAAAGAATGTTTGGTGTCAATACTCGTGATAAAGTACGTACGCATTGCCATCGGAAACGCGTCATGTTTCGCTTCAAGTCTGGTTCCAGAAGTCCCATGGTGATGAAAAACTCGTCGGTCGCTAGAAATAATGCATCTATTGCAAGATTGAGAATGACAGCTGCAATGACTGATATTTCTGTCGCCCGAAAGAGCAAATCTATGCTGTTTCTTGCATCCTCAAGCCACTGCTCTAACGTGAGACTAGTCGCTGGTCGCGTTGATGGCTTCGTGAGGTTCTGCTTTATGACCGTCTTGTCGACATCCAGTTCTCTCCGAAATGTAGCGTCCAGTAGAGGTGTCTGGATTGTCTTTGGTGTTACGAAGGCTTGCACATTGGCCCGCAGAGACTTGAATGCCTCGCTTCCAATTAGAAATTCGCGGAAGACAGCGAGATCCTCAAACACGTCCTCATTGACGGGTCGGACGTCGGATGGTCTATTAATATCACCATCATCGTCATCATCGGAGCCGTTTTTATGATGCTCCGTATCAGGGCTACTTGCTGGACCATTCCGCAATTTCTCGACGATAGAGTGAGCCAGGAATCCCGACTTTACGAGAACAAGCTGCGAAGCTAGGTACTCCAATCTCTCTGTCGCTTCTTCCTCCAGGAGATTCGCATATACTTTGAACAGTCGGCGTAGGTTTCTCTGAAGTCTCTCTGGGCCTATATTTGGGTCGTTTATCGCAGATTTGTAGATCGGTAGTAGCACACGGTCTTCAAGGACAATTGAGAGTAGTTCCTTAGTAGCTGTGAGGACTTGTACTGCTGAGTATCCGCTGTCTCTTGATAGGTAGGATGCTGATGACGTTAAAGATTTTGTGGTAAAAATCCAAGCAAATGAATTTGCATATGATGATGGTGCTGATGTAGTATTAGCAAAATCCCACTCGAAGCTCATTCGGGAACGCTCTCCGACGAACTCATTTTTAGCTCTGTCTCTGGCAACAGTGATGTGGTCAGTTTCCTTCTCTTCTCTCTCTTGTGTCGTATCTATCTTTCCCAATACTTCCGTTGGTCTTTTTGCGTCTCCTGCTTCTGTCCATGTTTCCGATCTCGTCAATTTTTCCGCTTCTGCCAACCTTTCTTGCTCTCTCAGCCTTATTGGTTCTGTCAACATTTCTGCTTCTCTCCATTTTTCTGGTCTCGACAATAATTCTGTTTCTGCTAACCATTCTGCACCCCACCATAGTTCTACTTCTTCCTCTGATCTAATTTCTTTATCTATTTTCATATCCTTTGTTGCCATATCCATCGCTTTTACTAACTGATCATACAATACCACCTGCTCTGCTTCTTTGGCCTCATTACTATCAATCAGTTCACTTTGCTTCTTGCCAAGAAATTCGCAATGATGTATCACAAAGAGTGTGCGGAGAATTGTACGGCGACACTTCCAGAATTGTACCATGTCTACTTCTTGTTCTAAGCGACTGTCGCTAGGAATGCTAGCGAGAGTTTCTTCGACCGAACTCGTATCGATCGCCGACGCGGGGGGTGATATTCTTCGTTGCTCCTCCGTAGGTACAGATGTATCATTTATCTGGTGTGTTTGTGCATAGCTAGTCGACCTCGAGCTACTAAAGTCTTTCCGCCTGTCTGATTTTTTAATTTCTTCAGCTGACCTCCTTCGGATGGAAAGATCTCGCCGCGACCGCAAAGTTGGGCGGTAACTGGGGTACATGTAGGAGTCATAGTCCGAAGGCGGGATTTCCTCATCCGAGGAATAGTCTATCTCGCTTTCGCTGACACTTTCATGAAAGCTTGCGCCTGTTCTTCGAGTGATTTCTGAAAAAGTCGAATGTGCCTGCCCAAGGAGAACCTCTCCCCTTCGGTTCTCGGTTCTGTAGCTCTCTTTCCGACGATTTGTCTCAGCCATTTTGCTATGCCTCAAATCTCCGCCGCTGTTCTCTTTCCACATGCTGGTAGTTTTTGTGTGTGCTATTGCGGAGGTAGGTTCATTTGGGGGTTCCCTACCCTCTTCTTCTTTACTTGGTCTTTCAGCTTGGTAACCAAGAGCAGGTAGTATAAGAGAATCTGGTTCATCTCTGGGTCTTTGGATACCTTTCTTTCGTTCAAGAATTTCAGGTACAGGTACAGGTGAAACCCACCCATCACTGTTAAATGGAAGTGATAATGGAACTTCAGTAATCAAGTCCACACGAATCCGACTATTCTCTTCATCACAGTCAGACTCCGCAACAATCAATCGATTGACATGATTGATTCCTATATAGGTTAAAGAATTACTTCATTAGGCAGCCTTTAACCTAGATAGGAATCAATCATGCCGATCCGATTGATTGTTGCGGAGTCTGATCACAGTAGATCTGATGTCTTGCATACTCTCCGTCTTCAGCCGCAACAGTTGATGCAATATCAGAATGCCCCAAGGAAATAACGCCTAGGGAACCAGAACTGCTCTCAACCTTTCTCTCAACATGGCCGCTGTCGGGACGACTGATCTGATCCTCCATTCTTTCAATTCCTGGCTCACCGGTAGAAAGTCGAGTAGTGATCATTGAAGGTCGTGTTCTCAAGGTTTCTTTGATACTCGGCTCCGGATAGTCGTTTTCAGACCACCCCACCTGAATGGCGCGTTCTTGTTGAATTTCCTCCTTGGTATCAGTACCAAGAAGCGTTTGCGCTGAAAGTACCGAACGAGAGCCATGATCGGATCTCGAATTTCTACTCAAGGAATATGCTGGTCGTTCTCCCGTAATGTTACGATCCCGTTCGATTGTCGAATCAGGTCGATCAGGGCTCAATCGTGACCCATCCAAAGCTTTCTTCGTTGCCCCGGAAGAGGTACTCCAGGGTCTGTTCTTCCTAGCGTTGGCCATGACTACTTTGCGAGCTTCACGCGCCGTTCCTTCGCCTCTGAAGTCATCAGGGTGATTAACGACAACCCTAAGCAAACCTCCAGTGTCCGCCCCTGGAAGATCTGTGTGTCCTTCAAGTACAGCAGCAGAGGCCGCCATAAACCCAGTCTGACCCGACTCATTCACTTCGCGGCTGTCTTCCATGTCCACAGCATTCCGAGGAACGGGCACATTGCGTTCAATCTCACTCTCCGATTCGACATCGACCACACGTGGTCGACGACTTACACGAACCATCGCTTAGAAATGCAAAACTTCCGATATGGCGAGAGCAGAATGCGCTCAGCAACAGCATAGAAACAGACGAAGGAATAACGAGAAAGAAAGGGAAGAGAGTGAAGAGCAATGCGATAATCAAATTGCCCGCGCAAACTAGCACAGCCCACAGCCCGCCAGGCTGCATACGCGGTATACCCATTCAGGCGCCACGCCCACCACTCAGCCATGACGCCACTGGGGGCCGATTCAACCTTGCGCGCACAACCGACATACGGTATTCGTTTCAAGGTACTTGACTTTTGGTACGACACTTACATGTACCCATGGCCTGATAAGCTACTGGGAGGACCGGGATAAAGTCTTGCGGGGGCTGTGTACTGCAGGTTGCAGCATGTGGTGAGGCAGTAGTCCAGCAAACATGTGTAGTATAGGCCAAGAGTCAGCCTTTTGGTCTGTCGGCCTCTTAGTCTGTCAGCCTTGTGGTCCAGCTGGATATAACAAAAAAAGCTAAAGCACAGAGTAGATGCGAAGTCGGAAGAAGGAAGAAGAAGAAGAGGTTCAGAGGCAAGTGCGCACCCACGCAAGACCCGACTGCCGACTTCCAAAGTTAAAAACATGACGCCATACACCATGTCTAACACCCAACTTCCAATTTCCTGCCCTGCAACTCCAGTGAAGCACAGAAAACGCAAGCCATCCCACCGTTATCATCACAAAAGCACCGAGATCCAAAACTTATTGACTGGATAAAAACATTCATCGAATTTATACTTTTCTCTCATTCCTCTTCACCATCTAAACTATCCATGTGCAACACATGCAAATACGTCTATAACAAAGCATCCATCTTGACACCCTGCCGGAAACCCAGAGCCAAACAAAGGAAAGAAACGTCAAGGAAAAAATCAAAGGCATACATGCGTGTGTGCGTGCCTATGTGGTCATAATGCGTAAAATATATCATGTCTCCAAGATTCATGATAAAGTGGCAATCAATCGCTTACAACTGTGTCAAGAGACCCTCGCTCTCCAACAGCAGCACGATTTGGTGCACGGCTGTCCTGACATTGCTTGTTGAGAGATCAACAGTCAGGTCGGCCTTCTCAGGAACCTCGTACGGGTCGTCGACACCGGTGAAGCCCTTGATTTCACCGGCGCGCGCCTTGGCGTAGACACCGCGCTTGTCGGTCTTCTCGGCGTGCTCGAGGGGAGTGGCGACGTGGACGAGGTAGAAGGATCCGTACCTCTCGACGGTCTGGCGGGCCGCCTTTCTTGAGTCTTCAAAGGGAGCAATGGGCGCGACGATGGCTGCGGCACCGGCCTTGGTGAGCTCAGAGGCTACAAAGGCAATGCGGGCAATGTTCTTGTCACGGTCGGAGCGGCTGAAGCCAAGTTCGCTGGAAAGTTCGCTGCGGATGGTGTCACCGAGAAGAAGAGAGACGGAGCGGCCACCTTGTTGGTTGAGAGTGACGTTCAGGGCGCGGGCGATGGAGTCTTTGCCGGAGTTTTGGTAACCCGTCAGGAAGACGGTGAAACCCTGTTGGTTACGGGGAGGGTGCGATTCTCGGAGCACGCGGACGACCTCGGGGTAGGAGAACCATTCGGGGATCTCTTGGCCAGTTCGGAGACGCTTGCGGAGTTCTACCCAGTGAGTTAGTATTTTGGGCTTACAAGTGTAAAAGGTGGGATGACATACCAGTTCCAGAGATGTCGAGAGTCTTGATACCCTGCTCAACCTCGTTCTTGGGCTTGTACTCGTCGGAGTCGGGGAGGTAGGTCATCTGCAAGAAGGGTACAACCTCAATGCCAAGCTCGCCTCTGTACTTCTCGACGGCGTCCTGGGCGTCATATGGACCGTAAAAGTCAACGCCCTTGGAGTTCTTGCCCGGGCCAGCGTGGTCACGGCCAACAATGAAGTGAGTAGCACCATGGTTCTTGCGAATAATGGCGTGCCAGATCGCCTCACGGGGACCAGCCATACGCATAGCAAGAGGCAGAAGGGCGAGGACAGCCATGCCGTTGGGGTAGCGAGGCATCAGTGCCTGGTAGACACGGACACGGGTGAAGTGGTCAATGTCACCGGGCTTGGTAAGACCAACCACGGGGTGGATGAGGACATTGGCCTGGCGAGCGCGGGCGGCACGAACCGTCAGCTCACGATGAGCGCGATGCATGGGGTTCCTCGTCTGGAAAGCGACAACCTTGGACCAGCCAAGCTTGTCAAAGTGCAGACGCAGTTCCGCGGGTGTGTATCGGAGACCGACATAGTCGTAGTGCTCCAGACGGTCGATAGCCTCGAGCTTGCCACCAACGTAGAACTCCTTCACGGTCTCGTACAGGTACTTGATGGCGGGGTGTGCCACATCGCCGTCCTTGTCGAATACCTCGCGCGCCTCCTTCTCCTTGTCTGGCTGGTATACATCGTCGACTGTGAGGATAGCAAGGTTGCGGTCGTCACGGAAGTCGCGAAGAGCGATGCGTGCACCCTGCTTGACGCCAACTTCATCGATGGTCTGTTTTGAGACATCGAGCGTGATGGGAATGGAAAAGAGGTTGCCGTCGGCGAGACGGTTCTCGGCAACTACACCATCGTAGTCCTTTTGGTTCATGAAACCTGCATGCTACTGTCAGGTACCATCTCGGTGCAAACACGGCAAACACGAGGGGTCGTTTTCGCTGCCCCTCGCCTAGCGCGGCGGGATGACGACTTACCCTCCAAGGGTGAAAAACCTCCGTTGAGGATGAGTTCCAAGTCGCAAAGCTGCCTCTCAGACAAAACAATTGCGGGGAGCTTCTCTGCCTCGTCGAAGAGCTCCTTGCGACGGGGCGCATCGCGTGCAATCAAGTCCTTGAGGACGCCGCCTGTAGTTCAAGTTTGTCAGTGACCGCTGTGCTTGTATCACTAATTCTGTAAAAACTAACCGTGGGGTGCGTTCGCCATTTTGCGAGGATAAGATAAAGAATGAGGGGTATAAAAAGTCTCTGGACTAGATATGAAGACTTCGAGTTATGTCTGGCGGTTCAAAGCTTCTTCGCAAAGAGGTCTTTGGGTCACTTGAAATTTGAAAAAGATGCGACTGAAGAACAGAAGCCGGGGCACGGCGCAAGCCCTTTTTATTCTATGGAGACTACAGGTTCCATCCTTTCCGATTGTTGACCGTGTTATTCTGGTTTTTCACTGCCGCAGCGCCTAGGGTACAAAGCGGGTGTTTGTATGGGTCGGCAGATCTATGGAGCGATTGCGCAATTGCACGCGATATTTTAGAGCCTTACCTGTGTCGCCCGCAGCTTTCCGTTGGGCAAGAATAACAAAGTGACGTGAGCGGAGCGGAGTCCAAGAGGATCACATCTAGGTAGGCCAAGGTACCGTTTTAGCGGCATATCGGAAGCACTTCACTACTAAGAGACAGGCCTGGCATGTGGATCATTAAATGTCTGATTCATTTGTGAGCTTCATTGGCTCGTATTTCGGGGGTATCTCGGCCCCGCATACATAATGCCGGCTGTGACTTCCGTTTACCCCATGTGCTGTCCTAGAAGAGTCCAACCCACATGCTATGATGCCATATCCCAGGAAAAACCCAAACGCCGTGCTAATGCGAGTACAAGAAAAGACAACTACTGCGCCACGCAATACACTATGCGTTCAAAGAAATTTGCTGCAACTTGTTCTCAAGTTCTTGGTTTTGTCGCTTACTTTCTTGCTCTTGGAGGAACTGAGCATATCGCGACTTGGGGTTGTGGATACCGCACTCGGTCTTGTTCTTGCCCTTCCAGCGTCCTGATCGCTCATCCTCTCCAGCAGCTACTGGCTGGGTCGAATGCCAATCGCCAACGCTCTTGTAGCCCCTGTTGAGAAGCTCGTTGTACGGGACGTCGTTGGCATCCACGTACTCCTTGACCTGAGTAAAGCTCCAGTTGGCTAGTGGGTTGATCTTGATCAGACCAGCCTCGTCGACCTCAACAATGTCTAGGTCGCCACGCTTTCCACCTTGGCTACGTCGTCGACCAGTCAGAACGGCCTTGACTTGAAGCTCAGAGTATGCTCGCTCTGCAGGCTCGACCTTGGCGACATAGTCGTAGAGCTCATCGTTTGTTTCCCAAAGCTTATCACCGTGCCTGGTGGTGAAGTCATTCACACTGTCACAGCCGGCAGGCTTGTAGACATGGACGGGGGTCCCGTATCGCCTCCTTATCCGGTCAACAAGGGCGTATGTTTCATCGAAGTGATACAAGGTGTCCAAAAAGATCAGATCGATGTTGTGCTTCAGAGGTCCTTCGAGCTTCGAAAGCATATCTACGGTGACGAGTCCAGTAAGACCAAAGGCTGTGGTCTGGAAAAGTCCTGGTAAAGATGTGATGCACCATCGAAGGATGTCTACATCATGTTAGTCGAACATCCTCATAAGAATGTACCGCTACCACTAACCTTGTGGCTCGAGCTTCTGAAGCTGAGAGTTGATGAACTTCAAATGCGGCTTTGTGAAGTAGACCTCGGTCAGGCTTTCCTGACTTGATGCAGCAGAGGCATAGCCTGATTCTTCACGCATTGTGGGTTGTTTGTAGGAGTCGACTGCGGAAAACATTGGTGACGACATGTTTAAGGGGTGTGGCGAAACCGTGGTAACAACACGTGCAGAGCAGCCAAAAGATGGTCTTTGTGGTTTGGTGTTTAACGAAGGCTTCCCGAAAGAAGATTCTATTATCAAGCGTTGGGTTCTGGAGGTAGAAAGAGGGAAGAGGTCCACGGTCTAGAGTATATATTGGGCGCCGCCATCGCACTGGATTTGTAACCCACCTCCGCAAGGTGCGATAGCTGGGGGTGAAGACGTGCGATCACGCAATTCGCGCTAGTACATGGTGGAGCAAAACTCTTTCTGCCAGACTTATGTAAGTTGGCTTCACCAATCAGTCGGCGGCAGCGAAGGTCTCTCAGGTCTGAGGCTGCAACGACGTCCATGCTCGTGCATTCCGCGGTGTGCGTTGGTTGCTCATCGCCCGATGGCTTGCGAGTTTGTCATCCAACGTCATACGGTCGATGTTTGTCGGACTTTGCGAAATATTGAAATCATCTTGCAGGAGAAAAGACGTTCAAACAAGGATAGCTCTTGAGATGCTTATTTCCTTATCCCATTATGACCCTCTCTTGATGTTTGCTTGTCCGTTGAGGCTGACAAAACGGTTTCGCCATCTTAGCTCGGCTCATCGGACAAGGGCCGGGCGATCGCTTCGGGCGCTTCGCTGATACGACTTGCGACACACATCGCGTTCCCCTAAGAAGCCATCGGTTAGTAACTATTGTGTATGTGGAGTTGCGAGATATTTTACCTGAATCTCTCCTCGCTTCACTATCAACGGCCACTTAGCCTTCTCCACGACATGATGTCTTCGGTGCCACTGTGGGGAAAAACCAGCCCTGCGCATTCATCTTAACTCCGAGGCTGCTCACTACCGTCTGCGTCCGAGTAGAAAGCGATGCGACTTCTGTTCTCTTATAGCATGTTGCTGTTGTGAGTGTGGCGGATGTCAGCACGGCGGGGTCATTGAGGAGGTCTTAACAATCCTCGCCTCCTCACACTAATCCAGCCGCGGCTAACCGCCGTGCCCAGGTGCTCTCCAGCTTAACATCGATTGGACGGAGAAATAAGAGCGTAGTTCTGATCTCAACATTATGCATGATACCTACTCAAGTGTATTCTCATCCATTTCATGTTATATTCTTCTCAGATTATCGGCGTTTAATCCTTTCATTTTCATATTCTTCACATCGCATGATCCAGCCCCTCCAACATCGCAATCTTCCCCCTCCACAGCTCCCTTGCATTCCTCCAAAACACCCCATCTCTCTCTCCATCTTCCAACCACTGAACATCCGCCAATCCCCTGATATTAGCATCCACATCCCAGAATCCGATCCCATAAGGATAATCCGTACCAAACACCATCTGACTAACCGGCACGCCCATGCCCTCCGTCAACCCCTTGATCTGCTTCGGCCATACAGGTCCCGCACTATCGTACCAAAACCGCGTCTTGTACGCTTCGCGGGCGGCATCCGAGGAGTTTGGGAAGCCGAGCAAAAAGCGCTCTGAGATGTCTGGAAAGGCACCTGCACCATGAGAGATGCGGTAATGCAGATTTGGGAATTTGGTGATTGTGTTTTCGGCGGTGAGGCTAGACACTGCTCTTGCAGTCTCAAAGTAAAACTCTCCTAGGCCAGAACGTAGGGGTGCTGTTTTAATTCATGCTTAGTCAGTTACTCCGGTCCAGGAGGTTAGAGAAAGATACTTACATGGTCGCGAGTTGATCAGTCGTCCATCATCGAGCTTGATGATGGGTTCCGTGGGATGCACAAACACAATCTCCCTCCCATCCCCTCCATCACTCGTTGCTTTTTCTTGCAAAAACTGCCAAATCGGGTCAAAAGCTGCATCCCCAGGATACATGCCCTCGTGATTGGTCAGCACGCCAACGCCCACTGGTCCTATACCGAGCATTCTCTTCAACTCCGTTACAGATTCCGGTACATACGGCAACGGAAGGATAGCTAACCAACTAAAGCGCTCAGGGTAGATCTTGCACAGCTCAGCAGCGAAGCAGTTGAGCAGCCGAGCGAGAGCAAGCGTCTTCTTCTTGCGCAGATTCTGGTCCTTTTCTCCGAGAAAAGCATTTGCCTGTGGAGTGGAGATGCAGAGTACAGAATGAGCGATATTATGCTCGCTCATGAACTCGAGATGGCCTTGTACGCTCCATGAGGGTGTTGCACGGCCTGCAGCGTTGAGCTCAAGGGCACGGAACCAGTCTGGTATGGGACTGTGAAACCATTAGCAACCGATGATGTGAATATCGAACGTTCCTGAGTGGGGTTCGAGCGTTCGAGCTTACTGAGTGTGTGTGTCGATCCTTTTTGCGTATGCGAAGTCAAAAGACGACGTGTTCACAGTGCTCGTGGCTAAGGCAGTGATACTCTCAAGAGCTTCTTTTGCAAATGGGAGCACTGTCAGGTCGATACCATCGACATAGGATTCATGCTGGATTTGCTTCCATAGTGTGTTGGTGTCTCCGAAAGGGTACATCTGCTTTTCGTTAGGCTCATGGAAATAGGAAGATTACAAGGGGGAATGAACCCGTAAAGCAGATAGATCCATGGCTTGGTGTATGAAGTCGCTGACACCTGTGGTTGCAGCTAGGGTGTGACGAGCTGGCCATGTCAGCAGAGGCAAGATGTAATGCTTTAACATTGTTGAAGATGATGACCTACAAGCTTCATAAACTGGACGATATACTCTGTCTGTCTGTTTACTTATTCAGAAGTAAATCTTTTGAAGTGACGATGGGAGATGGTGAGTATCTATGTTAGTTGCAGATGCAGCCCTCCTGCATGTACATAGCCTTGTGGGGAGCCGCAGCCGTAAAGCGGTGCATCTGCACTGTACAAGTTTGGGTTTCTTGTAACCTTTCAAGTTTCATCAATGCTCGAAAGAAATTGAGAGAGGCTTCTATAGAAATAGCACAACCGTTACTTTGGGCAGATTGCATCGAGGAGATGTTCACGCCGGCGACCGGGACGGAAGAACCCCTGACTACCTAGGTACACAACAAAAAGCACTTCACACCAACTGCATACGACCGTTCACATTGTACATGATTGCGAAACCTCGACAGCCACGACAGCACTCTGATGTTTCACCGCCCCCTACGGCACCTTAATCCTAGAGAACCTCAGGTCACGTGCCCAGCATGATGTCTGTCGACGCCCGACTGTTGCCTACCTTGGGCATACACAGGCCTTTCTATCCTACCGGCAGGCTCCAGATGCACCACCTGGATATTCTTGTTCAACGTGGCTTAGTGCATGGTGTTTATCGATTCTGCGAGTTCGGATGCCGAGGTTGAGGCTGAGAAACGAGGCTATGCGGGGACGGCCCTTGCACATGGGAACGGCTCTCATGCGCAACAAGGCCATATGCCAAACGCACGAGTTTGTTGCGCACTGCGTCACTGGGCTATAGGACCTGGCCATCTGTTTGTCGGCTATGCCCGCATACCTGCAAGCTTAGAATAGAGAAGCGCGGGCATCGCCCGCGCTGCTAGTAGTGGGTCCGCGGCAGCGGTTGGGTCCTCATTTGACAGCAGGCCTCGTTTTACGGGCATCTCAAGGGAAAAAGATCCGTCTCCACAGTTCCTCAGAGGCACAGAGTTGGCCGGCAGCAGTTCAGCGGGCGCTTCTCACGGGAGCCTTGACGGCCGGAACTCGGTTCTTCCCGCTGCGATATTGTGGGTTGTGGTTGAAACGCTCCATCACATCACTCACACTCGCCCATCCAGTGACCGCGCCTATCGTGAGCGCCTCGCGGGCTATCAAGCGATCGCGTCGTGACATTTCGTGTGCATGTCTATGTATTTGGCATGTTATTCTCAACCTCTCCTTGGACTCTGGAAGCTCCGTGCGCGTTCGGATTGCTGACCTTCCGCCTTTGACGTTTCTACACCTGCATCCTACTGCAGGTTCCCGAGCTCAGCCCTACTCCCGCCAGGTGGGTATTGATCACTTCAGCGTCCTACTTGCAGCCGTTCGACCAAATGAGGTACCCCTTGCCCGCTTGTCGCTTGCCAAGGTCTTTATTTGGGCCCGTGGCTGCTCGTCGAATCAACGCCAGGTTAGCCGCCCTTCCCCTCTACCGCCTGCCGCTGCCCCTCCTCGGCAACGGTATTATTCTTAGACATAGCCGCATAGGGAACACAGTAGGCACTCTCAAACAGGCGCTTCTGCTGCAGACATGCTCCCTTGTTCGAGGGGACGAACCGCTCACGTTTTGTGGCCCGGCCACTCACAGGCCCAATTTTGGCCTCTCCTAGCCCTGTCTGATGGCGCTTGCGCCCACGACCCAGTGAACAGCCTCCTCTTTGCCTAGTTGCACATCCATTCTCGGTAGATATGAGATCGATCCGGCGATTACAGAAACATGTCCTGGTTTCAAAACAATTCTCCGACCGGCCTACTGGCCTTTGTTGTGGATGAAGGCTCAGCATGCGGCTCAGTGTATAAAGATGTTGGCTTTGCCCCTAGACTCAACTTTAGATCGCACAGACTCCAAGGTACGGACCACAGTTCTTTCGTTTTCCAGTGTGAGAAAATCTCCTACCTTTTGCTCTCCATCAATCACTCTCATTCTCCCACGTCCGCTCTACCATAATCATAATACGCTACTCGACCGCTTCCACCAGTCCCATCTTTGTCATCACCGCCTCATTCCACATCTCTATTTCCATCATCACTATCTCCTACTACTCGTCTTCATTCCGTTGGTCAACATGCCTAAGATTGAAAAGGGTCCCTCACATCGCCTCTCCGTGTCAACGGCCTCAGCCGCAGGCGGATCACGGAGTTCCTCCTGGTCCACAAGAGATGACGAAACACTCATCCAGGCCAGAGCCCAGGGCCTCAACTGGAACCAAATTGGACCAAAACACTTTCCCAACAAGACCCCCAATGCCTGCCGCAAACGACATGAACGTTTGATGGAGAGGCAAAATGCGGAGCAGTGGGATGGTGTCAAGTTGGATGTATTGGCACAGGCCTACATGGAAGTCCGACGAGACATGTGGAGCATACTTGCTGCCCGTGTTGGTGAGAAGTGGCAACTGGTTGAGACAAAGGTACGTAATCAACCTCATCCTGTCTATGATACATTTACTCATTCAACTTAGTGCATGGAGAAGGGATTGAAGAACCTCACTCAGGCCTACAGGTCGGCACAGAAGAAGCTCGAGAATGGTACCTACCATGACCATGATGACAGCGGAGTAGGCGTTTCTGACCTCGAAGAAGAACAAGAGGATCATCATGTCGACATGTCCAGCATGTCCAGCATGCCCGCAATCCCCGAAGCTCATTACACTACATATCCGAGCTACCCAACCCATTCGCACCAACCGCGGGTACCGAGCATCCAGTCCATGCTGCATCCGATGCAACACCCGCACCCCATGCAGCAGTCTTTGCAACAACAACCGATGCAACAATCGATGCAACAGCAGCCCCTACAGCAGCAATCGATGCAGCAGTCTTTGCAACAACAATCGATGCAGCAGCCTTTGCAACAACAATCGATGCAGCAGCCTTTGCAACAACAATCGATGCAGCAGCCTTTGCAACAACAATCGATGCAGCAACCCATGCATCAACAGGCGATGCAATACCCACCACATCACCTCCCGCACCAGCAATAGGCGCTCAACGCTAACTATGCTGGGTCGGTCTTTCTTCAATACTTCTTGTTCATTCCATATCTCCTTATCACGATCGCCACGGCTCTTCTGGCTTGCCTCTACACGGCAAGCTATCTCGTTTCTATACCCATCTCAATACCCCTTCGGTACCCAACCGATATGACCCCTGCCATCCGGCAGTCTTTTCTTCACTACGCACACCTCCCATGATGCTCCTAGACCCGCCTTGCAAGGCAGTCTTTATTTGACCTCGAATTTTTAGTACAAGACAGCGGAGGACTGTAATCAGGATAGGAAAAGGACAGGACATTCGCTTCCACCTGATCTGGAGCACTGTGGTGTTTGGTGGTGTAGATTCTTTTGTGCAATTTTTGCTGCACTTTTGTTTACACATCCCGTATTTGGGATTTTGTGTTTTGCTTTTTAGATTTTCTGTAGCCATACACTTCCTTGTCAATGTTGTCAATGTTAGTGTACTATTTCCTCTATCAAGATTTCCGTGCCAAAGATGTCGCAGAGACGTATCATGCACCGAAATTCAGGTACACTATTTGATGGCGCATTAGAGCTTAGAATGCGATTTTCTTACTCTCAGTAAGCACACTACCCCTGACACCGTTACAAACCGCCAGGCCACCTTTCTGACTACCCTCTAGTTCTGTAACCGCCCACGAGGTAAGGCTGCGCCCCTCTTTGAGGCTCCCTTTCCCGTAGCACAGCCCCCACGCCGCACACAGCCCACGCTAAATGCACACATATCCACCACACCACCACACAACCCCACGAACGCTCCAACATAAGCACAAACAATGACCCTCACTACACCCTGTATCTCAGCCCTAAAAATATGTCTTCCTGCAGCGGGTCACGATAGATTGCCGTTGGCTAGCATGTGAGGCTCACCTAACACACCCACACACACAGACGCCCTGGACCCACGCTAGAGGAGCATCATGACATAACCACCTCATTCGGGTTGCGCGCCAGCCACAGCGCACCGGTCCTCGACAACAAGCCTAGGAAATCTCGCAACGCGTCTCCCGCTCACGATGCATAAATTTGGAGGCATTGAGCAATGGCACGAGCGCCCCTCCTCCGCGTCCCTTACACCGACCCCTTCCCCGCGCCGCGGATAATCCCCGCCCACGCGACCACACCCAGCGCTGCCGTCGCAGCTCTAGTAGATTTCTTGGCACCGTCTTTGTTCTCCGCAACATCAACGTCTACACCCCGATCTTCCCTCGCTGGCAAGCTCGATCGCGGCAAGACGTTGCTGCTTACTGGGGCTGGGATATCCGTGGCATCAGGACTGGCAGACTACCGAGGTACAAAGGGGACGTATACGCTGAATAAAGGGTATAAACCTGTGTACTTTCACGAGTTTTGCGAGAGCCATGAGGCGAGGAAACGGTATTGGGCGAGGAGTTTTCTAGGCTGGACGACGTTGGAGAGGGCGAGGCCGAATGCGGCGCATGTGGCTTGTGGGGAGTTGGGAAGGATGGGTGTTGTTGGGGGGGTGGTTACGCAGAGTATGTCTACCTTCTTACCACAAATCATTTCATCTCATACCCCACCACACGAAAGCAATGATAAACCTAAGAAAAATGAACGATTGCTAACACAACCCCCCCAGACGTAGACTCCTTCCACCCCCTCGCCCACCCCTCCCTCCCCACAACCGAACTCCACGGCTACCTCCGCAACCTCGTCTGCCTAACCTGCCGCCAAGAATATCCACGCCATAAATTCCAAACCCAGCTCTCGACTCTAAACCCCTCCTGGTCCGCCTTCCTCGCCGAAATGCTCGCCTCCGGCGCGCTCGACACCGAAAACCCCGTCGAGCGCCGCAACCGCGGGCTAAAAGCCAACCCAGACGGCGACGTCGACGTGCCCAATGCGCCGTATACTACGTTTCGCTACCCAGCCTGCCCGACGTGTTTGGCGAAGCCGCCGGTGCGGGCGGACGGTAAGACGGTGCGGGTGCGGGTTGACAAGGATGGGGCGTGGGATCCCGAGGGGAGTGAGGGCGGGGTGTTGAAACCGGCGGTCATCATGTTTGGGGAGTCGATACCGGTGGCGACAAAGGTTGCGGCGGAGAAGGCGGTGGAGGAGGCGGGGAGGGTGCTGGTGGTTGGGAGTAGTCTTGCGACGTATTCGGCGTGGCGGCTTGTGAAGAAGGCAAAGGAGATGCGGCTTCCGATTGGGGTGTTGAATATTGGGGGTGTTAGGGGGGAGGATATGTTTTTCGGGGATGTTGGCGAGGGGGATGGTGCGGTGGGGGCGGTAAGGTTGAGTGAGAGTGCTGAGGCGGTGTTGCCGCAGGTTGTGAGGGTTTTGGAGGGGATGAAGGGGGGGAGGGTGTAGATGGAGATGGATATGTATATGGAATAAGTAGACTAGATGAGATTTAGAAATTTAGAAATAGCTACGGTGTTTACGATACTCGACTGTATCCTGTATTTCTCTCGTCTTCAAGACAACAACGACAACAACAATACAACAAACCCACTACCTATCTTCCTCCACACACTACTCCTCAACAACAACCCCAAGCACCTTCCTAACCCTCTCCTCCCTACCCTCCATCATCTTGCCCAAATCCCTCCCCGGCACAGCCTTCAACTCCTCACTACAATTGCCACAAATCCTCAACTGACACCACGTGCACGTCCACTTACGCTCGCGGTTATTCTCACGACACACCATGCACGCCATGGGCTGGAACGTGTTGTTGCTCCAGATGTTGTGGCGGTGGGCGGTGTAGCAGTTTAGGTGGGCGGGGGTGATTGGTGGGATGATGGGGAGGGGGATGGGGTGGCGGGTTAGGGGGGAGAAGGGGGGTGGTGTTTTGGGTTCTTGGGGGAGGGGTTGAGGTTGTTGGGCTTGTTGGACTGGAGGCGAGGGGAGGGTTGGTGAGATGGTTTGTTGTTGTGGTTGTTGGAGAGGTGGTGTGGGGAGAGCTTTGGGGGCTTGGACGGCGGGCGCTTTGCTGGGCGATGAGGGCGAAATTTCGACTGATGGTGATGGTAGCGAATGTACAGGCGCTACTGCTGCGTTTTGAACAGTCGGTACAGACTTGACGGGAGAAGAAGGGACAGATGGGCCTGGCTCAGGAGATAGGGGGCAGTCCTCGAGGTCGGAGGATTTCGGGTAGAGACCTGCGCTGGTAGATTGGGTGGCAGGGGACGGTTCCGGTGTCTGGAGAGAGGGTCTAGAAAGCGGGACTCTGGGTTCTGCTGTTGGAGATTTTGAAGCTGGGGCGGCGGGGGCGGCGGTCACTGTCACTGGCTTCTCTTCTACAGGCATTGGCTGGGCAACAACAGCAGCAGGGACAGGAGCAGCATCGACAGCAGGAACCGGCTCATAGCTAAACGGACGCCTCTGATCGCTCGGCGCAGGCAAAGGTGAAAGAGGAGAAATCATAAAATCATTGTTTGCGGCGCCTGGCTTCAAACTGGGTGGTGAAGGTGTCATTTCAGGCGTCATGGAACGCACATCAGGCACATTTGGGGGAGGAGGAGCTGGTCTCATCGCCTATTCACAAGCATTAGCCAAACAAACACAGATTGTGGGGGCTGGGGTTGAGTTTCAAGTACCCTGCTGTAGATTCGCAATGCGGTACGAGGACTCTTCTGAGATTCTTGATTCTATCGCACGAGCACAGGTGCGGGGAAGGGGAGACGGATATATACCTTCAAGACGTTGAAGCCGGTACTGCTCTTCCCACGCATGTGCAGCGGCGAGGCTAGTGCTTTGCCGCGTGGGTTGGAGGGGAGGCCGGTGAAGACCTTCTTGGGTGGTGCAGGAGGCTTGGCCTCATCTTTTTCTTCATCTGGTGTTGGGGGGAGTTCTGCTTGCATGTTGCGAGGCTGCTCGTTGCGTCGAGACTCGCTGGATGTGGACATGTCCCGTTTGCTGTCCACACTGGTGTTCCTAGCGGTAGCATTTGATCGCTGGCTGTCGACGCTCTCATCTCTCTGTGCAGATGTACGAGAAGTAGGGGCCCCCTTTCTTCCTCGTGGACCATTACCGAGCTCTGCAAGGCTCTTGAACTTCTTGACTGCCTCAGGAACGGCTTTGCGCTTGACAATCGGTGGCGAGACTTGTGCAGGTTCGCCTTGAGACAAAAGGGAATCGCGCTTGGCAGCCTCTCGTGTCTTTGACATTTTGCTTCCCATATCACCCTGCCTAAGTGATTGCCGCCCTTCAGACTTGGTTGGCGGAGCAGGGGGAAGATCCTTATCCGGTACGGACTGCTTTCGCGGAGGAAGTGCCGGAGTAGGTGGAATCGTCGCCGTGGATCCGTTGCTAACGGTCAGATTTAGCGAAGGTGGTTTGGATCCACGAGATAGACTGCGAGACAGAATCCTCTTCCTTGGTGGAGAGTCTTTGAGCGGGCTAGTAGGCGATAAAGGCGCGTCTTGATCATCTATCGCATGTTAATTCAATCCCCTGATGAAGTTTGACGAAAACAAGTCAAAAAAGCCCTTTCGAGGATTGCGCACGAGCACAGTGCATCGTGTAAAGCCAGGTCGTGACCAATGTGGATATACCAGCCTTGGAACGAACCTTGCAAGATCCGCAAAAGCAATTATGTGGAAAATGTACCCGCATCGACGAACTTGCATGTATCAAGACGAGAGTTTGCTTACCTCGCAGCTGGAAAGGTGCGTGCATCGCTTGCACACCGGGTGGTAGTTGTTTGCGTGGGATATCATGTGGAGTTGGGGGAAGCGACTTGAGCTCCTGTATAGGCGAATATACTGAATTGCATGCATCACCGCGTCCGAATCCAGTGGCATATTCGTTGAGTAGTGCGCTGATGATATCTTGTCTAGAGTGAGGAGCAGATAGGCCCTGTTGAGACATGACGTCGGCCATTGTAAGAGTAGTAATGAATGTGGGATGCCGCGGATGCGTGGATTGCGGCTAAAGTATGACACTTGGATGAAAAGAATGTACGGTAAGAACGAATGTATGGTATCTAAATAGACCCGAGTAGTGACTGTAAAGAGCGACGAGGCAACGAAGAGAGCGACTATGCCACGAAGCGAAATAAGATGGTAGAGACAGGTCCCAGCCCAATTAATATCAACTTTGTCAAGGAGAACGAATAATAGGATAAATGAAGGAACGAAGAGGAAGAGAGGGACGCGGGTGGCGAGATGTGGTGGAGAAAGTCGTTGTCTCAGATACAAGAAAGAACATGGGACACGGCTGACAGACGTGTGGTCGGGCCTTTCAAACGCATGAAGCGTTTGACGTCGGGTGAGGCAGAAGCTGGCCTGTCACAGGGTGACGCCAGCGATGACGAGGATGGCCTTTGCAGGGATAGAAGTTCTGGAGATGACAGGATCACGGCCTACTCCACTGTGATGCGGGACCATATCGATAGCTCAACGATACTGGTACACTAGGGCCGTCTTCAATTTCGGACTGTGTTGTATCTGATGTAATACGGTTTTTTTAGCAATGTTTGCACATGTCAAATGATCGGAAAGTATCAGGTCGAGAAGCGGGCATGAACGGAAGATGAGGCACCGTCGAGTTGTCCGACAATCAGGGGTCCATCTCCGTCAAATCACAGAACCCCACAAGTAAGCTGGGCACGTGATCAGCTTCCATTGCGTTTCAGAAGGCCGAATAAGGCTGTCGGAGCATATCCAAAGGAAATGCCGTGTCCTTGGTCTGACACGTGGTGCGAATGCGTTGTTGACGTGTGTGACGTTCTCGGCTCCACACGTCGTAGTTGCCGGCCTGGACATGGACGGCTACACGACTCTGGCTTTTGCGCCCTTACAATCTCCTCTTGGAAACACATACCTTGGTAAGAAACGAAATGACAAGACTGTATGCAAGGTACGCGCGAGTCTATATCGGTAGCGAGCTCAAATGCACCATCGCTGCGGATAGATTGTGTGGCTTGGACGTTGAGCGTCCCGGGACCATGGGTAGTGCTTTGTGGCATGACCCTTCATACTCTGTTGACTGACGGATACCCAATCAATCTACAAAACATGCGTACAGGTGTTCGTGAAACATTTTTAAGATTGCTTTTTGTTTGTTTGGCTTGCCTTCTTTCGATGCTAAAGCCGGTGTATCGCCATGGATTCAAGAAGGAGCCTTCTCTGAGGTCATCCTTGTATAGATCCACATCTCTCCTTATATCCTGAACAGACTTCCTCTTTGATGAAAGCCAGTGCCCTGGGCCCACGGTGCCGATGGGAATTTGCCCCAGCTATACAGTCTGGTTACAAATTCTATAAAAAAAACCTCCGATGCGCCATCGCTAATGATCGACCGTCCGCAAACGTCGATGGAAACAGGGGTAACCTAAAGTATATACAAGAAAATCCGAGTAGGGGTATCGCTCCATTATTGGAAGAAGAAGAGTACAAACATTAGAATAAGAGTTATGGTTGGTGCAAAGGTTGCGCTTGTTGTTGTTGTTGGTGCTGCACCTTTGAGTGGGGCGGCGGTGACGTTTACGAAAGTGGAACCGCATGATATGGCTATTTGCTGGGCGGCCGAGGTATAGGTTTTGGAAATGGGCTGTGTCGCATTATTGGTGTAGAAAGCGAATACACCCATCACTTGTTGCAAGCAGGAGTTGCAGGTCGGTCTCGATCCTCCGGGAAGTTGTTGACCGATGGCCAGGTAATATGGATATGCGTCTCCTGGTGATGACATGTTACTGACAGCGTCTGCGAAGCAATAGTTCCCCTCTTTGTCGTGCAAGCAGCTTGCCTTGTACGCGGGTTGGTAGGCAATAAGGCCATTGTAGGCTTGCAACACTACTGGATTATCGCTGTTGTAGTCGGACTTGCATGCATTTTCCTGTAGTAGCTGTAGAGCAAAGCCATCCATGACGGTTTTACATTGTGCCGAATCTACCCCGCAGGTCGCGTCGAGGGTCTGTGTAATGCGAAGGGTGGACTTGGATGCGTCAAAGAAACCACTTGACGTCTGCAGCTTGTTAGTACAAGCGGGCACGCTCAAATACATGATTGAAAATACCTGTATTAATAAAGAAAACGGGTCGCAGCTGTTGAATTCCGGGCTCTGACGGAGACGGTTCAAGAAGTTGGCGCACGAGTTTGAGAAGTTGCTAGAAAGGCCGGTATCAAACGCTCTTGGGACAGTGAAATCGGAGCCGGTAGCCGCAGGCGCAGTTTGAAGAGTTTTAAGGGATCGCTTTGATAATAATGAGGGGTCGGTTTCGGTGGCGTCGTCGTCGTCGACGTGTAGAGGAGGCATTAATAACGGTGGCGGGCTTGTGTCCAGGTACAATGGCGCTTCTCTCCAGGCAAAGTCGTCGTCTGCCGCGCGCAAGGCTGGTCGATGACCATGTGTGTCGGTTTCCAGTAGGGGAGCAGCTAGGGAAGCAGTGGAAAGAAAAACAAATAGAAAGAAAAACAAAGCGCGGGAGGAGTCGAAACCAAAGTGTGGTGACACGCGAAGATATACGGGCACACGGCAGCAGCGGTTTTCGTGTTCTCTTTTCCGCGTTGGCAGGGGATGATGGTGCGACATGATCGCTACCGACGGGCACTTGTCGAAACATTGTGAACCCATCTCAGTAAACGTTGGCGAAGGCGCTATTATTATCCTTAGGGTTGGGTCCAAGTCGTGCAGCCCATGACGATCCGTCGACGACAACCGTCTATGGGTGATAGGCAGACAGACAAGTGACGGTTACGTCGTCGGGTCCAACCAAGTACAAGGTCTGAGGTTCGGGTACCTGCAGCGACTGCGCAATGTCGGAAGCGTTCTGCGGGCCGCCAGGGGGAGATAACGGTAGCGGTAGCGAAGAAAAAGAAAGACCAGTTCGATGACGATCGTCACCAGAAGGAAGAGTGGAACAAAGTTTCGTGGATTTTATTTAGTAGCGTCCAGAAGATGGCAATGCATGGGAGCGGCCGGGCCTTAACATGAATGCCATGGAAGTTGCGAATCCTGCAAGCCGGCACGGTTCCTGGTATTGGTATGCTAATGCTAATAAAGCCACGAGGCGGCCTCCATGGATACAGCAGCCAGATTCGCGGTTGGAGACTGAATTACGATTTCGGGTAATGGAGGCCATGGACAAAGGTCGCGGCTCGTGCGCTGGTGGGCGTTGATAGGTTCGTGATGCATTGGTTCGCTCCATGCAATATAATCGTGACCAGATCCGGCCATGTTCTGGCCAGAAAAACCGGGACTCCAGGCTTTTCAGGCGGCGATGCCAAAGCCGCTAGCCCTATGCTGCGCCTTGCCCCGCGACAAGGCTCAATCTGTCAGCTCCTGTGAGGTACGCAATCGCGACTGGAGGGCGCTACGAGGGGTAGCGCTGCCATGGCGATGCGTTGGAAGCGCGACTACTACTAAAGACAGTCATCGACCTCCGTTTGGCGGTTTCATGGCTGCGATATAGAGGGTTGAGGTATAGGAGGGGTGAGTTGTCTGTCGCCTGATTGCTCCCGCATGTAATCTCACAACTCGCCCTCAGCTCCCCACCCTTTCGATCTCGCCAAGCCAATAAGCCACGCCCCTAGCCAGTTTCCATTCCTCATTCCGAATTCCTCTACGTCCTTCTACGTCCACCTACAGAGACAAAGCCGATGCAGATATTGGACACATGCACAAGTGCCCATGGCTATGCCAAACACCGACACAGTATATGTTTCAACCTATCCCTTCAGGCACCCACCAACCTATTGGTCTCTCTTATCCTCTTCATCCAAATTGCGCAATGTTGTTCATTCGTGTCAGCGCACTAATACCCATCTCTTTGTTGGTTCCCCACATGAATGCGATCAAACCAAGCATCCACAGTCCAGGGGAGTGTGCCGCTTGCTTCCTCAGTCGTCAACTGTCTCCAGCCTGCATCTCTAGTGCTCACCTCCCAGCTGTCGCATGTCCACATCATCAAAATGCGCGCATGCATTATCATTACCACCATGTTCGCCAAAGATATAGCCAGAATCCTACTAGTCCATATCGGTGAGCTGACATCTGAGCTACTTACCGGTATATTGAGCCTGAATGCCTTGTCCATTTCAAGTATGGTATATCTACCATCTTGACTTTGCGCCTGCATATCCGTCTGCTTTGTCTTGATTTCTGGAAACTTGCACAGAGACCGAAAGATATCATCAGCGCGCGACTTGGTTCTGTCCAACTTGATGTCGTTGTCCTGGTCCTAAAGAATTGACAAGATTCAGTCTTCTGAGCGCCGAATAAGTCAAGAACTGTGCAGTATGTCGTTGGCCGGGGTTTGGCAACGTGGTGGCTCTTACCCCATCCACTATCGCTCCTATCACTATTGTTCATGATCCCGTTGCTTCCTACCTCGATGCCGCGCCCCTCCGTGTACAGACACTGCCTCACCCACTATCCATCCATGACTATGTTATATATCCGCACCAAAGACAATACCACAAATGTCGACGCAGAGTTACTCTTTCAGCCTGAGACGCCGACAATAACACCACCTGACACATACCAACAAACCCACTATTAGCACCGGCACCATGTGTTCCTACCCCGACAGCCACAAGATCGTACTCGAAGCCTTGATCCACGCCCTAAACATCTCCATGGCCGATCTCCTCAGCCTTCTCACTTACCAAGCTCCAATATCCAATTTGCTCCTGGTGTCGCCTATAGAGCCCGAGACCAGTCCCGCATGGACAGCACCGACACACCCACCACCGAGACCTCCGCGGCACCGCCCTAGTTCACCTTGGTACCACGTAAGGGCCATTTTTACTTCGTTGACCATCATCACATATATCTTGACGGTCGTTTGTACCTACATCTACGTATATACAAAAAGCGAACAAGGACGAAAAATGGATAACCCCGTGTCGATAAACCCTGACGAGGAGTCAATATATGAACATGTGGGGTCAATATCAGACGATGAAGACATGGAGCTACTATGGGATGATGACGACGCAATACAGGGTGACAATGAGGATTTGATCCAGGATCATGAGGGAGAGTCAATACAAGACCATGAGAGGTGGCAGAGGGGTCGACAGAGGGTGCGCCAGAGCGACGCGAACCAGGAAAGCGAGGAAGAGGTAGATCCTATACTCGCATGGCGGGCCAATGTGTTATAAGCATCCATTGCTGACAACGGAAGCACTAAAATCGAGAAAGAGGCACCATAGTTCCAGAGATCTTGTGCAAGAACTACAATGGGGACGATTACCATGGGATTAGGCTGAATGATCAGGGGGTATATCTCTACATGGTTTACAATGTACTAGCATGTACCACGAAGGTAAACAACACCTTCTAATGCGACTGACCTTCAATTCAACCGAGCGCACATTGAAGACATGGTACGGTACACTTTCCCGTCAAACCTCGGCAAGTCCAAATACCCCACACGTCAATCTCCCGTAGTGCATCATGTCCGTACGAAACGCCCAGGATTCTCCAAATCACAACGCGAATAACAACTGCCAACATGGAAGCCATTCGTATTGACGAGTTTGTCACGGTAAGTTCAGATGATACGAGGTTTCAACACTAGTCCCCTGCTGATAAGATCCAGAATCTCACAGACCTTCAACCCTTGACGGTCTCTAAGGCAGCATGCCAATCACCGCAAGATCTTCGCATCAAAATTACACATGCAGCAGTGACACACGTCGACGTTTTATACGTCCAAGGTCTGCACCAAAATAATCGACGCCACGTACAACCTCCCTTTATCCCCGGGACTGAGTTTTCCGGCATTGTCATCTCCAGCCCGACCCACTCGACTTTGCAACCCGGTACGCGTGTTTTTGGTGGCGGATTGGGCGCTTACGCTGAGGAAATATGCGCGACTGAAGAATCAGTACGTCGTGTACCTGAGCAGTGGACAAATGCCGAGGCATGTGCTGTTGGAGCAAGCGGAGCAGTCAGCTATGGTGCACTGCTAGATGTAGCCTCACTCAAAAGAGGCGAGACTGTACTGGTCTTTGGTGCGAGTGGCGGTCTAGGTGTTATGGCAGTGCAGATTGCAAAGGCAGTTGGCGCGAGAGTCATTGCTGTTGTAGGTGATGAAGAAAAGGGTGAGATGGTGCGAAAGATTGGCGCAGATGCTGTGGTTGATTATCATGATGAGAAATGGGAAGAAAGAGTGAAAGATTTGACGGAAAGACGTGAGGGTGTGGATGTGGTGTACGATGCTATTGGCGCCGTGGAGAGTGGAATCAAGTGCTTAAAGTATCGCGGTCGTCTGGTTATTGTAGGATTTGCGGCGAGGAACGGAGATATGGAAAATGTTCGCGCCAATAGAATCCTACTTAAATCGGTGGCGGTGCTTGGATATGTAAGTGTTTGGGTACCTTGTCTCTCTCGGTTCGAATTCGATGACTGATTGCGATGTAGCGGTTCGGAGAAGACGGTAGAAGAGATCCACAAAGAACAAAGGACGTCTGGAACGGCTTCATGAAGCTTGTGGAAACTGGCAAGATACGGCCTGTCACGTATAAAGAGAACTATCGAGGGTTAGAGGCAGTTAGCAAGGCGCTGGAAGATGTCAAGGCGCGGAAAGCATGGGGGAGGTCGGTGGTGAGGATATGCGAGGATGGGGAAGTCGGTGATGGACAGAAGGCAAGGCTGTGATCAAATGTGGCGATGGAAGTGAGAATATTAGATTGCCACTTTTTAGACATGGACACATGTCACAGTGCAGCTTGGAGAGCTTCGCGTAACGGAGATTACGAATATATTGATACTGATTTTGTATATTAGCATGCAGTGTGGTTCGATATACCCTCCAGCTTGTTAGTCGTTCAACAAACCCAACGTCGGACTATTTTTGAAACGACCTTGCTTGATAGACCAATGAATTGTACACGTGATCGTATTGGGTATCTTGAGTCGAATTGATGCTGGTGTTGGTATCAGTGAGCTGTCGCATTACAAGACCTCTGAATTATCAAGCAACTCCTACCACAGGATCTATACCAGCCCGAACTGATCTCAAATCAAGTATGCAAGCTATTCTTTCCCTAAGAGGACTGTATTAATGTAGTGCTTATATTGTAGTGGAGTAATGCCAGACTGTCTCGCTCGCTACCATGAAGCTCATATCAAGCAACCGTGTACTCATGTAGAGTTGAACCGTACTATCAGACACAAGCCAATAGCAGTTCAACGTTATCAAACCCTTGGGTAAAGCAGACGTACCGCGATGACAGCCGGTTCGCCAATCACCAGTGCTGTTGTGAGAATGAGTGATGGAAAGGCGCCAAGGTTGAGTTCAAACTGCGGCTGTGCGCACGGACTCGGAGGCGCGTTACTGTAGCTAGCGCGGTTTCTCTGGGTGGACCAGGCTCGACCGACGTTCCCAAAGGTTCAAACAAAGACCATTACCATCGCCGCTCGACGTGTGCTCTTGCATTTCTCTTCTTCAACCTCACTTGCGCGACTACGCGACAACCAGAAGTTGCCGCGCATATCAGCCGCACGCCCATCTACCTGCTGTGGCTCCATTGCCCAGCTTCGAGACAGCCCCCGGCACCACTAAGCTCACCTTCTTTTCACCACCATGGCATCCTACGGCAGCGATGTCGAAGACGACGAGGAAGATTTTAACCCCGCGCCTGAAATTGACGAGGATGACGTCGCTCCGAGCAAAAGTGCCTCGCGCAGGCCAGCCGCTGAGGATGACGAGGATGAGGTCGATGCGCCTACCATGACCGGCAACGACGACGAGGATGAAGAAGGCGGGGGTATAGACATCGACAATGACGACGATGATGACGACGATGACGATGAGGAAGACGAGGACGACGAGGACGTAGTGGTATGTCTCCACCAAAAGACTAACATTTGTGAGCCTCACTTGCTAACTTTCGGACCAGGCCCGACCCTCAAAGCGGAGAAAGAAGGCCAAGCGCAACATGTTCATCGATGTCGAAGCCGAAGTCGACGAAGATGAAGAGGAGGAGGAAGAGGGTGACGACGAGGGCATTGACGAAGTCCACCCCGATGACCTTTTGGAGCCCACAGGCGCCGACCTCGACGACCGCCACCACCGCGAGCTTGACATGCGCCGCGAAGTCAATGCTCAACGAGATGTCGAAGAAATCGCAAAGGAGTTCGACGAGAAGTACAGGCGGAGACAGATGCAAAGCACTCGCCGCGGCGGTGCTGGCGCTGTTCCTCTGGCCCTACCCACGGTCGACGATCCGTCCATTTGGGGTTGCAAGTGCCGTCCTGGAAAGGAGCGAGAGATCATCATGGCCATTCAGAAGCGAATCGACGAGAAGCTGCGCGCTGGCATGGGAGTGCAGGTATATTCAGCTTTCGAGCGAGGCCCTTCAGGACCTCAGTCTGGTTTCCTATACGTCGAAGCCGATTCAAAGCAGGCCGTTGTGGAGCTGATTGAGGGCATTCAGAATGTCTTCATGGGCTCCGGCCAGTTCTCTATTCCCCCCAAGGAGCGTCCAGATCTGCTCCGAAAGAAGAAGCGCGCACCCCTGGAAGTCGGCAAATTTGTGCGCATGCAGCGGCCACCTACATACAAAGGCGATCTTGCAAAGGTTGTCGAGGTTTCGACTAATGGTCTTGACTGTGTCGTGCAATTAGTGCCCCGTCTGGACTATGGATTGAACGACGACGCCAACGCCGCCGTAGACAACAAGCGGAAGCGAGGTTTCTTCGGAAAGCAGACCGAGCGCCCACCCGCGAAACTCTTCAACGAAGCCGAAGCGAAGAAGCGACACATGAAGCATCTCAGCATGACTGGTTCCGGTAACCAGAGGGCATACACATACAAGGGCGAAGATTACCAAAACGGTTTCTTAATCAAGGAGGTCAAGGTCAACTGGGTCAGCACTGAAAAGGTCAATCCCAAGATGGAGGAGTTGCAGTTCTTTTCCATCCAGAACGCTGATGGTACCGAGACTATGGATCTCATGGCTGTCCAGGCTGCGCAAAAAGCTGCCGACTCGGGCTCTGCCTTTGCCGCTGGAGAAAATGTCGAGATCTACACTGGTGAACAGAAGGGCATTCGCGGTACCACTGTCACAGTAACAGGTGACATTCTTACTCTCCGAGTCAGCGAAGGTGATCTCAAGGGAAGGAGAATTGATGCCCCTGTCAAGACCCTTCGCAAGCTCTTCCGCGACGGTGACCACGTCAAGGTCATTGGTGGAAGTAAATACGTCGATGAGGTCGGTCTAGTTACAAGGATCAGGGACGATAAGATTACCCTGCTCTGCGACTCGACCCAGCAGGAGATTACCGTCTTTAGCAAGGACCTAAAGCGCGCTGCTGATTCGGCAAACGTTGGTGCCGACTCCAACTTCGACCTATACGACTTTGTGCAGATTGAGTAAGTCAATCCCTACTACGTATGATAACCCACTAACAATCTATAGTGCCTCAACCATTGGCTGTGTAGTCCGTGTCGACCGTGAGGTACTGCGGATAGTTGACCAACAAGGCGATGTTCGTACACTTCTTCATACTCAGGTCTCGCAAATTGTCGGAAGGAACAAGCACGCGGTAGCAACCGACCGCGACGGCCATGAGATCCGACACGAGGACGACGTCAAGGAGTACGGTGGGGAACAACGACAAGGCAAAGTCCTGTATATCCATAGAGGTGTGCTCTTTGTCCGCAACCGCGAACTGGTCGAAAACCAAGGTATCTTCGTTGTACGCAGCAACAATGTCGTCACCATGGCAGCCAAGAGTGGTCGGGCTCAAGCACAAGGCCCAGATCTCAGCGGCATCAATCCTGCCCTCAACGCAGGTGCGAACACTACCGGTATGCCTCCACCTCGTGCCTTTACCGGGCGCGATAGGTTGATCGGTAAGACTGTCGTTATTCGAAAGGGTGCTTACAAGGGTCTTTTGGGTATCGTCAAGGACACCATGAACGACGAGGCTCGTATCGAGCTTCATACCAAGAACAAGCAGGTCTCCGTTAAGAAGGAGCTTCTCACTGTCAAGGATCCCATCACCGGTGCCAGCGTGGACATGGGAGGCAAGTTCCCCAACCGCTCACGTGGTGGTGGCGCTGGCGGCTACTCTGGCGGAGGTGGCCAAACGAGCTACGGTGGTGCAGCAGGTGGACGTACACCAGGCTGGGGTAACTCTGGTGGAGGTGGTCGTACACCCGGTTGGGGCGGTGGGGGTGGCGGTCGTACCCCAGGATGGGGAGGCGCTGGTGCCGCTGCTGGAGGCCGAACACCTGGCTGGGGCGGAGACGGCGGACGCACAGCTTACGGTGGAGGCGACGGATCACGGACTGCCTACGGAGGCGGCGATGGCTCGCGGACAGCCTATGGCGGCGCTACCGCATACGGCGGTGCAACCTCGTATGGCGGAGGAACGGCATACGGAGGAAACGACGGAAACCGCACCTCCTACGGTGGCTTCAACTCCGGCGGCCGCACACCTGGCTGGGGTGGTGGCGGCGGCGCATCAGGAACCACGACATCAAAGTCTGGTGGCCTCTCTGCTCCAACACCTGGTGCTTACAACGCCCCCACTCCAGGCGCCTATGCTGCACCCACCCCAGGTGGCTACGGCGCATACTCTGCTCCTACACCCGGTGGTCCCCCAATGGACGCTCCCACACCTGGCAACTACACTGCACCTACGCCTGGCGATACCTCTGGTGGTAGGTATACCGCCGCTCCTACGCCTGGTGCTTGGGATGTTGCGACACCAGCCCCCAGCGGCGATCCAGGCTATGACTAGAGTTGGAAGTAGTAGAGATACTTGGATGGCAGATGTGGTTGGTCCGCGTGTGTACCATTAATTTGCGTATTTCTCATCATTATATTTTTTTGGTCACGCGCGCACCAGTGATGGGAAGTGGGAGAGAGTGTGCGTGTGTAGTGCGTGTGTAGTCTGGGTTCTGCGCATATGCAACAAACAAAAGACTGTTGTTTTCTGACAAAGGGTGTGCGTAGGATATAGACGCTTTTTACTTTTTACTTTGCTTTGGCATGCATGCTTGCATTGGGTCATGGAGTTTATCAATCTTTCAGGTTAGGGAACACAAAATATGTCAATGGATTTCTATTTTATAGAGTATACTCAATATGTACCAGGCTTTGTTGTTTCTATGTTCTTACGTGTAAAAGTAACTTTTTATCATTCTTGCTCTGTTATCTTTTCGCATATCTGAGTATACGTATGTTGCATGCATATAAAGTGTCTCTAATCGATACCTCATCATCAGCTATTAACTCACCCACCCATCCCCGCCTACCTACACAGCCACACACACACACACACATACCCTATGTAAAAGCCTCTAAGCCTCTCAAACCCACAGTGCAAGAACAAGAAGAACAAGCCCACCCAGGCTCCTATTTCATACTACCCATACTCCTCAGGCATAAACGTATATGCGATTGTGTTCCAAGAAGCGTACATTGTACATGTACAAACTGTCTTCAACCCAGACATCTCTCTCCCATTAACCTTCTGCGCCATTAACCCCATCCCAATCTACCCACACATCCCATCCCATCCCATACACACAGTCTTCCAAACCCGCAATGCCAGAACAGAAACAATAGCCTCAGGTTCCTGTTTCACGCCAACCAAACCCTCAGGCATAAACGTATATGCGACGATGCTTCAAACCGTGTGTCCGATCGACCCGACGAACGGGTATGGATCCACTTTTTTTTAATTCAATGCTTCCTGAGGCTGTTCGGTTTTGAGTCCACTTTTTTATGCTTTCCTGAGGCTGTTTGGGGTTTCCTCTTCCTAAGGCTGTTTGGGAGGCGCGGTGTGAGACCCACTTGGAGCGGTTGTGTGACGGGTGCCTCACGGGTGTCTGACGGCTAAGGCTGTTGCTGACAGGGTTATGTGCGATGGTTGCTGGCGATGCTGACAGGGGGGTTTCTGTGTCATGTTTTCTACAGGGGCTGAGATGTGTGTGTTGTGTGTTTTGTGTTTTGTATTTTTTGTGAAGACGAGGTGAAGAAGAACAATGTTGGAGTGGGAGAAGGACATGGGAGGATAATTTAGGACAGTCAGGTCGAAAATACCAGTAAATTCGAAACATAAATTTCTATAACTGTTGGTTGGCTTTGCACTAAGTGCGTAAAGGGAAATAACGATAACTAGGAATGCATTCTGTTCGGTGGTTCTAATTGATATCTACGAACATAGGTGCTACGAAGGTATACCTAAGCTCTTGCGCAAGGTGGGCCGAAGTCGGGCCGAAGTGTCCAGCAGCCGACGTCTCTACCGATACTCACGATCCGACAATAACTTATATTTACTAGAACCGAAGAAAAGGAAATAAGAACAACAAAACACTGTAGTGTCATCCTCCACCTTCTTGCCTCCCCACCCACACTTCTAATGCAATGCTTAAAGATAGATAATGAAAAATAATAACGCCTCTCTGCTCCGTTATGCTACGCTTACATCGATAGTACAACGACGCGCGCAAAAATAAGATTCAAACAAGAATTTAACAAGAAGGGAAAACAATTATTCATAGTCACACCAGCGCGATGAAGCGCTTTAGTACTGGGGTGATCTCCTGTTGGCTATAATGGTAGGGATCCACGTGGGTCTTCCATTAAGCTCGGTTACGGTCAGCGACTTGTCAGTACAGCTGCTCGAGGCAGCGGTAGGGGTAACCTTACCGGGAGAAGGGGATGGGATAGGGGACAGGACGGGCACAGGGGCGTTGGCCACGGTGGCGTTGTTGCCAGGCGCAGTCGCGTTGCCAGGCAGAGTCATGTTGGGCATGTAGGCACCGGGGGTTCCAGACACGCTGCCAACTTCCACAAGGTTGGGGTAGCCGGGCTTGTTTTGGATGACGCGCGAGTTGAACTTTACAATCTTCTTGATGGCGTTGAAGTCTGCGACGGAGATGTCAAGGGGCTCCTTGACGATGAGGAAGGTGACGCCCTCAGCGCAGGGTGGGGTGGTGAGCGAGCCGGAGTAGGTGAGGATTTCGGACTTCTTGAGCTTGTCCTCGACGTCAGAGAAGTCGATGCCGCCCTTGATTGGCGTCTTGGTGCCGGGCTTTGTGATCTTGGGGAGCGAGTCCGAGAGCGACTTGATGATGGAAGAGGACTTCTTGTCTGAGACTTCGAACATGAGGGCGATGACGGCGAGTTGGCTGGGGTCGTTGACGCCCTGGTGCACCATGTGGATCTCGAGTGGGTAGTACTCTAGGTTGATGTGGTGCTCAGAAGGCGTATGCATGTGGAACTGCTTGATGCGGAAGTCTGTGCCAGCGTAGTTTGTAGTGCCGTTTACAACAACCTCAATAGTGCTACCAAGGTTGAGAAAGTCCATTGAGTCGACCTCTGGGACAGAGATGACGGGACGCGCGGGAGCGGGCCTGATGCTGTTATCTGTGTGAAGGGTTAGGAGATGACAGTGAAGAGCGGATGCAGTGGAGCATACCGATGTTGATTGGCGACTGGTTCTTGCCCATTCTGCACGCCTCGTTTGCAACGTCAAGGGAGGCCCAGTTCATGGCTCCGTCAAGAGGGCCATAGCCAAAGGTGCTGATTTTGATTTCATCAGTCGTTGCGCGCTTAGCAAAGGACAAGCCGTGCATGCAAGTGGCCGAAGCCGTCGAAGCAAGGAGGAGGGTTTGGAAAAGCATGATTGAAGAATCGGTGAATGAAAGTAGGTAAGATGAGAAACTGATGCAACCTGAATGCCTAAGATGCCTGGAAAAAGACGGGGTACTTCGTTCCCTTAAGAAGTATTCGACCCAGCCGCTCTGTGTCTACAACAAGCCCTGGGGAGGCCGGGACGGATTAGTCGAGATTAGCGCCGACAAGCCAGCAACGAAAGGCGTAAAGTAAACGAGAGTGGGTAACCCAAAGATGTCTGCAGGATCAACCTTGCCGAATCGTGCACTAAGAAGAACAACGTGAGTCGATTGTACAATGCCCAAGACAAGAATAAGCCCGTTAGGTGTGCCTAGACAAGGCTGAGCATTGCAAAGCACTGGAAATGAACGACTGGAAATGAAAGGAACGATTGGGAGAGAACTGAAGCGAGTAACGAGCGAAAAGGACCGCAAATGGACGAGCCAGAGATAGCGAAGCTCGGGAGGGATAGTGTAAATGCTTGGAAGTGACGCTACCAAGCATCAAATCATGGAGGCTACAATGCGTAGACCTCATTAGCTTCACCGAAGCCATTCCGATGTTCTAGTGTATGTTGCTTAGCTTCATCTAGGGCCAAGATCTCCAAGGTGGATGAGGATAAACCCTGACAGCCGCCACATGGTTGATGCGAAAAAGCTCCGTAACGGACTCTCTCATAGGATGCAGGTGCCAAGTTGAGCGTTACCCGTCATATGGTGATATTAAGAGGGGTCCTGCAAGGGTCAAGACTTGTGACAGTTGCTTGGTAGCCTGAGACGTGGGGAACGGCAGCGAGAGCTGGGGACCGATGATATCGACAGTTCGTTAACCTCGTCCGTGACCTTCCTACGGCCCAACCCAATCGTGATCAAGACAATAACCTTGGGGCATGTTTTGCGAAGGAACAAAAAGACGCACCTTTTGTTAGTCACTCACCAATTACTCCGAACCGACAAGATTGATAATCTTCTCACTCACACAAAAATCCCCTCATCTTCGCCAACTAAGCTCGCCGACTGCCCGTACAATTCTCCACGATCGCCACTTAAATCTAGTATAGTAGGTACATTCGTCGGATATGTCTCTTGACCCCTGCCCTGTCTTGAAACTTGCATCCTCCACCTCTCGATCTCCAAAACGTCCGTCCAACGGTCTTGGCACACTTGCGGCCCTAGTCAATGCACGCTACCGGCTTCGGGAAATACTCAAATTCAGGCATGCTAACGAGACTGGCGCTGCCGGTTGTCAGGCATGCAATTCCTTCCGGCTTAACCCAGGCGCCGGCGGCTGGCGACAAGACGTCTGTTGCTCGTGGTCGCCATCTGGGCAGGGCACTTACCGCCGGACGGTCGAACCCCAAATCTTTCATCGTCATCCCCATCATATCTCACCTCATGAATCGTTCGCCCACATGCCTTCCCCTTCTTGGTGACGGGAGGATCTGCGAAAGGGGGGTCGGAAGGAGCATCGGAGGTGAGGAACGGAGGTAGTTAGGTAGCGTTGGATCCATGTCATGGACAACGCAACAATCGTCACTGTAAACAAACGTATTTTCTAGCTCTCTATTTTGCCGGAAGTTATGCAAAAGCGTCGTGACAGTGACCTACCCGCGTAAAAAACCAATCTTGGCAGTAGTGGCGAAGACAACTTCCCGACAATTGAACCAAGCCAAGAAAGACTTGTCGTTAGCTTCGTGGTTTAATGGTACGAGAGAGCGAGGCTGTGTACGTACCTACAGTATCTACAGTACTTACAGTACGGTACATTACAGTACAGTACAGCCCGGCAACCCGGATCAGGTGCACAACGGCGGGTGCCTGAGCTTCCACGCCGACGCGGCATGTTGCGGCAATGCGCTCACACCAGCCACTGCGCCTCCCATCCTTCTAATCCCGAGAGAAAATAACGCTCACAGCTCACAGACGCCCGTTGTATCGAAAACCTGTCGTAGATTGCCGGTGGTGGTCTGAAAACCTTCACAAAACACATCTGCATCGCAACAAGTGACGCAGATGTCACTGCTCCTCAGCGCTAGACGACTAGAAGAAGTCCAGAAAGCGGGTCCCAACTCCGCATTTTCCCAATATTCCAGGTCCTTTCCTGTTTAGTTCGAGGGGCTTGCATAACAAACGGCGCATCATCACATCTTCGAGCTCGCCTAACCCTAAGAATAGCATACTAGTCGCCCTCTCATCTTCTCAACACCACGCCCAACATCTTCACCTTCGGCCAGCGTGTCCTTGGCACTCTACATCGTACTCACGACGGTCTTGTACTCGGGACGCCATTTTCTTATATCTTCTTTTCACAGTATAAGGCGTTACACACTAAATGCTACGACGCTAGGGAGTACGCGCTTACATGATCTTCTCGTAACTTGTTACTTGCTGCGCCTCGCCCGCTATATCACCCTATTCGCCTGCCCTACTTTACTCCCTGTAGTCTTGGGAATAGTGGGTATAGCTATCTATGTACATAGGCAACTGGTTCGTCCGCGGTACTGGGCCGAAGCGCCGCTTGTTCACACACGCCCCCATTGGGAAATTCGCGACGCTTTTCCAAACGCACGGGCCTGCATCTCTGAAAAAAGTGTCGTATTTTCCCGACGAGGCCGTTTGCACACAAACGAAAAGGTACCTATTCCCACTGATCGTGTTAGCTACCTACCTACATTACAGACGGCCGCGGAGTCTTACGTTACAACCATGGAAAAATCACACCACCACGAACGTGAACGGGAAGCCGGGAACAAGAAAGCTTGCCTCATCACGCGATATCTCCCTACCAAGACCCCAAGCCCCAAGACACCCCAAGACACCCCAAGACCCAAGCTCCAAGAGACCCTTTTTCTAGTTTCTGCACCTTTTTTGCCGCGCTTCCCCATGTCGCAATATCCAGTTCTCGGCACGCACGTTGAGCTCGTGTAGTACTTTAGTGGCTTGAAGTTCTTGCCAACTTCTTGGTAGTATGCTCTGTCAAGAGTGACAAACATTTCGGAGCCGAGACTTTCCTTCTCTCCGGGACCTGGTATATCGCGCGACGATAGACATATATCCCGCGCCGAGACAATCTCCTATATCAGTACTTCGTTAAGATGAATCCGTAAACGTCAAAGGAAGTAGGGCGAGCAGGGGTTCTTGCTTGGCAAAAGGAAAAAGTGGTTCAATACATCTGCAGTATGATTGGACACGTCTCACACAACATCTCACCTATAATTCCCAATCCAAAGCATTGGATCCCATCTCAAGCGCTAAGATCAACCATCATCTCGTGTCTCACTATTCTATAGTCCTATTTTCAAATGAACAGCCCGTGGACTTGGGAGATCCTCGGATCTGGAACCCTAGTGCTTACGCGCCATGGCCCTACAGTCAATCTATCTGATCGGAAACGAAACAAACCCCGAGGGCCGGAACTATACTTGCCTTGGCGAGTCGAGTCATAACATCACACCATTTTCGGGAGACTTACTCCCCCACAAGATGCGAAGAAGAAAATGCGGAGGATGAGAGGGCAGAGGAGGAGCTATGTGGAGCACGACTCGTTCACACAGGGTTTAAAAGCGACGGTCCCTCTTGGTCCAGGTCGTGACATTAATCTTGGCATTATTTTATTAGGTAGTTGTTCGGTTTTTTTGCTATTTTCTCATTGGGATGGTTCAAAACCGCCTGATCTTATGCGGAGTAGCGGCATCTTTCGTACCGACTACTTCCCTCTGAAAGCATCCGTATCAGCAACATTACTATACCCCGCACCTCGACCATCAGCATCGGCATCCACGTGGCCGACTAAACGCTGCCAACCATCCTCGCTGCTGCGCAAAAGCACGTCACCAGTCAACGGCGTCGCCGGATCTACCACGTCGATACCCGTCTCGTCGAAGCCGTCATCCGGCCGTCGATAGCCTCTGGCATACGAGGTCCCTTGTTCGTCCAGCTGCTCCAGCTCCAACCCCTCCTCTTCCTTGGTACCAAGATGTGTGCGGCTCGATGCCCTGGACGACGACGGAACACGCGCGTGCCCATACGGGCCCATTTCGGTCAGGGTAGTGAATGTGGATGGCGTGCCCGGACGGGAGGAAAAGTCATCAGCCCGCCCATACAACTCGCCTTCGCCGCCAAACTGCTCGCGGAACTCTGCGCGCTTTTTGAAGTTGGAAAAGTCGAGCTCGGATTCTGTGACCAGTTCCATGCGCGGTAGACCTGCGGAGTTGGGATTTTGCTTTGCGCCTTCTTCACCATGGGCGTCATACTCGGTCGTGACAAAGTCGCCAAAACGGTCGTAGCCGGGTGTTGAGGGCATGGCGCGATCTGTTGAATGGCGGCCCGGTTGGTCGAAAATATTATGGCTGTTGTCCTCATTGCCCGGGCGGTGAGCATAAATCTCTTCAAGTAGATGTTGCGACTTTGCGTGTACCATTGGTGTCAAAAGTTTCTTATACAGCGCAGGATGGCCATATCGAGACGATACTTTGCTACTCTTCTTCTGCTTGGGAAGCCGCTGCTCAGAAGACTCCTGCCCGCCTTCGACATCTGAAAAGGGGACTGTGGAGTAGTAGACCAATTTATCGTCAAAAGCCGTTTTGCAGTACCACTTAAAGCCGAAGAGCAGGAATGGAAGCGGTATCATGGCAAAGAGCATGTTCCAAGCACTCGCCTGGGCTACGTTGAAGTCAATCATTCCAACACCCTGTGCCCCGACGATCAGCGCAATGACTGCGTTGCCGAAAAAGACCGCGAAGAGCAATCGGTTCGCAGCCATACGCCAGAAGCGGCCCCCGGACTCGGTCTTGGTAACGAACACGTACTGGAGCAGGTACTTCTTGAACACGCAATCCATGGCCAGGTACAAGGCTGTTACAGGGAAGATGATCGGCTGTAGGGTGCCCATGCAAATGCCTACCGTGGCCACGAACAGGTAGTTGTTGTAATAGTCCGCATAGGGGAACGGCTGCGGGGCGGAGAGCTCGATAAGCTCTCTTGGTGTTGGTGAGAAGAATTTGCGCTGAAACCAGCTCCAAGACAGAGCCCAGGCTTGTGAGAGATCGATGGCAGCGCCTAGATTTCGCTGCATCTGCCAAGTGAGCCAGAAAGTTGACACATTACACAGGCCGACCATGACTTTGGTGAACAAGTGACCGTCGCGCATGGCTTCCCACACACCGCGATCGTGTGCTGCGATGACACCGGCGATAAAGCGCCATGCCGACCCAAAGACGGAGAAGACGACAAGATTGTTGAAGACGAAGAAGGAGTAGAGCCGTGCTGTCACATGTCGCTCTCTTGACGTCTTGGAGATGTCACCAGAGTGGGTGAAGAGCCTTCTGAAGACAACAGGAATACCCATGTACATGAGCGTCTGTACCAACGGGGCTAGGATACCCTGTGCAATGGCCCATCCTGTTGGATGCGCCGCTAGATTCGTCTGGAAAGCTGGCCATACAAGTCCCAGATGGGAAAAGTCGGATAGGAATACTGACGTGAGCATGTTGGGTACGACAAACGCAACGGTAAGCAGTACGATCCACAACCCATCCCAAAAGGCGCGGATTCTTCGGGTGTTCCTCGTCATCGCCAGATTTTGCCACAGCAGATCGTGTGGTCTGGGTGCTAGGTATACGTCGCACCCAGCGGGACCCTTTTTCCTACTCGCATATGCACATGCATGGGCGTCTTCGATATGGTCGTAAGATGCAAACCCGTAAGGCATTGGGTTGCGCATATCCACGCTTTCCCGCACTTCCTTGATGCTGACTTCCAATCTTGCAATTCGTTTTGTGAGATAATCGATGGCGTCCTGTTTTCCCTTGCCATAGACCTTCTCATCTTCCTTAGCCACCTTGCACGTAGGTCGCTTCAGAGGTAAACGATTCGGATTGCGTAGGTATTTGGCCAAGTGCCTTTCGAGCTCGCGGACCGCTTCGTCATGCGCTTCGATCAATTTTGGCAAGTCCTTAACATTGCGACCAATAACTGTTCGAGGAATGCTCTCAGTCGGCAACGCTTTTTCGACGAGTTCCACCAACCCAGCATCGGTTCGCGACGAAAGAGGAACATGAGTGAGCTGTAACACATTAGCTACATCTCCATAGAAAAACCCCTTTCAAACATAAACGTACCAACAAAGTCCTCGAATGCAAACTTTTCTTATACTCCTCTGTATCAAAGTACGCCCTCCTCAACTTCACAACCGCCAAATAATTCCTCCACAAAAAGAAACACACCGTCCCCTGCACCACATACGCAAACAGTACATACCACCAAAACTTGCGCCCGAAAATATACTGCGGCGTAAACTTCATCAACGTGGGGATATTACTCCACTGGTCGTAGAAACTCGCGCCTCCAGCCACAGTCACGGGTATCAAGATCAGGCAGCCCACGGCCATGAGCACAAGGAAGATATTCCGCGTCATGCGCATAAATCGTAGGAATACCACCGCGTCCAGCCCAATTGTATCCACAAGATCCTGCTCCTTGACATCCTTTACCGCGCTCACCCACGCAAACGGCTTGTTGTCCAGCGGCCGCGGCCGGTGTCTCTCGTCAGCATGTTTGGCGCGCGGCGCATAGACTCGTGAGATGCGCGGTCGGAGGAAGCAGAATACGATGACTAGGAGGCCGGAGATGACGAAGGAATAGATGATGGCGGCGTAGATTGACGTTTCTTGGACCTGTTTTCGTACATGTTTGGTTAGTATAGTTTTTGCCAAGTTAGAGAACTGGAGCATACCTCAGCTTGAAACGGATCCGCTATCAAATCCAAAAACTTATCAATACCGCTTTGATCTCGCCGCTGCAGCTGCCGCGCGGTGGTGTCCATGTTGGAAATAACACTCCGTCGCACGTAAGTTCCTCACGCAAGTATTACCGCTGGTAGTTATCACGCAGGTAGGTAAAGCGAGTGTAGCAATAATAAGTAGACTCTAGTAAAAAAAGTCCCCAGTCGTTTACGTTGACTTGGTAAAAGAGATAGCGTTCGTCAATCTTGTTCAACAAACGAGTGTGTCCAGAAACCACCAACAAACAAACCAAGAAAAAAGTCTCAAAGCGATAGAAATTGAAGAAAGAGCCGCAGAGCCGCAGGTTGCAATCCCTTCCCCTCCGCTCGCTCGCTCCCCTCCGAGGTAACCCCACGCACGGTGGTTAGGCCACGCGTAACACCACCCCTTCAGGCACATGTCACATCTGATCCCCTAAGGTCCAGATCTAGATGCTTCTCTTCCCGCCTTGTCTCTGTTGGGACGTGACGGGTGGGACACACCTCCCAAAACGCTATTAATATGTAGAGTGAACTAGTGCTATAACACTCTTTTTCTTTCCCGAGTGTCGCGGTCGAGCGACGTCATAAGCGGATGTCCGGACGTGTAGAGTGGGGTCACACGAACACACACACACACACACACACACACACACGCCCTCACCCTCATCAATTTTTAGCTAGGGTTACTCAATGTACTGTACAACTCAATATCGCGACTAAACTTCACAGCTTCACAGCTTGCGCGCAGTCGCTCAAAACAAGACAACGCAGACGTAGGCGTACGAAACGCAAGATATTTTGCGCTTATCACGATTCCAAGTCCCAAGTACCACCGCCACGGTATTTCCAAGCACAAGGGCTAACAACTAAAAATAGCTTTATTTGGTTTTGTTCAACGTCACCGTCACAGTCAGGTCAGATCAGGCAGCACACTGGGCAGCACACCTGGGCAGGTTCGTATCGAAGTGTTGGTATCGTGGCCTCGTGTTGTGTCTAGAAGCCGCGTGCTGTCGGACCGAAGGTTCTGGAAGCCGAGGGGAGATGACGTTCACACGTGTTCACACAATGCAAACTTCATTAATATCTAAAAAACTTCCCGTGTCTTAGATTCTAGACTGAAGAAGTGGTGGAGGTAGTGTTACGCATGTTTGTGGGCATCGTGGAGACATCTCGTGGAGCAAGCTATGCTACCACTACCCTAATCGATAAAGTTTAGGCGGGCAGTAAAACGTGACGTCACAGCGGTGAAGGAAAAGTTTAGTCAAGTAGTCAAGAAAAAATCTTCTGTCCATGTCTAAAATTGTAGCATTGCCTTTGCGCGATCATCGATTTTTACATTCATACCTAGTCCTGTCTGTCTGTCTGACTGTCCCGAAACACCACCATTTATTTTCAAGCCGCCCATCTACATTTCACCAGCGCCCTCGGAACATACTTACACCCCATCATCACGAAAAGATCAGCGCGTTCACGCATTTTCACCAAAAACTTGCTCCAAACTCAACGGGGGGATAAAAGAATCTATGGATATCACGAAAAGAAAGGAGAGGAGAGAGGAGGAGAATTCGAAAGCAAAAGGCAGGGGGATGTTCTAATCTCATGCCTTTTCTTTCTTCTTGTCCTTTTCCTTTTCCTTCTTGTCGTGGTGGTGCTTGTCGTGCTTTGCGTCCTTTTTGGCCGCGGCTTCGGCCATGAGCTGCTCGAACGCCATAAAGTCTCCTTCTTCTTCCGGGTCGCGCTCAGCCTGTGGGTTTTGTTAGCATCCGTCCAATCTGAGATCAAGGTGATGAGCTTACCTTTTGGAACATCTCGCCGATAATCATGAGCGCATGCGCCCTCTCCACTCTCTTCTCGAGTTTGATCTTCTTATCGTTGAGAACGGCGTCACACACATCTCGCAACACGCTCTGAATCTCAAACTTGCTGCCTCTCCATGCGGCGGCGAGAATTTTGCCTGTGACCCTCTTCTCATACTCGGCCTTCTTCTCGTCTGTCCATGCATCTCCACCCTGCTCTTCTAGTTTTGCCATCTCTTCCATGGTGAGCTGTGCGTCTATCGCAGCAGACATGGTGGACCAAGTGTCTTTGACGAGCGTACCCTTATCTTTGATGCGAGAGAAGAAGCCTGAAATGCCGAGGAACTTTTGCGATTTGAGGAATGACGATGCTTTCATAACGTATGTTGTACCAATAGCATGGAGGATTTCGAGGCCGAAAGACTCCATCTTGAGGTTCTCAATCTCGAGGTGAATCTTCTCCTTGAAGGCAGCGGTAACATCAGTAGCTTTGTCGGTCTCCGTCCATACTGAGATACGATCGACGAGCTTCTTGGAGAGGGTTGCGATACGCTCATCACGAATCTTCTTGCGCTCCATTTCATATGCCGCGAGCTCTTCTCGTTGCTCCTTGGTGAGGCCGGCCTTCTTCTTCTGTTTCTCACGTAGTTCCTTCTCTGCGTCGGTCATACCTTGTGCCTCCATACGTGCATCTTCCTCGGACTTATCCATAATAGCCATGCGGATCGGTATACCTTGAGACTGCGGTGTGCTTGTCCGGGACGGGGGCGAAGTCGCTCTGGGGGACGTAGACGCCTCAGCAGCGTTCGTTGCGTACGCAGGTGGTGGCTCGGTATATGCTGGGGGCGCATCTGCTGCATGCGCTCCCGCGCGCTCAGCGGCTGCTTCGGCCTCCTTTGCCTTAGCAGCGGCACTTGGAGCTGTTGTGTCTGCTGCGCCAGTTGGAGGAGTAGCTTCGGTCGCGCCGGTCGCCGGGGCTTTGGAAGCCTCGGCCTTTTCTGCTTCGGCTTGTGCAGCAGCTTCTTCTTCCATCTCCCGCTGGGAAATCTCCATAGTCTTGGTGAGATCCTTCATTAATGAAATCTCTCCGATCCTATAGACGTCAGCTTCCCTCGTTCCGAACTATGCGTGGTTGCGGTGTCGTACCAGTCTACAAACGCCTCTCCGCCAAAAATCATGGTGAAGAATTCGGACGGATCCTCTGTGACTCGTCAGCGTCGTGCGATTAGAATACTTTCATACATGTCCATACCGAATCCACTGCTGGGCATAGCGCCTTCCTTGCCATATTTGTCGTATGCTGCTCGCAGCTGTTCATCGCTGAGTATTTGGTATGCCTCGCCGATCTGTCATATTACTGTGAGCCCCGCAGTCCTCTTACAACAGCCACCAGGCTCGACACAAGCTCGGCTCGCACAGAATAATCGTACCTGTTGGAACTTTGCATGCGCCGTCTCGTCGCCGGGGTTCTTATCTAAGTTTGCGTTAGTTTGACTTTAGCCAGACAGACGTTATGCGCTGTACCTGGGTGGAGTTTGATGGCGAGCTTGCGGTATGCCTTCTTAATTTCCAGCTCTGATGCAGTGGGCGGTACGCCGAGGGCGTCGTAGTAGGCGGTTTCTACAACCATGATTGCGTGTAGAGGTAATCTAGGGTGAGTCGTGGGTCAACGTCGAGGTTTTGGTGTTTGGGCGCGCGGCAGGTCAAGAGCACGCAGCCGCCCGCGTGAAAATCGCTGCACCGCCACAGCCGACGTCACCACGCTAATGCTCCGAAGAAATGTCTTTTGCTCAGCCCAGTGAACAGGGTACATTCGACGTTGTAGCTAATTTCTGGCGCATGTAGGGGTTTGTCCCAAGCAAAAATGTGGCGCATGCATATGCTTTCATTCGTAGATATGTTCGATATAAGAGCCTGTTTATTCAAGCTCAAAGCCCCCCACCTGTTCGAGGTATACCCACCACGACTGAACGGCCTATGTATAGAAACCGATATCACCCTTCGCCGCCCATGCAGACGCCATGCTAGAAACCCAGTCCGTATCATTAACCGTTAAGTGAGATACTTTTAGACCAAACAGGGAATAAATCGAGGAAATGCAGTCCAGACGTGACTGCGCCGTATGTCCGAGGACGGCGGAGGTATCGCAAGCGCTAAACACTGTTGCATGCTTGAGTCTGTCGCAGCATCCTTAGACGCTGAACTTGGCCTTTGCGCGGGTACTGCCAGCATGAGCGGCATCGGTATGACCAGAGAACTCAACCGAGTCGTTGTCCTTGAGCTGAAGCGCCTGCTTGAATCGCCTACCGATCTTCAGCAGAACCTCCTTGCCCTGCTCCTGAGTCCTGCCCTTGCCTCCCTCGCCCGAGATGGCGCGGCCGACGGAGCGCGTCCAGAGACCGATACGGTAGAAGCCTCGCCTAACGTTGACGACAACACCCATGACCTCGTTGTCATCCTCGTCCTCGAGGTTCTCGCCGATGGCGGCCAACATGACGTGAAGCCAGAGCGCATCGATGTTGATGGCCTTCTTGTCCTTGAACTGGAAAGCCCACTTGCCGCCGTGCTTGTTCTGCGAGTCTTCCCACTCGGGCCGTACGCCCTTCTTAAACAGATGGTAGTCAGACTTGAGCGCGAGGTCGGATGTGGGGGTAATATTGTTCTGCACGCAATGTTAGCTTCACCGGTTGCGCTTGCTGCCGAGGGCAACTCACGTAGATGCCCCAGAACTCTTCAACTGAGTCAAACGAGATGACCTCTTTCAGCAGCTCAGCCCAGTTGTCGCCCTGCAATTATTAGCAAACACAAGCCGATGCACATGGAGCAGTAACTTACCTTGCCACTCGGAGGCTTGGTGAACCATAGCGTCCATGTGTTCATGAGCGGGTGCTTGACATTGAAGTTCTCTGGGTCATGGAAGACGGTACGGATCTCGCCCTCAGATGACGTGTTGTTGGTCGATTCCTCCTTGCTCTCGCCAGAGTTCTCCGTAGGCGAGATGGGAATCGTGTCCAGCGGAACCTGCTGATCGCCCTTTGGTGCAGCTGCTACTTCGGCCATTGTGAGGAGGTTTGTGTGGTTTGTTGGACTAAGTGCAGGTGGGGCAGGCTATCAAAAGGACAAAGGCCAAAGTCGGTGGTCGTGGGGAATTTAAGAGGGTTAGTGGTGGGTGGGATGAGGGAAATTGGCGGGGTCGTCGCGATCGCACCGGGCGATTTCACGGAAGCAGTCGCGAGTGTCTTCTGCCTAGACTACTATTTGCGGAGGAATGATCGAGGACAAAGTGGCTGTTTGCGGCAGGCGTGTTTGTTGGAAGAATATGCAATGCAGTTGCAATTCGCGTGAACCTTTTGGCCTTGGCACGCTAAATGGCGGCCCCAAAGTTTCAGTCGTGTAACATGCAAAGCGCCAAGCCCGCAACCCTCATTGTCATTCATGTCATGTTTTTTGTCGCATCAAAGGTAAAGTTTCTATTACTTTTCATGGTAAATGTGTCCACACCACCGCTCCAGAAAAGCCCTTGGTGAGCTGTCCAGGTAGCGGCCTCGTCGCCGAGCAAGGCGTGTATCAATATAAGCACATCTTCGGCCCAACGGCCGCTATAGAAGAGCAGCGTTGGAATTTGACATCCGTGCTATGACATCACTCTGATCTTGCAAGCACACCTCCACCTTGAAGCAGGAATTAAAATTAGTAGTGACTAGATACACACTTGCCCTAGATAGCCGTATTTATCGCCCACTATAATACATATAGACATCAGTGTAGAAAGACGTATGCTCATAGTTCACTCTTGACCAGAGTCTCATGCACCTCTGTTACTTGCGCCGTGCCGTTGTCTAATCCTGCGAGGCTCATGAGCTTGCCAAACTCAGTCTTGAATTGAGAATAGGCAATGTCGAAACGAGCACCAGCGAGCCAGGCGATACCAAGCTGAAACAAGTTAGCAGAGTTGTGGAATAGTTTACGTTTGGGACATACCATAATGAAGGTCATAAAGAGGACGGTTCCCAAAACAGCCGCGATGATGTAAATCAGGTCCCATTTGGCTTCGTTGTCTTCCTTTTGTTTCTTGATTGCCTCCTCTATGCTGGATGGCAACTTCCTGTCGACTGGAGGTTGGTGCGACGGGAATATCGACTCGATGAATTGCTCAATCTAGAAAGCATTAGCAAGAATCCTTCACGAGGTCAGTGGTCACTTACTCTTCCCAATGTGATGCTAATCTTCAGGAAATTGGGGTCATGTGGGTTGTTCTTCTTGGCGATCTTGCGAGCATATCGCCTGAAGACCTCGCAGACAAGCTGCAGGTTCTGTGTCGACTCTACCATCAACTGACACGCCTCGCCCTTGGTAATCTTGACGTTCTTCTGGAAAAGGGCGTAGTTCTGGAAGCACGTCTCCAGCGTCGCAATCGCCATGGTCTGCGGAATAGCACAGAAGTTGAACACGCTCTGCTCCCGGAGACCAGCTAGATAATATAAGCAGTCGTCAGCCCGAGTCAACGCAGTCAGAATCATCTCTGAGCTGCAGTTGAGTGCCTTTTGCTTGTTCTCCTCCTTGAACAGGTCTTCAAACTTGTCGACATGCTTGGACCAAATCTCTCTTGGCCAGAATCGCCGTCCGTCATCGAGGTCCTCTTTGATGTCACGGGTGATGTTGACCTGCTGGAGGAACTGACCCATGGACTCCATGAGCTCGGGCTTCTTCAGTAGCGCTGCGTTCGCCAACCCAGCCTCAACAAAGAGGCGCGTGCAACCCTCGCCAACGAGACCTGCGACGTAATGGCAGTAGAGTTCGTAGTCCTTGATGGTGTCTACACCAGCATTGAATTCAGCGTTGTTCGCGTAGTCGGCCATGCCGTTACCCATGCGCTTGGTGATGTCCTTGATGATCTCCTGGTAGGCTGGCTTGATCTTCTTGAACTCCTCAATCACTACATTGAACTCGACCAGAAGCTGCCTGTCCTTCTCGTTGGGGCCATTTTCGGTAAAGTTCCATCCATCCTGCTCTAGGAGATCCTGGAAGTTGCGCAAAATAGGCTCCTTCTTCGCCAGAGGTATGGTCATGTCATCCTCCACGGTATCGAGACCTCGCAGTACCAGGTAAAATAGTGTGACGGGCACCAAAAGATCAGGGTGCAATTCGAGGATGACGGCGGCGAAACTACGGCTTGTCTTGTTGAGGAAGTGAAAGCATCGTTTCAGGGATTCGCTTTCTTTCGCCTCGTTGCGCTCGTGTACGGGGTTGTGCCATACTTTCCTGTGGCGGCGTTAGCAGCATTCCTGACTTGCGCAAACCCCCAAACGCATGCGAAAGCCCTGCATCGATTGTGTCACATACCATTGGATGATAGAGCGCAGTTCACTGGGGTGAACAGCGTAGTAGAGAATGCTCATGGGGCTCGGCATGATGGCGGTCGGTAAAGGAGTTGGGGGCTGGACTCGGTTTCAATGCAATCGTTGAGGATTGCAGCAATATCGCACAACACGGTAAATCAGGCGATGGCGGAGAAGGAATCGAGGCACCAGAATTTCTCGTAGAGTGAGTTGTTGTTTGGGCGCAAGAGTTGTTCTCTGAAATCTAGGAGTATCTCCGCAAATTACAGCACCTGGACCCTGGTGTGCACGGCCTTCGGTGACCCGCATTTCCCCTCTAGTTAGCGATCAGCATTTGTGGTTCCATATCTACCTACCCATCTTGTTTCCTACTCCTATCCTATCGACAGACGCGTAACCGTTCAAATTGTACCTATAGTTCTCTGGTAACGACGATCACATCCATCGAGTACTCATCTAAGTAAACAGAGAACGCGACAGACAGAATCTACAAATCTTCACTCCTCGTGACGTCTGCATCTTAGGTCCCCCACTGCCGAGACTATAGCAGTCTGGACGCAAGCTAGACCATGGACATTAACCGTGGCATGTTCGTAAGAGGATCATGCGTCCCGCTTCTCGTATTTTCGAGACCGCCTGCCTATGCACATATTGACTTACATTCTGGACTACGCTTGTCCATTCGCTCGTGTCTTACATTCAGCAATAGCTCGTGTGTCTGAAGAATCAAAAACTAGCTCCAGCTCTGTCATATCGCTACATGAGTAGACCTTGGCTTAGTAGCATCAGTCATCATAGAGTAAACATGCGCCCGTCGCTACTCCACGCGCCCGTCACTTCAGACGCGCCAATTCAGAATACCTGCCCCTATACTGATGCGATGCCATTAATGAGACCTGCTCTATTCGCTCCTCTGATGTCGAGTACCGTAGCGCAATCCGTATCCCATCATGCAACGTACTCAAGATCTGTGTCTTATCCGCCATAAGGACGTGTCATCAACTAAACCACTCCATCCTAGCCAAATAAGGTTTCCACACAAAAAAAACGGTCGATGATTATACAGCGCCCACCGTTGTCAAGACGGGATATCCCCGTGCAAAAACCGAAATCACCAAAGTCCCCGTAATATGGTGGAAATGCACCTTCCAATGACGCCACACGCCTATCGATAAGCCGCCCACCTTTCCTCCCCATGCTCACCCACGTTCGGCAAGCATCCATCCATCCATCCACCACAAATCCAACCATGACCTCAACACAAACTGCGCCTGTGAATCTGCCCCGCGTCGCAATCACATATTGCACGCAATGTCGCTGGATGTTAAGGGCAGGCTACGTAATGTTTTCACCTTGCTTGAGCGTATGTACATAGTTCACGTGGCGCTAATACATAAGGTGCAGTTTGGCCAAGAACTTCTATCTACGTTTGGCAATCAGATTGGTGAGATTGCGTTGATACCAGCTACCGGGGGTTTGTTTAGTGTGGAGTTGGTATGTGATTTTGCAACACCTTTTTGTTCAATGAGTGATGGAGGTTGATTGTTGGATAAGACATATGTACCCGTGTCAGTGGAGGATGGAGAGAAGGTAGAGGCGAAGAAGGTGTTGCTTTGGGATAGGAAGACCGAGGGTGGATTTCCAGGTACGCATGATTTTCCTGTGGCGGGCATGGATAATGAGGGCTTACATGATGCAGAGACCAAGGTGCTGAAGCAGCGGGTTAGGGATCATATTGATCCTAACCGCGATTTGGGACATTCGGATAAACATGGAAAGAATAAAGAGGACAAGGCTGAAGAGAAGAAGGACGAGCAAGAGCAAAAGGAATCGAATGAGGGCGTGGAGGTGAAGAGGAATCCAGATGGGACAGTCTGTGAGGACTGCAATGCTTGAGAAAGAGACATATCGTTTCGTGTCGCTATACTTTAGGCTGATCGCCGTGAGGACTTTCATGCCCTTGGTCGTATACCCTTCGCTAGGGTGTGAAATTCACCACTCAAACCCCGAAAATACACGAATATGGCAAAAGACATGCCACTCCCTTGGTAAAATTGCACTCTCTGCTTCCGAACGCCTGAGAACTTCCTTTCCATAATGTATATCGGGAACCAATCAACATAATCATCTCACAAACCATAGCGATCGACCTTGTCGAGACGCTTCGTAAGGCGGATATCCATGCGGTGAACATTTTTGCGCATGAGCTCCATCTCGCTGCGCAGCCGCTCAAGCTGGCGATTAGCATCTGCAGAGATCTTTTTCATGTATGCGCGGATGTCTTCGGGAACTTGGCAGTCTGTCTTTGGGGTAGAATCTGAAGGCGCTGACAAGAAGTAGGTACCCTGCTCATTAGGGACGCCTAATGCTTCCACGAGGTTGTCGATGCGTAGGCCATATGACTCAGAGACTTCTACGAGATCATTGTAGCGCTGACCGAGATCCTCCAACTTGATCTTGTAGATCTCGCCTGTGAGGTTGGTGACTGCCTGAGCACGATGAACGAGATTCATCACTTGTCCATGCACGCTGCTGCTTGGAATCATACTTTCGAGGTCGAAACCACCAGCTCCGTATAGACGTGCTGCTGTGAGACCGATGGCGGCACTTGTTGCAGCCCCGAGTACGATCCCAGCGGCGTTCCACAACCAGCTTGTGCGTGACGCGTGCAGACGAGCTTCTCTCTCGGCGATGAGCTCTTTGATGAGGGGCATATCAGGGTTCTGATAGGACTCATCAATGGTAAGCGACTGTCTGAGCAGATCAAGTGCTGCATATACACGTTCAGTTGCTCTAGCACAGTGCTTCAGAAGCTTCTTCAGTTCGGTGGTGACGAACGAGTGCGCAGTACCCTTGCACTCAGCACTCAAAGATGATTCTTCAATCTCATCGATACAGTTGGCGGATTTTTCACTCATGACGCCCATGGCAAACACAGCAATCTGGCTAACGGCGAGAGAAATCTGTGTCGCTCTGCTAAGGTATATCTTGACTTGAGGACGAGGGAGATCGGCCGGCTCGAGTTTGGCCGCTGCTTCATCCAGATCGTTAATTGAGCGACTAATAACGCGGTAGCCTTCGAATTTGGACCATTTGTAGAGGGGCTTGTTGCCATCCTTCTCGGCCTGTATGTACTGCTTGAACTGGAGCATGGCTTCTTCCACTTTCTTCATGCAACCGAGAATGTCATCTGCGACGCGACAGAGATGTTGAGCCTACCAGGATGGTTAGTTCCATACAGCATACATTGAACACGGGGTACTTACTTTGGTCGAGAGAGATTTAAGTGATAGCGTGACCCCTTCTCGTTCAAACCCCTTCTGTTCCTCGACGGGGTTGCTCCGCACAGCGGTCGCGCCGTTAGTCGTCTGGGACATGTCTGGCTTGTTCTCGAGCTTGGACACAGTAGTATAATTGTCGCGCTCAGCGCTAATGCTGCTACTAGTGGATACAGGACCTTCAGATTGCTTGTCGATATTTGCTGTTTGCGTGCCACAAAGCTCTGGCGAGCCCGAGCGACTGTGACCATCGTGGCCGGCATATCGCGCGACGTCCTCGTCACTAGCGATGTCACTCATTGTTAATGATCGTCACAGACTGGTCTTGCTTGAGTCGCGAGCCGGCTGGTTCCGTCCGGATGCAGAGCGAGATCGAGAGAGCAGAGCGGAGGTCAACCAGTCGTTATCGAGTGGTGGGGTCACAGCTGCACGTGAAGTTGGTTTTTTTGGCCCTCACGTCGTGAGAGTGAGGTAAGTCACTCGACAACGATTGGCCGGGGGTGAAGGCTCTCAACTAGCGCGCTTTCCCCATTGAGCCATGTATGAGAGAAGCACTAGACAACCCGTGGAGTCACACCAAACAATAGGGGTGCAGTGATAGGGGCACGTATTGCATTGAGCGCAGTAAATAGAGAATCATGAAAACATGATGCTTTTGTTCGTATTTACGCAGCTTGAAATTCCAGGAGATGACGAAACGCCAAGACTTTGGTCTGACCAAGCGATATGATGAGTCAGATGCGGCAAGCTCAGTTGGCTGATGAAGGAGGTGTGGTTTACTGAATATTGAAGCAACGTACGGATGGAGTTGCTCTGGAGTAATGAAGCACATTGTGTGCTGCGTTGATGTCTAGGTAGGGTTGTGGTAGCCACCAGTTCACTGCAAGACAAGCTACTACTGCAACTCTAGGGCGAACAGTCGCAATCATTGGAAAAGGTGTGGTGGGCGGATGTCATGATTAAAAGGACGCGCGGATAGAGAAGCGGATGCATTGACAAGGGGGGATGCATGCTCTATCTAGTATTGCTGTCATCGGGCTGTCCGTGGTCAACCTGTCATCTGGGGTCGGAGAATTGGCTGGCCGCATATGCAGTACGGGATACCTGTTTCTGGTAATTCAGTGCTGCATGTCGGAGCAGGCATATTCTCTAGCCACAGCACTAGTCTTCTCTTATCAGATGGCTACGTACTCTACGGGAAACTCCAAGGCGTCGTATGCCTTGTACAACGTCGTATGATCAGATTGCTGTCTCAGAACTTCGGGTATAGTTGCCAGATGTTGCACTTCTAGATGAAGACGTCGAGTAGACGTACACAGTACATGCAGCAGGCAGGACTTGGCATAAAGAACTGACACCAGTCGCACCACTGAAGGGTAATGTTGACAAGTTGTGGGCATGAACCAGACCCAGACCCGGCATCACGGGTCGTATAGTGATTCAGACCTTCTGTTTCATGACCCGTGGCAGACGAGGCATAATTCCAACGTCCGTGGCAGATAGTACCTGGTTTGGAATGCCTGTGGTAGAGAGACCAGACTTTGCTGTGAGGCGAGCAGGTCACACAGCCACCACAGCAAGCGAACGTTGGCAAAAGATAGGCCAGTGCATGCATCGATAGATGCGTTGTTGCTGGCCCAGATGCAAATGGCTGGTGTGCGGCTGGGTGAAGGGATCATGGTCTAGTCAAGTGAGGAGAGCCGAGCCCTGCAACGAGCCTAGAACGACGATCATGGCGGGCACCACGGCTTCCCCACTCCGACTTCATCAAAAGAACATATGCATCATCATTCGTTGCTTTGTTGCGACACGCACCCTCTGGCGACAGCACGGGCGACACCCTCGAACGCGATATCGCCATGCAAGTCAACATTACGCACCCGCGCTGGTGGATCGCTGCGACAATTGGGAGCTGTGAAACCCTTGCGAACCTCCCCAGGTAGCCACCCCCCAAATGCCCAGCTACGCCAACTGCCGTGCCACATATCGCGACAACCACCGTCACTTTTGGCCAACAGAAACCATTTCATGCTGCCGTTTGCGACCTCTGTCATCGATATGTGGCCATTGCCATTATGACGCGGGCCGTTCAGAAGATACGGTTTCCTCCCGCGCTACTATTACCACTACACCACCCGGATCGAGGACGAATCCCTGGCGGCTGGGAAGCCCGGCGACTTGGAGGCGACCAACGCACGCCACTGACTGCCGATCCCGCATTGGGGAAGATCATTGCGCAAATCCGTTCTACGGGCATCTATCGAAGCTCCCACACCAAACAAAAGCGCCAGTGGGTGCTCAACCGGCGTCGCATCCTAGCAGTCAAGACAGCTCGAGGATGGAGGCGCGACAAGGGTCTATCGACATACAAATTTGCTTATTGTCCCACGTGCGGCTGCGACAACCTTCTGCTTAGTTCCGACTTCACCGGAGGGACTAAGAAAATCGATGCTAGATAATCCCTGTCTGTGCTCGTCGAGCATCGCAGTCTGCGGCACGCATGCACCCTCTTATTTAGCCCGACATGTCCTGGAAGCCTAGCGTTGAGGAGCTTCACGAACTTCTGAGTCCCCGCCGCACCCCATCGAGATCACAAAGCCTTTCCATCGGTAGAGCTAGGTCCGTGGATCAGGAAGTTTCCGTGACTCCGTTGGGCGGACTGCTTCCCTCGCGAAAGCCATCACTTACATCTTCGATATCACGTCATAGCCTAGTCGTAGGCCGTCGCATGTCCTCTGGCTTTGTTGGGCATGATACCGTGACCAGTGTGATTGCGCCCACAGTGAGACAAAGGTCCTCGAGTTGCTCTGCGACAATCCACGCTTCAATGCAACCCACCAAGATCCAACGATGGTCGGGTTTGACACGTACTGCCAAAGACTGGGACCATGGCCTAAGAAGGGTATGTTGAGGCCATCGTGCTCCAAGACTCTGCTAACAGCGCGAAAGGACCCCGAATTGTGGTATGAGGATGGTGACTGCTACGTCCATCTGCACGCAAAGGGTGCTTCGCGGCGCGGTCCGTCTTTTCGTATCCCTTTTGCAGTATTGCGACAGAAAAAATGCAGCGCCATGCTGAGTCAGTGTGATGCTCAGCTTGCATCTACATCGACAACTGCGTCCGAACCGCTAAGGCGAATGCCCAGTTCACTTACTAATTCAAGTCGACAAGCAAGTTCGGTCGAACTCTTCATACCTACGCCCAATGAGGTCACTCGACAAAATGCTTTCAGGTGGCATATCACAACTCGCAACTTCTTCGCCTTCCTATTGGGAAAGCCATTAGTGGGTGAGCACATGGGTCAAGCTTTCGTGGATCTCCAAGAAAGGTTATGTCTCTTCCGGCCTAGCGATGTCAACAACCGCGAAGATTTTCTCGATTACATTGAAAATCAAGGCTATCGGGATTTGGTCGAGTGCACTGATTATGCGCTCGCGAGTCTCTTCTACGCAGAGCATTACAAGCTTAGAGACGTTTGGGTTGACGCGTTCGCCCATTGTGTTGGCATGAACGATAGCCTGATTCTCAGCCCAGAATTCGCGGTACGAGGACCCTGTACATTGATCAAGACTAGTACTAATACCAACTTATAGGCGATATCGAGACTCACCAAGGCCTTAATCACAAGAGCTCATGTCGAGGTCGGTGCCCATCTTGGGCGTGTATCGACTGCCCTTAGCAATTTCCTTGAAGAAGACCTCTCGCCGAGCTATCTTGGGCTGACTGATGCGACTCGAAGCCATCTTGACCGATTTCGTCGATTCTTACATACCTTCTACGTCGACAAGTTCGGTTATTGGCCACCGCCACAGGGCCTTAGCTTCCCCAAAGCTCTATACAAGTCGATGTATTATGACTTCAAAAATCTCTACGATTATCTCGTAGATACCGAGTCAACGATTGATATTTCGTCACAAAAGCCCGCAAGTGGTGGCATATGCGTTCTGCAGAACGTCGTTACATTCGACCAAAGACTCCATTTCAACTCACAACCGCACCCATTGCCGCTTCTACCAACATACCTACCGCCTCCCAAAAGGACAGACTCATACAAAGCGTTGAGGCAGCTGACCCTAGCGACACAGCACAACAAGACCCATACCCATCACGCGATGAGCGATGCTTTGCTAGCCGCGACAAACACTCCAAGCCGGCATATGGCGGAATCCAAGATCGTCCAGGCCTATATGCATTTCGAGGAGGTTCATGCTGCGACTAGCGGCCAGCGTGGGGAGAAGATAACAGCAATGGATGCACGCAAAGTGAGATGGCTGTTGATATACGGCACTCTGCAGTATCTTTTATCTGCTCTGCAGTCTCCCAAGGAGGTTCGAGATGCCGAAACTCCAGAATACCCCCTGTGTTATGTTGCTGAACCAGCAATATCGACTACAAACAGCAGAGACGTAACCCCTTTGGCGACTCCTTCCATTCAAATACCTGAGAAGATTGACGAGACCCTTTCGGAATCCCATGCCACCTCTTATTCAATACAACCAGATTGCCAAAGGGAAGACTATTTCACCCCAACAAATCGAAGCCGCCGTGGGTCCTTGGAGATTGCACCACTAAAAGTGTCTCAGTCGCAGCGCGAATCGTGTGTGCGGTTCTCCGCGATTCGTTCCCTGTCCACTCGGAGCTCGCGGAGGAACAGTCTTACGACTACCCAATACTCGCCAACCACTTTATACGGATACGGTGAGGAGTTACACCTTTCAGTGCCATATTCTCCGCCTTTCGCAAAGCCACGCCCGGCGTCCTCCGTTTACTCCCAACAATCCCCCACATCGATTATATTCGACGAGCACAAGGTTGAGACATCGTGGTTCAGATCGCGAACGCCTTCTGCATCACGAAGCAGGCATGCCTCCATAGCCAGTATTGATGCCGGTCCCACAAATCAGGGCCGATTCATCGGCACTGGTGAGCCTCCCTGTCGATCGGATAGCACTAGTTCTACAGGAAGCTCAGTATGGAGCGAAGGAGCAAGTGCAGTGTCGTCAAAGTCAAGCACTTGCGGAGAGCATTTTACCCCCAAGGCCAGCGATGCAGAGGAAAGCGGCTTATTGGGCGGTCTTGTCTCGGTCGCAATACCAATAAGTCCAGCAGAGAGTCACATCCATCCGCTATTGCGGCAGCAGTCCCTAAAACACGAGTTCCAGTTTGGTTTTGACACTGAACCAACGCGTACCCACAGTGTCCACGAGCCAACCGATGTCACCTCAACCATCGGCATGGCCGTGTCCACCCCATGTGCACCCGTGTCTAGCGTACAACTTGCTTTGGAGAGACAGTGTACCTTTGCTCCTTTTGGGACACCATCGCTCATCTCACAAGAGGAACTTTACCTTTCCTCGCAATGCCTTTCTATACAATCAGCTTTAGAAAGGACGTCTTCAAAGAAAGACCGTGGAAGGTCTTCAACCTTTAGCTCGCCCCCAAGTGGCTATTGGGAGCAATATAGAGCTACCCTCACACAGCAAAAGGCAAGGTCAAGCGCCGGATCGCCGTCGCCGTTGAACGCGAGCTCTGCTCTGCCGTCAATGTCCAGATTGCCTACAGTTTTCAAGGTACCTTCGTTTCGCCTTTCCAAGCCAGGTGAAGAGGAAGACCGTAGCGTCAAGAGTGAGCGAAGGAAGTCCACTTTCTGGCGGCGGTAATCATGCTCACCGCCATGTACTTTCTAATTTGAGCATCCTTACCATACGATGTTAGCGATTCGCATTCTTCGTACCCATGCTCCCAAAACTTTCAAACAAACATGTTGTATACCCTCTTAGCTACGAGTAATTCTTCTCTTGTACCAATAAAATAGTCACGATTCGATGAAGCATAAATAACAATTACCAACCTTTGGATTTCTATCTGTATGCGGCAATGTGTTGTTCGTTCTGTAAGCTGACTGCACAACAGTTGTGTGGTAAGTGCCAACGCTGCCACAGTGACAGCACCCCCACACGGCTATTGCGACCTACAAAACCCCCGTCATAGATGTTGTAGATCTCCATACTACCGATGACATTTCACTCTAGGGTATAGAGGGGAGATGCGACAAGTGTTTGTTGCAAGTGTATAGAAAGGTATTTCCAGCGACACGTCAAAGAGTCGGCTATGACAGGATAGATGGCAGTTGTTGTCTTGAAGAGGTTCTGAGGCCGCCCTCGCGATGTTGCTAGAGGGCTTAGAGTTCGTGTTCGCCTTCCACCATCTTAAACGCGTGACTGCGCTACGACGCACGCTGGACGATACGTACAACCATCCGGTTCCCATTGCAAGACTCAGATTTTGAGCGGATCATCTTGTACCTATACTTGGATCTCACTCGCAGAACAAACGCGGTGATAACGCAGAAATCCGTCCACCCTCCGCTGTCACTTGTATCTAAGAATAGAACGGGCGTGAGCGGATTTGCGATGATTTCGGTCTCTTTTCACCCAGCGATTGATGCCGAGATCCGAGTAACTGCTTTAGTGCAAACTATCGATAGCGCCCGCTGCAGGCGTGGTCTCGGTGACGTACGTTCACACTAACTTTCGCTTTTGATCGGGGTAGAGAGATTGGGAGCACCGGTTTGCTGATTCTTATCTTGTCTTGATGTTGTGGGGAGTGGTTGTCATCCGGTGATGTTCTGTCAGAAGTCACGGCCAGTTGCTTACATAGGGCCGATCACTCCTTCCACGAGTAAGCGCATCCGCCGGGTAGAGTTGGCATGTCTTCCAACCGGTAGAACACTCGCCATAGTGTGCTATTATTAGGCCGGCTCTCTTGTTGCTTGCAGCTTGAGTGCGGTGTGCGGCTCTGGAATTTTCCTACGGCCTCTTGGTCGTTCATCGAAAGAGTTGACCATCAGACCCTCAGAGGATCACTCAAAGAGTTGGTCCCAAGCTTGCCAGCACAAGTGCAGTGCGCTTTGAAACGATGACGAAGATGCCCTAAATTTACGTATGCCCAGCATCACGTTCTCTACCGTCCCTCTCCCATTCCCATATTCCAGAACTGCCGGTACGTAAGTATCACGCCAGGTCGTTCTGCCGAGATGCAAGAAAAGAAAGATTGCAGATTGCATTGATGAAGGATCACACAGCGCAACCAGCGTATACGAAATCTAGTCTTAAGTGTCCATTCGCGAGGATCATTGCCATGTACATCATGCCACTAGCGGCCAACCTTCCGGCCGTTTAAGTAGATTCGGAGGTTACCCCCTTGTCGCCGTGGCAAATCCGCCGTGGCGCGTTGCGTTCGGAGTAACATCATTGCTCGGATGCAATTTAGGCTGGGGGAGAAAATACGAAATGGGACCGCATCCGTGGCATTCATCACCAAGCTTTCAAGTAAGACACCGTTAGTTAATATTAGCAACGCTGTTATAAGTACAACAGGAATATCCGTCTTAACGATCCTCACCCCCAAAATTCATCAGCTATTTAATATTTGAACATCTCCACCACCAGAAAACCAAGCACCATCACCATCAACATGCAGTTCCTCGCTCTCGCTGCCCTCTTCGGCGCTGCCATCGCGGCACCCCTCAGCCTCGATCCCAACTTCGAGGAGACGATTACAATCACAGCCTACACGCTCGTCCTCCAAAACGGTGGAATCCACAACGTCGTCTTCAACCTCACCGGCAACGACGCCACCAACCTCGACTGCAGAAGCAACGACTCTATCGAAGACCTCTCAAAGATATACCAGTGCGGCAAATTTGCCAACGTCACCAACAGCCCTTACAGCTTCGGCCTCTATGCAACTAACGAGGACGAAAGCGGCTACGGGCTGCGTCTCTACCACGCTTTCGGAGTCGGGTAAGTTTTTTTTTACTCTACGTTCTTGAATGATGAAATAATGACTAACTGTCTGAATAGTATCGGTTTCTACGGCGAGGGTGTTCTCAACACCACATGCACCAGATTCGAGCCTGTCCCTATTAGCCCCACGTACTGCTCGCAGACCCTTCAAAATCCCGTCGCCAGAATCCCTATTGACTCCAAGGGTGCGTTCCCGAATTAGAGAGCTTGTCGCAGTAGTACGCGCAGCAGCGCTTATACTGAGTGTCAAGTTGTTGTAAATGTTGTTATTTTGTACATACATTACCCTTCAATAAAAACCGGTGTCAAGCGTAGTAGTTCTTGACCGTATTCCGACAGTGTAATGTACGTTTGGTTTGAGATACTGACGTTAAAACACGATATCATGTGTCTTTTTAGTTTTTTTTTTAAAAAGTTTTTGGGGATGTTTTTCGAGCTCTGATACCATGTCCGTGCGCGTTTTGGCCACGTTCGCGTTTTGGCCACCCCAACACAACAATCACCTATACAGAACACGTCATAACTCCACCACCATGGATCCGATTCAAAAAGCGATTGAAGAAATCGAATCGCGCGCATTAGGTGCACCATTCTCGTACTCAGAAGTCGCAAAAAGACATGGTGTAGGTCGCCGTACGCTAGCTCGAAGACACCAGGGCCAAAACCAGCCGCATACGCTCGCCTATAGAATCCTTCACCCACACCAAGAAACCGAACTGTTAAAGCATATTACGACGCTTACTGAGCGACGTACGCCCCCTACACGAGCAATAATACGCTCCCTTGCGTCGTCTTTGGCTGGTAGGGAGGTTTCAGAAAGCTGGGTTACTCGCTTCATCAACAGAAACCCAACCCATCTCATCTCACGCTGGCAGACCGGGATAGACCGCAATCGCCACAAGGCTGATTCAGGAGCTAAGTACAGCTTATACTTCGAGCTGTTACACAGTAAGATAAAGGAGTACAATGTAGAGCCCTCCCACATCTTCAATATGGATGAAAAGGGCTTCATGATTAGGGTAACTGGGAGATCGAAAAGGGTCTTCGACAAGAGGATATACGATCGAAAAGGGATTACAGCTGCTGTTCAGGATGGCTCTAGAGAGTAGGTGACGGTGCTAGCCTGTATCTGTTCGGATGGTACAGCTCTATCGCCAGCGCTTATCTTCCAGTCAGCTGCTGGAGCCCTACAATCGAGCTGGACAGACGCAATCAACAAAGAAAAGCACTAAGTCTTCATCGGCTCATCCCCTTCTGGCTGGACAAACAACGATATAGGACTTGCCTGGCTTAAGGAGGTTTTTGAGAGAGAGACTAGATGGAAAGCTCGCTTAGGATACCGATTACTACTCCTTGACGGCCATGGATCCCACGTAACTATGGATTTTATCAACTACTGCAATGACCACAAGATCCTGTTACTCGTGTTTCCTCCTTATGCAACCTATACGCTTCAGCCGCTTGATGTTGGGATGTTCAAGCCTCTCTCGACTGCCTACTCAACTAAGCTTTCATCCCACCTTTATAGAAGCCAGGGGCTTATCCCAGTAACGAAAGGAGACTTCTTTCCTCTCTTTTGGAGTGCCTGGGCTGCTGCTTTTAAACCTCAAACTATCATGAAGTCGTTTGAAGCAACTGGGATACACCCACCTAACGCTGAGGTTATACTCCGAAGATTCCGCAAAGAGGCATCAAGCTCAGATGAAAGCTCAACTTCTGTGCTTAGTGCAGAAGACTGGCTTAAAATCAAGACTCTTATATCTCGTCAAGTGCGAGATAAGGACGCAAAGGATACAAAGAAGATTTACCGAAGTCTCCACTATATCTCAGCTCAACTTAGTATCCTAAGCAGTGAAAACAGGGACCTCAAGGAGGCTCTTTTAGTGAAAAAGAGACATAGGAAGAAGAGCTATACTCTAAACGTCAACAACAACCATGAGTATTATAGTGGTGCTCTTCTTTGGTCTCCTCGTAAGGTCCATCGGGCTCGGGACGATAAAGCAGTTCGACAACAACAAAAACAACAGGAACAACTTCAGAAAGCTGAGAGATCTCAGATGAAGGAGCAAGCTCGGTTGTATAGGCTTCATCAAGCTCAGGAGAAGCGTGTTGAGAAAGAGAGGCTCAAGGAAGTGAGGGAGAAGGAGAGAGCCGCTAAGGAGGCTGAAAAGGAGCGCCAGAAAGCAACTCGCGACGCTGAAAAAGCTATACAACTGTCCCAAAAGGGTAAGCGTAAGGCCTCACAAGCCTCTAAGCTACCTAGAAAGCGTCAGAAACGTGCCGTTGTTGTTCCATCTCATGTTCAAGCTGAGGAGGCTGCATCAGCCGCCCCAGCGCGTACCACCCGCCTTGGCCGCAAAACTAAGCTATCAAGTAAATACAAGTAGCACAAGTTAATCGCAATGATATAATTACTACAACTCCACAAGATTTCGCATTAATAGCTATTGTTGCTGGTGATACAGCCTCATTTTTCTGGTATCTTCATGTTGTTGGGGTGGCCAAAACTCGAACATGGCCAAAACGCGCACGGACATGGTAAGCTAGGATTAGCTGAATGATGATTATGACTTCTACATGCGAATGACAGGCTTTGGATTATGTGATGCTTTTTCCCTGTGTCTAACTAGTGAGCGGGCATTGAAGACAAGGACTTGATCACTATTGTACATACACGCACTTGGCTACACGACGCTGTCTGTTTCTCTTGCATGATAGCATTACATTAGAACGCTGTGCTTACAGCAACATACAGCGCATTCAAGAACTAACTTCTAAACTTCAAAGACCAATAATGTGATAGCAATAACACCATTATCGCCCTCTTTCTCCAATGTCCACAAAAGCCCCGTCTTCTTTCTCTCCCCTAACCTTCTTACCCAACAACCCCTCACTAGCATCTACTCCCGAAACCCACTTCTAGCAACACAAAATCCACAGACAGTAACAAGCACACACAAAACATGCCCAACACCCCCCTCCTCCTCCTCTCATTCCTCTCCATAGCAATATACCTCCTCACCCCTCGTCCTCGTCCCCGTCCTCGTCCATACCCCCCACCACTCAAGCAGACAGAAAGCCTACAAGATTCCGTCTTCGATATGTTGCTCGCGCGTGATCTACCACATAAAACTAGTGGAGCAGAAAGTGTGCACAGCAACAATGAAGACGTAGACCAAGCGCAAGACCAGGGACAGAGAATAGATGTACCACGTAGGACGAGTATCCGATGGACCGACGACAGTAACAGCGAGCTAGGAGAGACTATGCACGTGCGCGTAAACGGTGATGACGACATACGGGATCTATTATATGATAGTTTGAGTGGAGTTCGTTCTTCGGGTTTGAATGGGAATGGGAGTGCGCGTACGGCTTCTCCACCGCCACCTCGCACACTTCATTCTCCCTTTATCTATTCCCCCAGTCCCTCCTCCAGCCCTTCCCCCGGCCAAATCCACAACGCACGTATATTCTTCTCCCCCCAAACCCTCCCCCCACTCACCCCCCTCCTCCTCACCCTCCAGCACACCACGCCCCCCCTCGACCCTTGCGCAATCCGGTCCATCCTGCGGCAACACATTATAGACAGCGGTTTGGCGTTTGCTGATGCAGCGTTTAGTGTGCCTATTAACCGGGATGGACGTGTGAGTGTCCAGCGTGGGGAAGGAGATAGGGGAGGACAGGCTTTGATTGGGGAAAGCGCGGGGTGGTGGGATGAGGTGAGGGAGTGGGAGTGTGATGTGTTGAGGGGAGATAGTGGAGAAGAAGAAAGGGGGGAGGTGGGGGTTTGGAGTTTAGCTGGTGCTGGCGATGGCGATGGTGATGGTGATGGTGCTGGTACTACTATACCGCACGACGGTAACGCCACTACTGTCGTACATGCCGCTGGGGAGATACAGAGCAATGGAGTGGTGGGTGGCCCGGCAACAATACCAGTAGAGACAGCGAGACTAAGACGAAGGTCTGCGATCCAAGATCTAGGAAGGGAGTTTTGGATGCAAGATGAGTATCAACACGCACACGTAAATGGCGTAAATGGGATCGATGGCGGTGAGACGGGTACGCATAGGGACACGGATACGGGGGTTGATACGGAAGTAGGTGCAGAAGTGGAAGTGGAAGTGGAGGATGGGTGGTGGCGGATCAGACAAGGCGATGGAAGCAGTAGTAGTAGTATAGCGTAGGGTGACGACAGTATCGAAGAAGAGATAACGAGACATTAGGTTAGTCGTAAGAGGGGAGGCAATAACGATGATGAGACACCTACCATAAACGGGTGGGTGAATGATGCGAGACAAGGATGAGTAGATATTTTAGTATTCATCCATTCAATCTTCATCCTATCCATTCCCCCAAGCCGTTCCACATACATTTGCATAAAACTACACATGAAAAAAAGTCACTAGCTCCAAAGCCGCTCTTCTCGCGTATTAATCGTACAGATAAACCAAAGCTGTCAACATATTCACCCCGCTATGACCCAGCAGACACGCAATCACATACCCGCAGCACCACGACGCCCTCTCCCGGAATAATACTCAACACTCTCCATCCCCTGACCAATACCATCCTGAAAAGCCTGCATAACCTGCTGATAAAGATGCACTCTCGAACGCAGCGCCAGTGCAAAAGCACTAGCAATAGAACTCGTAGTATGAATATCTGTGGCGCTGTTCGCTTGAACACTGAATGAATCGACCAGGCTAGCCACCAAGCCTTGAACATGTGCCAGACTCACGTTTTTGCGGTGCATGCCAAAGGTTCGACACACAGCGGCCATTGCCTTGGCCGTTGTAGTATTGAGCATCTTGTTCTGGGCGCGCATTTTGGACGAGACAGAACTGGTTCTTTTTCCGGGCTGGATGCATTGTAGGCTTAGTATTTCACTGCATGTTTGGTCCTGGTTCGAGAGGGACTGCAGGTCTGCGAGTGGGAAGTGTGAGAGGATAGCATCGGCTTGTACGTCGGCCCAGACCATTCGTTCTAGTTAGTGTTTTGTTAGCAAAGTCCAGGAAAAAGGTAGTGTGTTATCGGATTACCAGCGATGCCTTTATAATTCGCCCAAAAAGCGAGCCCGTCCCGCTTTAGCATCCGCATTATTTCCGCTCCGGGCATTGTCTTGTTGGGTTCGTTGAGAACTGGGTGGTCTAGCGCTACTATATTGGAAAACATAATGTTAGCTGGTTTTTCTCAGTCCATAGCGAAAAGCTCGAATGAGACACATACTGATTGCGATTATTGGCTCTTTCATATTCGATGCTTTCACCAAGGCCTGCAAGAGGCTAGTCGAGACGGAAACAAATGTCGAGGCACCGCCACTCAAGGAAAGATGCAGGTTAGTCAAGATCTTGAGAGCTTGGAGACCTTGTGCTTCTTCTGGAGAGAAAGGCGGTGGATAATCCCCACTCCAGAATCGTGCAAACGCTTCGCTAACAAAGCCGTCTTCTTCCGTGAACATGGTTCTGCTATCCCCGTCCCAGACGCGGAAGCCGATGTGACGGGTACTAGGATGAGGTCTTGATGGAGTTCCATGTGGAACAATTAATGAAGTTCTAGGCAAAATGCTCCTCGAAGCCAGAGGTTCTTCTACATCGAAGAATATGTCTTCAACTTCCCATTCAGGATTGGGAGCTAGAGTCGTCCGCCCTATCAGGCAGGCTCGTAAAGGTTTCTCCGGCTCTGGCTCTGGCTCTGGCTCCATGGATTGTGGTTGTCTGAGTACGCGAAGTTTCTCCCTTTCCTTCTCCGCAGCACGTCTAACAAGGTTCCTATAATGTTTACGCGTCTTTGGTGATTTGGCCGACCGTGCTTGCCCCGATTCGAATATCACCTCAACCCTTCTGCGCGGTAGATTAATACCAAATTCAATTGCTGTATTATCAATAATATCGCGAATCTCATTGTATACCTTGGGGTCAGAGAAAGGAACTGCCATAACCCGCTGGTACTCTGGGAACGCCCGACCGCCGTACAGCAAGATGTAATTATTGAATTGGTTTCGTACGATACGGGGTGAAAGCTGTAGACCGGTCACCGCGTTGAAAACCTGTGAGATGGATGTTGGTGTCGCGTCTTCATACCATCGATGGAGAATGACTAGGAGCTCTCTTTCGTCTTCGTCCCAGTGATGGGGTGGATCTCTTTCTAAACCTCGTAATGCTATGAGTGCTGCTCTACCGCATGAATCCACCGCCTGTGGTACGGTATCGGTCGTTTCTCGTGAGGTGGCCATCCCAGAATCCAAAGGCTTTTGCAGGGGGTTCGCAATAGGTGTCTCCAGTAGTTGACTGGTAAGTCCTCGATTAGGACAAGGCGAGGAAGCAACGAACTCGTAGTCAGCCCAATCTGACCCAGAACTCGCTGAGTTTGAGGGACTCTGTGGAGATCCAGTAATATCCTGTCCGTCTGTTGGCCGCACAGGAGACTCGGATTGCCCGTACAGCTCAATGCCGGATAATAGATTAGAGAAAGTCGACGACGATACCGAACGAGCTCGTATTGTTGATGATGATGCGTCTTGCATATGGCTTCCCTTGTCAGCACAAGCAGTAGACGGACTCGATGACCGCAACGTGTAAAGATGCTGCACAAGCTCATCTTTTACATGTGTCCCAGAGCTGAATTTTTCGATGGAAGGAAGGATCACTTCTTCCTCGTCGTCGTGACTACCACCTAGAGAATCTGTGGCGCTGTCAGCACCTGCTTTGTAGTGTTGGAAGGAGGAACAAGTTAGTCCTACTTACCTTGTATATCCTCTTCTTTCAGTGTCTCCCATGGTTCCTGTGGCTCTTCTGGTATCAAGTCCAATGCAGTTTCCGTAGCCGGCTGCCAAAGCATAACGCCAGCATCTGCTGCCTCCCATGTATGTCTTGATGCCATGATTAGAAAGCTTCAAGAAGTAGAGAAGTAGCTTTTGTTCGTAAGCATTCACAGCGTCGAGAGAGATAGTAATTGGGCTGGGTAAAATCGTCAAGGATTGAGAAACCCAGGTACCTGAAGACGCGTCGGACTGAACGCGACGCGCTTTCGCGCCATGGAAGACGATATAAGCCTGTTCCACGCGTCATGAGCGCGTCTGTTAGCGTGTAAGGCAGTGAAGGAAGCGACTGCTGACGACCCAGGCCAGCACAATTACTAAGCAATACGGGGATAGTGTGTCTCAGGTGAGTGGGCAAGCATAGACTGTCAAGCCGGTGAGTTGGATATAGGCCGGCTCGATGTCTTTGCCGTGAATATGGTTGTGAGTGAAGCATCGCTTGAGGTTTGAAACGGGCAATCGCTAGTCATCCATCAGATAGCTTGGTACGGCGAGGCTAGCTGATCGTTCGGTCTGCTCTTTTCATATAACATAGTAACATTGGAATGGAAAATGTGTTGCGAAACAATCGTTGACATACAATGAAACAGCTTCAATCATTCTTACTGCTGACACATACTTACCGTGAGGTTTACTGAGCCGAATGATGTGTAGGGCGGGAAATTCAAACGCAGAGAAACCGAGATAGCGAAAGATACTCTGGATAGAAGCCGATTATATAAAATTTGGAGAGGAAGCCGTTATGATCGGGCGTTGTAGGTAATAGTAGAAGTTCACGCCAAAAGACTCAAGATAACGTAAAGAGTTGAGATGTCTACGATCTCGAAATTGCAGATACCCTCCCACGCTACGTTACATTCGTTATTCGGTTATTCGTCGCTGAGAGTCATGCGAAATGGGGGTACAAGACTTTTGGCCTGAGATATCCTAGGCTAAGGATCGCCATTGGGGAAGATGTATATTCAAAAGGATATATTTCGTGAGCGCCTGCGCCACATGTTGGATACTGAATGTGGAAAAGCCAGCTGATTCGGATTCGTGTGAGCAGAAACGCAAAGAGATAGAAGAGGATGATGTTGGTGGGCCTGAAGGCCGCTTATGCGATAGATAGGGAACGCCACCCTCGGCGTCGTCTGCAACCCCATGTCCAAACCCGAATGAGAGCAACGGTGACGGGTTTTCGGGTGTTGCATAAGCGCCTGAACGTAGTGCTATGGCTGCTGCGAACGTGCATATGCGAGGTTCAAAGACCGCATACTGGATCCAGAGCGTGACCGCACCCGCAGACGGGCCACGGCCGGTTCGACCGCAATTTGATTTTTACGCCCCGAGTGGTAGCCACCACCACCACCACCACCACCATCAACGCCTAAATCATGCGGAAATGCGCGCTGCTTGCGACAATTGAAGAATAGACGGTCGCTCATTTGTGACCATGTTCGGTGCAGATCTTCCTCACAACCCACTTCTCCCAGAATTTTCGTTGTTGATTGGTGACCATGATGCCATCATCACCCAAAGCCTCAACACTATCCATGTGGCCGTTGCAATTGCACCAAGTAACCGAAGCTGGGGTGTCGGGCATTGGCGGGAAATGTAGAATGCCACCTTGCTCGGGCTCATCGGTCTCGGCATCCGAATCCGTGCCAGCCATGGAGCTGTCGTCGGGTTCATCCCCGCTACCACTGTGGTCATCCGAGGGATCCAGATCCTCTTGTTCGTGTTCGTATTCCCAGTCGCTTTCGTCACTGCTGTCACTCCCGACCAGTGGATCGTCTGGAACCTCGGCCCCCAGGACTACCTGCTCATCGAAATGCTTTTCATAGTCGATTCGTCTTAGACTGATCCAGTCGAGTTTGACGAGATCATCTCGTAGGCACGGAAGCACGTCATTCCAGCGACTGCCTTCTTTAAGAAGTACATCGCGAAGACGCAGACCGCGCAATGTTTCTCGGTGTCTCTGAGCCAGGCCGATAATTTCGTCAGCATCGAGACGCCATGCCTGGATTCCAAAGGCGTGTAATTTTTCCCATTTGACGTTGTGGAAAAGCTCCTCTAGTCGAAGAGTGAGTGGGCGGTAGGAAGGAAAGCCAACGTGTACAGCCTCAATATTCTTAGCTGCGGTAAACACGGCCTTGGACAAGGGGGATAGACGGCGCATGCGTTCGTCCAAATCCGTACTGTCATCAAAATGTAACTCTAGACAAGTCAAGCGTTCGGCGAGGACGCCCATGGCCGTGGGCGGATCGTTAGCGGCACCTAGGACGCTTTGGGGGCTCAGCATCGGCGATGAGAAGCGTGAGCATGGTGATCGGGAAGCGAGGAGGGCCTGACCCATAGTCTTCGCACTGTGTAAGCATGCTGGTGGCCATTTCGGCACCAAATCGGTCAGTTCGTCGTACTGCCTCATGTAGTGGATCAGTTCACCCTCTTGTCGATCCTGAACTCGCAGGATCTGGATATGCTGGAGGGAGGTGAATCGCTGGAGGGCAAATTGGAGGACTCGAGCATCCTCTCTCGTTCTTACAATGTCCTTTTGTTCATTCACCTTGTCTTGAAAGTGTCGGAGATCAACAAGGCCGAGGCTTTCTGGGCGCGTACGGAGGAGTTCTTGTATGCGTTCCCGTCCTGCTGATGGGTCAGTGTCGTGTGAGCAGTCCAGAGCTGGAGCGGGTACCTTCGGCGTAGAAGAACGGCACCATGTAACTAAACTTCTTCACACGGCCCGCAATGTGCGGCTCATTTGCGATCCTCTCCAGACGGCTAAGACCCCTCCTTGAGAAGCGTGTCGTAACGCGCGAGAACTGATGGATGACACCGAGGTCGGAGAACTTCCTGCACGTCAGGCGAAAGGCAGCAATAGTTTGGACCTGGTTGTCTTCTTGCGGCACGGGCAGCTTGAAGCTCTCCTGGGAGAGATAGGCGCGGCGCTCCAGACTGATGGGCTTTTCAGGCTCAGAGGCAACATATTCGAGGATGATGCGAAGAAGCTCATCGGCAAGATCGAGGATACCCATTTTATGTGGGACCATGCATGACGGCTGTAGAGAAAGCCGTCTACCACTCAGCCCTCCAGCAGCCTAGGAGTAGTGGGCACTGCACCGTGGATATAGGGTCAGTTGGTGGCAGGAAAAGATCGGGCCGGGTGGGTGGACAGATGTGGCGGCAAGTAGTTGGATAGACAAGTAGCAGCAGCAGGTGGTTGTCTTGTGACAACGTGGTGTTATCCGATGGCAACGTCCGGTTCGATGGCAAGCGGAGAGAGGCCAGAGGGGCACGGTCGGGGAGAGACAGGCAAAGGCATGACCAGTTTGCCAGTAGTCAGCTAAGCGTCGCTGAAGTTGCGGAGGGACGACTGGACACGCAACCTGCACTTGCAGCCACAACCCTGTACGCCCGCTGCAAATCTCCAATGGCACACGCCCACTTAGCCTGCAAACCGCCTAGCGCTCACATGACCTTCGCTCGACGCGGCCGCCCGCCATAAGCACCCGTCGAGTGACGGGAACATGGCTCCTCCCGAGCGATAAGAATCCATTCGTCCTTGTCGACGGCTGCACAACATGACGGGGTGGGGCAGCAGCCCATGTCTCGATTCGAGCCTGCTTCGAATCAAATTTCCGTCGCCTCGCTGCGTTGCCAACGAAGCATTGCATGCATCTGATGCGCTTGTGACGCCAATCACCCGACCCACATTCCGTCATCCGGACCATTACCACTGCCGTGTACTTGGGTGGCCTTGGCTGGATGCTGGAGAGACAGCTCTCTGCTGACGACATGGGCTTGAATAGAGCCGCAAAACGGGCTGAGACGTGTATCAAGCATGCATGCGCCGGAGGGGAGTGCGTTGTCACGATTCGTCTGCATATAGTATTCATGGCCTCAACTTCACACCTTGGGTATGCTCCTGCGGTGTTACCCGCGAGCGCATCATGACAATCACATACGTCCAAACTGCCCACTGTTCCTCACCTGATAGCGACGTGTTGCCCATGTACGGTACAAGCCCTATACTTGACCCGGCCCGCTAACGTCATGCGGACTTGCGCCGTCGTGTATCGTTGCACAAACACTCACCCTAGACGACTCGTCGCCTCGTCGCCTCGTCTTTTTCATGTCGTCGACTTGGATTGGGCCACATATCGCCAGACGCTGAAAGACGTGTCTGGCCGTCGGTTTGCTACCCCGGTCAGGCTCTCATGTCCCTGTCAGAATATAGGAGCCTATTAGTGGCGGAAAAGCGGCAGAAAACAATTCTTGATGACTTCAATGGGCTGAATATGCAGCGATGCCATCATATATTCCGACGAGGACGTGCTTCCGCCCTGAGTTATGTACGCTCGCTCCGTTTGCGACGGATCTCGGTACTGCTCAGCTTGCTCTGGAACGTCTCATCCACGTTGTCTTCTTCGCTGGCATCGAGAACGGCAACTTCAAACACCTCCAGGGGACCCCACCCCTGCTCAACCCGCTTTTTGTTGACGGCAGCACCCCCACTCCGCGTCTCGAGGGAGAGGACCAAGGCAGAAATGTCCCTGTCGGTGATGGTTGGGCCAAACGGATCCCAGATCTCGACATATCTGATGGTCAAGCCGAAAGGATAGTCGACGTTGACGACATGTCCGTTCGGCCCGGGAGCTTGGACTTCTCGTATGCAGACGCGCTCATCATTCTCGGGGCCAAAGTAGACGAGAGAAGAAAGGAAAGCGTGTACGGATCGTTGGCGCTCCTTCCAGCTTTCCAGGTGTTCAGCGAATTTCTTATTCTGTAGCAGGGCGTCGCCGGTGATTCCGACGGTGAGTACACTTGGGGGTGCATCGGGGGTAGACGGCGATCTTCTACCAAGCATAAAGGCAGACATGGTGATCAGAAGCTTGTGACCAATATGTAGATGATCGAATGTCCCCCCAACAGCGACGGAGAGGTGATTCACGGCCTGGTCGGCCGAGGGCTCTGGTTCTGAGGTTTCGACACTGACTATACCACCCCGGACTTTGGTAACAGCTTGCTGAGAGATGGACGAGGAAAGAAAGCTCTTTAGCACCTGCTCGCCCTCTTCGCTCTCGACAGAGTAGACGGCGTCCCAGACTCGCAAACTCTTGGCTAGTGTGTGCATGTCGATCACCGGTCCTTGCAGCTCTTGCTCTGGAGTAGCATCAGGCAGGGGCGCCGTCAACTGACCATTCCTGGGATATGCAACGAGCACAACGCGGGCGTCGATGCCCTCATCATCCTCTGTGTCGATGGCTTCTCTGCTCGCAGTGATGCAGATGAGCTTGTAGAGGTCGGCCACGAGCTGCTGAGTGGTAGCGTAGTGCAGTGCCCGTGGCGCATCAAGATGGCCGTATAGATGCGGACATGGCAATACAATTTCTAAAAGTGTGGCACCTTGGACCCTGGATGGACATGTGGCCAGCTCTTTCAAGACGGTGAATAGTGGCGCGTTGTAGGCGGCCTTGAGTGATGCATATGACGATGGCGATGGTGCGGGCGGCAGCAGCAGCAGTGCACGGCGGACAGGCTTGTGAGACGGCGGCATAGTGACAAGCCGGCGTAAATGGGCAGCAAGAGGCAGGGCTCTGTGGGTGGCTATGGGTATGTTGGTGATGCGGCTTGCCAGGAGAAGTAGCATGAATCCCAAGCGAACAGTGCACCCACAGACGACGTGAAGAGAGTGGGAGAGTAAAAGCCCAACAGAGCAGCGGCCTCTTTAACCTACAGTTAACGGGGACGTCCTATAACTAGCTACGAACATTTCGGTACTAACAAGAGCACTCGGGCTAATTCTACACAATCACATTCCAATACTACCGCTCTCAAAGTAAATATACTCGCAAGCGTCTGCGTCGTAGAGCTGCAGTCGCAAAACAGCACTCAGGGTGTCAGTCGAGGCGCTCGCACTCGCTGGAGGGGTGGTGGGGAACATCAGCCGAGATAGAGCCGCAGCCAGGGCATCTTGAACCCCAACCACACCTTGCTGCTTCTCTCTCATAAGTTTACGCGCCGCCTCAGCCCAGGGCCACGCTTTCTTTTCCTCTTGTCAGCGCATTGCTCATTGCAAGCGCCATGCCGTTCGGCCATCATAACCACCACGCGCATAACGATCCAGCGCAGGGCATCTACGCTGCGGCGTCGGCGCTAGGAAGTATGTAGGCATCTTGGGCTCTTTGGCCATGAAATGTGTGAATATGGGCTGATGTGTATCTCTCGACGGTAGGTATAGGAGCACCTGGAGGCAATCTGCGGGGCGCCACCCAAGGCACCACTCGGGCAGGTACCGACGCCTTCTTGCCCGGGAGCAGTGGAAATGGCCAGCAGCCACAGACACAGGCACAGGCACAAGCTGAGGGATATCTGCCGTCGACGGCACCGCCCGCTGCGAATTCGAGTTTTGAGACACCACGCCAACGAGCACCGACGATAGGAGGACGCACTACCGAAGACCTTCATGGGCAGAACAACGCAGGTCAACATGTTGGCCCCCCGCCCTCGTCGGCGTCGGCGCAGCCCATGTATAACCCGCCCGACAACTATCGATCGGCGCCCAACATCAGCGTTGACCATGGCACTCCCCAGAACAGCCAATATGGCGCCCCGGCAGTACCCGGCAGTCTCCAGCCCGCGGGCGGCTCAGGCCAGGCGCAACAACAACAACAGCAGCAGCAGCGACCGGGGCCGTCTACCGCCTACACGGCACCCGTCGTGCCTACCCAGACGCAAATAGCCAGCAACGCGCAGCAATACACGCTCCCCACGCGCTCAAACACTATCTCGCAGCCACAGCACTCTCCGCACTCGTCGCATTCCTACTCGCGCTCGAGCCCAGCTGGCCTGGGCCCCGATCAAAAATACATTCCTTTTTCCAATACGCCCCCTGAACAGCAACCCAAGTACGCCGCTGGAACTCCGGCCCAGAAGTATTACCCCACCACCCCTTCTGGCGCCGCCTCGCAGTCGCCGCTCGGCCTGGCTGATATTAGGCCTCGCGCAAACTCGACCATGGACCATGAGGGGAGCATGGGCGTCCACGGCACTAACATGGTCAGCGACCAGATCAAGGTGCCCTCGAACAGCAACTACCTCGCGCCATGGAGCATATACGCCTACGACTGGTGTAAATGGAGTGTTCCTGGCGGTAACAGCGCCGGCAAGATGGCCGTGGGCAGTTATCTAGAAGACAACCACAATTTCATTCGCATCCTGGACACCCAAATTGCGCCCCAGGATGTCTCGTCTCCCGGCGCAACACCCTACGGCGTCGAGTACAACGCAATCGCCGAAGCTACATGCTCCTTTCCCGTCACGCGAATGCTATGGGAGCCGCCATCGTCGCAGAAGCAGTCTACCGACCTCCTCGCAACGTCTGGCGACCACCTGCGCCTGTGGTCACTACCCCAAGCCTCTGGAAACAACATGAGCAACACAATCACTCGCTCATCGTCTGTCAACACCCGAGAGCCCCAACTCCCTAAGCTCACCCCGCTCGCGCTCCTCTCAAACTCCAAGACGCCCGAACACACCGCACCCCTCACATCCCTCGATTGGAACACCATGTCGCCCAAACTCATCATTACCTCCAGTATAGACACAACCTGTACGATATGGGACATACCGTCTCTGACAGCCAAGACACAATTGATTGCGCACGACAAGGAAGTCTTCGATGTGCGCTTCTGCGCAGGCAGCGTTGATGTCTTTGTCAGCTGTGGTGCCGATGGCAGTGTCCGCATGTTTGACCTCCGCAGTCTAGAACACAGCACAATCATCTACGAGCCCTCAGATAAGGGTGGTGATAGAGACAAAGGTCAGTACTTTCGCCGTCATCCTCCCAGCCAACTGCTAACCCCCCCTACAGGCTCACCAACAGGCGGCCGCATGTCGCCCACCAAAGCGCAGCAAACCATGTCGTATGCGCCTCCACTCCTCCGACTCGCCGCATCCCCTCACGACTCCCACCTCCTCGCCACCTTCGCCGCCGATTCAAACCTCATCCGCATCCTCGACGTCCGGCAACCCGGCCAAGCCCTCCTCGAACTGCGCGGCCACTCCGCTGCCGTCAACAGCATAGAATGGAACCCGTCTCGACGCGGCATGCTCGCCTCTGGCGGTGACGATTCTCTCGTCCTCATCTGGGACCTGTTGCACGCAAACAACGGCGCTACAATCAGCGGCGAACACGCCTCCACTCAACCTCCTGCCGCACCCCCAACCACACATGCTGCAAACGGTGCTGCTGGCGCTCAAAACGTACCCGTCGGTCAAAAGGGTCCGTATGCTAGCTGGAGATGCGACTACGAAGTCGGCAATATCAGTTGGGCACCGCAGAGTGCGCTTACGGGCCAGGGCGGCGAATGGGTTGGTGTTGCCGGTGGACGTGGTATCTGGGGCGTCAAGTTATGATGAGGGATAGACACATATATAACCATGCCATCTCTGGCAATCTGCGTGGTTGTTCGGGCACGGGGACACGGAAGGGACACGGCAAGGGAAACGACAAAGTTATGACTGAGACGCTTTCTCTTGGGAATCGGTGTGTGGGCAGGCAACGAAGGAGGAGGGGAAAAAGTGTATAGCAGCAAATTTCTTTTGGAAACGTCTTTTGTGAGCGAAAGGGACTGCGGGCGTTGTTTGTTCCGTGTCTGTCTATGCGTGCAAAGGCGGGGAAGCGACGGATGCATTATCGAAGATACCTTTTTTAACCCCCCTTTTTTTCTTGCAAACCTGGGCGTAGTCTGTTTTCTTTACATGCGTGCGTGCGTGCGTTCGTCAACGTTTTCCTGCTGCTGCTGCTGCTGCACTCCCTCCCCTTCTCAGACCTTTTGATACAAGAAAAGAAGACCAAATCACACAAACACAATTTCCATTCTCTTCCAGCTTTTTCCAAGAACATAGAACATGCCCTTTACTACCGAATAACAACCTCAACAACAACCTCATTACTCCACCCGGCCCTAGAATCCGTCTCCTCCCACGCCCTCACCGTATCAATCTCAAGCACATTCTCACAATGCTTGCTCACCCTCACGCAATGCGCAGGAATAGGCCGACCGAACAAGACAGCAAAAAAGTCCTTTTGGATATCTCGTTTGGGGAGATCGGAGACGTAGAGGCCTAGAACACACACACACACACAATGAATAAGTATACCTGTGCGGTATAGAAAGGGGATGGGAAAGGGGGGAGGTTGAAACTAAACTTACCAAACGATCCCAAAACCTTGAGACTAGTCCAAACTCTCAGTCGACCCGAACTCCTATCCACATATGCGTCACTAGACACTATAGCCGCTGCACCTGTCATTTTACCTACTACGCCCAAGATGGCTACTTGGATGTCTTCTGGGCCCTGTACGTCATGGCCTGTCTCTCGCTTCAGGGTGAATGGCAGAAGAGGGAATGCGGAGAGGATTTCCCAGCCGCGGACTGGCAGGTCGAGATGTACAAACGAGGCATTAGTAGCCACGCTTGTCGGCTTGCTGACCTGGCCGTCGGTGTGCGAGCGGATGACGTAGGTACCCTTTTCTGCGCCGGGGAAAGCATCAAGGCCGATGAGTTCGGCGACGGGCTTGGGGGTGCAGTTGAAGACACCCAGGATGGAGACGCCGCTGTGTGCCATGCCGACGTAGGTGCTTACTTTGAGGAGGGCCGTGTCATCGTAGGCGTTGTATGCGGTTGTGCTTTTGCCAACGGTGTGTGGACGCAGAATCACTGTGTCGCCTCTTGGTGTGTTTCCAGTCATCTGCGCAATGAGATCGACGTCGTGCTGGCCTGGTACGTCGGTGATGTAGATTGGTCCTCCACTGACACAGCGTCCCGCAGCATGAAAAGCAGCGTAGTCGTGACTTGTTTGGAACATGTCCCAATCAGGCAGAATGTTCAGATGCTGGGTCAAGATGGAGTTGTGTGCGTTGCAGAAGATGTGCCATGGATGGCTTGCTGGCACTTCAGGGAAGAAGTCATCTGAGTTCCGGAGCAACACACGTGGTTTGTTGGATGGTAGTTGTGAGTGGAAAATGATGGGGGGTGCTTGCGACATGCAGGATATGGCTCGCGCGGAAAAGGAGCGAAGTTGAGCAATGGACCATGCGTCTTGGTAGGCTTTGATCAGATTGCGACGGTCGTCTGCGTCGTGGAGTTCATCCAGGAAGAACTGTGCATCGGTCTTGACAGAGTCGACACCACACGAGGATAGAAATTGGTAAAAGTCCTTGTAGAAGCGGTTCACATCTTCCTCTGTGACGACAATGATCTTTCCACCCGAGACGCCGTCCTTGAGTTGGACGACCTTGGTCTTGTACTCTTTTGCGATGCGGCCTTCTGGCGCAATACCGCCCCAGTAGCCGAACATGGCATGCCAGACAGCAACATGGCGGATATGCGGGTATTTGCTTCGAATATCGCCCACTGTAGCTTTGAGACCACGTGGAAACCCATTTTTAGTTGCTTCGAACTCAACCCAGGCATTGCTAAATTGATCGCCGCCTTCCGTGTTGAGTGATTGCCAATTGTCGTCGATGATAAGGTTGCTGATGTTGATTTCATTCTTGCGGAGAGATTCCAGGGCATCGAAGATCTTCTCTTCGGTGAGCTTTTGGCCTAGACCATTCCAAGTGCAGTACGTCAACCCGTCATACCAATTCTCCAGCCACTCAGGCTTGAAGTCATCAGTCAAGGCCTTTTCTTCTTCGTTGATCTGTCCTGTTGACTGTTCGTATGCCATGATGAGCTTTCGCACATAGTACATGGAGGCTGCTACAGCATCTTCCAAACTGTGTCCTACTGAAGCAACGATGCGTACAAGACCATCTTTGTCGCTGTCATTATTGGAGTTCATAACGACTCTCCCATCACCATCGTGATTAAGCGTTGTCAGCACCTCATTCAAACCACTGACTGCGAGCAACACAAGATGAACTCCGTCGTGACGTTCAAAGGATGCCAACACGGCCTCCTTATCAGGCTGAAAGCGGTCCTTACCCTGTCTTGGAGCGAGCCATGGGCCCCAAAGTCGGACCTCCGCAAACCAGCGGGACAGGTTCGTTGGTTTACCAAGCTTCTCGCTCGAGTGGCCGGACGTCTTGCCAGACGCTGCCACAATGGGGTAGGTGAGGTCCCAGAGAACCGTATTAGGCGTGTCACTTTGCTCCTTGGAAATGTCCAAGAACGGTGGCAGACCTTCAAGATACCAAGTCAGGTCCTGCGGCAACGGCTCTGATGATTGGTAGATGAGGCGGCCATCCGAAGTGGAAAAATGTTCGTTCGCCCATTTCCATGGGTCATTCTGCATATGTCAGTGGGAAGTTTGGAAGTGAAGATATCACACCAGCCGCCGATGTTTGTAACATACTTCTGATGCCCTGAAAGTGACGGTATACGACAAAGAAGATCCATGTTTCGGGCGTCCAGCAAGGTCAATTGTAAAGTACTGACGCCGCACATTCTGTCTGTTTGGATTGACTACCATCTGACATGGTCAGCTTCCTAACAGCCCGTAGATTCGGCGAGTATACCACAGAAGGCTCAACACTCGGCTCCAGGCTAGAGCTGGTCCATTGGTCGCATGCATGAAAGTTGTGCCACAACGCAACTTCCCAATTGTTTTCTGAACCAGCTGAGCTCTCAATAAGTACTGTAATTCTAACCTGCGCACATGGTCAGACCTGCTTCCATCAAGCAGCTTGGAGGCGGTGTACTGATTCTTTGTCTGAGGGAATCGTTGTCGTCTGACCCAATGGAGGGTGACAGCTGAGTGTAGCATACATAGTGGCAGGAGGACAGGTCTCGAAGTATTGGACAAACAATGCCTCTGGGTGAGGTTGAGATGGAAGAGCAAGCTATAATCAAGATGTCAAGATGAGAGTTGATGGACTTTGGCAGGCACAGCAAGGGAAACGGTAGATTGATGTTGGATTGATTGAGTAGCTAAGTAGAAGACGGTGTATATGCAGGCACCGTCGTAAGCACAGGAGAGGTGCAGGTGACGTGTGCAGGTGCGGAGGTAGTCGGGGAAGCTGCAAGGTCCATGTAGATCAGCCAATCGGCGTGACGGCGGCTTCCATCTTGGCAAGCGCGGAGACGCGGGCATTTTGGACTGCCCCAAAGTTTCGACGGCCGCGCAATTGGAAGCCATGTCGGCATTACGGCATTGGTCAAGGTCACGACAAGTCATCGGTCGCCAATGCATCAGACTCCAACACACTTTGGCGCGTGGTGAGCGTCCGGAGTTGAGATGGGCAGAAGAGGAACAGGATCCAGAAGTACGGCGGGCACGATGGGAAGAGCAGGCGGGGAAGGTGCGAACGGGGATGCAGCAGAGTATGCTGAGCCTCCTTGAAGAGCGTGGATTTGTCAAGGACATTGCTGGGTGAGGAGACATGTCTGAAGTTTCCAAGAGATATGCTGAACAGGCGCAGCGGGCGCAAGACACTCGACTGGCTGCTCACGGAAAAGCGCATTGGCGTCTATGTTGGCGTAGACCCAACAGCCCCCTCGTTGCACGTCGGCCACCTTCTCCCTCTCATGGCGCTCTACTGGATGTACCTCCACGGCTACTACGCCGTCAGCTTGGTGAGAAGCCCACGACTCGATGCGTAACGGCAGTTAATGTTGGGTAGTTAGGTGGAGGCACAGTGCAGATTGGCGATCCGTCTGGGAGAACAACGGCACGTTCACGGCAGGGCGAAGATGTACAGAGCATGAACGTGCGGAGCATCAACGAACAGCTGAAGACACTATGGACGAATGTCAAGTGCCTAGGCATCAAGCACCAGTACTCGTACAACATCAGTCGCAAGCAGTCCATTCTCAACAACCGGAACTGGCTAGAGAAGCTCAACGCCGTCGAGCTGATGAGGGATCTGGGTTCAGGCATGCGATTGGGAGCTATGCTTAGTCGCGACTCGTAAGTCGATTTCGCCTTTCAAGGCCCGCCCTAATGCATGCACAGCGTCAAGCTACGAATGGAAAGCGGCGAAGGCATGTCCATCTCCGAATTCAGCTACCCCCTCTTCCAAGCCTACGACTGGTGGAGCATGTACAAAGATCGTGGCGTTCAGCTACAAATCGGTGGATCTGACCAGTATGGGAACATCATCGCGGGAATGGGTGCTGTCAGCCACATGCAAAAGATACATGGCCTGAATGGAGGAGCGGAGGAAGAAGACCCAAAAGAAGCGCCGTACGGACTGACCACACCTCTACTTACAACGGCGTCTGGCGAGAAGTTTGGTAAAAGCGCTGGCAACGCCGTCTGGCTCGATGGCCAGATGCTGAAGCCTTTCGATCTCTACCAGGTCGGTTACTGGAACAACTAGAAGCGTTGATCAACTGCTAATTTCTCTACACAGTACTTCCTACGCACCGCCGACGCCGATGTAGAACGCTACCTCAAACTCTTCACCTTCCTCCCCCTCGACTCCATCGCCCTCCTCATGACGAGCCAAAACCGCGACCCCTCCAAGCGCATCGCCCAACACGCCCTCGCCCAAGAAATCGTCGAGCTTGCTCACGGCGCCGCAGAAGCAAAGAAGGTAGCAATGGCACACAAGGACGCCTTCGGCCAAGGCACAAACACCTTCTCCCTCTTCACCCTCCGCAACGCAATCTCCTCCACCAAGACCGCAGAGACACCAACAAAGGCCTCTGCTAAACAAATAAGTGAAGCAGAAAAGAACCTACTAGCCTACAAAAAAGCCTTCGCCGCAAGCGCAAGCGCAATCACACCACCCGACCAAGAAACTCCAACTTCACCAGCCGACACCAACACCAACAAAACCGTCATCACCCTCCCCCTCTCCCTCCTCCAACCCGGCTCCTTCCCCACCGTCCTCCACGCCGCCGGCCTCGCAGCCTCAAAGTCGGAAGCCAGCCGCCTCATCGCCAGCAAAGGCGCCTACGTCCTAGTCCCCAACTCAGGAAGCCCCGAGACGCCCACTGCGCTCCGCTGGGAAACCATCAAACCAACCAAAGATTGCGATCCAAACCACTACCTTGTGGACTTTGAGGCGCTGGTTCTCCGGTCTGGCAAGTCCAAGATACAGATTTGTCGCGTGGTTAGGGATGATGGGGCGGTTGACGGCGGGATGGAGGACGAGGTTGAGATTCATCGAAAATCTTGAAAAAGTGGGTGGTTTGGGTGGGAAGCGGAGATGAACCTTGTTAGAAACAAATCTGCGTGTACCTACGTCACGCGCATGGTATAAATCGGATATTTCTCTCCATGAAGATTAACTCTGTTATACACTTCCATGGGCATAACATGTGTAGAAACTACCAACTACTTTCCTGTAAGATAACAACATGGCTTGGGCCAATATTTTCCTGTTTTGGTGTTGTACGTACCTAGGATAAAATGAGCTAGCTACCGGAGATGAAAACGCAATGCGCACACCACCCCTTCTTAAGTAACTTCCCCAGCCCCAGCCCTAAACTCAAACTCTATTTTATTTTATTAAAATGAGATCAATGTTCACTCGTGTGTGTCCCATCTATACTCGCCTAACCGCTATAATCATGCTTTCTGGTTAATCTTGGTGTTCCGAACAACTCCTTGTGCTGTGTTGTGCTGTGCATTGTTGTTCAGACTCAATCTTGCACAGCTTGTCGCCCAAACCTAGTCAGACCACCACTACTACCCGCATTATGCCGAGCATGTTGGAACCTTGTTCCAACCCCAATCTTACACGCTGCAAGGGTATTCTTCCTGCCTCGCGGAGGATCCAACGTCAATCCAGTAGGGCGATTTTCCTCGAAGCGAAGACGTCGGATATGAGCTGGGTGACGGTCCTGAACGGGTGAGGAGAGAGGTTCGTTACGATGAGCAGAGTGGTGGCGGGCTGGACCGCGTTCGATACATACGTTTGGACTGAGAGGGCTGAGTTGCACGCCGCCGTCATCATCGAGGAGAGTGCGGGTAGGTTGAGGAGAAATGGGGGGATTGTGGGAAAGGGAGCGGATAGTTACAGTGGAGTGGTGGGGAGGAGTTGCAATAAGATTATCGAGGACAACCCTCTTGTCGCTATTGAATAGTGAGTGGCGTTTAAGTTTGTGCTTGTCTTCTTCTACGAATGGATCAGGTGGAGAGGATGTAGTCGCCCGTTTTGGGTGCGACGTGTGGCTTTGTAGGGTGTCGTCATGGTTTTCCCAGGGCAACGGTTCGGGTGATGGTGTCAAGCTGTCAATTTGGTGCTCTGCTACTTCAGTGGTATGCTCTACTTCGGATGGAGAAACATTGAGGAGCCAGTCGGATATGCGTTCTACGGGTGGGACGGCGACACTAGATGATCGGGCCCGTGAGCCGGCAATAAAGTATCCTGAATCGTCCGACCACGACTCGGAGCTTGCTTCGGATACTGCCGTACATTCCGCATGTAGTCGATATCGGAACGAGTTCGTTGACATGCATAGCGACTCTGGACGACGGATAGGGGAGTGCGGGGTTTGACGTTCTCCAGTGGCGTTGTGCTCTGGAGGCGACGAGGCTTTCCTCGATATATTTGGCAGTTGCGGGTACAGGGTATCTCTGTTTGGCTGCGGTGTTTGGTTTCCACGACCGGCATCTTCAAATATCTGTCTCATGCGTGCAGCGTGTCCAGCACGGGCTGGTGACTGCAGTAGTGCCGGGCCATGATGTGCACGGCGGACGCGGATATTTGCTAGTTGGGAAGGTGAGGCTGGCCCTGGGTTTGGACATGGCAGCTTGTATGGTGTCGTGGTAGCTTCGGCGCGTCTATAGTCAGTGAAGATATCGGTCGTGGTCGGACGAAAGTATGCGGAGTCGATTGGACTAAGAGCAACACCGCCGTCTGTGCAGGACTCTATGCTATTTGCATGCAAAAGACGACCTCTGCATCTCTGGTCGGGTGTCACGGGGGTCTGAGTATGTTCGCGTTGGCCGTCCCGAGTGTCTTCCGTCGGGGTGCGACGGTGACACGGTACAGTAGCAATACCCTGCTAGCGTTAAGTAACTGGTGATGGCAGTGTTGGAAGCGTGACATGGACGAACTTGGTGTGAGTAGGCCATTTCAGTCGGTAATTGCGCGGTTCCCTTTGCGTCCTTTTTCAGTAGTAGTTTGATTTGATCCAGGTACCCGCGAGGTAGGTTTGGCGCTTGTGCATGGTACGGCTGCCAACACCAACATGAACTTGGGTTGGATAGAGTTGTGCTACATGGCACGGTGGCTTTAGGGAGGCTGCAGGAGCCCCAACGCTTCTACAGATGCCGTTACCCGTTGTGCCTGCTTACTTTACTTCCCGACGGCTTATTGTCAGACAGGCGCATATGTAGATTACGGAAGTAGCCAATCGGTCTAGGGCAGCTGGGATCTGGATATTGCAGCGGCCGTCCATGTCAGCATATCGTCGCTGCAGATGTTGTTGTGGGGAGAAGTGAGAGAGAGATGACGTATGACGTAAACAGAAAGGATGTGCAGAAGGGACGGCTGGGACGAGGGTGGAAACTGGTAGCGACGGTCGCGGTTTCCGCGTGCACAGCGCACCTTCCTGTCTGTCAGTGTTTGGCTCGAGCGGCACCTTCCAATGGCAGATACGCTCAGGGTCGCAAATTGAGGGCGATCAGTCTTGCCTTGGGTGCGGGACTTGCCCTCTGCCTCAATCTCTCAGTTCACAATCTCCGTACGGATCCGGGTCGGGTGGCATAACCGTCAGCGCTCGAGGTTCTGGCCGTCCGTTACGTCAAGGCATGCTGAATCACAAATGCGATGCACGGCATCGTTTTGGGTTTTGGGTTTGCTGGTCCAAAGGTTGATATTGCTAGGCCAGGCACAGGCGTAGTCACGACGGCGATCACAAGGCCAAGTGCGCCTCACATAGAAAAGACAGCCAGTGGGTAACGGTCGAGCATCCCGCGACTACGGTTCGGGGCTAGCGTGCTATATTTATCCATGTTTCTCATGTCCGCCATCACTCGCACCCGTCGCCTCTTGGATTCCATCTCGGGCACTTAATCTCACACACTAGGCGGCTTCCGCGCCACCAATAACCCTCCGACTGGCCTGCTACCACTGGCCATGCTGTCTATCGACACCGGCACCGGCTACACACGGTGGCGCACGTGAGTAGCAACGGTTATTGGCAAGCCCTTTATGAGACTTGCACCGGCTGCTCTGGCTGGGCAACCCGAGAAGCGTCATGCATGCAGGAACAAAACGGTGCAGTCTCAAAAGGGCCGTCTTGGCCGGCACCACAAGTCGAGACCGACTCGTGTCTGGCTCGCCTAGGCAGGGTCATGCTATGCAGACCGCGCCATCACGGCACACGTCTGAAGCATGTATGCCTGATAATTGCGAGATGCCTTGACTCGAAGACATCATGTCGGTCATGATCAGCTTCTGAACAACTGCATGCCCCTGCATTTGAGCTCCCGCCCGTCGAGATGCGCATCCCCGACGGCACTCGCACGTAGGGAGCATCGTCGGCACTCGCACGTAGGGAGCATCGTCAGCACTCAGCACCTTCACATCGCCCATGCACAGCAACGGGAGTGTGTGCGTTGCCCGCGACTGTCGCACCATTCTGCTTTCGACTCTAAATGACCAACACGCGGCCCCTGAGTCACCGCACACCTCGTGGCTTCTTCGCGACTGCACCACACCTTCTAGCCCGTGCATGCTAAACTCTGAACCATGCCAACCTGGTCTTGTTCCACAATCAGCCCTGGCCTCCCACAAGCCTTTGTATCTGCCAGACATGCTGTCCTGGCCTCTCGCGTCTTTTTGCTTACCCTTCACTCTCTTCAATTTCCATTCTCCATCGTCCTGGTTATCCAATTCCCGCGAGCTCGACGCTCTTAGGCGACGCTAGTTCATCGCTGTCCTCCCACAACCGTCTATATTTTCTTTTTCCCGCCTTCAATACCTCCGCGTGCCCTAGTCTCCGCGTTTACCAACTGTAAATACTCTTCTTAGCTCAACGGCCCGTCAAACAGCAAACCCGCCTCGTTCCAATTACCTGTGATTCCTATCCATGGCCAACGTCTTCGCTTCCTCAGTCCCAAATCTTCCGACACCCCAAGTTTGACTTTTGCTGGGGCCTCTCTTCCAACTGTACGTACATGGATTCCTTTTGAAACCCTATTGGGCATCTTCGTCACCTTGCTGCAACGCACAACGTCACATACTCCCCCTCTTTTCCAGTTTGCGCAACTCGATTGCCATGTTCGGCCTCTCATGGCTGGCCGGTAAATGCTATTTGGGCCATATACCCGATATCATCTGCACCATCATCATCTTCACTGCCGAGGCCTTGGTGACACCACTTGGGCTGGCCCTTTTGAGCCTCACTTGCCATGCGAGCCATCCTTCTGACTTGTAAAATCTAGGCTTAACTGTCTCCGATAGTCCGTGCCGCTCCTCAGGGTACTGTCTCGACCTGTCCTCCAGGCTGCTGGGTACCCCCCACGCAAGGAATCGCGGCCTTCCGCTGTCAATCCTCGTCAACCGAACATTCTCACCTATTCCTGACGTGTATCGTTCCCTCGCCTCGTTGCCTGTAATTTAGATCAGGTACCGGGACCAGTGTTCGGAAGAACACTCTCTGACCAAAGTGTGTCACACATGCCCGCATTGACCCTTGGTTGTCTTGCAACAAGGGCATATGCGTCAGTTGTCGCACAATTGTACTAACGGTCAACACCTCTTCCAAACCACACGAAGCTGCCTGACGCATACTCACCATCTACCCAACCTCACGCTCCGAGGGTGTGAACCTCGCGTCACACGTCACTCACACACAAGCAGCTCTGTGTCCATTGACACACTTACCGGCAACATTCCTACGCCTAATTCATGAGTTACGACCCAAGACTGGGCGCCGAAGCATACGGTGCGGCGGACGCGTATAGCGATGGAGACGCGAGAAAGGGTTCGGTACAGGCGGCCAGGGAAAGGATGCAGGCTGCGCAAAAGAGGACACAGCTCCCAGACACTTCAAAGATAATAGGCCTGCCACGACGACCAAACCAGAACCTGCCTCAGACTTCCCAGGAAAGCCTCGAACAGTCACCGCAGCCAGATTACTCAGGCTCCAGGGATGATGTCGACTCCGGGTCCCCGTCGCCACAATGGCCACTCCCAAACAGCATGGTGGAAAGCTCAGTACCTATTCCACCTCGTTCACCAAGGAGGTTGCAATCACCACGAGAAATAATTCGGCCGGTATCCGAGGACTTACCCATTCAACAACTATCCCCCGACTTACAGTCACCCATGTCTCCTGGTTATTTGCAGGCAAGTGAAGACGCACTTTCCCCTGGTTCCTACAGGTCTTCGCGCCCCATCACTACCTCATCCATCGCATCCGAATCCTCCATAGGATCAATACCCGACTTTCCCATACCTCAACCGCCCATGCCAAGTATCCAACAGGCTCGACGCTTTCCAAGTTTAGGTCCACCACCGTCGTCGCGAAGAGGCCCCTCGTCATATTACACACAAATGTCTTATGTGTCACCAATCGTCGAAGAGTCGGACACACAATCATCTAGGATACAATCGCAGCGCGGATCATTCGCATCGAGCAACGTGTTCCCTACCAACAAAGATAGCTTTTATCCCGAGGACGACCTATATTCAGATGACGATGAAACAGTCACTAGCGATCGCGGAACCATCTCACCTACAGAGCACGATGACCGGAGCGGCCTTGTCCAGCAGTCGCCAGCACTAGTGCGACAAGCAAGTTTGGGAAGGCGGACCAAACCGTCGCTGATGACTATCAGATCTGTAGAAGGTCCTGGAGATAAGAAAAGCGGCGCAAGCAAAAAAGCAATGGGTCTAGGGGTTGGAGTGGGACTAGGGGCCGCAACGCTCGCAGCAAGGGACGGCACGCCTATCAGAGGAAGGTCGCCCCTCAGCAGCCATACATCGTCAGACTCTCTGGACACATTGCAAAATTCAAAAGAGCAAGCTGGATACGCAACAACGACATCGTCACCCCATCCACTTTCCCAGGAGACGCGCTTCAGCGCACTAGCCGAGCGTGCCGGAATGCGAAAAGGGAGACCCCCAACGCTTGACATGGACGCCGTCCGAGAAGCTGAGGCGCGTGGCAGCCTGACAAGTCTGCCAGACCTAATTCGAAGAGCTACACGGCTTGCAGCCAATCTTGATCGTGGACGCACAGCTAGCCGATTGAACATGGACTTTTGGGAGAACGGTGCTCCTGCACAAAACCAGGCCCGCCAATCTGGCTTGTCAGAGATGCTTGCTGCTTTCCCACCACCTGGCCAGGAAACGCCAACTCGTTCGGGTCGTGTCAGTCCAAGAGTGGGTGGCGGCGGTCTTACCAAGTGGCCGTCGACTGCTGAAATGCGCGCAAACGGAATGGGTTCTGCTGCATTAACCAACGAAAAACCCAAGAAACGCCGGTGCTGCGGTATGCCCCTCTGGACGTTCATCACGCTTCTGATAGTCCTGTTGTTCATCATCGCCGCCGCAGTCGTTATCCCTGTGGTTCTTGTAGTCATTCCTAATATGAACAAAGCCACCAGCGCCGCTGCTCAGGAAACCCAAAGCAACGGTGCTGGTCTGACCAACACGAATGTGCCTGCAGCAGCCCCAACATCCCGCCCCAACAACCCTGGAAATTCAGGAAATGGTCAATGCGACGGAATCATCTCTTGCCAAAACGGCGGTCTTGCCATTTTCAACTCTGATCAATCCTGCAACTGCATTTGCATCAACGGCTTCACAGGACGCACATGCACCAATGACGATGCCACTGGCTGCACCACGACCAACATCGAAGGTACTGTCAACAATGCCACGACGGGTTCCGGGATTCCCCGCCTGATCTTGGAGACAGCTCAGAGTTTCAATGTACCAATGAATGCAACCCGTATTCTGTCGCTTTTCTCGACATTGTCACTCAGTTGCGCGGCGGAGAATGCCCTCATTACCTTCAACGGTTTGGCATCTCGGAGCCTTCCCTCGCTTGATGTAAGGTCCACGCTTCGCCCGTCACGTACACTCCCCCTTCTCTACCAACCGCACCCTGCGCATGCCCTCCACCAGCCACATAAACGCCAGACAGTCGGCCAGACCAACAAGGCTCCTACGACTCCAAACCAAGCGGCGATATCCCAGGCCCCCAAAATGGTGCAGCCCATTTCTAGCAACATCGTCGCCCTTGACTTTGCGCGTGTCGCTGTCCTTTTCGCACTTGAACAAAGTAATTCCCTCGACGTTGCTGCTTCTGCCCAGGAATCGATACAGAACCTACTCACAAGCAACCGTAATGGCAATGCCAACAGTGGTGCCGTTGACGTTGGGCCTTTTAAACTTGATCTTATTCAGTTCACAATTGAGTTCCAAAACGGAACCACAATCCGCGCGCCGCCACAACAACCCTCGTCCTAAGTGACGATTGCTTCTTTTTCCCCCTTACTTGAGACTCTGCTTTATCAGCATTACTAGCATTAGCGATACCCTTTTTTTGTATTTTTATCATCATCATCCGCAGACAGTTATACCACCACAAACGCTCGGAACCAACACCTGTGTACGATACAAGTAAAAGACCGGTGACTGCCTGCGGCAGCACGGCGCTGGCGTTTTCTCCTTTGTTGTACTTTTCTTGAAGACTGTTTGTTCTTTTTCTTATACCCCCGCCCGTCCTGTGGACATTTTTTTTCTTAACCCACGAACCAAAATGGACTGGATCTAATGTTTTTCTACTATGGCGGGAAATACCCCTAAGATGGAGTTTGAATAACGGCAGTTTAGATCTAGTTGCGAAGCGAAGCGGAGCAAGATAACACCGGAGTAGCATACTATGTACAGCGGCTACACGCTCAATTGAATGTAGCAAGATTTACATCTATATGGTTTCTCTGATATGGCTTTTAGTGTGTGATGTGTGAGCGTGTCACCCATCTTTGGCGTACCAAACTGAACAACCATCGATTACATGATTTTAACGAGAGCTCTTTTGACTCTTGCCTCTGTGGGCATGTCAGGGGGAGCCATTGTCGTTGGTAATTACCGTGTGGCGACGATGAGATTCGCGATTTCGTGGACATTGTAGAGTCAGGGGTTCAGGGCGCGAAGTCACAGTCGTATTGGAAAGCAACACTGACAGCGCCACAGAGCGCGACTTGCCCTCGTATATATCCCATCGCAGTCTCCAATTCAATACGCTCATATTATCGTTCTCGTGTTCTTCTTTGGTGTCCAGTGCCGCGCTAGCGCCAACTCTCATTCACTTTCACCATCCCAACTTCTGCCAAGAGTGAAAGGTCGCAACCCCACAACGCAGTCGCCACAACAATACCGCTCCGCCGCCTGGATGTGAAGAATACAAAAGTTGATTTTTCATTACTGGTGCGCTACATGTGAGTGGAGTGATACATCTTCTGCGGTTTGATGTAGGTTAGTGTATTGTCCGACACGCATCTACTCTAAACATTAATTTGCTGTTACCTCTAGACATCTCTTTGTCGCTACATGTAGGTAGAGTATTTTTATTTTTGCGCGAATCTCAGAAGCATTATATGGATATCGAACTCCTAATTATACTAGCATAGCACGATATAGACACCGTTTTGGAAACAAAATTAGCAGCCTGCTCAGGGCTCTTAGTAGTATCCAAGACTACATCTCTACATGGGGCTTTTAGCGCTAGACTCGGTGGTGGTGATATGATGTCATTGAGGCTGCTCAAGTTCGAAATTTGTTCGGGTGGAAATAGACGGAATCGTAAGAGTACATTGTATGGCAGGTAGTTATGCGAATGCAGCTCTTCAAGGAACTTGGCTGCTGTGGACGGCTAAATTGAACCTTGGAAGTGTGGTAGTTGGAGGCGCAGGGTATGCGCAGTGTGGCTGCTATTTAGTACCCCTCCACGCCCCACCTAGGCAGTGCTCAAGCAAGTGTCCAGAATATTGCGACAACAGCCACCACACCTCCCCATCATCCCCGATACCTTCATATCCCTACCCTTGGTGTCTCCCGACCATGCCTCAAGAAAACTCCAAGGTTTCCAAACCCGACGCAACCGAGCAAGCAGCGGCCGAAGCTGTCGCCGAATCGAGCAAGCAGGCAGAAGCTGAATCAGCAGACGAGAGCGCCAATGAAGCAACAGAAACAGTAGAAGGTGCCGAGGGCGCGTCGGAAAAGAAGAAGAAGAGCAGAAAGCGTAAGATCAAGGATGCTCTCAGCGGTAAAGGAAAGGGCGAGGCGACAGACATGAATGCGCCTGCTAGTGGGATACTGCCAAAGGAAGCAATGCAGATGCTGCTTGCAAACAACCCTGGACTCGCCAATGAGCTCCAAGGCCAGGCGGGCAGTAAAGCGGAACTAGAGAATCTTGTTCGAAAGCTCAACCTCAATGAGATGTTGACTGGGCTAGCACCTCAGGGCAGCCAAAAGGACATGGCCAGTCACGCATTCTGGAAGACACAGCCGGTACCCAGCTTCGATGAGATGGCGAGCAAGGAAAAGATCAAGGATGGACCTATCAAGGAGATCAAGATTGAGGAGGTTGACAAGAACCCCAGTCCCATGTACCCGGGCTTTGAGTGGGTTACTATGGACCTCGAAGACGAGAAGCAGCTCCACGAAGTGTTTGAGCTGCTCACCAACCACTACGTCGAGGACAAGGACGCGACGTTCCGCTTTAACTACTCGCCATCATTTCTAAACTGGTAAGCCGGAATAATGCGACTCCCGCGCTTGACTGACAAATGTAGGGCCCTGAAAGCGCCTGGGTGGAAGAAGGAATGGCACGTCGGTGTCCGCGCAACCGCATCTGGCAAACTCGTCGCCTTCATATCAGGCATCCCGATACAGATGCGCATCCGCGAAAAGATACTTGACTGCTCCGAAGTAAACTTTCTCTGTATTCACAAGAAGCTGCGCTCGAAACGGCTAGCACCCGTCCTGATCAAGGAGATCACCCGCCGCTGCTACGTCGAAGGTACATTCCAGGCCGTATACACTGCCGGCTCCCTTCTGCCTACACCTGTCTCGACTGCCCGCTATTTTCATCGTGCGCTCGACTGGCAAAAGCTCCATGATGTCGGCTTCTCTCCCCTGCCCCCGAACAGCACCGAAAAGCGTCAGATTATACGATTCAAGCTCCCAGACACTACATCTACCCCAGGACTTCGCGAAATGGAAGCAAAGGATGTCGATTCAGCCCTCGATCTCCTACAGCGATATCTTAAGCGCATGGATATGGCACAGGTCTTCAACAAAACCGAATTTGAGCACTGGATGGCGCCCAAGGAGAAGCCCAAGGAGCAGGTTGTGTGGAGCTACGTTGTTGAAGATCCCAACACTCACAAGATCACCGACTACTTCTCCTTTTACAACCTCGAGAGCACCGTCATCGGGAACAAGAAGCATAACACTATCAAGGCAGCTTATTTGTTCTACTATGGTACCGAGGTCGCCTTTGAGGAGGAGAAGGACCAGGCAAAGTTGAAGCAAAGGTTGAACCTGCTGATGAAGGATGCGTTGATATTGGCCAAGAAAGTGAGTAACACGGTCGGTGGAATGTGGTGACCCGCTAACAAAGTTAGGCTAATTTCGACGTCTTCAACGCGCTAACACTTTTGGATAACCCACTGTTCCTGGATGAGCAGCGCTTTGGTGCTGGTGACGGCTCACTGCACTATTATCTCTACAATTATCGTGCCGCACCCATACCGGGTGGTATTGACTCACGAAGCCAGGCGAGCAAGGACCACATGGGCGGAATTGGGTTAGTCATGTTGTAACCGCGGTTCGGTACAGCCGCCAAGGCGTACGTAAAACCATGTAATGTCTGTTCGCAGGGCTGGTTGGAGTGATTCAGGTCCTGAAAAAGTCAGCATTAGGTAATAATACCCTCTGAATAAGACCACCCGCCAAGCGGTGCATATGGTTTGCTAGTTGTAGAATGCACACCACGGTTGCTCCCTAATTGCTCAAATGCTCACCACGCGTCAGTTGTGAATGTGAATTCTTCGAAACCATGTTGATAGCCAGACCCTATTCGTCGCCTTTCGGTCTCAGTCGCCTATGTGGCGCCCTCATTGGGCGGGTGCACCTGCGTCTATCCGTGGTTAGACCAACCCTTACTTTTCTATTTCACTTTCTCATTCACCGATTTCTCTCACTTTCACCACTCATCTGCGCCTCTGCTGCCTGCTCGCTTATTTTGCATGTTTATTAATTAGAGTTCCTCTTGTGCGGTGCGCGCGCAACGTGAACGCGACGCAGCCTCGTGTATTTTCGGAGCACTCTAGTATCTAGCTACTTCGACACACCTTCTCGCACAACCAACCACCACGCTGCTTGCCGGACCTCAGATTGCCTTGCAGAACAGCTTACTTTTAGGCTGTACCGCATTGCCCATATACTGACATACACAAAGACAGAATGCCCGACCTTGACGGCGGATCGGTCGTCGCCTGGATGTACGACATGGACGCAGCACGTGGATGCGGCACACTGACCAATTTCGCGGACTTCACAAAGCACACCAAGGGGAGCGCCTGTCCCCGGTGTGATACGCCGTTCTTCAAAGAAGAAACCAATGTCCGCAATCTCTTCAGCAAATGGTTGAGTGACGCCGCACTCACACTATCATCGACTATCGACTGCGAAGGCTGTGGGGCACTGTGTTGCATTTACTGCGCACAAAAGCACCCCATAGAGCCAGCAGGCTATGCCAAGTACGGATCGCATAGCCTCTCTTGGTGTTGTGATGACGGCCGCCTCTTTCTCATCTGGGCGTTGCTGTGCGGATTCGACCAATATGCGAAGGAATGCAGCGACATCGAAAAGAAGCGCAAGCCATCGGCATCGAAGTCAAATGGTCAAATTAAGAATCGCGCACATGACGATAGTGCAACACCCAAGGGCAGGCACCATCTGCTCTCCAGCGGTATTGGTTACGGACGGCATGGTAGTCCGCAAGAATCTATCGAGGGTCCCGATCAATCAGGTAATCAGTCTTCGTTGTGGAGGCTGAGCGCACAGCGCGCCGCAGATGACACGGGCACAATGACCCTGACGCTTTTGCAATATCTGCTTCCGTCTATTGATCGCAAGACACGCTTCGACATTGACACTCCAGGCGCGGTGCTTGAGATGCTTATGAACAGCAAGGTACTCAGCTACTGCGCTGAGCTACTGCGGAACGACCAACTCGTCGACATTACCAGGCGCAAGCACGTCTACATGTCTTTGACCAAATTTCTGGAAACGATTGGCTCGCATTCCAGCACGAACGAAGCACTATTCTCGCCCCACATTATACGCCCTGACATGGTCAATATCTTGACACTATCACTCTGCGATGATGTTACTGCACCGAAAGAAAAAGGTCCTATACTGGCGGCTTGCTGTCGTAACCTCTTTGCACAAAGCTCTGTGTTTCTGAAGAATGCGGAGGCAAACAAGCAAGACTTCCAAGATGACGAAGGCCAGGATATGATAGCGATCTGTCGCGAAGTATCACTTCTTGCAGAGTTGGTCGAGCTAAACACTACATCGGCCGCCAGGGATCTTGCAGTGAAAGAATTACCTGGCATCCGAATCAAATCGACTTACAAGTACGCCGAAAAAGGAGCAAAGCTCATGCAGTCTCCGCCAGGACGACTCAAACGCTTGATCATCGAGATCACGACACTCCAAACAAGTCTTCCCCCGGGAATATATGTCCGCTATGCCGAAGACAGGCCTGATATCCTCAAGTGCGTCATCACCGGCGCTGTTGGCACTCCTTACGAAAACGGACTGTTCGAGTTCGACATATACTGCAATGAGAACTTCCCAAACGCACCTCCCGATGTTACATTCAAGGGCACAGGAGGCGGCAAGATAAGCATCAATCCGAACCTGTACAGAAACGGCACCGTGTGTCTCTCTTTACTCGGAACCTGGCCAGGAGAGTCTTGGAACCCTGCAGTATCGACACTGCTGCAGGTCCTGGTATCCATCCAAGCCATGGTACTGTGCGAGGAGCCATGGTACAATGAACCAGGACGAGAGACGCAGTATAGATCTGGCAAGAATAGTCCTTCAGGAGCCTACAACGCCGACATCCGTAAATTGACGGTCCGCTACGCTCTACTGGATTGGCTTGACAAACCCTCGAGCCTCTGGCAAGACGTCGTAGACTACCACTTCAAGGAGCACGGCAATGCTATTCTACAGACGGTTGAGCAGTGGGCAAAGGAGGCGGATATACCAAACACACGTCGTGTATCTTGGTCCGAGATTTACGAAGGCGATATTCGGCCGGTTCGTGACACTCTGAGTGTGGGCAATATGCTTTCAAAGGTGGAGGTTGCGCTGTACAAATACGGCACCACTTTCAGGATCACCTACGTCGCGCCTGTCGTCGATGAAAATAAGCTGCCGCCTGTTCCTAAGGTCCAACTTCCGCCTCCACCCCAGCTTCCGCCTCCGCCTCTGATGTCGTTCGGCAGTATGCATTACGGTATGCCGTTCCCGCCTCCACCTTACAGCCACACATGGTTACAGAATACCCCGCAATCGCCCATTCCGCTGCCTTCGTTGCCCCCTCCGGCCCCGAGTTGGTCGAGCTTGGTTGCGGCCGACTTTCCACAGCACAGTTTCGGTTCACATCCGCCGCCTCCGCCATCGTACTTCTCCAACGATCAGTTTGCACAGGCGATGAATGCGACTGCCCCGACTATGGCATATCCAGGTAGGGGTGGTCACGCAGGAGTGCCCGTGAACTCTCGTGGCCGTGGTGGTGGTAGTGGTGCAGAGACACGTGGTGGGCGCGGCGGTCTTGCTCCTGGTCATGGTCGTGGGCAAGTTGTACCAGTATTTCAGCTCGGGAGTGAACTACCTACAGGTCCCTATGGAGGCCGTGGTGGACATGGAGTTTGGGGTGTAGGTGGTGGACGTGGTGGACGTGGCGGTCGTGGTGGACATGATGGACCCGGTGGACGTGGTGGGCGTGGTGCTGGCAATTTGCCTCCCGCTTAGGAATGGTAGAGGCAGAGCATATGCGAGAGGCATTGGATCCGTCTACTCATACGTCGACGTTGAACAGCATGATCGCATGTTAATAGGATGGTCTCGCATACACATGGACGCGAGCGCATAGCTGAGAGTCATTACATTCTCGAATTCTGTAGATGGCGTGGCTTATCGAATACGATAGAGTCAAGTTTCAGATGGAGATGAATGATACAATATCCCAAGTTACAGTTTACATGTGGCGTGATCAATAGGTGATGTCCAATTCCAAGACGTCTGTCGGCGTTATCGGAGATAAGCAGCATTCCGTCATGGCTGATGGAGACAGCATCGCGACGCGACCATTTCCCCAACCGTGAGCCACTGCGGAACCGCCCACCAAACGTGAACATGGGTCAAGGGGCATCGCATAATACCCCGCAATTAACACTTGGTGCGTAAGAATTGCTGTCCTCTCCTCCATCTACAGAATCTCTCTCTCTTCAACATGTCAGCCTAGACAAGGCAATGCTAACACCCACCAGAGCAACTCTCACAAACCATTGCCCAACGATTCGCACAAAAAAGCTTCACCCCACTTGAACTCTACTGCTTCAACTGCGTCTTCCGCTCCCTAGCCGACACCGAATCCGGAGTACACTACTGGAGCGAGACTACGCTATGTCGCTTTCTCGAGCTGCCAGATGCACTGGGCGTGGGCTCCGTCATCTTTCAAATGGCTAGCTATCTTGGCGCATTCCCCCTTCCGAGCCAAGCGCCCGCTATCCTGACTTATGAGGCGTTGCTAAAGGTTGTCACAATCCTTACCGAGCGGTATGGGGCGGTGGTGAAGAAGAGGGGGAGGGAGATTTGGTTGCGGGAGATATATCGGAGTTTGGCGATTTATGACAAGGGTATACGGTCGAGTTTGGAGGACAAGGAGAAAGAGAAGGAGAAAGATGTGCCAGCGCCGGTGAGCAGTGGTAACATGGGGTTTGCGGTTGATGCGCCGGATGATGGGGACGAGGGAGATGAAGACGAGGATGATGAGTTGGTGTTGGCTGCACTTGATTCTATGGACGCTATAGATGCGTTTAAGCATGGGGAGCAGTCCAACGTACATCACTCGATTATACCCACGGACAACTTCTTGAAGCTGGTGGAGCTACTGCTCCTCATTGCGCCAATCGACGCGCAACAGAGCCTCTCGACACTAGCTCCAGACTTGTCAGACACACGCGTAGCGGAACTGCGAAGGGCGGCACATGTCATTATATCCTCCTTTGGCGTCGAGAATCATCCAGGTGTCACATACCGCACATTCAACGCCGTCATCTCAACATGCCTGCCCTACCTCTTCAACGGACTAAACCCACTCTTCGAGCACTTCCTCTTCGCCAAAGACATGGACCTGTCAAAACGAAAAGGCGGCCCTAATTCCCCCACCAAAGAGAGCAAGCCCGTTATCCCGCCTCCAAAAGCGCAAAGCGAGCCCATCCTCCGCGAACCAGGCGAAATCCTTAACCTAACCATCCTCAGCCAACTCTCCTTCTTCCTCAAAGGCAGTGACCTCTTCCGCCGCCTACGCCCCCTCTACAGCGGCAACACCCACGGCTTCAGCATGGGTTCCTTCGAAAAACAAGTCTTCAATTGGCGCGCCCCCACCATCCTCCTCGTAAAAGGCCGTCTCCTGCCCACCACGCCCTCCACAACCCGCGAACGCGCACTCCAAGACATGCTACCACCCAAGCGTCATCCATCTAGTATCACACCCGACTCGTTGTCGTCGAACCAAACACTCATCTACGGCGCCTACATCTCCTCGCAGTGGAAACACACGGGTAAAACTTGCTTCGGCGACGCATCAACGACACTCTTCCAACTCTCGCCCACCCACGACGTCTTCACTGCTTCAGCATTCAGCCACGACTACACCTACTTTTCCAAATCGCCCACCACACCCGCGGGCCTCGGTCTCGGCACTCCCATCCCCACGCAATCAGCCTCGCACTCCTCGCACTCGCACTCGCACTCACACCCCGTTTTCCGCCCCGGCCCCGTGTCCCTGCACCTCGACGACGCGCTGGAATTCGCAGTCTTCACGCATCTCGCCGAGGGCGGGGGGTCCTTTTTGCCGAGTAAGTTGCCTGCTAGGAAGGGGAGTGATTGGCAGGATCGGTTTGAGATTGAGTCGTTGGAGGTTTGGGGATGTGGCGGGGATGAGGTGGCTGAGGAGCAGAGGAGGACGTGGGCGTGGGAGGAGAGGGAGGCCGAGGCCAGAAGGAGGGTTAATCTTGGGACAGGGGATCAGGAGATGGATAGGGAGCTGTTGAAGATGGCGGGTGTGATTTCGGGGGACAGGAGTGGGGGGAGTATGGGATGAGTGTGAGGGGTGGTAAGGTGGAAAAGGGGGGGGGGTGGGGGGTGGGTGTAATGATTTATGCAGTTATGAGTACACGATTAGTTTCGTTGTGAAGATTCTAAGAATTTCATTTCTTCTCATATCAAAATCTTAAGCAATGGAGTTTAATCCCATCCCGTCCCATATTATAACACCCTCACCTAACACCTACTGCCCTCTCTCCATCACTCCACTGAGCCCGTATAACCAGACCACATCTGTTAAGACAACGAGAAGCTGCAGCATCATGATGGTCCAGCTGCTCGTCGTCCTAACAGATGTGATCGTTTTACGAATTCAAGCAGAGGGAGCGAGGTTGAATGTTTGTACCGGCTTGGGCGGTTTTCTTTTCTGTGGGGGGGAGGGGGGGGGGTGTATATTCCGCACTCGTGATGTGTGGTGTGTACATTTATGATACATGGTCCTCCTCTTGTTCGTCCTCTCCTCTCACGTCATGGTTGTGTGCTCTCCTCACCCCAGGTGCATCTGAACAGCTCACAAGCATTGTCTCAGAGCAACCTCTAGCACCCATGCACATGCACCGATCTATCCTTGCCTAAACCCCCCGTTAGCAAAAGTCCTACCACTACTCCCCTCCCTCGAACTCACCTCTGCTTATGCTTAGGATTCTTGCTGCAGATAATATAAACATATCTCCCCCCCTTCCTCCTCACACTCTTACACCCATCACAAAGTTTCTTCACCGAGCTGCGCACTTTCATCCCGCGTGTTTGTATCCGCATGCCGCTGGCCACTTTGCCGCTTGCCATTGGGGTCGCATTGCTCGTGCTGAGGCCTGTGAAGTGCGTGGTGAGGCTGGCGGTGGGGCGCGTCAGGCGTGTCGTGGAGAAGCAGGCGCAGGTGGGTGTGTGGATGTGTACTTTGGGCGTGCGGAGTGTGGTGCGTAGTGGGGTGCGGAGGGTGAGGGTGCGGAAAAGGGGGATGAGGGCGCGGGCGTTCATTTTGGGGGTTTTGGTGCCGCGGGCGGGCTTGGGTGTGGTGGGTGTGTGGTGAGAGTGGGTTTGTGGGTGGTGGTGGTGGTGGTGATGCGGTTGGTGTTGCGGCGGCGGAAAATGTTGCCAAGGAGCTAGTGGGATGGATGGAAGTTGCGATGTTTGAACCTCGACTTTCTTGTTTCTTGCTACTTTTTGGTGCGTCTTGTTTGTCTTGTTGCGCTCTTGCACCAATATGCCAGAGAGGTCTGGTCAGTGCCGCTTCTTTGCGTTGGTAGCTAGCGGAGATCGTATGTATACGTCACAATATTACCACCATCGAAGCGCAACTCAACTCAAACAGGGAGAGACTATACCTAAGTAATGGGATGTCCCCATCAAGTCCCTAGATGAAGCCATTAGAATGGTTGCCAATATTGATTAGGGTGGGACGTACCAAACTTCTGGTTGACTGGGATCCTGGAGCACTGTAGCGCATCACGTGACCCACTGCTGCCTTGGGAAGCCTGGGACTTATAAGCCGCCGCTGGCCTCGAGTGAACTTCTGATTCCTCATCTCATCACACAGGAGTCCCATTTACATAAAATTCTCCAGTCATGGCATCTACATCGATTGCTCCTGACACCACTACATTCATGGATCAACGACAATACCCTCTCTTCAGCACTCCTCGCGAACTCCGGGATCACATCTACGAATATTACACGTATGACGAAGAAGGTCTGGCTTACGACTACGCCTCGAGAACTCTGAAATACGCTGATAGCAGAGAACTCGAGTTTGCTTATACATGCAAGCTCGTGGCAGATGAGATGCGCGGGGTTCATCTTCGTACCAACGTCATTACATTCACTCCCAGCTGCGCACAGAGCAAAGAAGAGACTGAGCTCGGGTTGCGCCCAAGAGCTGCTCGGTTTGAGCATTTGCTGCATAGTACTCGCTTGACTCAAATGGCCATGCTCCATCACGCCATCGAATGCGTCACCGAGGACGATATTGAAAAGGTTGAACAGGCATATCCATCAATCAGCAGCGCCTTCTGGTCTTCCTTGGGCGCAATCCGAAATGGTTACGAATTAAGGAACTTGGATTCCCACTCTAGGAGCATGTCAAGAGACCTATTTATAGCATCATTTTGTGATGCTGTACAATACACTCTTGACCTTGTCTCAGCCCACCCACGGTTTAAAGAACTCGTGTCAAAGGCATGTGAACTAGCAGAACCCCACCCTTGGGGAAGACCGCCTTTCAAGAAGGGGTCGCATCGACAGGTCCTTGCATGGCGGCCTCATTTGTGGCAAATTCCCAGCTTGGACGAGCTTTCTTGCATGGAAGACGCTTACGTGGATCCCTATTACACCGAAACTTCACTGAGGAGATACCTAATCAGTACCAGAGAACTTGGCGATGGCGGCGTAAGATACTACTTCTCGGCAACCGCTATATGTATCGCAACACTGGATCGGCTTCCATCTAGCGTTCGTAAGCAACTGCGTTCCATTGTTCTCCAAGAAGACTGCAGAAGTGTCGGCAATCCCGAAGTCCACGCCGAGGGACTCGTTCCGTACTATACCGAAACCCCTAACATGCGCATCCACATGCAAACAGGATTGCACACCATGCTTGCTCCAACTTTTTGGACCAATGCGCGCGCAGAATCCCCCTCTCCAGATGTTGTTACATGTGGTAACCTGCATCATTATATACGTATTCTGATCGATTGGCTCTTACGAACATTCACATTGTCATCGCATGGAATGCCAGCAGGATCATTTGTCGCAACCCTTGATATCCGTTCAAAAGAAGCTGCTTCCACATGGGAATACTTAGAAAGAGCTGCAGGTGCAAGAGTATTCTTCCCACAGGCTGACAGCGACATGGTGGGTATGAACAGGGCTGATGCGATTCCCGGTTTATCACAAATGTTTGGATGGATAGGCCGCCTTCCTGTTGGTAACTCTTCTGTCATTGTAGACATAAAGAATAAAACGTCTGTGATTCAACTTGATGCTGCTGCTGATCAGCAGCCACAGTATGATGCTGGTCCGGCTAGCCCTCACTCATTGTGGACGATTTGGGATTGGCTCGATATCTACAGGCCAGCGTCTTTTATAAGAACCGTTTTCTACCCAGCTGACTCGAACGCATACTTCAAGACATATCTCGACGATAGAATTCGAAGGAAACTCTGGTCTGAGGTACTTTAGGCTTTGGCAGCGCGCGAAAATGTCCAGTCATGAGCATAGCGACACTAAGGGAGAATCCGCGTTCAGTCTCTCGACGCCGGTATCCCCTTCTTCGATGAAGCAATGGGTTTACCGTCTACCTACGTACTCTGGCGCTGTTGGAAACTCAAATCCATTATTTCATCGAAGAAGGGGATACCGGCGTTGAGAGCTTGAACGCGGGTTGCCAGACTCCGCAACAATCAATCGGATCGGCATGATTGATTCCTATCTAGGTTAAAGGCTGCCTAATGAAGTAATTCTTTAACCTATATAGGAATCAATCATGTCAATCGATTGATTGTTGCGGAGTCTGCGGGTTGCTCTGTCGCAGATCTCTGGAGTGGCGGAGACAGGAGTATGGCGTCTCTGTTTGGGTTGTTTTCTTGGTCAGCTTTTCGTAGCATTATGGTTTACCATGAATGAGAAGTTTGAAGTTCCTGATACGCTTCTCGAGACTACGCATGCAGTGAGCGTTTACATATTGTTCAATCGCTTGGAGAATATTCATAACCTTTCCTTTCTTTCTTGAGCCAATGAACATCCTGTAAAAGTCGCAAAAGCATCATACTGCCCCAATGCCAAACATATAGCAGCTTCCCCTCTAGCTTCTGTTTGCCTTCATTCTCTAGGCCTGGGTTGATTGGATTGCATCAAAAATGGAGAAAACTGGACTATGTAGTAGAACCGCTTCCACGGCTACCGTTGTGTAGACTGTTAAGCCAAAAACACTCATATCTGCAGGCGCGTCCGATCACACTGGCATGTAGCTACGTAGCTATAAAACTTTGCATATTCCATATAACCTCCTACAAATCCTTAATCTCAAATTGTTTATCCAGACTTTCTCACAACCGCCAGCTTCGACCGCACCGGCACATTATGTTCAGGCTCCTGCGTATCAGGAAACTCATCTAACTTCACCCCTTTTTTTAAAAATCACACAATGCGTACTCCCGCCATAGTAAAACATGCTAATCTCATCACCCTTCTTCACATGCTGGCCCTCGGAAACCGTAATTTGACAAGTTGACACCTTAGTCATGCTTATGCCCAGGGAAACACACGAGACCCAAATCCTTATTGTCGGCTTCAATGAAAACGATGGCACGTGTAGCTTTTGCAGTGAGATATCCTTGGCTTGTTACCTCTTTACCTTTATCAATATCGGACTTTGTGGAAGGATCACCCAGGCCTTCAAAGAGTGGCTCGGAGAAGTACGTGCCTTCTTTGAGATAAGCTTTGACGATTTTTCCGCTTACAGGGGCGTGTCAGCGGTGGTAACTGAGTGCGGAGAGGAAGGCTTGGTATACGGTGCCACCGATGAGGTGCTCGTGTAGTAGATCCATGGCAAGCATGTCCATGAGCGAGTAGGCCTGGCCTTTGATCCAGAAGTGATCGCGCTGCGCGACGTTGCGGGCTACCTTGTAAGGTTTCGATTCACAAGCGTTGGCGATGACGTTGTCGTCCTCTGGGTTGGCAATTAGTCTTTTGTCTTCTTTGAAGCAGCGGGTGAAGAAGTGGTCCCAGGATTTGTAACCGTGGTGCTCTTTGGAGGGATCGCATTCGAATAACTCTTCAAATAAATAGGATTTTTGGCCCACATTAGCCGTGATGGGAAGATCGTGGATGCCGTGATCGCTGAGCCAGCCAATTTTGTCGTCGCCTAGTACGTATGCGGAATCTGGTGAGACAAGGAACTCGGCCCATGCGTTCAGGACTTTCTTGACCATCTTGTTGACATCGGGATCTAGGAAGAATGCGAAACCAGATGGTGTGCCCTGCATGGGGAGAAGTGCACAATCAGCGTTATGGATCTCGATTTTACAAAGAAATTGCTTACCATCGGCCAGTCCAATATGGCATTGAACGGAGTCCCCACCATTCCAACAGAGTACTTCTGATCGCTCCACTCAGGCGCCGTTCTGAGGATGTGATTGAACAGTTCCAGCACATGGTGATAGTCACGGACTTGCTTGTAGCCAACCGGGTCTTTCCTATACGGCTTTTTAGAAGGTATCTCCTATATGGAGTTGACCAGAATGTAAATCCGTGTGTTCTTCTCGATCAAATCTTTGAACTCTTGCAACACGGGATGAAGTTCCTTTGGGTTGCTTCCCACGCGCCCAACGATGTTACAGAGCCACGCCTTGTGCACACGATGATCTGACGGGAGCCATGATCCAGTTCTATGCACATGGTGCTCTTTGGGTACGTTTGTGACGTTTTCTTGATGAGACGTTTTGTGGTTCGTGGGATTTCAGAATTAGATCTTGGCTGAAGTTTTTCTCCAGAGTTGTTTGTCAACCCCCTTGAACTCCATGTTACTCATCATTTTCATCACTTCTACGTAATATCTATACCCCTGCGTTTCTGTACTCCGGGAACAGACTTCTTATTCCAAGATTTACAGATCATTCCCTGCACGTCATCTCCCTAGGATTGTGGCGTCAATCGACGGGTGACTGCAGTCCCCCTAGGTAGGAAGGTGGGGTAAACCTGCTTAATCGGGTTAGTCGTAGCTTGCGGAACTGACAACCTTGGAAGAAAATCGCTGAATGAGAAAGATGTGAACTGGACGATGAGATGTCCATAAAGCACGTGAGTATGCTTATGAGTTTCGTATGCTAATATCACTAGATCAATCCAGGAATCACCCCACCAAGCTGACCTACCGAGGTTAAGAAGGCTTGGCCCACATCTCAACATTATATATCGCGCATGCTTACTTACACCTCAACCTTGACGTTGCAGCTATTTTCAAAATGGATCTTCTAACTCCCGGAGATATCAAGCACAAGAATGGAGAGACGACGCACTATTATGAAGGAGGGTCTAAAGAAGGAACACCCCTCATCTTCATCCACGGCTGGCCGGACATAGCGGAGTCATGGGAACACCAACTCTCCCACTTCGCCGCTGGCTCAAAGTACCGCGTCATTGCTCCCGACATGCGCGGCTACGGTGATTCCACTGCCCCAACCACAAAGGAAGCCTACTCACTGTCAGTGCTCGTCTCGGAAATGGTCGAATTCGTCGAACAACTAGGCATCAACAAGGCCATCTGGGTCAGCCACGACTGGGGCTCGGGCCTCACCAACGCGCTTGCAGCCCATCATCCCGAACTCTTCATCGGTGTCGCCAATCTTTGCGTCCCATACCGTTCTGTCGAGCTCGGCTTCGATTACCTCGTGAGCATGGTGAACCGCGACATCTACCCCGAAGACGAGTATAAATGGGGACAATGGGAGTACATGAAGTACTACCAGCTGTATCCCGAAGAGAGCGTCAAGATGTTTGACTCAGCCGTGGAAGGTATGACAAAGGTGCTCTACCTGAAACAAGACCACAGCCAGTCGTATGGCAAGCCCTCCCCTATGGCCAGGATCATTAGGGACGGAGGATTGTTTGGAGGACACCCGGAAAAGATTCCTGATATTCCACTCGAGGCTACAATGCTCGACGAGCACCATTACGCTAGTCTCGTGCGGGGCAAGAAGAAGCATGGGTCCTTTGGCCCTGTGGCATGGTATTTGAACCACGAGGCTAACGCCGAGTACGGGAAGAGTGAGAAGAATGGAGGAGTGCTGGAGTTCCCTGTGTTGTATATCGACGGAAAGTACGATGCTGTATGCTCAATCAGTCAGACGCCAAAGATGGGAGAAAGCCAGAAGTCAGCCACGAAGAAGTTAACAGTAGAGACCATCGAAGCGGGGCATTGGGTGCAGTTAGAGAAACCTAAGGAGGTCAATGAGGCGTTGGAAAAGTGGCTGAGCACTTTGTGAGGTGTTGCTGTGTGGTAGTGTTGATAGAACGCTGCATGCGCGTTAAAATGAGACATGACTGGAGCACCAGTAATGCATACGTAGAGAGAGGGCGTGGAGTCATTGTTATGCTGAATAGTACAATGATCTGAATCGGGCATGGTGTGGTCTTGCGTTCGGTTGTGGTGCCCTTCCCCCGCCCCGCTCCATGCTGAGGCGTTATTTGACGACGATCGCTTCGACAGTAACAAAGATGACTGTACCATTGAAAGAAGAAATGCAGCCTCTGAGATCGATTGATGGGCTGCCTAACATATTGAGATACATTAGTATTGATCTGCGCCAGATTGCGTTTCCAGGTATGGATAAAACAAGTGAGATGCAATGTTTCCTGAACTGTCAAGCTAGAAAGGACGACCACCCACGAAGTCGCATCATTTCCGTCGGTGAAGTATCGCCGTCTCATCTTACCGGCAGTTCACATCTTACATACAAACACATGGGATCAGCCGCGATCTCATGGTCCTAGATGACCACGTGAACGCCTGAGAATGATAAAATGACTGCAGGTGGTTGGCGCGCGCCTAATAAAACGGAGACCCGACCAGCCGACTTAACCACTGTATCTGATTAGCCGAGAAAAAGCTTGGCTTTATAACTTCACGAATTAATCACGTTACACGCCTCGCTTTTGCAGTCTCATTTGTCGCTCTTTCACTGTCGTTTTTTGATGACCATTGAGATTTCATTGTGATTTGTTTAGCCTTAGTCTTCCTTTCCTTGTTATATATACAAATAGTGCGAACCACTCAACTCATGTTTGACCTATTTGTATCGTCATTGACTCTTGACAAACATGTCTGCTCAAACGCTTACACGAGCGGCTGCACTCACGCGAGTCTTGGGCCAGTCAGGTCGTCGCTACCTCGTCGAACGCATTCTTCAAGACAAACCTGGGGACCAGGGACGTGTGTATCTCGCAACGTAAGTAGACCCAAGTTAGGTAAACATAAACCCACAATCACTAACCTTACGTTTCTTCTAGCTCTAGAGACCACAAGTACGTCTTAAAAGGCGTTGTACTATGCGACTTTAAATATTTTAAGGATATGTTCGATGACCTTCGGAGCTCACCCTACCTACGCGTGTTCGACGATGCTTGCCCCGACAAATCTGTGTTCGTATACAAGTACCTTCGAGACCACCTTCTGTCTTTTGTCCAAAATGAAGTTCCACTTCCCACAACTAAGCGAATCCTCTGAGACACCCTGTGTGGAATCGCTACTCTACATAGCAAAGGAATCGTTCATACCGATATTAAGGCGAACAACATCTTGATAGAATGGAAGGACCAGGGTGGCGAGATAGCAGTGGAGCAAGTGTAGGTTGCGGACATTGAGGATGCGGCCTATGTATCACAAGATTGTGTTATCAAGGGAAGACAAGTTGGAAATTGGATGTGGCGAAGTCCAGAGGCGCACGCATCGGCTGAAGTGCACACGCCGTCAGATATGTTCTCTTTTGGACTTGTGGTAAGTCTCTCTTCAATCTTCGAAAGTCCCTAATCTGAAGCAATGCATTGCATCTATGCCATCACAAAACGAGTGGTACTCGCAGTAGACGAAGAAGAGATTCCAGAGCGCATCGAACTTTTGGACATTGTTCTCGAACGTCAGCTTTCGTACTTCTCTGATCTAGAGGGTATTGGCGGTCTAATTCGGTACCTTGGCGATAGTCCCTGGGCTCAGCTCATTGCAATGATAGCGGCGGACTTTAATGCAGACAATCCAAGGCGACTGTTTGCATTGTGGCAGGTAGACTCCGCAACAATCAATTCAATCCGGTCACTCTCCTAGACCCACTTACCTATCTAGGTAGGGCTTAAACTCCTATAGGTAACTACTAGGCTTAAAGCGGTAATCAATCAATCCAATCTGAACCTTCTAGGACCCACTTAATTGATTGTTGCGGACTGTGGTGGCAGGATATCGACCCTGACTTCAGGGATCTTGTTGTACGGATGATGAACGTGGACCCCACTCGGCGACTCACAGCTAATGAAGCACTCGCACATCAGTGGTTCTCAGACGTTCCGTGATGAGGCGATGTGCGGCGGGTCAATCACGCAAGTGGATAGAGTCTCTACATACATATGTCCACGCTCTGGACGATGTGCTTCCGCGAAGGTACGCATTGACAGCCATAGATATTGTGGAGCAGCCTCGTATTTGATAATGACTTAGCAGCATGTTGCCGCAGTCTGCTGACAGTAACCAAAGTGCCAATGTAAGATGCCAAGGAGAAGCCGGGTAACTTACCTCTATGTTGTGAGATCGTCGTACTTGCCATCCTCATTCAGAAAGCTCCTGAGATCCTAAAATACTATTCGAGCCTTTTACAATAGGAGTTGCTGGAAACTTCCGGTAAGCTCGTATCTGTTTCGGATATTCGGTCTTCTATCATGGTGGCAGCGTCACCACGGCGTAGGACAGCATGGAATAGAATGGACAGCCACCATACGAAAGGAAGTCTTGCAAGAGGTAAATACGGAACATAGGTTATATAGAGAAGTAGAGGAAGGTAGGAAGGCAGATGTCTATGTACTTGGCGACAGCCAGATGAAATATGTCTGCAATTCCATATGAAATTACACCGAGAATCTGCATAACCTAGTACCACCGTATATTGCGCGTGGCTTTTGAGTGACTCCTTCTCAAAGGGACTTGCCTAACTCTCAAGAGGTATAAAAGAACGGGGAAACGTCTTTCCAACTCGAACAAAGAACGTACCAATTACCACCTACAATTCTAAATCAAATCCAGTTATTCGTAATTCCACGCACCATTACAATGCGTTTCTTTGCTACTCTAGCCGTGCTCGTCACGATAGCCGCTGCTGCTCCTTACGCTGGAGAAAAACGTAATTGCGAAGGTGTCGAAAAAGTTATCGACGGAAATGTGGTAATGACGTTGGAGTGTCATATGGAACCTATCCCGATTGAGAGATGAGGTCCTTATCGACGATAGAACCGGCAAAAAATCTAGTATGTATTGGCGTTCCACGATGTATAGGGTATGGCAGTCTAACATTATGGTTCTAACAGTGGTTTCTATGAGAAATCACGTCCGGTCCGAAACTATGATCGACATAGGCAACAAAAAAAGAGTTGGTAGTGAAGACGCAGGATGTGTCTCCGATGAAACTGGATAGGGGATAATAATTTCTGTTAGGTGACGATATCAAAGTCGTTCCTTATCATCGGTTGGTTTTGGTTGGAAGCGGTGGTTTGGGGGGTCTCGGTATATAAGCAAGCACATGTACATCCAGAAGACTTGTGGCAAGAGAAACACTAGACGGATTGTATTGAAAATAACACCTTTGCTCACTGCAATCATTTCTATCGCATAAGACCGTCAGTCCGCAATCTTCGGCGTTTTGCAAACACACGGGATTCTCGTATCTGCCACCCGACAGTCCTTGTCCACGATATCAAGACCAATTGTATGCGCTTCGGATGAATAGGAGCAAAGAGTAAGTCCCGATTCATCTTGGGGTTCTACGTAGATCCATGATTTTGGACGGTTGACAGCCCCGAAGAAGCGGGCTGATAGTGATCGACATCGTGGAGCAACCTCGTCTTACCACGATGACATGGTGGTAAGATCTTAACGAAAAGGGGGGCATCTCAATTCTCGATGGTTCGTGAGATCTTCGTACCTATTATGGTCAGGATATTTCAATTGAGATGCCGAGACGACTGTTCCATCCATTCACAGCAGGAGTTGCGTAAGTTCATCTCCACAACGCTTACTCAGATTCGTAATTGCGTCCCGGCGGAGCCGCAACGTGGGGTAGCATGGGGAAGATTTGCGTCGCTGCCATGCGAAGGTGTATTATTATTATTATTATTATTATTGTTGGTTGGCTTTGCACTAAGTGCGTAAAGGGAAATAACGATAACTAGGAATGCATTCTGTTCGGTGGTTCTAATTGATATCTACGAACATAGGTGCTACGAAGGTATACCTAAGCTCTTGCGCAAGGTGGGCCGAAGTCGGGCCGAAGTGTCCAGCAGCCGACGTCTCTACCGATACTCACGATCCGACAATTATTCCATTTAAGTCCTTTTTCAGTCAGAGACTATGTAGGACTGGGCCGGAGGCCGTTCTATCTGGTTTTGTTTATCGTACATTTTGGGTATTTGTTTGGCTATAGCAGTTTAGGCTTGCTTCTAGCTAGATACTCGGTGTCTAGCTAGTGCCTGGTGCTAAAGAGCAGTTTGGTGAATAGACATGCGAAGGTGTAAAATGGATAGGAACCTCTCTTACTTACACTGCCAGCATATCTACACCCTACTATCCACGATACATTGCTGGTCTGAAATTCTATTATTCTCATCTACCATACTTCTAACATGCGTCCCTCTCTCTCTATTGTTCTAGCCGTGATCGTCACGGTAGCAACTGCAGCTCCCCTACAACTACAGCCTCGAGACGATTGCCCACCTTGCGCACAAATAAGACCAGGAGGCCGAGGTCCAGAACTCATCGGGGGTGGTTGCTGTTAATGCTATCTCGGATCAACGAGTTTCTTAGCAACGGTAGAGCCAACTATCAATAAGAGGTATGTTTCTTTTAGATTTCCAGGATCTAGAAGATGGGATAATCTAACATTATGGTTTCCACTAGAGAAGATGGTTACGAGAAACTTCAAACTTTCGGAGACCGCCGCGATCGATACAAACAGAAAGGAAAAGGGGTTGCAGTCAGCGTTGGGAGTGGAGGTGCAGTGAAAGGTTGCGATGAAGCGAGACGGCTGGCAGTAGGGGAGTCAGAGGACGGCGTGTATAAACAAGCAAGCACATGTACATCTAACTTAGAAGACTTCCGTGGAGCGGAACGCCAGGCGTAACTTCTTCATAATACAATCGCATTTGCTCGCTATGCCTTTTCCAATCTCAATGTCTGTCTGCTTCATCTGGAGAATGGCACGTCGTTTCACCAGGTCCGCGAGACCTCAGCTTGAGACTAAGTGCTCTAGTATGGACTTGTGTGTAGACTCTATAACAGCTGTCTACATACACAAATTGTTCGGCACTGATAGGTAGGCGGGTTACTTGCAATTCTCGTCAAGATATTGGATGCAATTTTCCATTATAGAGACGGACTGCTTGGTTTTTTGGGCCCGCAAACATGCTGGAGCAGATCGCGCCTGTATTTCTGGAAGCCCCTCGAAAACACGACGCTGCCTGTCGGGGTGAGCGGTGGCGTGGGAGTTTGCACTACCCAGAGCGTATGTAAGTATCTCTGATCTAGGGCTGTAAGTGCGACAGACAAAAAGCCATCGCGTAGGTGTTTATGCATTGTTTCTGGACTTGGTCTACATTGGGCTAAATGTCACTCATACGATGGATGGAAATAGTATTTCGTTTTTCTTGCCTTTGCTTTGGCGTACGGCGTCTTTGCATCCTTCTTCTATCCAGAGACGCGGAAGTTGACGTTGGAAGAGGCGGGGGAGTTGATGGACACCGCGAAGGCTAGAATGAATGCCAGGAGGAAGTGAGTCTGCTGAATGTAGTTTAGAAATTCTATGATGTTTACATATATCAACTGTACCTTGGTTATCTTCATCTATGTACCATGACTTGATTCGTGCATCGAATCAATGCCACTATGTACTGCGTCTATTGCAGCTTGGACAGATATCAAATTGAGCATATAGGCTACCCTTTTGCTTCGAAGAGACGGTATTGATGCATTGATTTACGAGGCCTATTCTGCATCATCGAGAGACTGTTTGAACAAGTAAAGTCGGGTTGTAGCACATGGTCGTCATGTTGGAAATCGGGCGGCGGCGATACAGAATACGGAGAATTTCGGATGCTTGTCGGTGAAATGCAACCTGTCTGAGTGGCTAGCGCGTCTCGGGTCTTGGCGCAGGGTGCATGTGCCTACCAAAAGTTCGTCATCCCATTTGGGCCGCCCGCTGAAGCTCAACCCCATGCCGCCATGAGCTTCCGACCAATACTGCCACGGCCAATTGCAGTGCGGGAAGCGAATTCACTATGTCTGCAATGTTGGAGGAGGCTCGCCAAAGCGCCGCTACAATCGCGACAGACATTTTCGTCCATTTCGTCGCATAGAGAAGGCGCTGTAGCCTCTAGGGGACGCCCGTATACAGTCGGCAAAGATTATTTCCGGGCGAACCCGATATTGAAAGAGACATTTTGGACGTCGAGGCAAGAACTGCAGAGTTCGATTGTATCCATTCGGAGCGGGAATGGCCAGCTAGGAGCGAAAGAGCATGCCACGGCTACAGCAGATGAAGTGCTACCACACAGGCGGCGGAAGAAGGCAAAGGAGGATGCAGCAGCAGTAGAGAACACTGAAGCGGCATATCCTATTCCACACGATGCATCCTCCAAACTCGCACACATATCCTCGAGCCTACCGCAGCAGTCGCTCAAGCGCATATTGACTACATACCTTTCGCTATCGAAACCCCGCCTGTCCTTCCTCGTCGTCCTCACAGCCACGGCTGCGTACTCGCTATATCCCGTTCCTGGCCTGCTTGCGCCTGCAGCAACAGCCACGCCCTCCCTTTCGACCCTCACACTATTCTTCCTCACATCTGGTACGGCGCTATGCTCGGCCTCGGCGAATGCCTTCAACATGATCATGGAGCCTGCCCACGACGCCAAAATGAGCAGGACGCGTAACCGACCACTTGTGCGAAAGCTGATCAGCCCTCGAGGCGCCATCATCTTTGCCATCGCATGTGGACTTGTTGGAACAGGCGCCCTCTACTACGGCGTGAACCCCACCACTGCTTTTCTCGGCGCAGCGAACATCTTCCTCTATGCTGGCATCTACACGCCCATGAAGCGCATGCATGTACTGAACACCTGGGTCGGTGCGATAGTAGGAGGCATTCCACCATTGATGGGCTGGACGGCTGCGGCAAATCAATATGCGTACCACGGTACATGGGATGAGCTGCTGTTCGGCGAGGGCTCCGCTGGCGGATGGCTGTGCGCTGCGCTTCTCTACGCCTGGCAATTCCCCCACTTCAACGCGCTCAGCTGGGCTATACGCGACGAGTACAAGAACGCTGGCTATCGCATGTTAGCATGGGTGAACCCCGCCATGAACGGCCGCGTCGCATTACGATATTCGATACTAATGTTTCCTATCTGCATCGGACTATCCTACTGCGGCGTCACAGACTGGAGCTACGTAATCACGAGCAGTGCAGTCAATGGCTGGATGACGCTCAAAGCTTGGCAGTTCTGGAAGGCCGGGGGGCACAAGGGAACAGCGAGAGGTTTGTTCTGGGCCAGTATCTGGCACCTTCCCATTGTCATGGTTCTGGCCATGGCTCAAAAGAAGGGACTTGGAGAGCGCATCTACCGGAGTTTATTCGGATATGCCGACATTGATGAAGAAGACCTCTATTATGAGGTCGGTAAACTCGAGGAAGAAGAGCAGAAACACTTGGCCCTCGTCCAAGGTAGACGAGACACATAAGATCCACATGTTCTGAGCCCACATTGCGTGCCTGAATTATTGCGGCATTACCGACGATCGCTCGATCAACAGGTACATGTTTCTATGCCCCACTGTATCATGTATCATCACGTCCTACTTAGGCAGTTGGACTCGGGTGTAACGGATATAAGCTTCGTGGTCGATAGTAATTCATAGCGTCGTCCCGGGTTTCCCTTACTGCACCTTTACGCCAAGTCACAGTGTAACTGTCTCTACTTTTAATATCTCCGCATCGGTTGCGCGCCCAAGCGACATGTATGGAAGCTCTCGAGTAGGCGCCTCCGTCAATTTCCACGGATAGCAAGGCTGCAGCAATCTATCAGGTGCACAAAGACGGACCAAGGCAATATATCCCACGGGTCATGCGTTTCGACTACCGGCCAAGGCATAAAACACTGGGCCAATGACCTCGGCTAGCGCCACCAAGCTCATCTAAACATGAATATGTCTCTTGTCAATTAATTGTCATTAGCTCCATTGTTTCGAAAGCCATGCTCGGCAGCAGCCAACGCCTACCAAACGTTTACCCGCCGCAACGACGCCATGGATCGTGTGCGCAAGCCTCGCCGGAATGAAGTACCACACGCCCAAGTAATGGGTACTTTGTACTGCAATTTAGAACCCCCACCCTGGCGGACTTGTGTGACAGCTGCGACGACGCCATTCTAGGAAATTGTATATATAGAGGAGTCTCATAGCCTCGTTTTTATTCATCATCACAGTTCATCCAAGATCATCCAACAGCAAGATGAAGTACAGTCTCGCCGCCCTCCTCGCTGTCGCCAGCACGGCCAGCGCACACTACACGCTCCCCGAACTCACCGTCAAGGGTGTAAAGACCGGCCAATGGGCCTACGTCCGCAAGACATCAAACTACCAATCCAACGGTACGTCTACCTACTCGTCTACTCCCACACCCATCAAAAAACTAACATGCCCTCCCCAGGCCCCGTCACAGACGTAACATCAAACGCCATCCGCTGCTACGAGCTCTCCCCGGGCACCGGATCAAAAACCTACACCGTAAACGCCGGCGACACCGTCGGCTTCACAGCCGCAACCTCCATCTCGCACCCAGGAACCCTCCAATTCTACCTCGCCAAAGTGCCGTCTGGTAAAACCGCCGCCACTTGGGACGGCTCGGGTACCGAATGGTTCAAAATCTACAGCCAAGGCCCCTCCTTCTCCGGCGGCCAGCTCACGTGGCCATCAAACGGTAAAACAGAAGTCGACGTCACGTTGCCGAAATCGCTGCCCAGCGGCGAGTACTTGCTCCGCGGTGAACACATCGCGCTGCATTCTGCGGGTTCCGCCGGCGGCGCGCAGTTTTACCTTAGTTGTGCGCAGTTGAAGGTTGAGAATGGCGGGAACGGTAGTCCCGGGCCGAAGGTGGCTTTTCCGGGCGCGTATAAGGCGACGGATCCGGGCATTATGATTAACATTTACTACCCGGTTCCTACTAGTTATACGGCGCCTGGGCCGGCGGTTTGGAGTGGGTAGATGGGGGTAGTTGATGGGATGGGTAGGGTTTGCGGGATAAGGTGGTTGGGGATTGGCTTCTTCTGTGTATATATCTTTTATGGAATGAATGAGGTTTATGATTAATTGTTTGACTTTGATAGAGCATGCATATGTTGTGCATTTGTGTCATCGTCGTAAATACGTTACTCTTCCTACTCCCAGTCCTACTCGGCATATCCCGTATCTATACAAAGACTACATATAGCTTACCTTATCCGTCCTAGCTTACCCGTCCACACACACACACACAACCCTCTCTCAAACTACACCAACATCCTTTCCAATCTAAACAACTCTAGGAAACAAAACAGATAACAAGTTCTTGTTATATTCAGTCACTAAGCGTTGAAGATCAACACGGCCATCGCGACTCCAACCTCGCTACCATCACACATCTATATAAACACAAATCCTACAATTCTATTGCTAACACACATACATATTTGAAATAACAAGCCCTCCTCATTGCAAATGAACGCACGTAGTTTCGCCGAATCCTCCTGTGATGCTAGGTAGCATTCATAGCCCTTTTAAAATTGGTCTATAGAACAACACCAACGGTAGAGTGTAGTACATTTCACACAGGCAAACGCTGGTATAGTATACTAGCACGTACGTCACGTAAGGATTTCGGGGATATTTTCCCATGGTCAGTAACGTTCGATGGAAAAGGGTTGTGTTGCGTATCTGTGTGTTTATAGGTGTTCATGTTGGTAGGCCTTGTACGATCGTACGGGTGAATAGCAACAACGAGGTTCTTCTGATGACTGGTATTGGTATTTGTTTTGATTGTCTACGAACATAGCTGCTACGAAGGTACACCTAAGCTCTGCGCAAGGTGGGCCGAAGTCGGGCCGAAGTGTCAAGCAGCCGACGCCTCTACCGATACTCACGATCCGACAGTTCACAATGTAGTCACATTTGGATTCTTGTGTAGATGTGGTAGACGGCCATGGCCTTTGCGATGGTGTCTTGAGTGGCATATTTCGACGGGATAAATGTTTATTTGTGTTTTTTTCCTACTTGCCAATCGTGGTTTCCTCCCGCTTGTGTATCCACCAAGGCTTTAACCCATCCTACCCTACCCCACTCGTCAGCAAACAACTCCCCACACTAACTTCCCAGCCTCCCTTACTCCCTATCATCCTCCTCCTTCTCCTACTTAAACTATCCAACACTCCAAAGCAATTCGGTTCGGTTCAGTTTATTCCAACTACAGATTGCAACGCACCCCAAACAGCGGCCCCCTATCACAGCAGACAAAATCCTTGGGGTTTAAGCTGGGGATTCCATTGTTGCAGCAAGAGTTGCAGCCTGCTAGGGCGGGGATTGGGGCTGGATTGGGCATAGTCTATTCAGTCTCTCAACTCGATAGCGACCGCCTCTCGAGATACATATCCACCCTCTCTCCTACCACCCCTTTCTATCCATCTCTCCTACCACCATCCCTCTTACCCCTCCTCCTCTACTCAACTACCCATTACATCGGGCGTCCTGGAGGACTATATTGAAAGCCTCTATCACACGGCTGCCCTAGCTTGTCTGGGTCAGCGCAGGTAATCGGGCCTCCGCCATCACTTCCATGGCAGAGTTTGCAGGTCTGCGGTTCGGGCGCTGCGACTGGATTGGGGACGGCGGCGCCGAAGGTGGCGAGGAGGAAGCGCGTTTCTGTGCTGGACTGGAGTTGTGTGTGTGTGTGTGTATATATATAAAGGCGTTGAGTTGACAGATATGTGTAGATGTGTGTAGTTAGATGTGTGTAGTTAGATGTGTGTAGTTAACGCGTGGTACAAAGCGCGGGCGGGCAGACCCTTTTATGTCTAACGGCGTAAGCAAAGGGATCGTCGTTACTGTCTCGCTTCCTCTGATACAGCACTCGTTGGAATAGGCCTTTTTTTCGGGTGAGTTACCTTTGTGACGTTTTGCTTACGTGGATGCCGAGACGATGTTGTTATCGGCATTTTTAAACCGGCGATGACTCTCTGGTTCTCACCGTGTACTTGACTGGGTGTGAGAAGTGTTGGCTCGGGATGGCGCGGATGCTGTGGAGGTGTACGGTGGGTGTGAGGGTTTTCGGTGGTGTGGTTGGGGAAGGGGGTGTCGTATGATGTTTGTATAGGTCGTATCGTTGGTGTTGGGTAGATCTCTTGTCTTGTCTAGGTGTATGTTTTTAAGTGTGTCGTGCGATGTTACACCTTAACTTGGCTATCGCAACAGTTAGTTATCTTTAAAGGCGTTATTCTTTAACCTTCTCAGAGTCGCTATGTACACTACTAAGTATATCCCTCCGCCCTCCTCCCGTCCCGGGTGCTCGGTGATCGACGGCGTACCGAGAGAGAGTAAGCTGCATTGACGTTTGTTCTAAAACTGTTCGGCACAAAGAACCGGATCGTCAGGAATTGCCTACCAGTGATGATCGACCAGCCGATGGAGAACAAGTGCGGGTGATTGACTGTGTCGAGGGTTTCGTCTAGGTTGTTAGTTCTTGGCAACAGTGAACGTCCAGGGGAAAATGCAATCTTGTGTCATCCTCGCCTGTTGTGAACAGACACTATGTGTATATTTGTGAGTTGCGTTGATTTGTTTTATTCTTCTTTTGTTGCTATATTTCTTTACATCTTGAAACGTTTCCATTCTTTGGGGTAGATTCGTGATATCAGTTCTTCCATTCTTACAATCGTCATCGTCGTCATCATTGTCGTTCCATCCACATTCACTGCTTTGAGCTAGAGCCAGCATGGGACCCGCCATGCTTCCTCCGACTCGAACTCTTCTTCTCCTTCTTTTCTTTGCTCTCCTTTTCTGGCTTCTCCGCCTTCTCCGCCTTCTCATGTCTCTCAGGCTTGTAGTCTTCGGCAACTTCCCGTACAACCTCGCTCTTGCCATCGATCCTTCGCACAACCCTGACGATATCGTCGGCGCGCTCAATTGCCACTTCATGGCCTACACCATCTAGCACCTTGACGCGTACGTTGTCTTCACCCAGAACCGTGCGCGCGTCCTCTGTAACCTCGTCGGCAACAACAATGGGATCGGTTTCGCCGAGAACGAGCCAGACTTCTTTTAGCGGACCGGCATGCGCCTCGATATTTTCGCGAATGACAGCCCAGCGATCGTGTTGGTTGTAAATGGGGGCGTTGCGGACGGTGGATATGAATGCCGGGACGAAACCCTTGTGGTGCTTGATCTGCCAATCTACAACAGAAGACACGGTACTGTATGGGTTTCCGGGCAAAAGCATTTGGTTGCTCGACACGTATGTTGCGTTGCCTTCGCTTGCAGTTGTAGTCGTTGTCTCGGCGTGTTCGACAGCCTCGGGGTCGTTTTCTACCACCTTGGCGCCCGTCCAGAGTCTGCTTGCTACCAGGCTACGGACCATCCATTCGGGCATCCAGGAGCTGTTGTAGAGCATTTTGCTCGATATGGAGACATGTGATTTGCGAATGATGCCTCCCGGGGCGACGAGCACGAGTCCCTTGACTAGGTTGGGGAAGTAGGAAGTAAAGTCAGCGGCGATGACGCCGCCAAATGAGTAGCCGACAATGGTGAAGTTTAACCAGTGAATGGGCGAGGACTGCAGAGCAAGTAGTACCTGTGTGGTGTAAAGGGTGGAGTCATACTTGGTCGTGTCTGGGGAAGGTGCATCCGAGTAGCCGCGGCCAAAAAGATCTGTCAATAGTGGTTAGCGTTTGCTTTTTGTAAAGTTTAATCAACCTGGCGTTTCGAGCATGCAGCATGGACTTTTTGCTGATCCCACGTGGGGGGAGCAGCTGTCGTGCACGTGGCCCACCGTTAGGTAGGGCTGGCGGGCCCCTTGCCGAAAAGAGTAAGGCAGAAGGGGAATGGACGATCCATCGTTCCAACTTTAACGTGGGGTTGAATCGACAGATCTGACATATCGCAAGGCAATTTCTCCTCTTAATTTGGACATGGAAGTTTTCCAAGACATTGGTCAAGACGGCGGAAATGACGAGGTAAAATTGCAAGAGGCAAACTAGTGACGGGTGACAACAAGAAAGGGACCCACCAAATAGCATGACACGTCGACCCCTCCCAACCAATTTGTGCGCAAGATCTGTCAGCGCGATGCTCGGCGTAGAGATGCCATGGATTAGAAGGACTTTTTCTCCATCTCTTGGGCCGAATTCATAGACGCGAATGGAACCAAACGGAGTGTTGACATCGCGGGCTCCTGGTAACGCGGCTGGATGATACGGTAGCTCGGCAGCATCCTCATCAGAAAGCTCGGGGAGTAATGAGTCCCTCGGGGAGCGGATCGGCGGGCGTTTGGCAGACTTTGATGAGGCTGTCAATGCCCAGAGGAGAGATAGGCCGCCGACCGAGGCGGCGCCAATGATGGCATAACGCTGGGCCTGGGGAAGACGCTCGAAACGCGACAATTGGGTTGCGGAGAGGGTTGAAATCTTCTGAATGGCAGCCTCTGCGGCTTTGGGCTGCGGCTTCTCGCCGGCAAATAGGGAAAACATTGCGATACAGGAATAGATGTAGAGAGTCGGGCCTTGCAGCGGTGACAAAATGAAATGATCGCCATGGCGCTAACTGGGCCGTCGTGGCGCGCGATACGACTGCGCCACAACTTCTGGGGCCAGGATTGAAGGGGGGGGGGGCCAAGGCCTCCGAGGTGGCATCTTTTTGTAGAGTTTCAGATGGGAGGCCTTACAAGGCTGTCCTGACATGTGCTAGAGCTGCGGCTGCAGACTCAACTGTCATGGCGACATGAAAGCTCCGACAAAAGACGGTGATTCGGACAAAGGCGCTGATCTTGAGGCGGCTAGCGGCAAGCCAAGGTTTGGGAGCGCGTCAGCTCTTTGGCTCCCTGTGGCTGTGTGGGCGCATAGTAGTCCGGAAGAGCCCTAGATAGCTTTCCAAAAGGTATCCTGGGCCCTGTTACCCCCGGACACTTACGACTCCCTTTTGGTGTCGACTGACCACTGCCCACTGTCTTTTGTGTTGTCGCCGGTCCTTTACTTCACTCTTTTTCCGTTTCCATCTCTGTTGCTCTTTGTTTCGGTCGCTGCGGAGTCTCATATGTCCGCTTCTGACGTCGGCAGACTCCCGAAGACATACCGTACGAGCACGTTGACGGCGCTGTCATCCCCGCCCGTGCTGACAGGCCGCGATAAAAAAGACGCCATCTACCTTACCCTGCGTTGGCGCAGGTGAAGAGTCTCTACCACACGGCGCTGGGCCCTTTGAGCTCACCATCACCATGGACGAGTGGACATCGAAGCAGCTCCCTGAGCGTCTGCCCTTCTCCAAGAAGCGACTTCCCAAGAGCGTCATTTTCTCGTGCGTCATGTTGCTCAAATACCACATAAGCTGAGGCTAACCGCAACAGATACATTGGCGACTATCTCATCATCTTGTAAGCCCGCCCCCGGTGCACACGCGACCACCTTCGCACCTCCAAATCGGCTAACAACAGCCACAGCGCATTGTTGATCATATTCACCATCGTGGATAAGATTCCCCCTTTCCACCAGCACTTTGCCCTCGAAAACTACACGCTCCACTACCCCTTCGCTACAAAGGAACGCGTGCCCGTCTTTTGGCTATGCGTTTACGTTATCCTCGCGCCCGCCGTCATCATCGGCATCTACACAATGGTCATTGATGGTCTCTTCTCACATCAGACGGCAATGCCGGCCGGAAGAGCCGGCATCAAGCGCCTCTCTGGACGGTACCGGTTCAAGGACCGCCTATGGGAGTTAAATTGCGGCATTCTAGGCCTGGGTCTGAGCATCGGCGCCGCCTATACCATCACGGGCGCATTGAAGAATGCCATCGGAAAGCCACGACCGGATCTTATAAGCCGGTAAGCAATACCCTGGGCCGGCGCAGGCCATATACTGATCGACTACAGGTGCATGATAGACGAGACGAAGATCAATACCGCAAAATACGCCCTTCAAACCATCGACATTTGCACCCAGACCAACAATTACATTCTCCAGGATGGCTTCAAGAGTTTTCCGTCAGGACACAGCAGTGGTATGTGATATAGTCGTCGCACCTGGCAACATTCCTAACACTTTCTAGTTTCATTCGCTGGTCTCTTCTACCTCTCCATCTACCTCGCCGGCAAGCTACACGTTATGGACGCAAAGGGTGAGGTCTGGAGGACATTGATTGTCCTGGTTCCTGCACTAGGCGCTGCTCTCATCACCGGCACCCGTATCATGGATGCCCGTCATCACCCATTCGACGTCATCTCAGGCGCTCTCATTGGAATACTAGTTTCCTGGGCTTCCTACCGACAGTACTTCCCTCCTGTTACCGAGACCTGGCGCAAGGGACGTGCGTACCCGATTCGAGCCTGGGGCAAGGCATCTCGAGCTCCTCCGTCTGGCGCAATGGACGACGACGCACAACCGCTACAACAAATGAACAAGCCGATAGATGAGGAACGCGGAGAAGCATCTGGCTACTCTTCTACGACCGTGGTGCCTGATAACATCGATACTACAGGCAATGTGTTCCGTCAGCAAATCCACAACTCGCAACGAAGACGTCAAGACCGTCAAGACTCAGAGTCCCAATACGGCGTAGATCGAAGTGATACCAACGCGTCGAGCAACTACCGAACTGGGACCATGGGATCTACCATGACTGCAAAGGTCAACAAGTACCAAACTCAGTTGCCTGCCACGAACCCTTTTGCCGCTGATGTTGCACGCCAACGCCAAATGGATACCTACGACTACTCATCTTCTGAAGACGAGAACCATTATGAGCTTCAACCACGTGGTGCTGGTGCTGGTGCTTACAACCCAGTATCTGGCAGACTTACCGATACTGGCTATCATCCTCCAACTGGCATTTCGCCTGCTCCTACACCGCCCCCTCCGATGACCAGTATCCTAGCGAATCAACACACCATGATGTCACCGACGGGAGATTTGGCTGATAGAAGAGACATTGGACCACCACCTCCACTTCATGCTCCAGGTACCACGCCTCAGCAAATATAAAGCATTGTTCAAATTTTAGCTGCTAGCGGCTCCTTGGTGGTAGTCTGGACTGCTGTTCTATATCCATATTTACTTTTCTTCATTACAACGTTTGAACATGCAAATAAGGCGTAATGGGGAATAATCTTTAAATTAGTCGGCTTCGATACGTACGTGCCCATTTGGAGCAGGAGTGTGGAGTTTGGACGGAACTAGGTTGGGATTAGTGTTTTCACGGGGCAAATACATGGTGTGTAGCACTGATAGCAAGTTAACTTGAAATGACGAATCCTCAAGCGCGTATTATTGTTTTAATCCTTCAATGTTGTTTCGCACGAACCTGAGATTAAGAAATTCTCTTACTTACCTGGGTGATTGGCAGACGTGTGAATTTGTAATTAAAGGTGCAACTAGAGTACATAGGTACTGCCTCGGTAGTCTAATAAACTTTCGCTAAGTTACTTCTACCTAGGTAAGCTGTTTGCGATTTAACTTGAAAACGCCAGGTTGCACACATAGGCCCAAGGAAGCGATATACTAACTCACATGCTATATCCACGTACTCTCAGACACGCTGGTTAGAAGGACATGCTGACTTATCACCACGACAGGATGCACACCGAGCGATACGGCTTACAATGTCAATCTCTAACGTCTAGACCAACATCTTAATATACAACCCGAGCCTTCACCACCTCACATCATCGATTCCACGACATTACACTCCCACCCCCATGTACAGGTGCCTGACTGGCCTTTCTACTACCTCAACAAGCACAGTAAGAACCCCCTCCTCGTAAGAAAGCCCCCTGAAGAAAACTTTACTCCTTGAGTTTCTTTCTAGGCAGGGGGGTACACGGGGTAATGCTAACTAGCAAGATGCGTACGGTAAACGAGATCTGGATATCTAAGTATGTACATGTAAATGTACAAATTAGGACGTTATTGATATATGGGAATTTCATGAAGCACTAAGTAAGGACCTGTATATAAAAGGGTGTGTGCATTAAGCTTCTGTGTCCACGAAGCGCCGGTATATATATTACGCAATACGAGATTATCAATTATGATGTTGCGCCTATGCATGGGATCTTGCGCTCCAAGGATATTGGTAAACGGAGCGTCGGCACAGCATGCTTCGGCTGTCTTTCGTCGCAGACTCCAGCCTACAGGATCGTAAGCCTCCCTCACGCGTCCAATCCAACGCAAAAGCACCATTGTCGCTGTCACAGGAGCCCCAACCGCCGTGTCAGTCCTCCCTTGAGTGGCTACGAATGCTCAACGTGGAGACGCACCTCATCTTTTCCAAGTGGGGTGCCGTGTTGCAACAGTCGAATACGCAAATCGACTTGCCTGACAACACGCGAATCCCTAGCCGATTTCACATACTAACCTCAAGACGTATCCGCCCGCCTCTCTGTTCTCTATTTCCTTCCTCAAACACACGGCATGATCGTCGTGCCCCGCTCCATGAAAACACTCGCATCGGCTACGACAGCGATTTGAACACGCGTGCGGCGGGCGTCATCTTGAAGGAGAGGAGAAGGACTGTGTTAGTAGTGAGGGAGACGTCGCTTAGTACCTTTCTTCTTGATGATATGCTCGAGATGACGAGGGCTGGGACGGTTGTGTTTTCCTCCCGTTACGACGTTTTATACGTGGTTGAGCAGCGTGCAAGATATGGTGAGGCAGAGTGTGATGGGGTTGGTGAGTGAGGGGTATGTCGATGGTGATGGGGAGGTGAAGACACGTAGTTATAGTGCACAGTAGGGCATTATCTAAGAAGAGATACTGTAGTCAGTAGAGAGGCATTAAAGAGGGTTTGGCCAACACTAAAAGCATAGATCAAGGGAGTTTTATACGAGTGTATAGAAAGTCCAGACGAAGTCGAAAGAAAAATGCCACCTCCTTCCTAAATAGGCATTTTCTCCAAACCATCGATTATGGTTGGTCTAATTTCGACTGTTAAAGGCGTGATCATGCTCGTTAACTTGAATTATTTCAACCTTCCCGATTAGGCAAGTATGCAAAGTGTGGATTATAGTAACTGTAGTTGCAAATAATTGCTTCGTCTGATCTCAACATAACTTGATTATTAATACTAGACGGCTTCTACGCCAAGCCTTGCGTCAGCGGAACCAAAATACCTGGACCCTTAATTTTCATTCCGCATCCGAAAAGGTGTCCCTTCACCATCACCCCAACCACACCACCAACCATCTATCCACCACAACCACCCATCATGGAGACCCTAACAAACACGCTCCAACCGCTCCTCCAACCCATAACCCGAGCCCTCCCCTCCCCTATCGCAGACATCGGCATCTCCCTCCTCGGCGCACCCTGCTACCAAACCCTCATCTACAACGTCGACCTCACGGCCACGGAATGTGTCAAACTAGGCATCTCCAAGGGCCTGGGCATCGGCATCATCGGCGCCTCCTCAATCGTCAAAATCCCGCAACTACTCAAGCTGCTGAACTCGCAGTCAGCCGATGGACTATCCTTTCTGTCGTACCTGCTCGAGTCGAGCTCGTATCTCATTTCGCTGGCGTACAATGTGCGCCACGGGTTCCCGTTTAGCACGTATGGCGAGACGGGACTTATTCTAGTTCAGAATATTGCGATTGCCAGTTTGGTGTTGAAATACGGCGGACACGGGGTTGGCGGCGTGGCGGCGTGGATTGGGGGGTTGGCGGTTGCGGGTGCGGCGTTGTTTGGTGAGGAGTGGGTGGACATGGAAAAGTTGGGCTTGTTGCAGGCGGCGGCTGGTGTGCTGGGTGTTGCGAGTAAGGTGCCGCAGATTTTGACGGTGTGGAGTGAGGGCGGGACGGGCCAGTTGAGCGCCTTTGCTGTGAGTTTTTGAATTGAATCCTATAGTGCGTGTTTGTGGTGGTTGCTAATATGGAAGGGCAGGTCATCAACTACCTCCTTGGTTCGCTGTCGCGCATCTTTACCACAATCCAGGAAGTCGACGATCCGCTGATTTTGTACGGCTTCTGCGCTGGTTTTGCTCTCAACGTCATCCTGTTCCTGCAAGTCGTATACTACTGGAACGCACCGGCGTCCAAGAAGACCGAATCGAAGAAGCTGGAGAAGCCGATTGCGGCGGACAAAAAGGACATGGCGCGTGCTGTTTCGAGCGGAGCTACGCCTTCGTATGCGAATGCGGCTGGCAAGAGTCCCAGCACTAGACGCAGGGGATAATTTTGTCCTCTTAGGCATCATTTCGTGGCCGATTTAGGTCAATTCGATTTAATTGCACTGTTTTTCTCCATCGCTTCGATATCATTGACTGTGAGCGTGAAGAACATGTCAAGTGTAGTGACGTTGTACATGATGCATTTACTACTGCCATTATCACCCCCACATGGTCCGTTTCTAACTTAACAAAACATGCGTCTACGACACGTGCAAAATGGTACAAGCATGGCTACCAAACGATTCGTTCCGATCAAACAACACCCGCGTGTAAAGACCCCAAAGCTACACAATAGATTCATCAACAACCATAACTCCCATCCCACATGCGATTTAGTAGACACCCTGTAACAATCATTAGCATCGCTCACTCCAAACTTGACAATGGAGAGAAAAAACTTACCGGAATAAAAAGATAAGGCACCTGCTTCTCATACTCGACCCACGCCTCCCCATACTTCTCCCTACACTTTTCAATATCCCTCAAAGCACGATGCACAATCATGCCACCGAAGAAAACCGAGTAAAACCACGGAAACGGGCTTTCAAACCCGGTAATCAAGCCCCAGCTAATCGCAAAGAAGAAATCACACGTATAATGGATCTTGCGTGCTTTACCGTACCATCCATCTGCCAGAATCTTGTTGCCGTGTTTCGTGCTAATAGTCTTTGGGTTCTCGATGCGTCCGTACTTGAAGTAAGGGAACGTAGTGCGTTCCTCAACGACGCCGCGTTCCTCCTGCCTGAACTGGTTCTTCTGGCTATTGGTCGTGTCCCAGATGTAGTAAGCGTACACGTAGGCGAGGGTAAGCGCGGCGGTGAACCAAGTCGGCAGACCGTATTCAGACGGGTGGTGGTTGGCGATATACAGCGTGCAATGGCAGTATGACAGCGGGACACCGGCCATATTCCAGAATATCAGCATGAAGCCTAGTTTCTCGTAGTACATATCCCACGTCGTGATGATGAGGTGTTCGCCTTTTGCGCACGCGTTGGCGTAAAGGTAGTGCGCGAAGAGGAGGAAGATGGCCTCGAGCGAGACGGAACCGTATTGGTCGTATTGCTTCAGACAGGTTCCGAGCGAGAGGAAGAAGAGGATGAACCACGGGATGCGTACTTCGAGGAACATTTTAAAGTCGAGCAGGCCGAAGAGACGGGGGTTTAGCTCTGCGCCGAGGAAGAAGTCGACGAGGAGGTTGTCCGTCATGCGGAGGGAGGCGTTGCGCATGCGGGCCGAGACGTATGCGATGATTGAGCAGAGGAAGCCCGAGAGTATGGCTACGCTCATGATGTGGCCGAATTCGTCGATGAGCGTGTCGAGTTTGAATGTGTCTGTGAAATGCAGGGTGAGCATTATGATGACGCTGGAGTAAAAGGACCACATGGCTGAGCAGTAGTAGTCTAGTTGTCTGCCGCCGAGGTGAGGAAGTGCTTTGCCCTTGCGGTATACACCGGGCATGAGCATGTAGAAAGCCATCTGCATGAGTCCGAAGAACCAGTAGATTTGCCACGCCTTGTTGTTGGGGTACGCTTCCGTTTTCACCAGGTACCATATGTGACCGAAGAAGTCGGCGTAGCTCTGACCCTCGACGCGTGTGGGAAACTTTCCGTTGTAGAAGGTTGCTCCGATCCACATGTAGTACATGAGGGCGGGAAAGCATATCACCATGGCGCCCATGCCGAGGGCGCCTCCAAACTCATTCAGGCCTGAGGCGTCCTTTTCCGCGAAGAACTTTTCAGCCTCGAACTTGTAGTCGAGCTCGATGACGTCCTTTTTGTTGGCCTCTTCGTTCGCATGTCCATTCGCGTGGCCGTTGGCGTAGCCATTTCCATTCGCATGGCCGTTGCTCGTCTCTTCAGATTTGACCTCCTTAGGCTCGTCTTTAAAAGGAGCAACTTCCTCGCGGTCCGGTGTTGATTCGCATGCGCCGTCGAGGTTGGAGATGTTTGATTTGCGTACCGACCGCCTGCGACCTGGGGTCTCGACAAATCCTGGACGTTCGGGCTTACTACGTTATGCACGTCAGCGACTGAGTTGCACATCTCTGCACATCCGGTGCCACACCAGCTAAACTTACGATGGCGTCTTGCCCAGCTGCGAGCGCGTAACTCGCTGCGACATGTTGACTGTATGTGCGTGTGTGTGTGTGCGCAATGTAGCTGTACAAACGCGCTATCCAAGGGGGTAGAAGTTAAGAAGGGATACAAAGTTTCCGGTACATCCGTCTAGCAAGCTTCACTTTTAATCTTGTCTGCTGATATCGGAGAAAGAGTCGTCACGAAACGAGGGTGAAATAAATACCGCGGGATAAAAGGACCAATGGCCTTTGAAAACACGGCAATGAAATTCTTCGGCCAGCTGTTTGTTGACGAACCGTGGCACCCGATGGAGTTGCTATGGACTAGTGCATTGCGCGCCAATCGGGAGCCGTGCGCGTGTGCGATGCCCGACATCAAGGTTAGACGAGCGATCCGTGCGGCTATGGCGATACCAATACGCTCAGTACGCGACGGCACAACCGCGGTCGCGATGACGATTTGCGCCGTCCGTCTGACAGTAACACGCTTCGGCTCGAGATTAGCCGCCTGATCCCGAATGATATACCCCAGGTTTCTAGCAGCGCACGGAGATTGGACCTGGAAGGATATTTGAACCATGGAATGCAAGCTCGGAACCAAACTATTACCTATGACACAACACATGGGTCAGCTTGACGACCGGTAAAGGACCAAGAACCATGTAAAGTATCGCAGGGATGGACACAGCGCTGCAATCGATGGGACTGTTCGCCGTCCTGGAAGCCTTGTAGCTACATATGGTACTTGCAACTCGATAGATGTGCGGTATTACCCACTCGCCGCACTTCGTTAAAGTCACAAAGACAAATCCAGCAGAATTCAAATCGGCATTTGGAACCTGAGCAGATTAGCCAAACACCTCTTCCGCCTTTCGGTGAACTTACACGTCATGTGATCGCACCCATGATTCTTCTGGATATTCCACGTACAACCAGGCCCAGGGCACTTCTTCGTCAGCTTTCCAATAGCTTTCAGACTAGCCTCTTCCTGAGCTCGCTGCTCTCGCTCTTTCCGTCCTGAAGTTCGGTATTCATACTCTTCGCACGTCTCGCCTTCATGCCATGTGTTTTCATGGACAGTGCAGGCTTTGTGTCCGCAGTCTACACATCTGAAAATGTTGCCTTCCACACCGCTGATGTGGAACTGACCAGAGTCACAGGCACGACACCATCGAAAGTTTGCTACGAATAATTAGCACAGAATGAAAATCAAAACTAAGTTGCATTACTTACGGTCATCACCGACAGCGGCCCGGGTGATAAAGGTGTCGTATTGCTGAAACGTCTTTGGGCTTGCATAGGCCTGGATCTCCTGGTAGGATAATTGGACCTTACACCCATCACCTGGACATTTGACTTCACGCCATCCACTTTCCTGGAGCTGAGCAGCGATCCACCCGGAGTAGCAACCAGTGCAAGTTTCAGGTTGATGGTCGCAATCGGCAAGCGAGGGTAGGTCGACGATTTGGACGCTGTCACCGCATACAACACAATCACGGCTTCTCTTAGGTGCCTTCTTCTCTGAATCTCTGCTCTTCTTTGAATATGTTCGAATCGCATGTTGTGGCTTGAACGGATCCATGCCATCGATATCCATGGGCTCCCCATACCGCGCAGTATAGTCTTGGACCCGCGCTCGCACTGGTATCCTAGTCCTTGCTTCGTTTTGTTCAGAGTCTATTCTGATAGGATTCGTTTGCGTGCCTCTGTGTGCAATATCACGCTTTCGACTGGTATGAACGCGCTTTCTTTGACCTTTGGCTTTCGAAAATGTCCCTCTGGAAGGTGCATTTCCGACCGCATCCTGTTGCGCTTCATTGGGTCGCTCAAAACCTTGTACATGTAGTCCAAACTCTTCATCTTGAAGACGCTGGGCGAGCAAAAGGTCTTTCTCTTCCTCGACTAACTGCGCAAGTCGCGATGAGAGGTCTTCATGGGAGGTTTCCGAGCTTTCTGGGGTAAGGATAGCATCGGAGCCGCTGTCTGAACTGTATGGACTTCGACTTCTCTCCAAGAGCCTATCTCTCCGATATCGTCGTTGATTCGATGATTGATTGGGCGGTTGGGTTGGCTGAAGGAAGTTTGTGCTACGGCGGTCGGTCCTGGATTGACGTCTATTCGATGATTGATTTGACGGTTCGGCTGCTTGGAAGAAGTTCGTACTACTGAGGTTGGCTTTAGGACGCTTTGGGATTGATCCATCTTCGCTATCGTCGTCGATGACTACCACTCCCGTGCTACGCTGCGTTCGTGAATGAGGGTTAGAATGCAACCGCTCCCCTCTAGCTGGTCTTCTAGACCTGCGTCTAGCCATGTTATTCTCTACTGCCTCGGCTGCATCCGCAGTCCTGTGAGATGCTTGTGGGAGTGAGTGGTCTTTCCGGTGATGAGATGATGATGTAGTAGGCTGCAATCGCAATTTGTCCAATGTCTTAACGAGGGAATCACTCGTCTCAGAAGCGGGGCTCGAGTCTTCCTTCCTTACAGGGCTCGAAGCTTCCTTCCTTAAAGTGCTTGGGTCTTCCTTTTTGACAATGCGTCGCTTGTCCTTTCCCGATTTGTTGTCCGGGCTCGGTTGAGGGCCGCCGGGGCTAGTCTCTTTTACCAACTTCTTAGGTGTGCGCGTAATAAAACTAAACTTATTCCTAGGTGGCAGTGAAATCTGCCGCGATGCTTTATGAGGGCCTTTTGTGAAGAACCCGCGCGGTGACGGTGCCTGACGCGTGGGCACGTGTGAAACACCGCGCAAATCGTCTGTAGGTAATTGGTCGGCCGGAGACCCCATGTCAGGTGAGTGAAAAGGTGAATAGGTGCTGGGTAAGTCTAGAAACGGTGTGACGGGGGGCGAAGGCTTTGATTTGAATATGTGAGGTTTGAACTTTGACAGGCGCTTGGTGAAGGCGAGGCTGCGTGTCTGTCGTGGTCGGTCCGGCGGTAGCTCGGTTGGGAAGTACCTGACCGCCACGTCAGTTCTATCGTCAAAACATCTAATCGTTCTGACCAATGGATTTTTGAATACTGAACAACAATTTCTTACTTGCCTTGTCATTGCCTAGAAACGACAATAATTGCTGCGGGCCTATAAGATGATGAGGCCGTAAATACCGCGATTATGCATTCAACCACACTTTTCAGTCTCAAATATCAAGCGGTCGACTATGGTCGGTGGAACTGTGCGTACAAGTTATATGAAACAAAGTGTGTTATTAAGCAGGACTAAACTAGAGTGGCTCCCTACACACCGATCACAATTCACTCGACTGCGCTTCTGTTACCATAGTGATTTGGCGGACCAATGTGCACAGCCTGGGCAACGAAAGCATGATCGGGAGGCTGAAATACAATGCGACCCCGCGTATTCACACTATACGTGCATACGCCAATCGTATAGAAGTATGCTACAGCTGCGCCACCGACCACCAAAACCGGTGAGTAGACCTCACATATTCCCACAGATATCAGCCTAGGTCTCGACGCACAACATGTGGCTCAGCTCTCATATCTGCCTCGCAGGCATCACAGTGCCAACACATGCTCCAAATCCGACACCACTATCTGCATCGCCGACTACACCAATATACCGGAACTCATCCCCGTCCTCAAGGAACCGTAGTTCAGATCCATCGCCCAACTTGCTAGGCACTTTGCCGTTCTTGGTCAGTTCGAGCAGACATCCATGCTCGTGCTCCTGCTCCCCCGATACAGTCCCGCTTGCAATCAGATCTCCTGTCCGAAGATTACAGCCACCAATGGTATGATGTGCGAGCATGTGTCTGAATGTCCAATACATTGTTTCGAAACCAACTTTGCAAGTTGTAGTCTGTGCGCCGTTGCGGATGATTTGACCTTCAAGGTGGATGCTGTAGTTTGTGCTTTTCGGGTCGTCCATGAAGTCTGCAACGGGTTCCATACGCGCTGGGGCTGAGACCTCGTAAGGCTTCAGTGCTTCCAGTGTAACAATCCAAGGCGTAACCGACGTCATAAAGTTCTTTCCGTTAAATGGTCCCAAAGGATTCATCTCCAAACCCTGGATGTCTCTTGCACTCCAATCATTCAGCAAGATTAGTCCGAAGATGTGCTCATCTGCGTCTTTTGCTTTGACAATCGACCCTTGTTCGACAGGTTTGCCGATGACCGCAGCAATCTCCATCTCATAGTCTAAACCTCTGGATGGGCCGAAAATGATCTTCTTCTCGGGTACAGTGTAGTCTTCGATGAATTGACCCAAAGGTCTTATGACCGGTGCGCCTGAAGTGGTCATGGACGAACAGCGACCTGCGTAACCAACTGGGTATTTCTTAAAAGCAGGCGGGTATGCACGAACTCCCATAACAGCCTCGCCAGCGTTCAAAACATGGTTTGCTGAAGCGCTATAGTCTGTAAAGTCTCCGACATGTACAGGCATATGCATGGTGACATTGCTGACATTCTCGGAGCAAGTACCATGTGATTTCGCCTTGTATGCCTCTTGTATAGCAAAGCGAACTTTACTGTGTATGCTTTTGTCGAGAGCGGCAAAGGTGTTTAGGGTGGATTGGCGGAAGATGGATGAGAGAGGGGCTGAGATGCTTTTGAAAGAGTCGTGTTCCGCGAGCTCCGCAAGGAATATTACTTCATCGCCGATACGTGTTGCGCATTGCGGTGTTGAGCACTTTGAAGAGCTCGCAATCCCATATGGGATGTTGTTGATGCCGAAATGCGATGCGTAGTTGTCAGCCATTGTTGGGGATGATGAGACTTGTTGTTGATGGAGTCGTCACTTGAATCAGATACGACTGACGATGTGCAGAATCCGGATTTGAAGAGTTTCACCAATCTATCTTGAACAGTCTACCTATACCTTGACTCACGAGTGCGAGTGAACGAGCTGTAAGCTTGTGGGGTACTTGGTCTCGGACGCTGTCCCCCCACCTCGGAGCTCCACGACAGCTACTAAAGCCGAAGGCCGACATTGTCGAGCGATTGTCATCGGTAGATTCTCCCATAGTTTCCGCGTCATGAACTCGATGTAGTAACGGTTCCTTGTATACATCTTTGGGTCCCTTTGCGGGAAATCCCGAGATGAAGCTGCACCGATTCAGACCATTACAAAAGCAGACAAGCGCCGATCTTATCGATAACTAGACAGCCATGGCAGGCGTCATGCTCTCCATCGAGCCTCCCCTTCTTCATCCATAATCACGTGTATCCAACGATCGAAGAAATTCTATCGTCCCTCCGACATCCATCCCCACCACATTGAATCTGACTAACTTATAACAATCGTGGATGCATCATGCAGGGATTAGTACCCCGCACTGGTGCCGCCGCTCCTGCAGTAACGCGGCAGATAGTGGCGGCTTCGGAGCTGCTGGCGTCTCCTCCACATCGGGAGAATGTAATCCAGTCCTTCAATTTCAAAGTCTCTCAATTGTAAGACCAAACCGTCATTTAAACTCAGAGTTCTCTTGCAGCTGTACCTTCAAGCAAAACACCCGTACAAACCACATCCATCTTTACCTTCATCTTGACAACTATCTACCTCATCGCACCCTCAAACTACCCCTGACATCATGGCAACAAAAACCGAGGTTGCGAACGACCTTCCCAAAGTCAACCGCTTCATTACGACCCATGACCCATCAACAAAGAAAGCCATCTTCTCCAACGCTGTCCCAGAAGAAACCAAAGTCGATCCCATTCCCAACGCTGAGTTCAGACTTGGATATGTCACAAAAGGATTCCCCGTCGACCTAAACAAGGACGCTGATATTGCTGTTTACAAGCCCTACCTCGAGAGCCCTCCTGGTCTTGTCGCCTCAGGAGGAACTGTTCTCCGCTATGTGGACGTGGCACCAGGCCAATTATCACCAATGCATCGCACAGTCTCACTAGACTACGGTGTTGTTCTAGAGGGTGAGATGGAATTGGTGCTAGACTCTGGAGAGACACGAACGATGAAGAGGGGAGATGTTGCGATACAAAGGGGTACAATGCACGCTTGGAGGAACAAGAGCAGCACACAATGGGGACGTATGCTTTACGTTCTCCAGGAGTGCAAGCCAGTCGAGGTTGGCGGGGAAGTACTTGGGGAGGACTATGGAAACATGGAGGGTGTTCCAAAATCTTCGTAGTTGTATAATTGCTTTGTTATCTGAACCATTGCGCTTGACCATCTTGGTGCGTTGAAGTAGCGTGATGTTTGATAGTAGCAGTAATCTAGAACATCGATCTGGTACTTTGAGCTTTTCAGAAGTCCACTGAAACGTGTATGTAACGTTGAGTCTCATGTAGTCACCCTGAGGATGTTGCAGTACAATGCAGTCAATTAAAGTGTAACCGCGCGAGGCAGTCATCAGAGTATCTTGTGTTCTGTTGTTGTTGTGATGTCATGGCCACCTTATATGTAGCCATAATCAGGGTCTATTTACATGACGTATCTCTGATGCTGGTGAGAGGAGAAGGTGCTCATGGAGGGGAGGGAGGAGCGCCAGGACAACGCACGTGACATGCGCAATACCCTTGCCTCACAAACCGCAACAGAGGAACTTCGGCGATTGGCAATAGATCTCTCAAATGACGTAATGTTGGTGCATGCTAATGTTGAATCAACAAACTACGAGGGAATAAAGAAAACAGCACAAAAGCTCCATCGATACTTGCGAATATCGACAGACTGTTTCTCAGTACCTGTGTTCCATTAGACCTCCCTCGTATCTGAATGATGATCGTTTCAATCAACCTCCATTAATTCGATGCACTATCAGAAACGATCTCGGGGTTATCTAGATGCAAAAGGGCCGCGACCTACAGGTTTCTAGGTTCTTTGCTCGTGTAATGTCAAAGTCAGACAGACAGGTGGCCGTGGCAGTTGGTACGCTACAGCCTCCACATCCCGAATCTGCCCCGCGAACCGCCGCACCTCGACGACGGCGCGCTGTCGGCACCGACGCCCACTACGCGTCGCAATGGACATATTATGTCCAAAATAACCTGAAAAGTACATTCTCTCATACACCACCATTACTTACACCATGTCTGAACAATTAGAAGTCAAAGACGCGTACACCATTGACGAATCGTCATTCCCGTACATTTACGAGGAGAATATCGCTGTACCGCTAAAGACATCGTCAAAAGGCATCATTCGATGCAACGTTTACCGCCCGAAGGCGACCAAGGAGGGAACGAAACTTCCCGTCTTGGTCACATACGGACCATATGGTAAAGACATCCATTACAAGGAGTAAGTCAAGTTATCCAGGACACAAGAATGCAGCAACTGATTTTGTACAAGCTTCCACGGGAAGTCTTTCGGAGAAGTCAACCCCGAGCACCACTCTGATCATTCAGCATGGGAAACACCAGACCCGGGTTTCTGGACTAAGCATGACTACGTCATTGTGCGCGCTGATGAACGTGGACTGGGACAATCGCCGGGATTCCTCGACACCATGTCGAGAGGAACAAGCGAGTGCTTTTTCGATGTCGTAGAATGGGCTGCGGAGCAACCTTGGTCATCTGGAAAGGTTGGCCTGCTCGGTATCAGTTACTATGCAGGGTCGCAATGGCGTGTAGCTGCTCGCAAGCCCAAGGGTTTGGCGGCTGTCATTCCGTGGGAGGGAATGAGTGATTACTACCGTGATAGGTGCCGTCACGGTGGTATCTTAAGTAACAAGTTCATTGACTTTTGGTGGTATGTTTGCCCAAAGCACGTGGTATTTTCAGATGCTCATGAACATCTTGTAGGAACCGACAGGTCATCACCAACCAGTATGGTCGCCCGGGTCGCGCAGAGCGAAACTGGGGACCTGACACTGTCGATGGCAACCTTTCAGAAGAAGTACGCGCGAAGAACCGACAAGACCAGACTATCGATACCGCTGCGAACAGGTTCCGCGACGAACAATACTATGCGAGCAAGGAGTACGATATGAGTGACATTGAAGTGCCTCTACTCTCCGTCGGCAACTGGGGTGGCATTCTGCTCCATCTTCGTGGAAACATCGAAGGCTATGCACATGCTGGTTCAGAATTCAAGTACCTACGAATGATCACCGGAAGACATGACCTACCATTCTACTACAAGGAGGAAGTCGAGATACAGCGCAGCTTCTTAGACGCATTCCTCAAGGGCGACGACAGAGTCGGCTGGTCAGTCAAGGGCAAGCTCCCTCCCGTCGACATGGTCGTACGCAAAGGCGACGTCGGCTTCGACGACGCCGAAAAGGAAAAAGTATACAAACGACGAACAGAAAACGAATGGCCCATAGCCCGCACCCGCTACACAAAATTCTACCTCACGCCCACCCAAACCCTCACGCAAATCCAGCCCATCACCCCGCGACCCCAAAAGCTATCCTACGAAGCCCTCGGCACGCTCGACAAACCCAAGCTCCTCCAATTTACCACCGCCCCCTTTGAACAAGAAACAGAAATAACCGGCCACATCGTCGCACACCTCAACGTCTCCCTCTCCGCCCACCCCACACACCCCACACCCTCCGACATCGACCTCTTCCTCACACTCCGCTACATCTCCCCCGAGGGAAAAGAAGTCCACTACACCGGTACAGCCGGCGACCCCATCCCCCTCGCCAAAGGCTGGCTGCGCGTCTCCCTGCGTAAAACCAACCCTGATCATCCCAAGCACCGCGAGTACCTCCCCTGGCGCGACTACTTCAGCACCGATGTGCAGCCAGTCATCCCCGGCGACGTGTACGCCGTTGATGTCGAGGTGTGGCCGACCAATGTTGTCGTGGAGAAGGGCGGCAAGATTGTATTCGAGGTTAGCAGTGGGGATACACAAGGGAGTGGCATTTTCCAACATAATCACCCCGAGGATAGGAGTGAGGAGAAGTTTGCGGGGTGGAATCATTTGCATTTTAGTGAGAGGGCGGTTAATTATGTTACTTTGCCTGTTGTGCCACCGAAATAGAGTGGGAGGGGAGGGTTTGAATCGATGCTGTTTCTTGTACATATAGTGTTTGTATTGGAACAAGGTCCCTCTAGTAGTATGACTACTATGGATAACCGAGTGGGAGGAGGGACAAGGCGGGGTGGCTGCAACGTATTGTATTGACTATCGTAGTTCGGTGTCAAGGTCTCACTTTATTGTGGTGGGTGCTATTGCCCACCGGGCAGTGCCTGCCACACCAGCACATCATGTGATCCCCAAGCACCTTCTACCTGGACTGAACCCAGATATTCTCAACAGTTTGTTTATCTGTGGTGGTATTGTGATGTCTTGTTCACTGACTGTGTCTTGCATTTCCCTTTGTGCTCGGGTTGTGTTGTGAATCATGTGTAGCGCATATCACAATATCGTTGAAGTGCATTTCTGGTGGCGCGACGGTGACGTTTTGTTGAGGAAATAAGGACATGGGCATGGTGATAGGGGTTGTTGGCTAAGTATAGAGTGGGAACAGGCTGGCGGAATCCCGAAAAGTCCGATCTTTTCTATCTGCTATTATATTATACCCTGCTTTACCGCATGTGACATTGACGCTGTCCACCCGTCTTGTTCTCTATATAGATGGCCTTACTCAACTAGTTGGAACGGGAACTAGATTAGATGATACGTAAAGGAGCTTCTTCGAGTAGTTTGATAAGATCATGGATCAATTAAACTTATCATGGATCCAATGTCTTGCGCTCAGGGTATAATTTGTAAAAACGCTATCATGGAAAGCTACTTGTGCTGCGACCCCATCAAGTGGTGAGTGAAAGATTAAGACTGTATGCCGCTTCTTTTTAGATAAATCCCGTCCCCTTCCACCGTCAGTAGCACTCAAAGTGCAACAACAGTCGTCAAGATTGAGCGGTCTCCATACCAAGTACACAACTACTCCTCATTCCCACTTGCCAATCGTAAACTGACTATTGCACATGTTCACCAGCTCCCAATCCTCGGCACCAAGCACACACTCGTCACTCTCCTTCTTACTTCCATCAACGACACCAGCGACGAAACAAGCCGCCATATAGTGATCGTCGGTCGCATGCGCATCCCTAAACATGGGGTGCTTCATCAACCTTGTGATTCCGCGAGTCAGGCTACCCTTCTTCGCACCCTTTCTGCTGCAGCGGACAAAGACATCCTCAACGCATTGACGGAACTCAAGCATGGGTGCCTCTGGTGGGTAGGGCATGGCGAAGTTGTCCGAATATCTCAGCATTTGTGACCAGTTATTGCGGTAGAGGTTGTGTACGGCGCCTCCAGTACCGATGATGAGGTAGCCTTCGTCACGGAATTGAGCGAGTATGTTTCCTACGCGCGCATGCAAGTGCGGGTCGAACCGCGAGTTCATGCTGATGATTGTCGTGGGGGGGCATTTTTCCGGAAACATTCGGATGAGGATGAGATATGTGTCGTGGATCCAGTCAAACTCCTCGTTGGGCCGTGCGTCAATGCCCTTTTCCCTGAGTGCTGCAATGCACTTCTTTCCGCTTTCGAGATCTGGTACCAGTTCGTAGCTGGCGTATTTGCTGGGGTGGACATAGGCGACTGGGGACTTTGTGGGTTTGGCCTTCATGGAGACGTCGATGCGGTTTACGCCTCGTGCATCCCAATGGGCGCCCATCATAATGACACCTTTGAAGCCGTGGGAGAGGGCTTCATCACCGCAGGCTTTCCAGTAGTCGGCCGAACGAGACTCCTCACCCAACATCATGGTCGAGCCATGGGAGAAGAAGTGTACTGGTGGGGTAGGCATGGTGATGTGTGGAGTAAGTGTGGGTCACAATCGACGTGTGAATATTTACAGTGTTGAATGTATGAGGATGAGATGTGAGTGAAGATTCCCTTGAAGATTGCAGCCATCTTGAGCGATGTCCAACTGGGAGCCCTGGGTGGCCAAGATCGTAATGTGGAGATGGGTGGTGGCTGACAGGATGTCGGCGGCAAGCCCGGCGACCGAGTGGCCGAGAAACATGCCGGGCCGGTGGTGGCCGCGTACATGGAACGGGACTATGCACCTCCGCAGCCCCCTTCCCCACACGCTGGGCTTATCTCCAGCTTCCCTCCACTTCCCTCCCCGATGCACTTCCTTCTTCCGCAACTTCCAGCATGCAGACCGCCCCGACGCCGTTGAATGAGCCACCAGCACTTGCCGAAGCAGACCAGGCACGCTTGTTCCAGTGTAGCACATGCAAACGATCGTTCACGCGAGCGGACCATCTCACGCGACACGTGAGAGCGCGTAAGTCATTGAGTTTGGGCAGCCGTGTCTAGCCCAGCTGATAGTTAGTTACGACTTGCGTCCGTATAAGCGGGACGAACTCTTCTAGGGTCCACCGACTATTTGCAACTTTGCTGTCACTCTGCTAGCGCTGTGTATTCGTAATAACACCGCTGACTTGGCACCCACAGACACAAAGTCCAAGCCCTACATTTGCCCTGTCTGCTCAAAAGGCTTCGCACGCATGTAAGCACTATGCGCGGCCTCTGCCGCCACCTCAAACTTGCATCATTTGACCGACTACTGCAGAGACTTGCTCAAAAGACATGTAGCGAACCACGCCACTGAGCCTGCCAACAAACGACAGAAACGCGAAATCGCTCGCGACACGAGAGTTGTCCAAGCATGTGAAGCTTGTTCGCAGAGTCATCTTCGGTGCGAAGACGAGAAGCCATGCAGTCGTTGCAAGAAGAAGAAGATCCCTTGTCGCGTGCCAGACGGTGCGGCTGGAGATGAGAATGAGACCCATGAAATAGATGCTGTACATGCGGCGCAGGATCTACTTGACCTGTCAAATGGGTTTGATTACCCCTCATCGCTACCGAGTCGCGCCGGCGGCGCCAACACTGCCTCTGCAACCTCTGAGACTCCAGAACCATTCCACAGCTCAATGGCAGACTCGAAAAGCATGGCCCACCATCCCAGGGCCCTTGGTGGCTCTGGAATGAGTGTGTCAAGCCTGAATGACATGCACCCACCCTCCAGCAACGGTGGGCTTCCGCCAATGGACCAGAACTACGGAGACCCAACCAATTCCATGTCCTTCTTCGATAACCCAATACCGCAATTCGATACCACACCCGGCCAAAACCCCTTTCTTCCCGACTACTTCCGAAATATGCCTCCATTTGATGCGTTTTTCTCCGGCCAGGCTACACCGCGTGGCATCATGGACCTTAGCTTTGATATCGATGTTGGGCTGACTGATTGTGATCTTGGATTGCTTGACCAGTACAACTTCCAGGTTCCCTTTGCCGCTGATACACCGTCTACGGATGCTCACGGGGCCGATCAACACCCATCAGAAACTGACACTGCGCCAGTGAGAGCGGAAGCTTTCAAACAAAGCATATGGCGTTATCTTCCCCAACGCTCAAGGAATCCTAATGCAGAACAAGTAAATTTGGCTTTTACAGATACCGAGAGAGATCGTCGATCTCACTTGACACGTCGCATAGTAACAGAGAAGTAAGTACATGCTCAGAGCACATGTGAAATGCGCTAATTTGACACCGCAGACTCCCACGTGTCAGTCGCGATCGATTAATGGCTCTAGTTCTTGGTACCTGTAGCACGGAAAATATCAAAAAGATTGCATCAGCTTTCCCCAGCATAGAGCTCCTCGACGGTCTCATCCAGTATTTCCTGTCATCGCCAGCGTTGGAGGCCCAATTGTGGTTTCATGTTCCGACCTTTTCCCCTTCAAATCTGAACCCGGAGTTACTTGCTTCCATAGTATCTGCCGGAGCGGCTTCTATCCCTGACATATCCCTGCGTAAGCTTGGGTACGCTTTCCATGAGGCTTCTAGGATCGGCCAATCAAAGACATTTGAAGAAGACAACACGGCCATCAGAGACCTTCAGCATCTCCAAACCTTCCTCCTTCAACTCAAGGTTGGCATGTGGAGTGGTATTAGTCGGAAGATGGAGATTGCGGAAAGCTTTCTCCAGCCATTGATGACGATGCTCCGACGTGGCGGTCGTTTTCGTCGCTTGACCTGGAAGGAGATCTACCCGTTTCCTGATGACCAGGGCATGGCTCTGGAGGAGAAATGGCAGAGCTGGGTGAACCAAGGTAAGATTCCTGCGCGGATTTTGTGACGCATAAACTGACTCGTGCTTTTTAGAATGCTGGCTCCGCCTTGTCCACCGGACGTTCGAATTTGACAGGCAATCTTCCATGGCGTTACTCAAGCCCCCACTGCTTTCATATGCGGAGATGCAACTTCCTCTCCCGAGCTCGAACATTCTATGGCAGGCCAAATCCGCTGCTGCCTGGAAGGCGGCGTACCTAAACATGCCACCGAAGGCGACGAAACAACCCTCTGCGATCGAATGCTTCCTGAATCTAGAACATCTTGCGCAGCATGATTTCGCCAGTCCGACTTACCTATACATGATTTGGGGCACGATATGGGAATACCGTCAAATGTGCACTTTGACGACCAGGTCTCAGGCCTTGTCAAACAACAGCCTCATACTATCTTCTCGCTACCAAGAGCTTACAAAACAGCTTGAGGATTTTAGAGTCAGCAGTCCGCCGATGAACAAGACTGTTGAGATCACGCTGGAGATTATGCTAGTTCACCTCAACGCACCGCTCGATGAGATCCAGCTCTTCGCGGGTCTGGAAGGACAGGAAGAGGCACGAAGCGCATACTTAGGTTTACGAGACTGGACCAAAACTTCTTCAGCACGCCAAGCGCTGTGGCACGCTGGTCAGATTCTACGGGCCGCTGAGGTACTACCAAAATCTTTGCTCAACAACTTCAACGCCATCGCCGTGTACCACGCCGGGCTAATACTATGGGCTTACGGATTTCTGAAACGGTCTGTACCGGAATTGAGTCAAGTAGACTCTCTTGTCGTACTAAACGGAGACGACTCGCTCAGCGCGCGCAAGTTCATCACTTTGGACCGTGGAATCCCCGCAATCAGGATTTCAGGTTCACAAACTCCTACCCAACTCGGCGATGTTTGTGGAGTCATGGACGGGCTAATACGACTCCTGCGAGCGCATCACGAAACATCCGAGCCGTCGCCACCGCTGGTCGGAAACCTGGTTCAACTGCTTGAGGGCCTGCGATCTGCTATCAAATGAGCGACATGCCAAGGGACGATTTTCGGCAGTTGTAGTGACGCGTGCGCCGTCAGACTATGCTCGTATATCGGGCAATTTTCTGTAAATCTCTTGGCTTTGAGACATTTTTACCTCGTCGTACATCTTGTAATACCGTTCATACAGAGTATGTTCATGGCATAGCCACTGTCTCATTACCTACGACTCTACTATGGACTTTGACGAAATACTCCGAGCTGAGCGCCTTATCTTGGGTATACTCCGACACATATAGCATGTTCTCCGACTGCATACGCAGTGCTATCACACTGCAGTAGAGGCTGCGTATGCACGTGCCCCACCATGGTTTCAATCTTGCGGGCCGAGAAAGATCTCACAGCACACGTACCGCGGCATCCCGTCTTCTGGCTAAGATGCTGACTAGCTGGAGGGGCATTTATGGGGTAAACGAGAAGCACGAGTTACAACCCCGCAAAATCGAGGCCACATCAAGGCGGGCGTCGAGGCGGGCGTTCCTACTCCACATTCCGACTACCCCGGACTACTCTGGGGTATAAGCGATGTCGCTGCACCAATAAGCCAGTGCGGAGAAGCAGCACGACATCCGCTATTGGTCCAAAGCCGGAGTTCGGGCGTAAATCACTATCTACATCTGGAGCAGGATTAAAACGCCTCTTAGGACCGTGCGGTGTATTTAGATTGCAAGGAAAACCATTATACCTAACATTCCCATAACAAACATCTGTTCAAACCCTATCCGATTTCCATCGTGGTGTTTGCCTGCTGGTTTCCATTTGATTAACCTAGCATTGGCTGTGATGACTTCGTTGAAGCAGGCGTTCAGCCTGTCCAAGGAGGAGGTCAGGAACGCGAAACCCCCGGGTACTGCAACGCTTGTCGGTAAGGCCGCCATCCCCGTGAACCGACCATGTTTTGTTTAGCTGATGTTTTTGGTTTCCCCCTTTACACAGAACATCTCGAATGGACAGCTTCGCAAACCAGCCACGATGAAATCCGCCTTGTACCGCAGCCTTCTGCCGACCCAGCAGACCCGCTAAATCTGCCCATGTGGCGGAAGATAGCGACGCTGGCGGTTATGTCGGTGCACCCTTTTGTCGTCAACTTCACCAGTGCTTCCATCTCGAGTGCATTACCGATATACGCGTCCACGCCCATTTTTGGGCTGCCACCAAAGTCCTTTTCCACGTTGACATATCTTCCCGCTGTCAATGTTCTAATGCTGGGAGCATCTAATCTGTGGTGGGTGCCGTTGGCGAATACGTTTGGTCGTCGCCCAATCATCTTGATAAGCATGCTGCTTTTGATTTTCTCGAGCATGTGGGCGGGACTCACGACGGAGTTTAATAGTCTAGTCGCTGCGCGTATCTTCATGGGTATAGGGGGTGGTCCGGCAGATGCAGTGAGCCCGGATGTTGTTGGAGAAATCTTCTTTGTGCATCAGCGTGGACGCGCTTTGGTATGTTAATTCCTGATACAGATGGAAATAATTTCAATACTGACGATTCGATACAGGCGATTTACACAGTCTTCCTCTCCTTCGGCTCCACAGTCGGCGCCGTAGCCGGCGGCTACATAGTCGCAGACATGGGTCTAAAATGGCTCCACTGGATGAACGTCCTCCTCTCCGCCATCTCCTTCGTCCTCTGCCTCGTCCTCTTACCAGAAACGCTGTACCACCGGCCCCAAACCACAGTCACCTTCAACGACGACCCGGATAAAGTGTCCGCCGAGACCAAAGAAAGAGTCACCATTACCGACACGGCTGCGTCTTACCCTTCATACTCGTACCTCCAGTCCCTCAAACTCTTCACCTACCAACCTGGTCTAGAAAGGAAATTCCTCGGCCCGTGGAAAGTTATCAGACTACCCGGTGTGTGGCTGGTGTCTGGGTGGTATGCTGGTCTCGTGGGATTGATTGTGACGATGAGTTCAGTGGGTCCGCAACTAGTGGGCGCACCACCGTATCTGTGGGGTAAAAATGTTGGTTTGATAAACGCTGGTGGTATCATCGGTGCTCTTCTTGGCTGTGTAAGTTCCTCCCCCATCCATCCATCAATCCTCCCCACTTTTCCTCACATACACACACTAACACCACCCAGGCATACACCTATGCCATCTCCGACTTCGCCACCAAACGCCTCGCAAAAAAAGACACTCATGGCTTCGCGGAATCCGAATCCCGCCTTGTCACCGCCCTCCCCGCCCTCTTCATCGCCACCACCGGCGCCCTAATCTTCGGCTTCGTCGCGCAGCACCCTTCAGAAACCGGGTGGGTGGGTCTCCAATTCGGCTTCGGCATGGTATCCTTCGGTCTCATGCAAGCCCCCTCTGTTGGCTTCAACTACCTGATTGAATCGTATGGATCGCTGGCTGGCGACTGTTTCGTCACGGTGACTACATCACGCGCGATTGTATCTTTTGCGTGGACGTTTTTCGTCGGCGAGTGGATTACGAAGAAGGGGGCTGCGGAGCCGTTTGGGATTTTTGGCATGTTGATGGGGGTTTTTGGGTTGTGTACGATTCCGTTTTTGTGGTGGGGGAAGAGGTTAAGGGTGTGGTCGGCCAAGTGGGTCCCGGAGGATTAGTTGGTACTGTACATACGGCAGGAGTTAAGGGAGCCACGAGCTATAACTATGGCGTGGCGGGTTTTGTAGGATTTTCTGGGGTTCGTATTACTCCAAGTCGCTGGTAGCGAGATGGTGGGATCATTAATGATGGAGAGTCGTACGATTGATTGATTTGTGTTGGCTTTTTTATGTGGCGTGGCGTGATTGTGATGTCAGTGGTATAACTCCGATCAAGCTATAGGAGCAGTACTGCTGATGTATGGGAAGAAGTGAAGTCAGGAGCTGTGATATCTCTCAATTGCACACGTGACATTTTTTCAGAAGTACCACAGGCTGGGCGACATGTAAACCTATGTATGATAAGTATACACTACATCAAGACCCACGCTCAAATCTCATCAAACCCCCCATTCAGAAATACAAAAAAATCGAATTCGGTATCAACCCCTACATAACCCCCCCATCAAACAAAAACCCACCTCCTCAACCCCGCACGCACCCCAAAGAAAATCGTTGCACCGATACACGTAAGAAGCGGGATACCATAAACCCCCAAGCCAATCAAAATCCCCTGTTCGAAATACCCAATCGCAATAGACTCTGCCCGCTTCTTCTCCTTGATCTCCTCAGTCGCCTTATTAAACAACTCCGTCGCCGCCTTCTTAGTCTCCTTGCCGAGCAACACCCTCGACATGGGCGCCTGCGACGCCGGGGGCGAGATATACGCTGGTGAAGTACGCGTAAAGTGCTCGGGTGTATACCTTGTTTCGATGTCGATGGGGTGGGATGATGGGGCCGCGGGACCCAGCAGGATGCGGAAGGGGATGTGGTTTACGATTGAGATATCTGCGGGTATGAATTGCGAGAGGTATTTTCCAGTGGATGGGGTGCCGAAGTGGTAGGCGGCTAGGAGTGAATCCTGGGGGTCTAGTTCTTGCTCTACGATGCTGATGGCGTGTTCGAGCGAGGTGATTGCTGAGACGGCGAAGACGGGTTGGTGGGACTTTGTGGGGAGGGTGGAGAGGTTGGTTAGGTCGACGATGGCGCCGTTGTCGCCTTGGGTGATGACTTGCAGTTTCCACGCTTTGCTGTCTTGTAGCTCGGTTACTCGTGATGTCTTCTTCGGTCCTCGTGCGGTTGTTGAGCCGTTGGAGATGCTGCCGGTGCCGGCGAGGAAGCGGAGGGAGTGCTTGAGCACGTGCTCTATGAAGTCTTTCTTGATGAACTCGTTGACGAGCACAATGTCGGGCGCATATGGCGATGTTCCGCCGAATGCGAAGCGTGCTGTGACGAGCTGCTCAGCGGCAGAGGCGAGGTCGGCTGTGCGGTCTATGACGGCAATAACTCTCGTGTGAGGAGATACATGTTGTGAGTATGTTGGTGCAGCGATTTGCTTCTCTTGGAATACCTGAACACATCCTGCGAGGTGCTCCGGTGCCGGGTCGGACGAGATGATAGTAAACGTGTCGGACTCGAGGGCTTCGGTTAATAATTTCCGGAGTAGAGAGGGAAGTGCTCGGGGTGTGTTTTCGAGCTGAGCAGTGTTAATATTATGAATTCATGTCAAGTTGGACATGTCGTACCTTTAGCGCAACACAGCTACCAGCCGTGAGGGCAGCACTTAGAGGCGCGATGGCGGAAAAGAATGGTGTGTGGTTTCGTTGCGACTCAATGTATGCGACACCATATGGCTCTCTCCTATCACCCGCATCCTTGCCTTTTGTTATTCTGTACTCGGATTCAAGCTCTTTGGTGGTGTCAATTGAGCTGTAGTGCTCCTTGATCGTGTTGAGCGCGAGCGCAACCTCTGTAGTCGCCTCCTCATCTGACACATGGGTATCCTGCTTAATCGCATCTGCAATCTCATTGCTCTTATTGCGCAGCGTGTCATGCAGCGACTTGAGTTGTTTTTGGCGGAAGAAAGCGTTATGGCAGCGAGCCGCAAGAGCAGTCGCCTGGAGGTTTGACAGCGCAACAAAGGGCGAAGTTGGCGACGACATTATCTTGGTTGAGAGAAAAATTGGGTCTGGTTGGGAAACAAAAGCGAAACTGAGAGAGTAGAAGAACCGCAAACTATCACTATGTAAGATTTCCAAGACGTTGGTGGTGGTCGTATACCCGTAACCCACATCCACATCTCCCACAACCCCCATTGGGCCGCCGGATACGCCGGGCGAGCATCTGCCTCCACATTCCGACCGAAGCCGCGAAAGCGTCGCGTCTCGCGCCCCAGTTTCTCCGCGTCTCCAAATTTACCCGCCCACCAGGGCATTGCCGTACAACTATCGCAGACGTCTCGGTACCACCTTGAACAGTCTTACTGCCTGGATTTCTGTCGCCACCCCTTCACATCCCACACCACCGCAAACATCTCATACTGCAAACATCCCATACTGCAACCACCGCAATCATGTCAGTAACCACGACCGCCAACCCCGCCACCTACAACCTGCAAAGCGTACTTGCAGAATACGATTTACATCACACGGAAGAAACCCACGACCCAAGTCTCAACGCGCATCCCAACCCAAACTCATCCGCCCAAAACCCAAGTCACTGGCCCACCGACCATCGTCGCGTTCCGGCATACAGACCCATTAATACTGCGCTGGACCAGGGCCAACGCAGAGTTTACCTCAACACTGGCGAGCAAGTCTTTGTCGGCATCATGTTTACGGGTGTATTTCTCGAATCGGTGAGTAGTGGGGTGTCGCATGGGAAGATGAATGTGCTAATAAACATATAGGCTGTATCGAAGATATGGAGGGCGTCGCTGGGTAGGGTGTGGAATGCTGGGTATAAGATTGGCGGGGAGTGGTGATGTTGGGTTTTGTGGTTTTAGGTGTTTGTGCAGTTGCTTCTTACCGCAACTTTGATAAATCGGATAACTATGGCGTTTTTTCTTCAATCTCCAGCACCAACTTCTTCTCTACAAACACCCCATTTTCGCCATGAACATATCAATGCGATTACCTCTGGACAAATCCACACGGCGTGATGCAAGGCCGATCCCACAATGTAGATCTCCTACCATAACTCGCCTCACAAATCTTAGCATACGTATACCTCCCACTACCATCCATTCTGTCAAGTTTTGCGAGAAAAACCCACCTGCGACGGCGTTACCACGGCCCCAGCACAACAACCCCACATCGTACAAAATAGATTATCTGACTCCAACCCTGCAGCACCCACACTCCCTACTAAAAGACAAACTACCGTTTCAGACTCGCGTATTCTCTAAAAAAACGACCAACCCACCCATCGTGGCCGTGTGCGGCCGAGATGTTGTGTACGTACCGTCCCGCGACGACCGTTAACTACCTATGTTACCCCACCAAAATGTTGCCTACACCCACACTGCGGGAAGTGGAGGGTCGTCCGTCCAGATTAGGTAATCTTGGGGGGGGGGAGTGGGTAGATACAAACTGGTTTACTATCGGGATGTATGGTAGCACAAGATTGATGACATTGCAGCCAGCAGTCAGTATTGTATTCTGCCTTTTTCCCCTCATCTCATCTCATGCTGGTTTGAGTGAGTGAGAGAAAACCGTATCTGTGAATCTTTCTTCTGTCTTTCCATCTCCTGTCTTCATCACCACAACCTCATCATGGCCTCCACCACCACCACCACAAACGGCACTTCTCATGCCGCACCGCCCCCAGAACCGTCTCGACCGCTAAACATCACAATCTGCGGCGCCGGCATCGGCGGCCTCAGCGCCGCAATCTTCCTCCGCAAACAAGGCCATGCCGTAACCCTCCTCGAAGCCTCGCGCTTCGCCAACGAACTCGGCGCAGCCGTGCATCTCGCACCCAACGCAAACGGCCTGCTCCGCCGCATGGGCTACATCCCCGAGCAACACGGCGCGGTAGACTGTCTGCGAATGTCGCAGTTTTTACCAACGGGCAAACAGCTATTTAGCATAGACCTCAAGGCCGATGCGGGCCGCTGGTTGTATCCGTGGCAGCTTGCCCACCGCGTTACGCTGCACAGCGAACTCAAGCGCATGGCGACGTGTGAGGAAGGGCAGGGCCCCCCAGCGGTGCTGAGGTTGCGGTCGAAAGTCGTGGATGTAGATGCGAAAGAAGGTGTTGTTATTTTAGAAGGCGGCGAGCGTGTTCACGGTGATGTGATTGTTGGTGCCGACGGGGTACATTCACGAACACGCCCACGCATTCCGGGGGCTGAAAACGTAAAGACGTTTGGAAGTGGGAAGAGTGCGTTTCGTTTCCTGATTTCTCGCCAAAAAGCCTACGACGACCCTGACACGCGCAAGTTTGCGGATCAAGACGGTCATCTTATTCTGACGTTTGGGAGGGATAGACGGGTTGTTGTGTATCCCACGTCGGATAATACGTTGTTGAATTTCGTCTGTATCCATCCGACGGCTGAGAGCCAGATCCAGAGCGAGGAGCCTGGTAGTGCGGACTGGCAGAATCAAGGTAATCTGAGTAAGATGTTGGAGGTGTACAAGGATTGGGAACCGGCGATGCTCAAGTTGCTATCCATGGCGGATGAGGAGACACTCAAGGTGTGGGAGTTGTTGGATATGGAACAATTGCCTACTTGGACAGAGGAGAAATTGGTGTTGATTGGTGACGCTGCTCATCCTTTTACTCCGCGTAAGTCTCCTTATATCCCCCCAGATTCCCCATTCCTTCACTAACACACCCCCAAAGACCAAGGCCAAGGCGCCGGCCAAGCAATCGAAGACGCCGCCTCCCTCGCCGTCATGCTGCCCCCCTCCACCCCCCTCTCAACCATCCCCGCCCGGCTCAAGTTATACGAAAAATGCCGCTTCAAACGCGCCTCCACCATCCAAGAGTTCTCCCGCCTCTCCGGCCGCGACCTAGGGTCCGGCCCGCCCGTCGACGCAAAAGCAATGACAAACTACAATTTCGGCCACGACGAATGGGACTACTCGACACAGATGCTGCGGGAGTGGGAGTGGGAACAACAACAACAACAACAGCAAAGTAAGAATTTACTCTGGCGTATGCCCACGGCGTTTGGTCCCATGCCAGGACCGCGGCAGGACCACTACGGTCGAAGTCGCGATGGTAGTACCGCGGGTTTCAAAACGGCGAGTATACGGTTTCGAACGTCCAGGACGGTGTTGCAAGGTCTTTTGCCAAGGGGAAGTTCGTTACAGTTTGCAGCGGCGGATACAGCGGCGTATGCAACGTTTGCGGTAACCCAACTGCATGACTTGGAGTGGCTTGGTGGGAGGGGGTATAACCATTTCGGCCTGTACATTCACGGCGTGCAACACACATCCGGTGTCGATGGGTCCACAGTACAAGGCACATACCTCCCCATCCTCTTCGAGAACCTCGCCGACCCCATTCTGAGCGGGAGGGATGAACTCGGTTTCCCCAAAGTATTTGCAGACGTTGATTTCAAGAATGAGGCCGGGGGGTGCGAGATGACGGCTAGTTGGATGGGCTCTGCGTTTTGTAAAATGAGTCTGGGGGATTTACAGGATGCGCCTGCTACTAATGGTACCCATCCTACTCCTGCTGCTCCTGTCAGTGAGCATGCCCCGCCCCCAGCACCGAAAGACACGGGACTTCTCCTACACAAATACATACCAGCCACTGCTCCACGCGGTAGCAAAGACCGCGGTCAGGCAGACGTAGAGTACACGACGTACGTGCCCGACGACGAGGAAGCGAAGACTGTAGAGCGCAAAGTTGAGCGGACGCTCAAGGCGGGGTCGGCGAGTATTAGTTTCGATGCGTTGGATTGGAAGGCGTTGCCTACGCTACATCATGTTGTGGGGCGGTTGGCGGAGATACCTGTGTATGAGGTTGTGGAGGCGAAGGTGGTGGAGGGGAGGGGAGTTGGTGATGTTGGCTCTATCAGGAGGTTAGGTTAGGTTAGGGGGACCCGTCCGTCTCCTAGATAGTCGTAGTTGTACGCGTATATATTCCAATTCACACACAAACTCACACATCACACATCACTTCAAACCCACCAAACATTACCAACATCTTTCATTCGTCCCCCTATCCACCTGCACACCCACCCACTCACTCAATCTATCAAACAGCCACCACCACCAAACCGACTCCTACAAAAGAAACACACGCTTGTTCCTTCAGCCATGTATAAACGGGGGGGTATTACCAGTGGTCCATCTATAAATGCTTGTTGCTATCCGAACACCATACGACCATATCAATGCCAAAAAAAAACAAGTACAAAAAAGAATAAAACAAAGGAAAAGACCGCCCGTTTGCGTCGCGCGCACATGTGCGTAGAGGTCAGTGTCTGTGTGTCTGTGTGTGTGAATGTGAATGTGAATGTGTATATATGAAACCCACCCCCAAACCAACAACTCTTCTTTTCAATGACCACCCAGCATCATCTCATCTCAACAGCCGAGTCGGGAAACATGGAATCCGTACTGATACGCGAGTTCTTCTTCGGCGATTTAATGATATTACCGCTGCGGGAGAAATTCGGTGTCGCCGCTCTTTCTTGGTTCTTTGGTCGTTCTGCCAGTTTAGCCGAATGGGAGAAGTGAGATGAAGGCGCAGGAGGAGCGTTCTCGTCGGGAAAGTCTTGGCCTGTTTTCCACAAAAAATTATCAGCCGTGGTGCCCCTTTTGAGGCAGACCCCCTTCAAAGGAGTAGAGTAGCCATGAAGCACGCGAGGAGGTCTACGCACTAGCCACGCCCAAGCCTTCGCACAGCCTCTTCCTCCATTTCCCACAGACGTCTTCAAACCCGTCCAACACACTGGCGCACGCGCGTTTGGCCTCCCTCTCCTTGAGCCGGCGATCCCAGTCGCCGTGTTCAATGTAGTCCTGACCCTCTTTGGTCTTGTCGGATTCGCGCTTCCAGTCCTGGAGCTGTTCGGTGCTGACTTTCAGTCTCCGTGTAGCCGTCGCCGTGGTTTGGCGCGACATGTGCAGCGTGTCGCTGACGTTTGCGAGATGTTGCAGGAGCTCGCGGTTCGAGTGTGTGAGGTGGGATATGGCGACCAGCGGCTCGGTGGATGGGTAGGGGAGTAACTCCAGCGTGGATTGGATCAGGGGCAGAAGTTCTTCAATCGTGTCTGGGTCGGGTAGAATGGGGCGTGGGCCAGAGAAGGAGGCCGAGAGTGAGGTTAGACTGCGAGACTGGTGGGTCAGGTGCGTTGCTAAGGCATCATGGGCAGTCTTCAATCTGGGCTTTGTTAGTAGAGGGGGAGAAAAACAAGGCCGACACACGTACCTGGTCGCCCCATTCTCTATCGCAATCTGACTACCCAAGTTTTGGAGTTGCTTGGTCACTCTCTTGACAACTTCATCCGACGCGCTCCCGTTTTCCTCTATGCCTCGCCGTACCAGGCTCTCTATAGCCGCCATTCTCGACTCGAGCGCGGGTGAAATACCCTCATTCTCCAGGTCAGAGTCGTCGCCATAGTCGGAGCCGTCGTATAGCGATCGTGCCCGCGCGTGTTTCCGTGTTTTGACCGCCGACTCTGGGCTCAGGCCGGCGGGCGACGAGTCCTGCATGGCCACGCCGCTGTCCCGCACGCCGTTGATACTGGCAGCGCTTTCGACGCCATAGGAGCCGTCGTGCTCTACCGCGGTGCCAATGTGCGCCAAGTCGTCGTGCGAAGCGTCGACGTCGTCGCCGTAGTCGCCGTCCAGGGCCTCTTCGTCGTCGTCCCACACTTCGCCGAGTTCGTCGGCCAGGTTGCCAAGGCCATTGCCGTCTCCGCCGCCGTCGAATTGGTGGGTTGATTCATGGTCAAAGTCCTGCGAGGAGCGCGGGGTTATGGGCGAATAGCCAGACGAGCGGCGGTTGAACGACTGCCGTCTCGAGGCCGTGTTGTGTGTCATGTCGAGGCTTGAGGGGTGTCGACGGTGTGACGAGGCGGGCCGATCAGTGGGAGTGCCCGGGGGGGAGGTCATGGTGGCCTGTAGTTGTACGATGGCGGTTTGAACGCGTCAAAGGCAAAGGGTTGTGAAAGCGCTGAGATTAGGACAACCGGTCCGCATTGGGAGTGCCCCAGTCGGGGATCTGCCGGGAGTGAACAAGGCGCGCGCGCATGTACCAGTACCTCAGCACCTCACGAGCCGCTAATCACGTGTCTGGTCGAGAAACCCAAACAAAGCTGTACAGTCGTCCAAACGTCTTGTGGCGGGGTAACGGTGTGTTGACAATCACTGCAGCTTTGGACGTGATGCTGCGGCCTTGGCTGCGGAGGTGCGCCTCAATGCAGGGCAGGTTGAGAAGCAACTTGTGGCGCCTGCACAGAAAGCTAGCTGCTAACGATTGCAATGGTCGCTGGGCTGGAAGAACAAAGAATACTGGACCCTGATTTAAGTCGTGCCTGGGAACGCCGATATTATCTTGACCCAGTGCTGGTGAGTTGTTTGGGCGCCATGCACTGGTGCCTTGCCCGACCATGTCCCAGGCCAATTTCACAAACTATGGGTATCCTTGTCACTAGCAACCGTCTAACAGGCCTAGCAAAACGTGCATGTCATGTGCACGAATGTCTCTCACCGTCAACACACGACTTGAAGTTAGTTGCTGGAGGCAGAGTCTGCTTAGTTGCTGGAAAAGTGGCACCTAGTTTGTCTATCATTGCATTCATGAACCAAGATACCCCTATCCGTCCTGAGCCTGTTCTCCCGTGGTAATCCCTATCCAAAGCCCCCAAGCATGTCGTGAAGCAGGCGGGTATCGTGTACCATCATCCTAAGCCGGGCCTGATGAGTCCTCACAAACACCTCAACGCCTGTCCCTAAGCCAAACCATGCTTTTGCAATGTATTGACATGAAGCCGCCAATCAAAACCAAGACCCAAACAACTCCTGTGATGCCGCTCAATCCAATGTCGCCCGTGTATGCACTTACTGCGCCGGCTTGGTCTGGTCGAGCTTCGCTAGCTGCTTCTTGAGCTGGGTGAAGAAGTCTTGTCCAGTCGGCATGAGGTGCGGCATGGTGCCTGTGCATGTCAACGTGTGTTGTTGCGCGGTTTTGTTCCAGAATGTCTTACCTCCTTTGCCCCACGCACCGCTGCTCCTGTTCGAGACCGAGTCACCCGGGACCTTGTGATATACCGACGCTTGATCTGCGGACTTGTTAGTCATGCCGATGCCATGCGCGCAATATTGAGATTCATACTGGCAGTGCTCTCCATGTACTCTGCAGTTGGGTTAGCCGTCATCCAGAAGCAAGGCCCATCAGACATACTCTTCTTGAGGAACTCCTTCACCTCGTTCGCGTTGAAGTCCTTCACGGGAACGTGGTTGTCTGGCTGAGCTTGGGCAGTCGTCGCCGTGGGGCCGGCGCCTCCAGCCTTGCCTTGCTTGGCTCCCCATGCATTCCCCGTGAGCGATGACATGGCCTGCTGCCGTCCATTGTCCTTGGTGGGGGTGTTTGTGCCAGAGTTGCGGTTGCCTTGCCCCTGCCGTCGCCAGCTGCGCGCATTGTTAACAAGCCATTGAAGCCTTGAAATCTGACCATGTACGTACCGATTTTCACCTGGACCACTCATCTTCAGTGTACAGAAAAGGATGTGGAAGGCGGGGAGGGGTCGAGTGGAAGATATAAAATCCCGGGAGCTCTCCAATCGTTCTTGGACGCGCGCGAACTGTGTCTGTGCTGCATCATCTAACCCAATGAGATAGCCATGCCCAAGCTGCTGCTGCGACTGCTTTTGGCCAGCTCACCACTGCTAGCCGTTTGCAGGCCAACCGCAAGGCTATGAACGGCCTTTTGGGTAATGAGTGGATGGGGATTTTTCGAGCTACCTCTCCCGCGCCGATGTGTTGTACGTCACGTGTAGCTTCCTCCAATGGCAAGACCAACCGGTCCCTGTCGCCCTACACTAGTAGCAGGGTTCACACAGTACCTTGACCACACGGGAACTTCCCCCAATGCTTGCTTTTTCTTTGCATTTTGTCTACACCGTCTTCATGATCCATGTTGGGCTGGGCGTCATCACAGTCATCACCGCTTCTGCCTGTTCAAGTCTACCGCTCCTGCCTGTTCAAGTCCAAGGCAGCAGCCACTATCAGTCAGAGCGAAATTTTCATTTATAGTATCATATCTGTAACAAGATGCTCCCCACAAGAATAATCAAACAACAACGGCATGCACAGCTATGCCGTGAGGAACCCGCCTCCTGAACTACGCTACGTCCCACACGTACCGACAAACCTCCCTTGACGCGTTCTCTCACGCACTCTGTAGAGCGTGAATCCGCTCACTCATGGCCTGCTTGATAGCAGCATTCTCCTCTCGCTCCCTCTGGATACGCTCAGCGTACTTGCTGCGAGCTCTAATCTGAGGACCCCATCTGTAAATGAAGAACACCGGCAGGCAAACCAAGACCGAGATGACAAAGAGCACCCAAGTCGAATTCCTGACACCAAGCTTCTTGTACATGGGACCAGTGTAAAAGGAGCAGATTCCAGCCAGGACATCTCGAGCGAAGCCGTTTCCACCCGTGGCCGAAGCCGAATATGTGCCTCCGTAAGCAGCAACCATATAGTCGATAGTAGCATAGTAAATAGCGAGATTCGCGCAACCGATCAAGGCGGCGAACAGGAGAGGTAAAATCCACGGGAGAGGCGGACCCCCAACTACAAAAGCCGAGCCGAACAATCCGATAGGAAGGAGTAGCACGATCCACCGCAAAGCCGACAGACGACTCTCTGGACCCAGCACCAAGCCGAACTTACGTTGCTGGTTGTGACGTCTGATGACAGGGTAGTATATCACACCCGCCAACCAGTACCCGATGAAGAGCGCGAAGAGGGAAAGTCCAGCCTGGGTAGGTGTGAAGCCCCAGCCGTCGGGCCCAAACACGTAGCCGTAAGACTCCAGGAAGCTGAAGATGAGGGCGTCGCTGAAGCCGCTCAGCAACGAGAGGAAACCAACAATCGGCTCGCACACCAGCATCTTGTACGGACGGCCCATGATCTCGAGCACCTTCTTAATGCCAATCTTCTCGTGCTCCGTGGGTCCAACGACTTTGTTGCTATACGGGTCCGACTTGCGTTTCTTCGCCGCCGTCCGATTCAGCATGATCGTTGACCTAGTTTCGGGAACAGTCCAGTAGTGCACAGCCTGCACAGTAACACCCAGTATAAGCTGGATCCAAAAGTTCCACCGCCAATCGAGGTACTGCTCAATAGGCCCGCCGCAGATGCCGCCGATAACTTCGTCTGATTAGCTTTATCATGTGCAACTCGCATCCAAAACATACCAGACCCCAAACAACTCCACAAGCTCACCCACAGAATCGGCAACTGCTGATCCTCCGGATCAAACATATCCGCCACCATGCCCAACGTCACCGACCCGCCCGCCGAACACAGCCCCCCCAGCAACCGCGCAATCAACACATGATGCCATGCACCACTCGCCCCAGCAAACACCTGCCACATATTCACCGTAAACAGCGAAAGCTGCATAATGGGAAACCGTCCAAACTCCTCGGACCACGGCGCCCACAGTTCGCAGCCAAACCCATACAAGATGAGGAACCACGCCATACCAGCTCTCGCGTTGGTGAAGTGATTGTCACCGAGATTATAGTGTTCGTTAAGCGGCCTAATCGCACTTGAATACACCGCTGCGTTGTAGTCTGTTTGGCTTTGTCAGCGCAGTGCAATGAATATGGTGGTAGGGGGGGGGGGGGGAAGCGGGGGCGTACTCATGCTCGTCTGGCATAATCCCACAACCGTCAGAATCCACCATTTTCTCCGCGAAGAGAACATGTACGCGGTACTCTCTACCGCGTTGGTTTCGGTGAGCATGGTTGCGACGGGTGGTGGGGGGCTGCGTGTAGGTACCATTTCTATGGCTTCTTCTTCGGCTTGCTTGCGGCGCGTGGGGGAGGCGTTGGTGTTGGTGCTGTAGGTGCTGGATGGTCGGGGTAGGGTTGCCATGATGGGTGTTTGTGTGTGGTATCTGATCAAATCAAAGAAGAGAGGGTGAGAAGAGGGTACAGCACATATATGGAAAGTGTGTGTGCTGGGTGGATAATTACGTTTTCCTATCAAGAAGGAAAAGGAGATGGAAGTGAGTGAGTAAGTGACAGAAAGTGCAAAGTGCGGGGCATGAGCGGTAGATTTTATTCTTCCCCCCCTCTCTCTCTGTAGATTTTACCAAACCAGAGTTTTTTGCTGTTCCTTGCCCGGGTTTTTTTTCGTGGGCTGTTACGCGCGGGGTGCGTCGTCGTGTGGGCCCCAGTTTACGGAAGCGCGTTGTTGGAACCATGGTTCTTGATGGGGAAGGGGGGAGTTCTCCGCACACATCATTTCTTCTTCTTCTTTTGGTGTGGGGATTTATTTGACTTCGTCGACGGATTGATTGATTGTCTATGTTCGATTAATAGCAGCGCTGGAAGAAGGAGGCATAAAGTAGAAACATCTCACTCACTCCCTCCCCTCTCATCCTCCCCCCAAACCCCTATCCACTTCCCCCACCCTACCATCCATCTATCCACCCGCAACCCACCCACCGCAAACGCGGGGACCCCACTTCCCCGTATTGGCTGAACTCGACATTTCCAATATTGGCCAAAATATCAATGATGCGCCGAATATCGCTCCCCCCTCCCCCGCCTCCAGATTTTTCTACACTTAGTGTACCAAATAACTGCTAATTCTATCTTATCCCCCGCTCCCGCTAGTTACGCTACCCCCGCTCTTCCCCGGACGGAAAGAGGAAGAGATGGAAGCTAGGTGGGGGAAGAAGGTAGTAGGTGCGTTTGTGTACGCGTTCTTGTTTATGTATGGGTGCTGTGTTGTGATGGGAAAGGAGAGGGGGTTTGAAGTTAAGAGGCTGGTGCATGATTATGTGGATGTGCATGCTCGGCTCGGGACAGGACGGCAGGAAGATAGAAAGGATACGTCCTGGTGGTTACGGGGCTGGGTAAGGGTGTTGCATCGTTAATGCTGCGTACTGTGAGTATGACGGGAATTGAGCATGTAGATAATCTCATGCCCCCCTTCCAATTCTCACAACCGACAAAAACTCACTATAACCTCCATGGTGTAATCTCCGTAGCATTCCCTACTTCAACACCCATTCCCGTGCCAACTTCGCAATTTAGTCTTATGATGCGGGCGTTCAGTGTATCCAGGCAGCACAAGAAACAGCGCTCTATATTCACTCACGCGCTGAATGCAGTGGACAACACAACCACTCTCAGCATGCGTGAAGCATGTGTAGATTATGCTTGTGTTTGTGAAATATGGTTGTTCATCGTGCGGAAGAGGGGTCTGACACTTTTTTGTGTGTTGGAAGTGTGATGGTGGGATTACAAAACTAACTATATAACAGCGTGATCGGATAGTTGAGCGCTGTATCAGATGCAGGGGGGGGGGCTGCTTAGGAAGAAAGGCGTGATGTTGTGCTTTTCATCAGGATTGTCGTTGTGTTTATCACGGTTGGTTTTATACCCGATGGTGTTAGTAGTAGTAGTAGTAGTAGCGATTATTCTTATCGACGGCGTTGTGCTGCCATTGGGAGCAGGGGAAGGAGGCGTCTACTTCAAAGCACCAGATAAACGCAAAGTAATACACCAGAAGGGAATGAATGGAATCTTTGACATCACTCATAGTTAAAGTTGATCACAAGAAAGAAAATGTGTTCTTGTGCTGCACCTGCATAAAGGTCCTTCGAGAGACAATACAAGACTTTCCGATGAATGTCTCTTCATCTCCACACCCCATGACAATCCGTTGCAGTCATGCCCTTCGGAGTCGTATGCCTCAAATCAGTATCAGAGTCCCACATCAGGACTTGGCAGCCAAAGACGACGCCAATGGATAGTTCATGAAAAGGAAAAGGTTGGACCAGAGTCGGAATGTAGTCCGAAACGCCCAAAGAGGTTGTGTACTCTGAGACCATGTTTGAGAGTGAAAGACAAAGGAAATGTTCGATAAAGCCTGTAGAGATCTCTCCCTATTGTGGCTGAAGAAGTGGCCCATCCGACAGAGATGGTGAGATGCCAGCAGAAAGCCTGAATGTCGTGTCAGCTTCGTTCCAAGACCAACCCTGATGCTCTGATGGATCATTTTCGAAGTGTACTTACTGTATCCCATGGGCTAAGCTCCCGTTTTGGCCTCCCACCAGCCCTGGTGTGCGGAGAAGACTTTCTCGTAGTACCTGTCAAGGTCGGTACGACTCATACGCATCAACTCGCGTTCGGTTGCCACGCTATAGAGATCCAACTCGTGCTCCATTGCACGGATAAGGATGACTTTAACTTTGTGCTCATGATCAACGTAATTCCGGTTGCCGGCGGCGGTCTCGTAAACGGGGTTTTTGAAATTCTGTGTGCGCATTGCCTCGTTTACACCGACGACTTGCTGAGTGCCGGGTTGGATTTTGGCTGAGACCGGACTAGCGGCGTGGCTATCAACAGAAATACCGCCCTCATTCAGCCTATCCGTCGCAGGTTTGGTGAGTGTCCTAGGCTGGTCGCCGTTGGGTGGCACGGAAGGAGGAATGTTGGACTTCTTCGCTGCTGGGTCGAAGGGACGGACTTGCACCTGGCCAGACTGTACAGGTTGACGATGGGGAGCAGAGCTCTGGACGATGTCGGATTGGACTTGGGCAGCGATAGCCACAACTGGCTCAGCAGAGGCCTTTCGAGTATCCTCCGCTATAGCTTTCTCCAAACGTGCAGCCCAGGGTGGCATCGACGTCTCCGAGTGAGGAAGAGGCATAGCAGGAATACTCACAACAAGCGGTGACTGACTGCGCTGCTCCTTTGACACATCTTTAGTCGTAGTATCTGCTGTGTCTGGGAGAGCAACGCCGCCCGACTTGACCGCCTGGTGCTTGTTGGGTGTGCCGTTGACAGTATGGTGCTTATTGGGCGTGTTGTTGGCAGTTTGGTGCTTGTTGGGTGTGCCGCTGACAGTCTGATGCTTCTTGGATGTGCTGTTGGGTGAGCCCAAGGTTGGCACAGATGCGCCCTTCGAGCTCAAGAACTTACCGTACTCGCCGTTACTGGAGATGACAGGTCCGGGTGCACGAGAGATCGGAGCCGGCCACTTTCCCAGTCCAGGTGCAGGAGAAGTGCTTCCCACCGAGGCCGAAGACAGAGCTTTGTCCGCGAGCATACTGTACATCTTTGCTTCTCTCAAGTACGCTTTGCTGCGACCGTCTGGTGCCGTATCCTGGCTGAACCGAGCATCACGGACTCCTCCGGGCTTGGGTATGGCGTCTTCAGGTGGCTGCCCTAAATTGAGAAGAGTCGATTAGATGCTGAAATACAGTTCACGTGCGCAGAGTTTCACTTACAATCATCGGCTTCGGGCGGGGGAGGCGGAAAGGCGTCCCAAGACTCTGGCACTTCCAGCACTAGATAGAAGTCAGCACGTTGCAGTTTCCAAGCAATGGAGTTCCGTGAACGTGCCGCCGCCTAGCGCTGCCACGGCTATATTGAGGAGGGAAAGAGCACCCGGGTGTCATAAAATACTTGACTACCAGTGTAAAAAGGCAACTGTAGTCACTAGACACGTCTATTGGGTCCTCACACTGTCAAGTATCTTATGACACCTAGGTGAGAGCGTACCTTTCTTCTTTGGGGTGATGAACGGCATGTTGCCCCGCTTGTTGCTGTATCTGTGATGTTAGATAGAAGATACGTAGTAAGTATTCGCAGATTCGTGCATAAGAAAGAAAGACAGAGGCAGCGAGGCAGCGAGGTAGCGAGGCTGGAGACGATAAACAGCTGTCGGTGGGGTTCAGTTGCGCAGGTGGAGGTGACCGCGGCTTCCAAACTCGGACGTCGCGGTTGCTAGGTGACCACGAATCCACGGCAATCCAAATGTGAGGCTGTACGAGGCTAAAAGTAGAAGCGACTGCTCGGCAATGAAAGCGTAAGGACTATGATAAGGCATGCATGGTTGCGCAAAGCGACAAGACGAGAGTGTGGACGATGAGGCTGAGGGGAAGGTAGAGAAATGAGAGGCAGAAATATCGACTGACGTAGTTGTTTTGCAACAGCCTCACCTTGAAATTGCCAACAGCCTCGCACTAGCAACTGTAGTAGAGTAGAGACAAACGGCGCCATTACACTCGCCATAGATAAAGCAGATTGCAATTTTGACTTGTACGAGATACAGCTTTCCCGCCCATCACCTCGCGTTACTTACCACACTAGGGGCGGCATAAGTTGAAAGCCAGTAGACGTCTATCCTGATTCTCTTGCCATGTTAAATCACAAGACGCGAGCCAAATGTAGAATGAATAATACTTTCCCTGCCTCAAAACTAGTCGACATGAGTTGCGATGCGTCGCAAATGTTTGAGATACACACTTTTCAAACAACTGGTTAGTAACAGGCCACATCTTCCACCAAACACTTGGATTGAGAACGACACTTTTGTCGATAAAGCTAAAGTGATGTATACTTAGACAGAAGGTAACGGTGGCGTAAGGACAAGACTCGGCCTTGTTGTTTTTCCGAGGTTATGTATCGGTACCAGCGAATGATACTAGTTATGACGATAGCGCACTAACCCGGCCTTCTCCGCATTCTGTGTCTGTGCTGACTACTACCGGACACGTGAGACCGCGACAATCATCAGAGGTTCAAACTGCTCGGAACTCATCGCGCACACGGCCTTACTGAACTCTACCACTTCGATTACATGCTTTTTACCCGTTGAAGAGGTCCGTCAAGTTCATGTCGCGTGCCAACACACCCAGTCTTTGTGTTTTGCTTAGTTAGGCCGCTGGGCTCCGCGGACAAAGTGCACACATATTGGTGAAGGTGAACGCGCACGAGTCGTCGTCCACACCCATCTATCCGTTTCGCCCTCACTCTTTCGTCGCGTTTGACCAATCAGCGCCGCCATCGATTTCATCTGCACCTGCCGCAGAACCTTGAAAGAGCAGGTCCACAGTTTCCTCCACTGCTACTCTCAACCTGACACTCGCAACCGCACTATCCGCCATTCTCGCACTCATTGCGAAAGTTGTGGACTTTTGCCAGAAAATGGTAAAAAAAGTCACCTATTCACGCAAGCCTGCAAAGCGACGGTTTTCCGCAGAGTTCCAGCAGGATGACGAGACCGACATGAGTGGCAAGAGGACCAAGTCAGACGGTGGAATCAGAGATGAGCCGCGTTTGTCAACGGCGCCATCAAGTCGACAAGGCAAGAGACACTCTTTGCTGAAGAAGTGTGCGTTCGCTGGTCCTGTTTCCATACCCGACGCCGACAGCGACATGGACATGGACACTAGGCGAAGTGAAAGCAAAGCGTCCGTTCTCGACAAGGTCATCAAAGGAGGAAGATACCAGGCTGCAAAACCGGATGAAGACACTATGCGACGCAACCGAGATGACTTTGTTGAGATTATGAAGAACGGCCATAAGAGGAACAGCCAGTTACCCACCCCTCCAGCAGAACAACACGTGCCCAAGGAGGAGACCTTCTCACGGCTCAACGGATTTACTCACAAACGGGAGTTCAAGTTGATCAACTCACCAACGCCTCCCACGCCGCCAACGCCGACGTCGCAGCTCTTTGGACGCGTCATTACTAATGAGCAACCAAAAGAGCCGTATCAACCAAAGACGTACAAAGCCGAGCAGACCCTTGCGCCACGCAGGACCATCACGGGAGATCGATTGTCGACCAAGTCACGGGAATCTCAATTGTAAGTGCCGTCGAAAGTAGATACTGCGACCAAAGACTGACTGAACCAGGTGGTCTGCAAACCAAACCAGCTCCCCGTTTTTGCAGTTACCGGAAAATGTTCGCAGTCTCATCTACAAGTATGCGCTAGGTGGCAAAACCATCAATATCGGATTTGAGACGTATCACACACGGGTGGACCCTACCCGGCCCACTTTTGCAAAGCAGTCCGTACCAGTGTTCAAGTACCGCTGCACTGTCTATGACCAGTTCTCAGGCCAGCCAACCAACCCTTATAGAGCTATGCCATTCGTCAAGACTGCCAAAAGCTTTACTTTACTCAACCACGTTTGCCGCCAAATGTACGAGGAAGCAGCGACGCTACCCTACAAGCTCAACCTGATATGCTTCGACTCGCACAGCACCATGATTAATTTCTTACTCATGGAAAAGCGGCTGTCACGTCGACACTTGGAGGCCTTTACTCAGATTTTGCTACCCGATGGACTACCGGCGACCAACATACTGACATGCTTGCGCAACGTCGACAAAGTGTATCTTGCATTTGAACATTACGGGAAGCTGAAGGGCTGGTATCAAGTCGTGCGTAGGGCAGGCGAAGAGCCAACTATGAGACGCTTGTTGAAGTAGGGGCCGCGGAACTGACTTGATTGGCTTCCCAACGAGGTTGGAGTAAGCTGGTTGTGGTAATGTTATAGACGGCGTCTTGGTTGCAGGGTAGCTGATACTGTAAGGTGCGGCGAATCCTGACAAAGTGCACCACCTTGTAGCCGGTCAGCAGTCGTTTTAGCATGAGTAGCAATACGGTCAAAGTTGGGATTTCGATACTGGCATCCGCCCTCCCCTTTCCGTTTCAGGCGAATAGGATCATCAAGTCTGACATGTGAAGACGCACCAGGTGCAAACTGGCCTCCCTAGGTGCGGCTGACCACGTCCATCACCCGTATTTTTGTTTTTGGGGCGCACGCTGTTGTCTCATGCAACGGAGCCTCGTGACTGGAGCATCGGAGATGGCGGTCAAACCCGGTAGGGGCCCCACGTCTGTACTCGCAGAAAGCTTCTCCAGATCTACGCCGCCTGTAGTGTGGGATGCTAGGATGGCGTCGTCTGAAACGCAAAGGGCAGTCTTGCTAAACCAAAGAGCAGGCCGTTATCGGAACATGATGACGGAGGGCGGGTAGACACTGCGACATAATGGCTATGCAGTAGGTTGCCAACTTCTGCAAGGTCCCAGCAAAAGTGTCGTGTCAGCATCGGCTTGGGTGGAGGTGCTACCGACGCGAAACCCGTTCTTTGTCTAGCCGCGCAAACCCATGTATCCTTGAACGATGACGAAGTAGCACATCACACACTCGACCGCCCACGTCCTGAGGCAAATTAGCCTGTGGTACTTCAAAGCCCGATGTCTTCCTGCCTTGATGCGCACGCGTCCTCCGCCCGGCAACTAGGCACCAGAATCCCCAAAAGATATCTGCGGCGCACCTTCTCCCGCGACTTGCGCGACCATTGGCGCATGACCACCCGCAGTTGACGCATCTGCCACTACCTATCCACACGGCGCCTTGCACTACTACTAAGCTATAGTCGTCGCTCTCTTGTCCCTGTGATATAATATCCGTAGCTGCCGACCACCTCTAACCCACGCCAACACGTTGAAACCTTCTCGTCGACCCGTCGACGCTCCTTTCGGCCAATTCGGGCTTCGTATTGACCCGCGCATGGCCTGCACCGGTGCTCCATGTCACTGTTGTCGGATACCTTTTTTTCGGGCGCAAGTTCGCGACTGCACGTAGGACGAGGCCGCAATGGGTGCAAGACGGTGAGGAAGAGCCAGAGCCATGGCGGATTCCTCAGTCCCCTCGCACAGCTAGTCAGGGACCCGGTCGGCACTTTAGGTGGCATCACCACCGACTCCAAACATGTGCCTGATAAAGATGGGGGTGCAGTCGAGGCGAGTCGCAGACAGGTCCTGTACCTGCACATGAAAGACGTGGGTGCCTCAGATTGGTGGTGCTGTTGTCACATGCTAACGACGTCGTCATCCAGGCCGAGACATATGACGAATGGAAGGCCGCCGCGACTGAGCTGGACATACTTGAGGGCAATGAGGCCTGGAAAGAATTGGATGATTCGACCGAATACAATGCGGAGCTGGTTGCTGCCCGACTGAAGGAACTCGACGATGCTCGCATGAGCTGCGATGTAAAGAAAATGCTGTTCCTGATACGCACCACCCTTACACGCGGATTGGGTGACATGGGCCAATTGAGCCTGTACAAGCACTCGCACATTGGCACCAAGCGATTGATCGAGCGGTATATTGAGTCAGCACAGCAAACCCTGGCAGCCCTGCTTGACATATCGGAGAAACAAGGAGATGAGTGTCCAGTCGAGCCACGACGTCTAGTTGACCAACTCCTCCAAACACGCCAATCGTTTGGGCGAAGTGCCTTGTTACTGTCGGGAGGTGGAACTTTCGGCATGAACCATATTGGTGTCATTTCAGGCCTGTGGGACGCCCGTCTTCTCCCCCGCATCATATCCGGGGCTTCTGCTGGAAGCATCGTGTCAGCCGTACTATGCACCCGGACCGACGCAGAGATACCCGAGGTGATGCACCAGTTCTGCTACGGTGACCTGAATGTATTCGGAGACCCCAATCACCCAGACGGCGTCTTGGACAAAGCGATGCGCCTAATGAAGTCTGGCGTGCTGTTTGACATTTCCCACCTCACCCGAGTCATGCGAGACTTGCTTGGAGACATGACCTTTCAGGAAGCCTACAATCGGACTCGTCGCATCTTGAACATTCCCGTGTCGTCTTCCTCGCTATATGAACTTCCTAGACTCCTAAACTACATCACCGCGCCCAATGTTATGATCTGGTCAGCAGTCTGCACATCCTGTTCCGTTCCGCTCGTTTACAAGAAGGCTTCTCTTTTGGCCAAGGATCCGAAGACTGGCGCGGAAGTTCCTTGGAATCCTAATCCAAACGCTACCTGGATCGATGGCTCTGTGGATAATGATTTGCCCATGACGCGTTTGGCTGAAATGTTCAACGTGAACCACTTTATTGTCTCGCAGGTCAATCCGCATGTCATTCCTTTTCTGGCAAAAGAGGAGGAGATTATGACTGCAGAGGCAGAACAGCGTGTAGCTGCGGGTTCCAGCTGGGTGAGCCTTTCGGCCAGTCTGTGCAAGGGTGAGGTGATGCATCGTCTTCAACAAATCGCGGATACCGGTATATTTCCCACTCTGGTGACGAAGGGGAGGTCTATCCTCAGCCAGCGATACTCGGGTGACATCAACATTTTCCCCAAGATTAACTATGCCGACTTTCCAAAAGTTCTGAGTAACCCAACACCAGAGTACATGAAGGGTTGTATGCTCACTGGCCAACGAGCTACTTGGCCAAAACTTTCGCGTATACAAAATCATGTCGCCATCGAGCTCGCATTGGACGACACAATACAAAAGTTAAAAGGACAACTCGTATTCTCGCCCTCACAACAGGAACTCACCATCAAACGAACAACTTCTCAAGGAGACGTCCTCTCTCATAGAAAGACAACACCGTCCTACAAGATGGCTCGTTTCACACTGCGAACAGAACCCCCCAGCCCAGTCTTCCACAAATCCGCACCAACCAGCCCCCGCCTCTCCCGACCAGGTTTCAAATCATTCTCCCAATCCCTCTTCACACCCACCCAAATCCACGTCGCCAACCGCTCAAAACGTCGCTCCGCCTACCCAAACACCTCTACGATCCACCTCGACCCCGCATCCTCCACAAACTCTACCTCTGACCAAGACTACTTCGCAGACCCAGACTCCGATACAACAACAACGAACCGAGCGTCATCCTCGCCCTCACCACTAACATCGCCCACATACCAAGTCCCCACCTTATGGCCTTCGACACCTCCAACGCTCATGCGCGCTACTACATCATCACAAGCAGACACACCACCGTGTACAACCACCACCACACCAGTCAACCGCCGCACAAGCACTATACTCAACCTAGCCATGACATCAGCGACTAGCCAGTCAAGCATCCCCAACGCACCCAGTTCCCCAGAGTTACGCTATAAACGGCTTTTTCACCCGCCTGGTCCTGCTACACCGGATGTTAGTGTGGGACCGCCGGTCTTGGATGTTGAACCGCTACGATACACGAATCCGTCACCGGGGTCTAGTAGACCGGGGTCGAGGAGGGGGAGTGGTGTGGGTTTGGGTTTGGGTGTGGGTGATCATTCTGGGACGAGGGGGATGTTGTTGAGGAAGAAGAGTTTTCTGTAGGGGAGGTTTGGACTTTGCGTTCTTGTGTATATATTACAGGTCTTTTTATCTTTATTAGTGTGGTGGGGTTTCCTTTGTTAGAGACGTTGAAGATTGTTGTTGTTGTTGCGTAAATCTGCTGTGTAAGCATTGATTTCACTTCTTCTTTTTCGGTTTTTTTTTCAAGATTTTCTATGTTTTACAATCCAAGTGTATTTTCTGGTAATGCTGTAGACGCATTTGTGGCGTGCGGGTTGGGTTGAATATACACGGTAGACATGTGTGGTAAACATGTCGGCTAGAGCGACGGACGCTGAGTGGCATGGACTGGACATACTAGATAGAGAGATGTTTAGATCCAGATTCAGATTCAGAGTCTTTTATCCTTACAAAAAACATGGTATCTAAAACATCACCCATCCATCCTCACCTACACCCCCTACCTACACCCCCTCCTTACCTCTCACAGCCCCCCCATCCCCATCCCCAAACCTCTTCGGCACAACCTTCCCATTCCACCGCTCCCACAACTCCCACCCCATAACAATGACAAACGGCAGTCCCACGATAATCGCCGTAACACGACGAGCGGCAGGCCGGTATTTTGGCGGGAGAGCCGTGTTGGGTGTTGGTTCTATTATCCGTGCTGCCGGTTTGCCAGGGAGAGGGTGGTGATGTGTGTGGGGGCGGTTGGCTGGGTGTGCTGGTGGTGGTTTAAGAGGAAGCGTGTGGGAAGGGTAGGAAGGCGGGGTGGTTATAGTAACAGGTGATGGCGCGGGTTTAGGTGTGCGTGGTAATTCTATCGTCGTGCCCCGGCTTGCCTGTGCGGTTGTGGTAGCTTGCGGCGGCGTTGTCGTAGTAGTGCCTTGTGCAGTCTGTCCATGTTTTGAAAGTAGAGCTGCTGCGTCTTCTGGGTCGTTTCGTTGTGGAGCTTGTATTGCGACGTGTTTGATTTCGGAATCTGTTTGAAGACTTGCTGTGACGATGGTGTCGTATTTGTTTTCTATGGCGCGTATCTTCCCCAGAGTCGTGCCCTTTGCGCGTACTGCGTCTAGGATTTTGCTTGTGCGCGGGGGAGGTTGTGCCGGCGTATCTTTCTTCGTGGGAATTGGTTTACTGCTTTTCGCAAGCGTTGGTGTTTTTTTGGCTGTCTTCTTCTCTTCCTCGGGCGCACTGCTGGCTTTTGTGCTTGTACTTGGCTTCTTGGATCTACTCGCATCTTCTGCTCCTCCGGTCTTTTTGGCTTGTTTGCGTTTCTTTGCTTCTGCTGGGGCGTTTGTCGACATGGTTTGCGCGTTGGGTAATTAATTGGCGTCGTCTGCAATTCCGTGTACTTTATAACGTGTCCGTGCGCGTGATGCGCGGATTCGCGTGATGCGCGGGGAACACCCAAACACGTCAAACCCCTTCACGTTCAACACACGTTAACTCCACCAATATGGACCCAATGCAAGCTGCGATTGAAGATATTGAAAATCTAGAGCCAGGAGAACAGTTCTCGTATACTAAAATTGCTGCTAAGCATGGTGTTGTGAGATCTACGTTGACCCGAAGGCACCAGGGCCAGACAAGCTCAGAAAGAGACAAGAACTTCAACCAGCAGAAACTCAACCCACAACAAGAGCTAGAGCTTGTGAGATATATCGAAAAGCTCACAAAGCGAGGCATTCCTCCTACACGAGAGATGATCAGGAATTTCTCATCAGAAGTAGCCCATCAGCAGCTCAGCGAGAGCTGGGTTACTCGCTTCATCAACCGACACGAGATCCATCTCATCTCAAAGTGGACCAGCGCCATGGATCGTACGCGCCACCTGGCTGATTCTGAGTCAAAGTATAGACTCTACTTCGAGCTGCTGCATCGAAAGATCACCGAATATCACCTAGAGGCTCGAGATATATACAATATGGATGAGAAGGGCTTCTTAATTGGCTTGATAGGCAGAAGTAAGAGGATATTCAGCAGGCGTCAATGGGAGAAGAAGGAGGTTCGAGCATCTCTCCAGGATGGATCACGCGAGTTTCTGACAGTCCTGGCCTGCTGCTGCGCTGATGGGAGCTCGCTGCCTCCAGCCCTTATCTACGCAGCTAAAAATGGAGCTATACGATCGAGTTGGGTAGAAGATATCAAGGCAGGAGAACATGAGGTCTTTGTCTCATCATCTCCAACAGGCTGGTCAAATGATAACGTAGGCCTAGCTTGGCTGGAGCAGGTGTTTGATCGCTCTACAAAGCAACGATCAGGTAGATGGAGATTGCTCATCCTTGATGGCCATGGATCTCACCTCACGATGGAGTTTATTAAGTACTGCGATCGCCATAGGATCCTCCTCATGATCCTTCCTCCCCATTCGACCCATACGCTCCAGCCGCTAGATGTAGTGCTGTTCAAGCCACTCTCTCAAGCCTACTCTAACGAGCTCACTAACCATCTCCATAAGGCTCAAGGCCTTATTCCAATCAAGAAAGGGGACTTCTTCCCGCTCTTCTGGAGCGCCTGGATATCCTCCTTCACAGAGAGCCTCATATTGAAGGCCTTCGAAGCCACTGGGATCTGGCCGATGGATGCCAACGTTATCCTTCGTAGATTTGCTAGCACGCCAGAAGCTGAGAGAAGCTCATCGTCAGGGCTCTCTGATCATGACTGGAGAAAGCTCGATCGGCTAGTACGAGCTGCTGTTAATGATAGCCATCAGTATGAGGCAAGAAAGCTGCGCTCAAGCGTTCACCATCTCTCTGTGCAGTATGAGCTTTTAAAGCATGAGAACGAGGGCTTAAAGGAGGCTCTTCAACATAAAAAGAAGCACAGGAAGAAGGGCAAAGCTCTTGACCTTCAACAGCGCCAGGAGTATCACGGTGGCTCTGTCTTCTGGTCTCCTCGCAAGCTGCGTGAGGCTCGAGCTAGAGAAGCAGTACGGGAGCGAGATGAGACGGAGGAGAAACTCCAAAAAGCACGGTCCAAGAAGCAGCGCGAGGAGGCTCGACTGCAGCGTCAAGATGAGCTCGAGGAGAGGCGTGTGGAGAGGCAGAGACTCAAGGAGATGAGGGAGCTTGAGCGAGCTGAGAAAGCAGCTGAACGCGCGCGCCAGAAGGAGGAGAGAGACGCTGCTAAAGCTATACAACTACCCCAAAAGGGAAAGAGGAGAGCTTCAGCAGCTACCTCATCGAACAACAAGCGTCAAAAACGCGTTGAGGCTGCTCGCGCTGGTGCTCAAGTTCAAGAAGAGCCTCCAGCTCCTCCATCAAAGCTCACATCACGTGGCCGCAACGTCAACCTCCCATCAAAATATAGATAGTACAAGTTGATCGCAAGCATCTAATTACTCCCCCTCTATAAATTCGTATAATAACAGCTTATATACGTGGCTTAATAGCTTCATTTTTGAAGTAGTGGATATGGTGTTCCCCGCGCATCACGCGAATCCGCGCATCACGCGCACGGACACGTTACCTGTCCGTAGAATTGGAGCGATTGAGGGGATGGATGTGTGAGTCAGGGAGATCCTGGAGGCGCGCGCGCGTGTGTATGTGTGTGTGTTTGTGAGGGGTCGCAGCGAGCGGGAAATTTGAGGCGACTACTATTGAGATGCGATGCAGGGATGCGCGTGTATCGGGAACTGGGGTCAACTTATCGATAACGGTTACGAGGTGAACGTCAACATCACGCTACCGCTGTGAGCATGGTTAACGTGTGGAATGCAATGGTTTGGAAAAAACGAGATGGCTCATCGAGGTACATGCTGTATAATACTGTACTATATCTTGTTTATTTGGATATTTATATTGCCGTAACTTATACAACTATCTCGTAACCACATCTTCCTCTCTCACAACCCATATCCTGTAAGTAGATTGTAACACCACCTACTTCTGCGCCTCCTCCCTCTTGACCCGAAAAAACGCCAACTTAGCAAACCGTCCAAGTTGCCCCCAATAATGCCGCCCAGCAGAATGATCCATGATCCTCTCCAACAACTTGACCACCGCCATCCTAACATCCTGTCTCGGGTGAAACAGCCCCAAGCTAAGGTAAAAGAGCCCCGCATCGGGGATAACACACAGCAACTGCAGAATGGTATCGTATCGTAGCTGAGAGCTAGGTTTACGCTCTGGGTCGTTGGCAAGAGTAAGTGATTGTGTCAAGTATGCCAGATCGGCGGATGGCGCATCTTCAGGCGGTGGCGGTGGTGTCCCCGCTTCTTCCACACACCGTGCTAGTGCGAGATAGATGGCGGCAGATTGGTCATGTGTGAGTTTTAAACAACGCAGTTTGTCGTGTTGGTGGTGCATGTCGAGGCCGCGGACTGGGCGCTTCTTCCACTGCCGCGCGAGATCTTGGACACAGCTGTAGTAACTCCTTGTACTGCGCCAGCCTTCGATGCGGTGGACGTTTGCAGCCAGTTCGCGGAGCTTGGATCCTTCGTCCGGCCACACGTAGCCGTGGCCCGAGACGCCGTATGCGCCCGTGTCTGTCTCGTGCGAGCCAATGTATAGGGCTGAGGCGCCGTAGACGGTTTCTTCGAAGGCGGCGGCGATGTGGGTAAATTTTAGGACCCAGGATCGCCACTTTGCTCGGATCGCGTTTTCGCCGTGTCGGTTGTGGATGCTTTCGAGTAGCCGGTCCATGAAATGATTGTCGCCTGTTGGGTCTACCCCTTTGCTGTCAAAGGCCGGCGATCCACCAACTCCACTCATGGGCAGTCCTTGCGACTGGAAGAATTGTGATCCTTCTGTCGGAGGGGCGGGCTCGATCTTGTTGCTAATCTTCATCCGCCCGGTTGGTAGGTCACATAGCAAATCCCACCAGTCTGGCTTGTGGGAAAATGCAGGATTGGTGACGCCAGCGATGAAGCCAGGCACTTTGAGCAGATCGTCTACTTTGGTAAGGTCGGTGTAGGGAAATGCATGGCGGACAAAGCCACGAAGGATTCCCCCAGATGCAAGAGCACATGCCGCTAGAACTGCTTCGGCAACTTCGCTTGAAGGTCGGTTGTATCCAATGAAAATGATGCGCTTCTGGGTCAGAAGAGCATTTACAAGTACAATGACTGGATGAGTATAGGCTCCACTGGTGGTTAGGTGGGGATGTAGAGCGAAGGGCTGTGGTTGTGTTGCGTGCGGTGTAGAAAAGGTTTGAATAAGCTTGATCAGGGAGAAGTCGCCCACCGTCTCCGGACTCAGGGCAGTGGGTATCTTGACGGGAACGGGTATGCCATTATAGTTGACCTTTGACTCAAACTCGTGTGTATCTCTCGGGACGGTATAAGTCTTCTTATTGCGCGAGGTGGAATCCGATGAAGTTTCAACAGAGTCTCGGGCCGCGTCGAGCTTCTTCCGCTGCCGGACCATGAGCTCAAACTTTTCGACAAACATGTCTTTGGCGTCGCAGGCGCTGAGCACAAAGTTCTCGAGCGGGGATAGTTTGGGTAACATGGACAGATCCATGGCGTTGAGGGCGTGGTAGAGGGAGGCGAGGGTTTCGATGACGGGCGCTCGGAAGTACTCTTCGAGAGCGAGCAGTAGTAGCGGCTTGTAGATGTGGAGGAACGAGTGTCGAGTGCATATAGCCATGGCCTTGACGATTGCGCCTCTTCATCATGTTAGTCTGGGTGGTCCGGGGGGATGAGCGTCCTACCTCTTTACTGTGTTGTCTTGCTTTGTATTGACCAAGTTCAAGACGTAAACCAATGGTGGCCCATCTGGGTCCGGCTCACTCTCGCTTTCCGTGTCCTCGTCGCCATCTTCGCCGTCAAAGTCGTTGTCAAGCTCGGCGTCCTCAGCGCCCGCAGCCGCATCGTCCTCGTCCTCCAAGCCTTCCTTCCGCCGTCTGCGTCTCCGCCTACGCTCCCGCCGTGCCTCGCGCTCCTCCTCTTCGGCTGTCGTGTCTTTGTGCAGAAAAAAGATGGTCCAGTCCTGACTGCGGACGTGGGCCTGGTCCGGTAACATGAGTTCTGCCAGCATCGTCTCATCCCCGCTGATAGCGGTCGGGTATTGGTGTTCCATAATAGAGCCGCGATCAATATCAAACGAGGCGACCAGAATGTACTCGACATGGTTCTCGATGGCATCGGCCGGGTATTGCGATCGCAGCCGCATGCCTGCCCTCATGCCTGAGCCCGTCGTCGGTGCGGCCGTGGACTCCTGCGGCGGCGGCGAAGAGTCACGGGACTGCATTGAGTCCTCGTCGTCGCCCTCCCGCAGCATGGGGGGCTGTGGGGACCTTGCCTTGTGGGAGTGGCCATTGCGCGTCGAGGGAGAGCGCGATGGGGGGAAGGAGGAGAAGGACGGCTGGCGCTGCAGCGAGGTTGGCTGGCCGGCACGAGAGGAACTGCGAGTAATGCCAGACTCGGCCATGGCTCCTGCATCTATCTATTGAACGTCTTCACGAACGTGGACATGCTGACTCTACCCGCGCTAGGGGCACGCCTGTTCCGGCGCCATGTGCATGCGCGTGCGCGTGCGCGTGCGCGTGCGATACTGCGGACCCATCTCGGGAGTGCACGGTGAATGCGGACCCCTGTCCACGTGTGCCTCAGCCCTGTCGTTGCCAGGGAAAACTAATCAACACGCAAACATCGCGACATGACCCGCCAGCCTCGCTCCCACCACCAGACGCCGGAAAAACAAACATCGCCAGAATGGTACCTTCTCCTTTTGGTCATCTCGACACGGACGCCCGACTAAACACAATGCAGTCTACCACCCCAACACCGGCCAGCTACAAGCCCTCTCCACTCTCCTTTAACAGTCCCCGCCAGTCGCCCTTTCGAAGACCGGGCTCTATCCGAGAGGCCTCCCCGTCCACCCTGCGTCCTTCGACCCCGAATAGTTCGCCTCTGAAGCCCAGGGAGACGCCCACACCCACGACCCCGTCTCAGGTCACCCTCCGCCCCGCCGCTGCCAGACCTGCATCGCCCAACCCGCCTTCTTGGCTCAACACGCGGGGAACGACAGCGACGCCTGAACCGCCCAGCTCGCCATTACGCAATCTCTCACCCGCCCGTCTCTCACCCTCACGAAATGCGTCTTCAACCTCACAACACACCGTCCGCCCACTGAGCACAGCGTCCATTGCTGCAAAATTTGAAAGTGCAGGTGCGAGGGACGACACACCACCGCCTCTTTCCATCCGCAAGCCCTCCCCACCTCTGGATTACCAGAAGCCATTGGAATCTCCAAAACCACTGGATTACCCCAAACCATTGGATTACCCCAAACCCGCCGCTGAGAAGCCTGTAGAGCGTCTAGCAGTACGGCAAGCACCCATGCCGCGCATCGTTTCTAATTCAAGCGACGCCCTGTCGAAGCTGCCTCCGCCCCTCCTGCACAGCATGCGAGAGTCATTCAGCGTCATGGACCGCGATGACGACGGCCACGTCAACGCCGGAGATGTCGCTGATATGCTATCGCAACTCGGTCTATCTGCAACGCCCTCGCAACTTCACGCATACTTCAACGGTGCACAATCCATCAACTTAGCCACATATCTGTCCACACTGTCCGACTTACTTGGCAACCTCTCGCATTCAAGCGAGTTAAGTGCAGCATTCGAGGCCTTTGACGACAACGACGATGGCCAAATCGACCTTTCCGAGCTAAAAGACGCTTTACTACACACGGCCCCGGAACCTGGAGAGAAGAAACTGACGGAACGCGAGATCGACATGGTGATTGAAGGGTTCAGCGGGAGAAGAGCGTTTGGTAAAGGCGGCAGGGGATTAGCCAGGGCAGAGGTATTCAGATACCAGGACTTTATGGCGAATCTGACGGGTGGCGGCGGTAATACTGCTGATGGTGCTGACGGCACTTCTGTGTCTGCATGATGGGGTTTTGATTGATTCGGTTTAATCGAGCAGCTTGGAGTTTGGGCGTAGTTGTACGAATGGTTGTAGATTTAGGTATGAATGATATCCTTGTTTGCAAGAATGAATGGGGCTTGTTTAGGGTGTGTATGTTGTCGTTGTTCCTAATCAAGTTTTTCGGGACCGTGATAATCGTTTAGGTGTAGAGGCTTGGTTCATGGTGTTAACGCCTATTATGCCGTAGTGCTGCGACTACAACACCGTAGGAAGAATAACCCCCTTTCGACTCGTCCAACACCAATGCCGTCTCGTCAACGCCAGCTTCTTTAATGCTAAACGTCTCGAAAACGAGCTAAAAAACCCTGGTCAAAAATGCTCAATTTTGGGAGCTTAAGGTCTCTCACACTTGGATCTTCTTGGTCCAGGTTTTTTTTTTCGGATGTTAAAATCTATTAAAACAGCCCTTGTTTTTTAGATGCTCGAGTCCCTAGAAAGCTTGAGTTTTGATAGACTTGTTAGTCCTATACTACTTAATACGATGGTGCGATAGAGGGCCGATACTACTAATGCCGTTTCGTGCTATGGAGGTGCCAGCTGCTCATCTTATAGGGGTGTCCGTTGACGTTTCCCGTCATCAACGATTCCTCCGTAACTACCCTGCCTATCCGTTTGCGCTAGCAGACACTTTCCACCATTCTATACCAAATTGAAAGTGAGTTGTTATGACGTAGTCTATAACATCGGTAAACCAACCACTGTGCATGGAATACCTAACCCGCACAGGAGGATGTACAGATTGCCGCTGAATCTTTCCTGAAAAGAGTGTCGAGTTGAAAAAGCAAGGGAGAGCTAACTCCATACAAGGTAATCAATACTTGTTAATTTTAGTACGCCAGGGATGGGTCCCATAGTACTATAGATAACACGGATAATTCCTATGCATATACCTTGACACGTTCAAGTTAAAAGGCAGCGCAGTCCGCACATGGTAATATCATCGCATACCAGTCATTCAACCTTCTCCAAGCCACTCAATCATCTTCATACCCACCCACCTACACCCAGCCATCTACAAACCAAACCAAACCAAACCAACCACCACAATGCGCATCTCCACAATCTTCCTCCTCGCCGCCACCGCCACGCTCACCGCCGCAAGCCCCCTCGACCTTGCCTGTCCAGAATACAAAGCCGACTTTGATGCCATCAGAAAAGACCCTACAAAGCTCAACCAAATAGGTTCTTGTCGAAACGCAAAAAGACTAATCTCTGAGCGTTCCGGCTAAAGAATATATATATTTCTGCGACAGTTCTGAATTTTTTCGCGATCAATTGAGCGACTGCTGCTTCATGGCTGCCCTTAATGATCTTGAAAATATGGATCCCCTCTGTGCTCTCTAAGGTATTTACTTGACAAACATAAGTCTTCCCCAAAAGCAAGAATTAGGGAGCGTGTAAGAGGGTGGTAGCCGCGAGGAGAAGTGTTGGGTGTTACTTTGGTTCTGTGGGGAAGGGATGGTGGGCTAATGTATCTTTCGATGGGACTTATTTTTCAGCGCCATCCTAGCTAATAGGAGAACATCTTTTTCGCCATTTGGGGTGTTGTGTTAACAAACATGTGGACGGGGTTTCTGGGAGGACATGGCCTCCTTTGTTAACTTGGAGTATTATGGGTGGTGATACTGGGTTAATATAGGCGGAAGTTTTTGTGTCTTGAGTTCTAATAATGAATGTGGCAAGTTGTAGTAGTTTGAAATTCATTGCTACTTGAATGACAGTTGGATTCTATGTAGTAAGAGAGTCGAAATGCGCAACCTCCACCTTAGTGATCATTCCTGCCACGAACAGACTTATACTATAGCACCTGTGTGAAGTGAAATACTTGGATAGTATAGGTAAGTAGTGTCTAGCGAATACGGTGGTCTTTGTGCACTAGTGTGTCAAGTATTTCATGCTACTAGGATAACAGAGGAAGTCAAGAGTTTCTCGCAGGTAGCTGATAGTCTCGGAAAATCTCGTATGATCCACAAAGTTACTACTACCACTAGCCGATAAATACGCTAATAGTCTAAGGAATGACGGTAATCTAGTGGATGCCTTATAAAATCGAAAAAAAAAACTCTTATTCCCGCCATCCGGCATCAGATTGTAGCCCGCCTAGACCTACTGCCACGGGATAAAACCGTTTCTCTTCTCTCTTCTCTGTATGCTCCGTCTCTTTCGCCTTCTTCTTCCCACTTTCCCTTCCCACTTCGCTCTCACCCCCGGCCCTACGAGTCACAGCATTGAATATAGCAGTAAACCTTGCTAGCCGCGTCGAGATTGCAAAGACCACGTCTGCAAATATTTAGTGCAGAGTTTTGGGTAAGCGTCCTGCAGTCACAGTCCGCAACAATCAATTAAGTGGGTCCTAGAAGGTTCAGATTGGATTGATTGATTACCGCTTTAAGCCTAGTAGTTACCTATAGGAGTTTAAGCCCTACCTAGATAGGTAAGTGGGTCTAGGAGAGTGACCGGATTGAATTGATTGTTGCGGAGTCTACCGCAGAGGCCTCAACACCAAGTCAACAGGCACCAGTAACGCGTTTCATACACTGGGAGATGCCTCCCACTCAGTAGCTATAATAAATATACTGTTGAGAAAGAATGACTCTCTCAGTCATGGCATGTAAGTGTGTCAATTGCTAACTATACAAAGCTCGGCTAATATAGAGCGGTGTGGGTCATGTGACTTAGCGTCCTCGTGACAGGTGACCGGAATATTCTCAACATATACGATATTTTGTGCGTTTGCGCGGTCAATTTACTATACAAATCGCGTAGGGTGGCAAAATTGACGTTGAGCTGGTGATTGACGTTGAGCTGGGTAGGGCCTAGTTCGGAAGAACTAGGCAACGTGGGGCGAGTAGGAGGAAAGTTCGAGTACCGATTCGTACTCTGCTCCGCTGGCTCAGCCGCCTATGAATCCGGCAATTCGCTAGTCCCGATTTGGCGGCACCTTGCGAACCGCATGATCGCCACAATCCCGACTCGCACTACCACAGTCCCTACGTCCCCGGACAGTACCATCTCTGTCACGTGAAGGGTCGGTATAAAAGCCGTGAAACGACAGGCGCTTGCTCCGAGTTGTTGACCAAGTGCAAGATGGGCGCACGCGCTGGGGTAGCTTGTGAGTCGCGAAGGCGTCCGGATCCGGGACCTTATGCATCCGAAGCTACAGAAGGCATCATATTTTAGTGGATTCTGTTACAATCACAGGGGTTCTGTGCACACAGAAGCTCTATGCACACGCTTACTTCCTTCTTATCAAATGCCGAAAACGTCGCGACAGCCAAAATCAAGAACGATATTTCGATATCGGAGTATCGTGAACTGCAGTACTTTGAAGGACATCCAGACACTGCACTGAGTGCGAACAAGTGCGGCCTAGAGTCAGGATCTATGAGATCATCTTCCTCGATATGTACATTCCCCTCAGCTGGACTCTTCTCCGTGTCTAGTGTGCTCTTCCAGAATCAAAGCCGGAGGCCCACGGAAAGGCCGTATTGCTATATGACGAATGTGCTAGTCTAGATTAGGGCCGACCTTGCGACGCAAGTGCTAATGGATTTTCTGCACAATAATACCAGGGTTAGAAGGCTGGAAACGTCCGTGTCACACCAAATCATTGGTGGGGATACGCACCTGTGCGCATACAACTTGCGAAATGCGGACCATTGCCCCGAGGAAGGCCGTGTACGTTTTTGGTACGCTCGATGTTATATGAACTTTGTTGACCCCATGTCAAAAAGTTAAGCCCCTACTTTCAATTTTCATCCCCTTGGTTCAACTTTCAGTGCATGGCAGACGCACAAGATGGCCGAAGTAGCGACACTTTTCAACGACGATTGGGAGTTCCAACGCTCTGGACAAACTGGCTGGAGCAACGTACATCTTCCTCACGATGCTATGCAGGTAGAAGGGCGGCGGGAAGACGCCCTCGCTGGAACTCATGGCGGATTTTATCTCGGCGGAATGTACAAGTATCGCAAAACATGGCAAGTGCCTACTTCTCTGGAGTCCAAAGTGGTCGCTTTGAGCTTTGATGGCGTTTACCGGCACAGTCGCGTGCTGGTGAACGGCACAGATGTCGGCGGTTGTCTGGCGGGCTGGACCAAGTTTGAAATTCGCGTAGACTCTTACCTGAAGCTCGGCGAGAGGAACACCATCGAAGTACATGCCGACAACAGTGAACAACCTAACGCTCGCTGGTACACTGGAGCCGGAATTCATCGCAGCGTTCATCTCATGGTTCGAAACCACAATCTGCTTCGCAAGGACGGGATCAGGCTGGCAACGCTTTCCGCCAGCGGACTTGCTCTTCTCACCTTCGAGGTTTTGCTCGACAACGAAAAGAAAGATGATGTTGAAGTATCTCTGGAGCTTTCGAGAGGAGGAAGGAACGCGATCCAGTGGAGAACGAAAACGAAAACGTCTGAGCTGAAGCAAAACTTCGAGATATCGAACCCAGATCTATGGTCGGTTGAGACCCCGAATCTCTACGACTGCACTGTCGTCATCAATGGCGATCTCTATAAGTTCAAGTACGGTCTGCGCACTCTGCAGTTGAAACCTGGTCATGGGTTCCTGGTTAATGGCCAGGCTGTGAACTTGCGTGGTGGTTGCATACACGCAGATAACGGTATCCTCGGCGCAGCATCGTTTAAAGCTGCTGAACTGCGGCGCGTGTCGATCATGAAGAAGAATGGCTTCAACGCTATTCGTATGTCGCACCATCCATGCTCAGAAGTTCTTCTACAAGCATGTGATGAGGTAGGCATGTACGTCATGGATGAGTTTGCCGACTACTGGTACGAGGCAAAGTCTAAATATGACGATTCCAACACCTTCAACGAACGCTGGGAGTACGAAGTCGCTTCTCTTGTGGAACGAGCTCGTAACCACCCTTCAGTTGTTATGTACTCCTTAGGTAACGAGGTCACTGAGCCAAAAACCGCCTACGGACACACGATCGCGAAGAAGCTCCTGGACCTCACGCACAAGCTGGATCCATCCCGACCTAAGACTATCGCGGTCAACCTTATGCTGGCCGTCATGACGTATTCAAAAATCCCGCCGGGCGATCCAAACACTCCTCCCGCAGATAACAAAGGCGGCCTGGAGGATATGTTATCTAGCTCTTTCTTTAACATCATCTTCAGTGTGTTGCTCCCAATCATGCGGTACATCCCAAAATTCAATCACACCAATGTTGTGACCAATCGACTTTATTCGTACATGGATGTTGCGGGCTACAATTATGGAGACATCCGGTACCCATTAGATGCCAAATTACACCCATCAAGGATGATGCTCGGTACGGAAACTTGTCCACCTGATCTTCCCAAGATCTGGGCCAACGTTGAAAAGATTCCAAACCTAATAGGAGACTTCATGTGGACTGGATGGGACTACCTTGGCGAGGTAGGCATTGGCGTGCACGACTATGAGGCAAGCAGGTTTACCCCTGTGAAACTGTACAAGCCTTGGCCACATATAGTAGGGGGCTGCGGCGCTTTAGACATCACTGGCGTGCCCAATGCTTCGGCTTTCGTAGCCCAAGCATGCTGGAAAATTTTGTCTCAACCCGTAATTGCGGTACGTCCATTGGACATCTCTAACTCGTATTACAAGGCGACACCCTGGCGAAATTCCGATGCGATCGAGGGCTGGGGCTGGAAGGGTTGTGAGGGCCAGAAGGCTTACATCGAGGTCATCACTCAGGAAGAGGAAACAGAACTTTTCCTAAATGGCCGCTCGCTTGGACGCGCAAGTAGCAACCAAGCCAACAGATACACCGCTAGATTCTCGACAGCTTACGAGCCTGGAGAACTTCTTGCTGTTGCATACTCTGGCGGACAGGAGCGTTCGCGCTCCACGCTCCGCTCCGCTAACGTTGCTTCAGTCAAGATTGCCAACGAGAAGTCCGGTGAACTTGTCGCAGACAGACAAGATCTAGCGTACCTTGAACTTCAACTCGCTGATCAGGATGGAAATATCGAGATGAACGACGACGATACCCTAACCGTCGAGGTACATGGAGATGCCACTCTGGCAGCGCTTGGGTCCGCATACTATAGGAATCTGGATTACTTTGACGGCAATGTTCATAGAACATGGCGAGGGCGAGCCTTGGCAGTGATACGTTCCGGCAGTAGGTCCGGAGATGTTGTCGTTACTGTAAGCAGCGCAAGGCATGGATCTTCGTCGATTACAATGAAGCAGAGGGCTCGATAGTGGCGTGCATCTATCTCCAAAAGCACGCTCAACGCGACACTTCAAGGATAAAGCAATATTTAGGCCTGAGGTAGGAATGAGATGAAAGCCATTGATGATTTCCCAAATTTCGACTTGCCATCTACCGATGTTATGCTGTAAGGTCTGTTCTCGTTCTACAATTCGCTACGTAAGCACCGAGCCTGCATAGCACTGTGACACACCTCAGCATACTAACACACAGTGTCTCTGCCTATAGCACATCAAGCCTCTCGTTGCAGTCGTCACTCAAACCTATCTTTGTCTAAGACTCGCATCAAAGACAGACCATACATCTAATAGACCTTTCAACTACTTAAGTCAACGCAACAACGCGACTTCGGCCCACATGTGTATCTGGCTTAGCCGTCAACGACTGTAATCACGATAGCAGATTGTTCGACGCGCTAGTATGGCTCACAGCAGCTCTCTTCTCAGCAGAGCTGGTATCAAGCAAGCCAAGCAAGCAGTAGGCCTACTGCTTGACTTGCTTATTTGGAGTCATCTGCTTGACTTGCTTGCGCTTGATTGGCTGAAATTAGAGCTGCTGCTTGCTTGCTTGAAGGTGCTTGATTAATATATACCCAAATAGGAAATTACATAGTGTTGAGTATCAAGCTCTCGCTGCCGTCGCCGCCGTCGCCGCCGACGTCCCATGTGCTAGTCTTGTATAATAGCTCTATCTCTCTGTCAGTTATAGTTGACTTCGCAGCCATATCGTCGTCCCCAAAACCAGCTCTCCTCCATCTTCTTACGCACTG